TTGAGAGGGACGCTTTTAAGGCTGTGTTGGGTTCTGCAGCAGGATCTGGCAGTTTTGGAGCACTATATAATGTCTACATCTGTAAAACCTGTATAGTTAGTGTCAGTCTATGCGTAGTTTCTGTAAATAGAGGGTAGGACAATCAGGTCATATTCTGTCCTGGCTGTATACACTTTCTTGGCTTATTTGGAAGGAACTAATGCTAAATAGTCAGACTGAAAATATAATCGCTTTTGAATGTTATGTTTCTACAGTTATATATAGATAAAAAAGAATGAGCTGAGGGCTTTTGAAGATATGGATTAAAATCTCTCTGCCTTGGGCAATACATTACATTGTCTTCGTCGTGTGAGCCTACGACCATTACTAAGAGGACTCTCATGTAAGCATTCTATAGCTCAATCACTATTAAGTATGTGATAACTATTCTCTATATCACTGTTTAAATCTAGGTGGATTTTGGGTCCTTCTCACATAATTCCGGTCGGTCCAATTTTGGCGGCGAGAACCTTACCAAGTGTCAACCCTTCCTAATCGCGTTAATAAAAACACCAGGCTATAATCTACTATCACTATAAAGCGTTCAACAAAACAAAAGTTTGGCAGACAGCCAAAAAAAAATAAAATAAAAAATAAAGCCTTCGACTAAATACCAACACAGACCATCAAACTCCCGGTCATATCAACTGGTTTTTGCCCGTCACTCTATTTATGACAAACTGCTCGGATTTAGACACGCTATTAAGCTACTAACTTGGGCCGGTGCTTTAAATTGATCGCCTTTAGCAAGTATAGTCAACCGTTCAATACAAACTTTACAGGGTATGCAATACACATATCTATTTAAAATACCCTTAGCAATGTGTTATCTGTCCGTAGTTTTGATATCTTACCAAAGTTACGCTTCCTCCTCAACAGGTTCCCAATGAGGTGGTTCATCTAAGCTCCTGATAACGGGACCAAAGCATATCCAACTTGCTGGTGAAGTGTAAAAAGGACCACTATACAGGCTAGACAGTCTGTCAACTAGTTAAGATGGGAGAGAAGAAAACCGTCTATTATTGACTGAGTTCTATAAGGAGTACTAATAGACTATTTTATCTGTTTTCGCTTTTTTTGATGCCATTTTTGAATGGCTTAGAGTACTCACATATTTGATGGGGTTCCTGCATCACAAAAAGAACCCATCTGCCAGATAACCTTTCACCGGGCCAGATCAAGATCGTGAGGTGAGCAGCAATGAGTATGAACTCGAGGTGTTTAGGGGCTGGGATAACTGTATAGCCCATGGGCCGATTGTATATGTGAGAAGAAATAGGGAGATTCTTTTCCTGTATCCCACTCTCCTCTTCTCCTCTTTTATTTCTTTCTTTTGCCTTTTTTTCCTTCTTCCCTTTTTTTTTGGTCCTCTATTAATCTTTGGGCTATGTTTGGAAATAGCTTATTATTCGTCTAATTATCTCTTTCCAACTTTTCTCTAGGTAATCCACACCTATAAATATGGGTATTTCCGGCAAGAACATCTTCCCAAATACAACAGATACATTCCAAAAATTTTAATCCAAGGACCCCCCTACTAGTGCTACTAAACAAGCAATGGATGCTTCATTGATAATATCTTTATCAGCAGATTTTAAAAATATTACTATTCACTTAGGACCTTGTCCAAACACTGGGGCACTGTCCTCTGAAGAAGGGAAGATTAACAACGACATAAAGCTTAATCTCAAAATTTATGGGGTTCCTAGCATGGATATCAAAGCTTTAGTACCGGGTTTCCCAAGACATCCAATGTACTTTGGATGACTTACTCAAAACATTCATCCGTCCTAAGAGGTCTCCGTCGGTTGACACATCCATCGCAATTGCTAGAAGCTTTGGAAAAAGATACAGTGCCGCCCAAAATCGTCCTCCACCTCATATACACATAGAGCTGTTTCCAAACCCGAAATGAGAGAATATACTAGTTCTTATGTGGTTACCTCCATATTGACACTCGGCTTTGACCTCAAATGGTATGGCATAGCAAATAACACTGATACTTACTCATTGATAGCTGTATCATATGTATACTTTTTACTTTGAAGAGGCCTTATTATTAGTTCTAGGCCAAAAGGATGCGGTTTAAACAGGGTTTCAAGTATACCTTACAAGGGCTCAAGCCGGCATTTGTTCTACTTTACTTAATTGACTATTGGGCAGTATTTTTGGGTTGTACCGAATTATGCTTGGTGTAAGTTGCTGACCGCGAGTTCCCGTTCTGGCCTAACGCCTCCGCGCACCTTTGTTAGTTACGTAGCTTAAGATATTATGTACAAATAGAATAATCGACAATTTCAACCTCTTTGACAGTGTGTCTTAAGTTGATTAATTTAGCTTCAGACTACTGAAGCGCTCCAATGTATTGAAAAGCATGAACGTACAGTTTTGAATCACTACACTGCTACCCAATACAGGATAGGTTAAGGCGGGATTAGCAGTTTCATTTGAGTCCCTATCTCGAGTGACTCGCCCATTCTCAGTTTTTGAAAGGGTTACTGAATAAATGATTTTGGTCAGAGTCCTGACAATGGGGCCACAATACAACTTTCATATACTTGCTGGTGAAGGATACATCGCCAGAAACTATGCTGGCAGGATGATCCAGCTGCTAAGACATCTTGTACAGACGCGTCCGAAATGTCCTTCCATCAGTTGTACATTCAGGTCGATTTTCAAACCCTAATCCCCTCCTGTATTCGGTTAGTGTAAAACCCTATTTCTAGAGATATCCAATTATACGCCGTATATACAACTATAAATAGATTTAAGCTTCCGGGATTAGGGCTTGAAAGCAAACGTGTATGTGGGGGATATGGAAGGCGATTTCGGACGGGTCTGTATAGTTGAAATTGCCGTCAACACAAGCACTCATGATCAAGAGCTTTATATTAGCCCACCGGCATATAATACTAGTCTCCAATGATTTTATAGTACCTATAACATGCAGTCTGCTCGATACAGGGTCGTTATAGAGAGGTAGACGCATGTTTAATAAACTTACGAATCTAGACGCAACATGGAGGAAAATATGATTAGTACGTAGGAAGACAATTCAAAAGCTTAGTGTTGATTGCACTTCTTTGTGGAAATCCCTGCACTATTAAATGGCTATGTGCAGTACTGTACAGTATAAATGCGCGTACATAAAAACATGTACATATTATCCGCCTCTTATAATATCCATTACTCGGCGGAAGATGCTCTCATCTACCCAACCATTGATCCAAATTTGCGTCACTGGGCCATCTTTACCACTTATTTCTCTCTCATCAAGTACCGATATGTCTCCATAAATACCTACTCCATCCTTGGGATAAGTGAGCATTGAGCAGAAGTTGACCAGATACAGTATGGAGGCGCATTCGTACCACTTGGCTACTTGTGCTGTCATCAGACGATGTTTCCATAGTATCGCTAGGAGAATAGCTCTTTTCAAAATGCTCAGTAGGGAAATCGTCTTCCGTATCTATAAAGAGCCTATCTGAATTTGTTTCGGTGTGCTCTGACTCAGACTCTGTGTCCGTGAACTGGATATCTAAACTATCCTCCATATCATCCTCAATGCTTTTCAAAGGTGTGTTCGGGTCCCATATAAAACTTTGTGCCATATCGAGTTTAACTGGTTTGAGCAGTGCTGGCGATAATAGGATAGGACATGACATCGGGGGCAGTGGATTAATATCTTTATATAATTACGCACCAAGTCATACTAGCCGTGATATTTTCCATTCATCCTGAGTTTTTCTATACCTTTCTCCTCAATTTCAAGAACCTATCATATTTGGAGGGGTTAGGGCCTGGAAACATCCCAGTTTGGCTTCCTCCAGCAAATCTTGAGGTCATCAACCGTCTTCGGCATTTATTAAAGTGATCTTATATGACGGGTATAGAGTAAAGCCAGATGGGTTAACAAGGTTTAACTCACTATTAAACACTCTACCAACGGAAACACTATATGTTAGGGCAAGGTGAGGGGTGTGGAGTTCAGCAAGAGTTGGGCCCTTTTCAAAACTGCTACTCTTATTTTGTATCAGGCATCTGCTGGGAAGATACATTACTGCTAAAATATCTATCTAAAATATATGCTGCTCTAAATGAGAATGTCCTTGTCTTCTTGGTGGTGTGCTATTATAGTGCATCTTCCATTAATGCCAACTATAGTTTAAACCCTCTCTATATTTTATAAAACATGAAAAGGAAGCTGATGAGACACAAGAACGCTAATCATTATGTAAACTCAAATACTAGGATCATCTAGTCTTGTGTGTTTGGTCAACAGGTGTATGATATACAAATTTCACTTTTACTTTCCTATCTGTCACCCCATCCAGAAAGTAAAGATCTTCAGTTTCCGTCTTGCTAAAAATTAGCAATAATGGACGCAGTAGCTAGAGAAACCGATGCTGGGGCTACCCCAACTAATAAAATAAATGTCTCTAATAGATACATGTAAGTGGCAGTTGTATTATTGAGCCAGAAACGGGAAAATTGGGGCTGTCTCTCCCTGTTTAGTAAGATATAAAGACTAATCATATACATCACTATCCATCCATGCCAAAGGTTGCTGTACCTTCAAACTGATATGAGGGCCTCTCTTAGCAGGGAAATCTGTACGTCCGTTGTCAAATGCCACACTACCTACAGAAAGCTCCTGAGTAAAGCTTCAAGCTTCTCACCCAGATTGCTCGTTCGGAGAACCTCCCAAGCAGCTAGAATTACCACCAGTGGAGCATCTTAAAAGTACCACCAACCACAGTTGATATTGATGCAATTGGCGGTTTTAATACAACTTCAAGCGGCACAGGATCATCAAACACCATTGGCCGAGAGAAGGCTGACGGCGACCTGGCAACTGCTATTAGTGCGATATTTCATGGAATTTGACTACAGAAACTCTTGAAAACATCTTCAGCACTACAAGAGAACCAATCAGTGTTTTTCCAACTTCTGGAGAAATTATGGCCCTGTTGGCATTCGCCCGTACCCCAATCAAAACTGCCAGCTCTCAAGGCACGACCCCGGTCATTCCAATTAATTCAACTACATTGAAAGGGAACTTCCATTTAAGTACTACTGCTGGGCCAACCCCATTTCTATCTAGTCAGCGAGTACGGAGTACTTCATTTCCAGATGTGACCTTTATCCCAGATATCGAAAATTCCTGGAAAACATACACAAGGCTGCTTCCTTCACGTGATGCTTCAGGTAGCCAACTGTCTACTTCTGTCGGTACTCAAAACAGATATTCTTCTTGGATAGAAGAGGAATTACGAAATTCTCAGACAATAGACTCAGGCTCTGGTGAACAAATTACTATCGCAGGAGATACGCACTTCGAGATCATTACATTCACTGGGATGAGCTCGGCTTCACGCCCCGAGAATATCAACCATTGTTCCGTTCAGCATCAAGAAACAGAAATCAACCATGATAATGATTTCTTACTCGAAGTCTCTCCTGACACTGAATCGACTCACTCAGTTATGTCCGATTCGATCTTGACGAATCCAGTTTACGCACATTCAACTCAGCACGGATGTGTTTCTGACTTAGCATCTACGGATGAATTATCTCATCCTGATGATAATAGGCCGTTTATGCCTTCAGCATCGATTAGACCCAGCGAGAACTTTCAAGATACCACCGCCACCACAGGTAACTCTATCGTGGGACCGTCGTCTGCTATATCAGACTCCTTGTCCAATACAACTACCTCCCATGGCGTAAAGAAAAGGAGCATCCTAATTTCTGTTGGCGTTGTATCAGTAGCTGTTTGTTTGTTTGTCCTTATATTTGAATGGAGTCGGCGTAGGAACAAACGCAGAGGTGTCATCTGGATTGGATTTTCACCGGAACCAAACTGCGATGCGCAGGACCCAAGCAAATCATATTTCTCCATAGATTGACTAACTTGGATTATTCCATAGCCTAATGATCACACTCAATGGATGTATAATGAACCAACCCAAGTTAAAATAGTCAGCTACCGGCGCTATTCTTCAATTGTCAAGAGCGTCTGCATTACATTGCCTTGCATACACTTCCCCTACATTCACTTGTCGCTAGCCTGGTATGTATATAAAGCAGTCGCGGGAAACATATTAAGCCATGGCCTTACACAGCCGCCTAAAGATTATGTTTGGGAGCCAGTAGGCCAATTTCCTGGCGAACTTAACTTAGAGAAAACAAGCGAAGTTTGGATACATCCTGATGGTTGATATATTATTGTGTCCCTCTCTATTATTCATTATAATAATTAAAGTACTCTTTATAATGAGCACACACGTCAATGGGAAAAAGTAAATCAGCAAGAGAGCGGGGAGGGGAAGGAGAAGGAGGAAAAGAGAGAACAAGAGAAACGAGAAAGCTAAGGCGCCCCAAAGTCATGAGAATTCGTGTCTTCCTGCGTCCTTGAACCTGGAAATGGTTGAGTTATGCCGATCATCATATTCGGAGCTTGCCATGAGCTTCTCTCTGCACTTGGAGGCACCCTCTTACAAGCCTTCAAGAGATCCGACCCTACCGAAACCAGACCCAGTTTAGATACAAGGATAAACAGAAATTGCTTGAGCGCGGGTAAGGTAGCTGTGATTATAATCAAGTTGGACTCAACACCACTACTCTCGTAATTGTCAGAAAATTTCTATGAGGAATGAATGGACGCCGGGTACGTACACTAATAAAGCAACAGGTGCAATCTTGTACGTTAGGTCAGAAGAACTCAGAAGAGGGACTGTAAACCTAAGCCTGATAGCGCTTGCAACAAACGTGCTAGCTGGCTGTGAGCAATAATATATTTATAACTAACAGGAGAGGTGTGGATTTCTTTCATATCACTCACATGCATACCATTACCAGTATGATAAAAGTCTTAATCTTTTGGGACCTTGGGACCTGTAGATCAGAGATGACCGGGATAGGTAACAAGATTAGAAGGAAGTCGGAGATAATGTTCAGCACAGCAACAGCTACTAGGATAGCAGGTCGATTGATACATTGACCTTGCAATGTAACATCCCAGGCCTTCGAGATCGGGCGGCAGGCAAATATAAAACAAAAAACCAGAGTTATCGATCCAATGATTACGAAGGCAGTAACTCCGTATAATGCGTGGCGCAACCAGCTTTTTGCAATCATTAAACGGTGAAACAATACTAGATGTGCGAGTCTCGCAAGACATATTCCAGTAATGAAAAGACACGCTGCTGTAAGAAAGAGCTATTCGATTATATTAGCTAGCTCATGCAAAGCAAAATTATTATGATACAAGAAGATTACCTTTTCATAAGTGCTGATCGTTTGTACAGAGAGGTATTCAATATGATGCCCTAAACCTGCGTGGTCTAGAGCATCTAATATGTGAACCTTGTGTTAGCAAGAATTCACTCACCATGTAGAAGCGTCCGCGTACAAAGAATCACAATTTGTGTACCAACGCAAAATCCCTCGTGCTTTGTTAATACATCCAATTTGGTCAAAGCCTTTCGAGTCTACTCACCCAAGCAATAGTAAGGCACACTATTATATCAATAGCAAGATTAGTAATAATAGGCTAACCACCCTCCCTTGCACGCCTTGTAGGGCTGGAAAAATGATATTTTGTGGTGCTAGATTATAGAGGAACAACTATATCAATATGAACAAAACAAAGAGGATGTGTGCGACTGTGGGTTTAAGAATGCCAAAAAAAAAAAAAAAAAAAAAAAAAAAAACTCACAATCTTCAGCGGTGATCTTCCGGAGAATCTGGTGCCTAGTCAATAACCTTATGGCTAGGCAAGTTGTACTTAAAACCAATCCAGTGATGACTGTATAGTGAATACCAGATGATGATTGTTGTCTGGTATCGCTCGTTGGCCCTGTGCCTATTACAAACAGGGCAAGGTTGCTCCTGACAGGATCTGTCATGCTCAGCTGTAGTATATATAAGTAGTGCTTCGCACAAAATTGACAATATCAGAGGTAGCCCGGACAATTTATTCATCCGTTAGCGTTTCTCCCTTTTAAAGGCAGACATTAAACTAAGGTTCGTAGATTGTCGAGTGTAGGTGGAACAATGAACCTATCCTATTGCATAAGTTGGATTTACAAAAGAAGTATATCTTTTCGAGTTCCATTTTCACACCTTCACCTGGCTTCTTTGGCTTGTACTTAATTTTAGTTTTACATGGTAGTATTCAGATCTGATCGGGAGCTCTACGTCCTGTCTGGATCTTCAAACTAGAAACGCGAACATGTGGTTGTGCTATGACAGGTGGAGACACTTCAACTGGTACCAACAGCCGGCGTTGAGCTACCGTTGAATATTGATCTCACTCTACTATTACACATATAGATTCATGCATCACTAGATTTTGCAGCTTGACACGCTCTTGCTGTCGATCTTAATGCTTCAGGCTTCGCAAGCTTGTAAATAATATAAAACATAATGATTTCAGGGTTTATGACAACTTCATCAAAGGAAGATTGAGGTGCTACATACCAAGATACTCCACCCTCACTTCTAGAAGAATTGTAATATTAGAATTTATGGCTTTCAATCTTCGTGTCAGAATTTATCGACACCTGTTTTACAATAATCATTTGTGCAGAGAGGCAGTAGTCTGAGAACTGAGAAAGAATCAAGGTATAAACAAATACAACAACACAGTATGGCTCCTGCGATTGGTTGCAAGAGACAAGCAAACATCCACATTAATTGGATTTTGGAGGGGTACTGCCCTGCCCAGACAATATCGGACAAAGGTTAACATCGATTCAGAGAAGTGGGATCGTATGGACCGAACGTGGGTTGATAACCAGGCAACTATTCATGACATGCATTTGCACTAGTACTGGCCTCATTCAAGGTTTTTATCCAAGGTTGGTATATTTCAATTTGCAAATCTGCCAGCATGCTGTTCAGGCAGCTATTGGTGACCAAGTGTTACTATGTGTATAAGCCATTCAGGATTCATGTGCCACTAGCAAGGGGAGACTAATACCTGGTCGCAATAGGCCGCCATACAGAAAGGTCCGCATCCACTTGAGTTCAGGTGGGCCGCCATCCCAGTTAGTATGTGAGGGTCCTTATGTTCGACCTCCTGCTCAAGGGCGTGTTGGACTACTTACTGATGCTGGTCCACCATTGCCAGCCACTGTGGGAATACTAGCGCCCCACACGACCCCCACCTCTCTTGCTTTCCAAAAGCACCAGGTCGAAGAAGAGTGTTGGAGAAAGAAAGGGGGGCTGCCGACCTCCAATGAAAAACCGGTCGGATGACTCGGATCCATACTATCTCCCCAAGTGCCTTCGCCGAACTATGTGTCCCCTACCAGGTCTCCTGCGATCGGCGTATCCGACCAACCCGGGTGCTGTTTGCCTCCCTCGCTTTTCCTCTGTGAGATGCTCTCTGATATTATTTTCTTTTTTCTTTTTTCTGTTTTCTTTTTTTTGCGTCGCGTTGAATGGCTATATGATTTGTTGGCTAGGGGATTCCGCCTGGTAGCCGATTGGCCCGGAAAGTGGGTTCTTCCGGCCGCTAAGCGGTCCCACAAAGGATGGCTTTCTAGGCTTAGATAGTTTTAGATAGCTAGAGGCAAGCAATCAATGAAGGCCTGAAGATGATCCCCAATTAGTGCCTTGACATGATTCTTACATGTGACGGTTCCAGCATGCTCAAACTACCTTTCCAGTGACCCGCGAGACGAGCCTGCCTACGAAGCCTCTTTCATGATTGGCAGGCAGAAGGCCATAAAATGATTCAGCTGTGCTTCTCTGTTACGCTACTGTACTGATATTCTATGTATATAATCTATTGGATTTCTAGCTAAACCATTGGTAATAAATCTAACAGAAAAGATAATCTTCTATATTTTTGCATATTATCTTGTTTTTGCTCTTGTGCATAGTCCCTCATATCTTACACTCTTGCTGACGAAGGTGAGGAACTGATAATATCCCCCTTTAGTAATCCTGGATATGTTGTAGTTGTCTATACTTCACGTTGAACAGTAAAGCCATGTTTACTTATTTTGCTCTGCATCTCTCTCTCTCTCTCTTTCCCCCACCTTATTCTGTCCTTCTTTTTTTTATTACATGAGCTACATGTAAGATACTTTAGTATGTGATTACGAAACGTGTGGCAAAAGTGTTGCTGTAAAAAGTAAAATGCTATACTTGTTCCGTGACCGAGGTGCTAAACAATTTCAAAGGCGTTTGTAGTAAACTCAATCCCATAGTCCACTATATATTTCCACTCCAAATTCATTCGCAATGTCAATTACACCATCTTTGTTAGAAGTAATAACCTCCATGGAGGCCTTTGCACGTGTAAGTTTAGCGGCGGAGCAAACAGCTTGTATATCACCAACCGCCAACTCTGCCTTCGCCTGACCCATTTTGTTGGCCGGAATGACTAACTTGCCGCTCTAGTTCCGCGTTAAGTCGTAGGAGGTGCGAGATGCTATATGCCTGAGTTTCCATGAACTGCCGCTGATCGATGACTGTCTCGGACAAATTCATCAAATTTTGCTTGCTTGTCCGCAGATCGTCCATCAAGGCAGACATGGCAAAATCGGACCCCTGCGTTGTTGATGGACTGCTCATCAGTTGGTCGAAAGCCATCGCCAACTTCGTGATCAGGCCACTTTGATCTCGGCTGAAGTTGGTCGAAATCGCTAGTCTTCTGCGCAAATCCGCGTTCTCTTTGAGCAAATTTGCATTGGCACTTTGCAAGTCTGCATTCACTCTCTCCAAGCTAGAGAAGCTGGCGATGTGAGGCGACCAGTTGTGGGTAGTCTCCCCGCCTGGAAGGGACTCATATACAGGGTGACCCTGCTTCTATTAGTGTGATCTTATACAGAACACAAACACAACACTATCTGATTTAAAGGTTTGCGTGTTGGGACGACCACAAAGGGAGAGAATGCCGATAAGGTGAGGGAGGGGTAAGGGTGAGGAGGAGCATGCGGGGGCTTCGGGGAAAAATGGATATCAGATCAAAAGAGTTAAGGGCACAGCAAATACCTGGGCTGTGCTTTCGTGGAGGGTCGACATCACTACTTGGTGCAACTTCTTTTGTATCTTTACGTGCTCAAGTAATCAAGAATCAATGTCGCGCGGCCAATAAATTATGTCGGCCTAATCTGCTTCTAAAAGCTTTGAAGAATGGAGTAGGATTTTGCCGGACACGAAGCCTGTTATATATATACCAATAGCTCACTGGATTATGGCAGATTTGCTGAACCGGGCTTCGATGCGTATAAAGCTATAGGGGCGATTTTGAGATTCTGGATAGCCGTTGACAGAGAAATCAAAGTGTATCTGAGGAATATACCCTTCAGGACAGCACTTTCTCGATATTAAAATATAGAGTCATCAAGCAACAGCACTCTTGCTCAATAATCAGCCTGTACTGTACAGCTAAATACTGTATATACGGAAGGATACATCAGTTATCTGAGGGCCAGAAGCTACGATGAACGAACATCCTTTCAATTGCTCAACACATTCAGTCTTGGGAACCGTATCAAGCATATACAGCCGAACAACAGACTTGGAGTCTCTAGTCGAAAGTGAACGACAACAGAACACTTTAAATCACAACCAAACTACCAATAACAATACGCCTTGGGAATCTCCGGAAATTAACCGCGTAGATCACGCGATTCAAATGGCTCAAGGAGCCACGATAGCATTGGAAACTATGCCATCATGGCTTAAGGCAGCCAAGTTACACAAGGTGCAGTCACAGAACGAGCGAAAGGTAGAATTGGAGCAAGAGCTTCAGAGGCATCAAGAAGAGAATAATTTTTACGGCATATGCTATGATATCTACCGTGCATTGCACGAGGAAGTAACAACTATATCGAGAGAGCTCCTACAGTATAACATTGTACCCGAATCTTTCTTACTTGATTCAATTTGGATGTTGAACCGGGCCCTCAGAAAGTCACAGGAGAGCGAGTCAAGGGCTGAGGCCGAGTGGATGAGGTATTGGAATATTCATGATAGCCCTGGGGCGCGCACGACGTGGATCTGATGTTGTTTACTGTTCCAGAGATACTTAGTTAACAGCTGCTGTGTGGTGATCCATTTCTCGCAGTTGAACAGTTGTTGGTCAAACAGTGCTAGCATCAATGGCCCGTCGTTTATGGCAGCAATTGTTGCACTTTCTATAGCTATTCACTAGAATGATGATACTGATGTATAGAGATGAGGGCGTATCTGAGTACAAATTGTACCCTTCTAGAATTTCTTAATGAGATAGTCCTCATGCAGAACAAATACTATTTATGTACCTAGTGCGCTAACTTCTTAGAGCCAAGTGAATCATCAATCCCTCAAGAGTAGTGGGACAGAGAATGGACGTATCCTCGAAAGTTCAGAAGAGTTATCCTGCTAAGGGAGACCGTACCCAACAAGAACAGATACGCAAGCGTCGACATAATCTATTCAGACGACTTAAAGAATTTAATGACAGATATGAGATAGAAATATGGCTTACAATGCGTATGCCAAGTGGTAGAATATATATATTTGCGACGGACCCTGATGTACCTATTCCAAGTGAGGATGAAGTTGTGAGTTCCACATGTAGGTAAACTCTTATGAAGTCACTGATCTTGGAATAGCGAGCACAGAAAGTTCCAGTTGTCCACAAGACGTCAGCGGACTATGACTCAAAAAATGACCTTTCGCTATGTCTTCAGAGCCCTCCGGATCTTCCTTTTACGAATACCCCAGCTTGTTTGGCACACGACGATAGTACGAAATGACGAGAAAACCGTCAATCATTTTGTGTCAATGATAAAGATAAAAGAGGAGAATCAGCAAATAGTTTTCATCTTGAAAAAGCCGATGTGGTGGATACACAGCACTTCGTATCTTGGAAGGTTCAGGTAGAAGATCAATTCAGAATATGTGTGTATAGTCTCCTGAGTGCGACTTTGACGTAAGTTTACTGTATTGTCGTTAAATGGACTTTAACCCTCGTAGAGCTCTTTGACGCGTCCATGGCTTTTCGAGCTGTTGCCTAAAAAACTTGATTGGGTCTTCAGTTGTCTTTTTGTTGATGCAGAAGTCCTGATACAGGCTGCTGTACCTTCCCTACTAAGGACCCGCTCCGTAAGGCTCTGCGATAATGGCTGGAAGTCCATGTCCAGCTGCCCGGGTCATTTGGTACGATAAGTAGTAAAGTAAGCTAAAAGTTTTCTTGCAGTCACCACAAAGTAATGTATAGGTATTTTCTTTGGCTGCAGCTGAACAGGGATCGGCCAAAACAGATGGGATTAACGTATTATCTTCGAGTCAGGGAAAGATAGGAGACTACTGTACGAAAGGCGGGCCCCGCCACTTTATCCACAGAGTTGTACAGGTTCAGCCGCTAGTCGTATCAGCCTTGTCTACTGCAGGCAGCAATCGCTTGATTGGTGTAGTCTCGTTCTACATTTTTCTTGGGTAGCGACTCCTCTTGCGTAGGCAATGCGATATTCTCTTGCGATAGTTTGATTAGCTTATGGATATCAACAGTAAAGGCCGCTATAAAGCGCCACAACACAGGTGCGGGGAGAGGCGTCTTAATTTTGTGCTTATTGGCCAGTCTAACCTAAGTTTGGAAAGAAGGCTACTCGATATGTTACCAATGCTGGCTTGTTCGATGTGTCCCACTTCGATATGCTGACACGGAATTAAAGGATAAGAAAGATATCAATGGCCAATCTGATATCTCTAGTAGCTCGTAGAACTTATTCTGGTACTGTGCTACGCCCCCAGCTGATGATCAGAAGACTCTGGTATAAAAAAGAAAGGGCGGGACGGAACGGAAAAAAGTATCGTGGGGCCAGATGGTCAGGGATGAAAGATCTACATGCACGAACTTTTGGGCTACCATTGGACGAATATGTGATTATTACGGTTCATGTAAGAGCCACAGGCTTGTATCCCCATTCAAGAGGCATACCATTGGGGTACGTGCTTGTACTCTTGTACATTATGTTTCTAGTCTTGCTACAGTCGCCAAGTCACGTGATAACGACTCACTCAGGTACCCACGAACCCGCCAAGAACCTATGATGCTGTATATTACAGAAATACCAATTTGATACAGACCATACCACATAAAACCATTATAGTTTGGTATATATTACCCGTATTCAAATACCTTCGCGGGTTTTGCGCGCCCTCCGGAGATGATGATCTGGCCCATCAAAAATCACTTGCTACTAGTGGCCCTCAAGCGAACCATCTTGGCACTTTCTTCCTTGCTTTAATGCGGAAAGATACTATTCAATCTCGTTTACCTCGTCTCAAGTCTCTCGACTCTACTCAACGTGCTGCGGTGTTAGAACCCGTTTCGGTATACCCTACCATGCATTTGGAACAGCTACCTCTCAAGATTTTGCTTCTTATTGTCGAATACTTGGGCTCCAAAGAAGACCTGGACTCCTTTACGAGAGTGTCGAAATATATTCGCAACAACAGCAACACTATCTTGTACAAGAAACACGGTGAATTAGCACTTCTGTGGGCCGGTGAGAAGGGAATAGCGGAGACCGCCCAGTTTGCGTTAAGATGGTACAATTTCGAAGAGGCAGATGCCAACCGGAAGAGGGAACTGTGCGAAAGAGCATTTTTGTTGGCTTGTGACGGGGGCTATATTGACCTAGTCAAGATGCTGCTCGAACAAGGGGTTCTCGCCACGTATAAAAATTACGAAGGTATGAGTGGGCTGTCACTAGCAGCTGGAAAAGGACATAACGATATTGTCGAGATGTTGGTCAAGGCAGGAGCGGATCCAAGTTCTGAGGATAAAGGAGACAAATCGCCTCTAATGTTGGCCGCCATTGGGGGTCATCAGCATACAGTTAACATATTGCTGGACAGCGGAGCAGCTATTGATAGCCTTTGCCATCACGAGTCCGCTACAGCTCTTATGTTCGCTGCTTATCATGGCCATGAGAATATCGTTAATATCCTCCTTGATAGAGGCGCAAATATTGATAAAACCGATAATTTTGGGAATACAGCTTTATGGCACGCCATCTGGGGTTGTCAAAAAGGTGCATTCCAAACCCTCGTCCAAAGAGGAGCAAATACTTCCCTTCGGGATATCGCAGGGAAGACGTATTTGGAAAGTGCTGAATATTACAGGGGAATTGATTGGGTAGCTGAAAAAAGTGGGGAAGGGAAGAAAAAACACAGGAGGAGACAATCGAGGAGAAAACCAATGCCCCCTCAAGATACCGCAGGGAAGACATACTTGGAAAGTGCTGAATATAACAGGGGAATTGATCAGGTAGCTGAAAAAGGTGGGGAAGGGAAGAAAAAACACAGGAGGAGACAATCAAGGAGGAGAAAACCAATGTCCCCTCAAAATACCGCAGGGAAGACATACTTGGAAAGTGCTGAATATAACAGGGGAATTGATCAGGTAGCTGAAAAAGGTGGGGAAGGGAAGAAAAAACACAGGAGGAGACAATCAAGGAGGAGAAAACTAATGCCCTGTTGAACGCCTCATCACAAGCGGTCGGTCTTTTCCGGTTTCTAAACCTTTCGTGCTATTGACTGTGGTTGGTCTTTTCATTCTCGTTATGCTTGGCAATTTCGAATTTTTATTTTTCAGTGCGGTGTGAAGTTCAAGCAACTTCGAGTGCATGAGACCTTGCAATGCCGCCGCTCAATGGTCCACTGCTCAAATATATTCAAGGGTTCACGATCTTAAATCAATCCCGAGAAATGAAAGTATCAGGACTGCCCTTTATGATCAGACATCACCACCATTATCGTTGAACAAGACATTGGACAAGGCTCACAGGACCAGAGGATGCTGTTGAACGTATTTTACAGTGTCAAAAACGTCGATAGACACTGTCTGTGAAGACATTGCTTTTGAGTACTTTGTGCAACTGGTAATAACGTAGTCTTCCTGTAAGATTGATGTTTAATCTTTCCATATCTACATTTTTTCCCTTAGTGATCCTCTGAGTCTGTCTCTTCTAAAATTTATTTGCTCTCTCAGATATTAACTTGTTTGTTCAAATGCGCAAGATCTACGTGCTCATGATACTCTCGTTGGGTGATTCTTCTAGAGGTAACGTAATTGGTAAGCGAGCGGGCCACTGTGATTTACTATATAAATCCACATTTTATATCTCAACAACCAGAGCTGCTAGATATTTAAGATTTAATAGACATACTTATATTTACTTTAGATATCATATATCTAACGTAGAAAGCTATCTATCAAGTAGTTCACTGAGTAAAATAAATTACACTGTATTTTTTGTATTCTATACATAATAGTATAGAGCTCGAAATAAAATAATTAAAAATTTTAAAAAAATATATTCCATCTTTATATAATTTAGATATATCTCTATACTAAGTATTATAGCGCTACTAGTTCTAGTGGTTAAGTTATTTAGATTATAAAAAGTGCCTTTTTATATGGAATACAGAGATGGCCCGCTCGCTTACCGATTACCTTACTGCGTGATATTGACAAAGCACAGTATGATCGTCACACAGCCAATCACATCGACTGTTAGTCGGATGGGTCCGCCGCACAATGCCGCCTGAAGGCAATGCCTAGTTAGGTCCACCAAGAGTAGCGTTAAGCGAACAAATGCGAATCTGCACGCACACTCTTTCCGCAAACGTTCATCATATAAACAATTTGCGAATAATCTACAGTGCTTTGCAAAATCTTCCCTACCTATCAACATTCTCTCTAACCATATGGCAAAGTGTCCCCACTTCCGGAATTTTAAAACCAAAAGAATTTGGGTAGGGAAGGCACTGTATCTGTCGAACAGTTCTCGCACACAGTAAAAAGTAGCTTTGTAGCATGATGGCAAGGCAGTTCAGACAACTGACTTGCAACTGTACATTGTAAACTGTAATATATGCTTGAGTTTGTGCAGTATCTCATACTAGAATCCATATTTATAAAGCAAGTGAGAAGTCCAAGGACATCTAAGCAGACTCGACCTTACAAGTACCATTTACTCAACATGACTCTTTTTCCTCGCTTCCATCTGTTTGAGATAGAAGATCAGTCCTGGTGTCCTGAATTTGTGGTAAAATTCATTCAAACCTATTTGACTGCACTCTGGAATTTCCGCATTCCTGCCGTGAGACACACTGCCGCCGAGGCTGCTGCAAATATCATCCTTGAGAACCTCCCGGACGCTTCTTTATATACTTTTGTCGACCCCTGTGCCGGAGCGGGGGGTCCTATCCCGGCCATTGAGAAAGCTCTTGGAACCGAATACCGTCATTCGGTGCAATTCATCTTGGCTGATATCAAGCCCCGTGTGGAGGAATGGAAGGCTATTAAGAAAGAGCAGAAAAATATTTCCTTTATCCAGGACTCTGTCGATGCGGCAGAGCTGGGAAAAGTTACATCTGGCAAGGAGTGCCGGATATTTAACATTTCGTTTCATCATTTCAATGATGCTTCCGCCAAAAAGGTTTTGCACAGTGCGATGCAGTTTACAGATGCATATATGTATGTCTTGCAACAAGACATCTAGAAACCCGGACTAACGTGGCTATAGAATTTTCGAGTTCCTCCAAAGAGATCTTACCACGTTCTTGTTCTGGTGTGTGACTACTATTTCTCCACTACCCTTCGTGCACGCACTACTCCAGGGATCGCTCTTGCAAATGTGCTTTATGTTTGTGATCTGGGTGGCCCTGGGCATTGATGGTTTTGTGTCAATGCTTCGCACACGAACGCACGAAGAAATCAAGAATCTTACTAGGGCTGCTGAAGGTATTTCTGAAGGATGGGTCTTTAAACACGGCAGGTCACGAATTTTTGGACCATGGTATATACATTGGCATTTGGCCTTCAGAACTCTTGACAGAAAGGCAAATAATGGTGAAGAAGCTATGGTTTCGCCCCTTCGAGCTTAAGATGAAGCGATATTATGATTACAGAATATATTTATTGTGCGATGGGAATGGTAAATGTCCGAAGAGCTTGACATTTATAGCCAAGTTAGTATAATGTTCTGTATAAACTGTGTATTTAGAGATATCTTTAAGCAAGATCAGCAACCAATAATATAGACGAAATATATCTACTGTAATGGTACTAAAACCGAAAGATAGGTTAAAGGTGAACTGGTTTAAGAAGTTCGGAGCAATACCTCTCACACCTAGGCTAAAATTCGACGTAGCTTATATGTAATGCTAACTCGAATCTAAATGTACTATCGGATATTGCAGGCCACACCCAGCTCGCATAAGCGATTTCTCTTTTTTATAACGCGAGTTGGTTTACCGGTTGCTTCTATTCAATCCTACCTCTGCAATGAAGTAATACGCGGGGTACCACCACCATGTCTTAGGGGATATATATAGCTTCTATCATCTAATAAAGATCATCACAGGGTCTCATACTCTTCCATCATGGCCTAATTTGCCATTCTCATTGCTCAGCTCCATGGCGTGCCATTTTGGAACCGTTGCGATGCCTCTAGAAAGGCGAGTATTGGGTTTCTTAGTATGTAATAGCAAAAGATGTGGCACGTACTTGATTTTCTTACCTTTGCTGCCTCCCAACAGCATTGAAGTGCTGCTAAATGCTTTCCCCTCTTCCTTTGAAGCTTTTACCAAGGTATACTTGATTGTGAACCGTTTATCCCAACGCGGACCACTGTTGCCGCGCGCATGCGGCGCACAGCTCATCAGATCTCCTTCGCTGATTAATAAATAGCAAAGGTAGGTTATTAGTCACATTCCTATTTGTCCTCACAATATCATGTTACACTAGTCATCACTACTTCACCCATATTCTTCAGGAAAAGGTGCAACTCTTGCTCTGCTGTCTATCATTATGTTCTTGAGGTAGATCTTCCACTCTAGATGGAAGATCGATCAGAAAAGGTTAAAGAGGGAAATTGGTCAGCTCTCTAGTGTTATCTGATACAACTGCAAAAAATCTAGAACTACTTATACTGTAGCATGTGTCAAAGTGAACCTTGACTGCCTCCCGCCTGAGAATGTGATTCAAAACATTCGCATAGGAAAGTTTAGATTTGAACATACTTACCGAGGCTAATGATAAAATACGGAAAAAGCTAAGACTACAGTAAGAGGCCCAGTAAGCGGTTCTTGAGATCATACAGTAATCTCCCTGAGTCTATAATGAGATTGCAAGATGCCACGATGTTTGTTAGGTATATTCGAGAACGTAGGCTCAACCAAGTGGACGATAAATAAAAATGCAAAAAATGGGTTTAATATCTACTAAGTTAGAAGTGACACAATAATAGTCTATAATGCAATGGCCTTAGTGCTTTAAGTATGTCAACGAGTTACCGCTAACTCATATTACAGAATGTTTTCGTGAGAAAGAAGCATACAGCGGCAGGAGACTTCGATCTCTGCTGGGCTCTCTTCCCAGAACTTTTCTAAACTCCAAGGACGATGGGAACACGTTCAATGTAAACGTAAAAACTTGAAACACATAATAAAATGACGTGAAAGAATTGAATGAAACTAAGCTAAGCAAAGCAACCTCCTATTAATCTCAACGCAGATAACTTCTCGGATGCTGCTAATCTACCAAGTGTTGCTCGGCATGAATCGTACCGAACAGCCCAGGTAAATGAAGGTTTAGTGTATCCAGGACAGGGCAGACTACCCTTTTCAACTCTTGAATCCTGAGGTCATAGGACGATACGGCATCCTTCCACCGTGATATTTCCTCTTGTAGCTTCCGACGCTCTGCTTCCCATTCGACTTGAGCGCTTAAGAGATCATGTTCTTGCTTTTCGCACAGTCGTTGGCTATCAGCCAGCACGTCCTGCTTTTCCTTCTCAAGCCTCTGTATCGTAGCTGCGAAGCTACTGCTGGAGACTGAGTTTTGTTTCTCCGTCTGAAATAATCAGCGAACTAGATATAAGAATAGAATAGGATATAGTCATATATACCTCAAGGTCTTGGTCAATTTGCAAAGCCTCTGGATGTATTGCTTCTATTAGGTCTGGGGCTTTCAAGGCATGGCAGATCTTTTGAAAATTTCCAACACTGCCACTGCTTAAATTTGATTTGAAGAGGGGCTTCAGGTGATCAGCAACATGCCATCTGTATGGATCTTCGTGACGTGGCTGCAAGCGGATCTTATCAGGTGGAATCTCAAAGCCAAGTCGACTGTCTATATTTTATGTCAGCATCCTGATGAAGACTATTTAATATGTGGTCTCTTTTCATTTCTGTCGTTAATAATCATGGGGCTAGTGCTTCGAACTATTTTATCCCACCGTCTCGAAATCCGGACTTGGGATGTCGGTATGAGTAACGATGGGTACCTTACTTATATGCTCTGCAAGCGCCCTTCGACATTTATTCCTCCAGAAAGTACGCTTTTGATTACTAGAGGTGGTCATTGTAGCAGCCAGTATCACATATGGTAGTTCGTGATTCTTTAGATATAGTGAATACTTCGATTACACATTAGTGTCCATATATATATATATATATAATTTGCAGATATACACGGGCTCTTATGACTAGTCAAGTGGGAACATATGTTCTGGAGGTGCTTCAATTGTGGTTAACTTGATAATCATGGAGCTTTTTGCGGTCACCCCAGAATTGAGGAGTATCTCATACCCCGCCCCTATTTCATGAAATAAACCAGAGGGTTTGACATAAATTATGCTTTATTGATACTCCATATACAGCTACAAAACTTTCATTTGATGCTGGAATACACCGTAGTATCAAAAGTAGAGTGCATATTAGAACTCCGGATGTTTAACAAAGTTATAGAGTGATCTCCAGAAGATGTTCAACAATTTTGTTATCAAATCTACGTGTACAATCACGAGGTGTTAGCCTTCAAACCTCACAGAAAATATCGAATCATGTGCGGATTATCGATGTTTTTATTTGGTATCTTATGGGAGAATATATTGGTCAATAGTATTGAGCTCATTATGAACAATTAGCAGCTGTAAAAGGAGAATCACGGGGGTAGTGTTAAAATAATACTATACAGTAAAGTAAAATACTATGATAATGTAACTCACACGAGCAGAGCGCTCGTCAGATCTGCGTTGTATTGCCCATACTCGAGCCTGCCAATGGGAAATACCAATACGTATATTATCATCTCCCTGAGGGGTGGACTTAGAGGTCTTCAGTGGCTGTGCGAACCAAAGCCCTTAGTAATAGTATAGAAGATCTAGCCTGGGTGTGCGCCTAGCTCTTCAGCCGTATTGTTAAGTTACCAGAGCGAGTTGCTATGTATATATTTCTCTTCTTTCAAGTCTCATTTCCAGTTCTTCAGAATCGGGATAGTTCCATCATGGCATGTGCATCGTCGAGCGAGAAGTAATCTTTCTGAAATTTCAGCCCGCCACTAACGCCATCCACAGAAATCCGAAATTCTTGAGATATCTTTATTTGTACCGTATAGGCCTATGATTATCAGCTCAGTGATTACCCGCGAAGATCAAGGTTGTCTTACAATCGAACCAGTTTCGTGCTGGTAATCATGTCCAGCGTCTACCGTTTGAAATCCGCCGTTATACTAATATTTCTTCCAGAACCATGATACCCCTTCCTAGAAGGTGACGAGCCCGAACGCCGTTATCATGAAATTCTTGCTTTCGATATCTAGAGATTCTTGGTCAATCGATACAGAGGCTTTCAAACAGCCCGAGTCACGCGTTATCATTAACTGAACAGAATCGAACACGTAAATACTGTCAGTTTCTTCCCGATAATAAACACCGATCCACTCGCAATCAAGAAAATCGGGTGACAGCAGAGAGTTGAGATGTTTGTTGAAGCGTTGCAATACTATATCGTCCTGTTAAAAGGGATAGAAATTCGCCTAGTAAAATTCCGAATGGAATGAGTGATAATCGTGGTCGCGGTAAATTTACTAGGAAATCTTCTCTGGATAGATTGATGGCAAGAAAGATTATTATAGGTAAACCTTCGGAGTTGGAGATAGCGCTTCTAGTAATGCTTCTCAGCATATAAAAATCTTGTTCTAGTTTTCCTTGTTCCAAAGTTGTTGCAACCAAGCAAAATGCAATATCTGGTATCGAATTGGCTAGCTTGTAATATTCAGCAATACACAGACACTGTTGTAAGGTTTTCAAATCAAAGACGCAAGTAAGAGGATGCGAATAGGAAGCTAGTATGATCTTTGGCGCGATGAACTCAGCAAGAGATATGGACTTTTTAGCAGAGCTGGTGGTCATTTCCACCGCTATGCAGATAGATTTGGCATGCTGTATATCGAGATGGGTGGATGACCATAACCCTGTGTTGTTGAATTGGCGGCTATAGTAGACGGTTTCTGCAATCTCTCGTATCAAAGTAGGTTCGTGTAGTAAATTATGGAAAGCCAATGAAGATCTCCCCAGCGACAGCACGGCGCTATAAGAACAAAAGGAAGCAATCTTGACTTTGATCTCCCATGGAATCGGTGCCATTTGATCATTGATTTCTTCGGTCTGCTCCAGCCACACAAAGTATCTCTAAATGCGAATCTGCTCTAGTGCCTTGGACAATTCACCCATTTCTGCAAGAATTGAGTCCGCTCGACTTGAATTAGCCGCTGCTTCTACAGAGCATGCTATTACCTCGTTCCCTACCACTGACCAGCGAAAATTGCGAGAGGCGTCGTCATGATGTGGGTTGTCAAGTTTCAAGAACCGGCTATAGTATGGCAGGCTGCGGATGAAACTCAACACACCGTAGAGGCGGAGGATGTGAATGTTTTCGTCAGCTATGCTGAATGACACTGCCATCATGTCTTCCCTGGAGTTGTAGACCCATCGTGCAATGCTGCTAGGTATCAAGATATTACCCTTGGTACAAGGATTACTGAGGAGATCTTTATCAAGCAACGTGTGTCCGAATTCGGTTGCAACACTGGCATATGCGATGTGGAACTTGGATTCGAAGCCGGAAAGTACCGTTATTTCTGGGCGATAGGTTGCACCAGCTTTGCAGAAATTAAGATGCGTTCGAGGAAGACCGATATACGTCTGGATGTCCAAATGTCCATCTATAGGGATTGGCACAAAGTTCGTTCCGCCCCGCATTTCTCCTCGTGTATCTCCATGCCATTCTGCTAAAGCATCTGGGACTTCTTGTCTGAATACCCAGTCACACTCACCAGTCCTAATCATACAGCTGAGCACCTGTAGGGGCCTGAGACTATACACAAAGTGCAGATACTCATTGGTCCCGGTTCTTTTACCTGCACTGGGCTTGTTATGAAAGAAGGGGGCCCAATTCTTCTCCTCGGGCCTTCTTTCCTCGTTCCGTATTGTCAGTATCGTCGTAAAGTTCGAGAATGGTTTATGGATCCACATGGCTCGTGGACTTCCTGCACCATTCGAGATCATGTTAAAGACAATAAGCGGCTCGGCACCTTGGACGCCCTCGTCTAAGATTATTCGAGGGTCCTCTGGACCGAAGAAGCCCCCCTCTTCCCACCACACTGCTGGTATCTCAAATACCATGGGAAAATACATCTTGGTGCCATACCACTCTATTGTATGTTTTTCCAGGTGGTTCCAGTCTTCGTCAAATAATTGTCCCCTTAAGAAGCTAATTGTGGGCCATGAAACACCTGGCCTTGTGTATACCACACGGGAAACAACAAGATAGACATTGTATTCGGGGAGCCACACCCCTGCACCTGCGAATTGGGTCCAGCGATTGGGATTTACCTTGCCAGGCACTGATACCTTTTTTTCGTTAAGGTGTACCATGGGATGGGATGCTAAAGCACTAGCTATCTGGGTGATGTTGTCATGCAAGGGGATGCTTCTTTGCGCGCTAATATGGCCAGTTTGCCTCATATTCTCGCACCCGAGCTCTTGAATGTTGCCATCATTGTAAAATCCCGAAATATCGATATGCTCGACATATTGGAACTGAGAAAGTTATTCTTCTGTTAGATAAGAGTGCGTAGAGGTAACAGGTAATCTAGTTACTCACATCACCGATTAGGAAAGAAAGGTATTTTCCCAAAAGCCATAATACAATGCTAGCAGTCACAATCACCACTAGTCTGTGTTTCCAACCTAGGTGAAGCTGGAAGCTGTTAAGCCACATCTTGGGTAAGAAGGCATTAGGAATGTGTAGTGTAACTTGACTTACTTAGGACTATTTCTATGGCCAAGTGCATGGCCTATTATATAAACAAAAGATAAGAGAGAAGAATAAAGAGACAATTTTGCTTCTTACATGTGGTCCTGTATCACTTTGAATCAGAAGCATACGTCCCCAGGCGGTAGTTTGCATATTGCCTTTCTAATCAATGCTGGTTCATCATGTGATTTCTCCCACCATTCTTGTTTGTCACGCGCTTTGAGGCTTAGCTAGTGGTGAGAGCTATCATAAAAGGGTGTCTAGGGAGCATTGAGCCGAAGCCCAGCACTGTGTGTTGTTGAGCAGCGTGCAACCATCTGTTGAGGCCCTCGTAATACTTGGAAAATCACAAATTAATAAATACAGTATATCGTGGAGAGCCCTTGCACCAGCAGGATGGTAAACAGTTTCAGGTTGACAAAAAGCTTTCGCTGGTGGTTTTCTGGTCATCTCATCCAGTGTTCGCTATTGTTATCGCATTTCTGTAGATTACAGAGAGCTTTCAGATGCACGACGCCGTATAGATGTCTCTTCAACTTCTTCACTAGCACAGTATGGTACAGTAGCCCTCCCGGCGAATAGATATTCTTGTAGAAGCCACGACGCTACGGAGAGGGAGTGAAATTATGGCTTTTGGAGAGTTTAGTTGACTATTTTATTTTCTTTTTCCCTTTTTATCCTTGTCCCTGAATAAGGGAAATTCACTCTACATTCTCCATCTTTACTTCTCCATTTCTCCTCTTTGTGACAATAACATGTCAGGCTTGGTACAGTTTCCTGCGGGCGTGCAACAGTGAGGTTTAAATGGTTTGATGTGGTGTACACCCGCGAACTCAGATCTGGACCGATGAAGGAAATATGTACGGGCGTCCATAAGGTCAAAGTTATGACATTCTCATCAACTCAATAAACAGTTCCATATGCTTTTCGTCAACCCAACACTGCACAAGAAACTGAGTCTTTCTACCACTGGCTATGTCAACTTTTCGTTCGCCAAGAATGGTTATACCGTCAGTCTCTTCGCTAAGAACCTAGAGTAAACACCATAAATATGCTTTTCATTATAGTAGCCCAAAGAGCGCTCACCGAATTTGCAGTGTCTCCCTCAGATGAGTCATCTGAGTCTAAAAGTTCATAGTTGGCGTATTTATTTACCCAAGCGGGACTATTTGGCCCCTGGTTGCCGAGGAAGTTCTCATCATTGAAACCGGGCTCCGAGTAGTCGGACTCGAATTCCCATTCCGTTTGTTCGAGTATCTCATGGTTGATTGTCTCTCCTATGCTATTCAGATGCATATCGGTATTCCAAGAAGATTGATGATCCATGATAAACTCTTCCGCTTTTGCAATTATTTTGGTCGATTGTAATACAATATTTGATCAAGACAGGGCAGGTCTTGCTTATACATATATATAAGGCCAACGCTCCTTTCCCCAAATTTTGTTGGCGATACTAGAATTGAGGCTCAGGTATAAACTGCTGAGATTCGTGGTTGTGAAGGGCAGGAAAGTTTGGTGTATATCAACGAATGCCAAAGGTATATGGTGTTTCTGAGTTAATCCTACTATTTCGAAGGGGTCAAGAATTGCTTGGGAATTTTGGGCATCTTCGCATGATCTGTGAGTAGGGGCCAATTTACTTTCCCTAAACCAAGAATATGCGTCTGACGGACTTTGGGGTTTCAAATTACTATCAATAAGATTTATCCTGCTGAGGATGTAGAGCAGCCCTTCTTGAGTGGCTAGATACTTCCTTCATGACTTTCATTTCCCTGTATGAAATAGTGAAACCAGGGTTTCCATTTAAGCAACGTTTTGAGAAGGGCAGGCTGACTTCTCAGGTCACTGAATCGAGCTCAAGAAGAGATCGACTTCTTGAAGGGGTCTTCAATCATTGTCTTCTATGCCTCAGGATCTTGCCCCTTACTAGGCAGCAGAATGTGTAACCACTACTGTACAGTACGTTGCTTTATAGGTCTAATTCATCGGGAGGTTTTTTTTTTAATTTTCGAAGAACATATGGCGCCTCCCTTCCGCATAGCCCGCGGGCAGTTGACCCTCATTATCAACCAATTTTGAAGCTCCCCGAAAAAAATCTCAACTATCTCAGTCGCAAGATATAAGGCTCTTATTCCATGGAATTCTTCCTCGAGAGTAGTGTTTTGTTATCTTTATAATACATGTATATCTCGTTCTAACTGCTGTACAGAGTGCTTCAGATGCATCACAAGGCACTTGCTCCTGTGAAGTATTCTAATTTTGTTCATACATATAATGGAATGGGAACAAGACCCTTCGATTTATCGAGAGGCTCTTCCATATATCATACATAGTTTTCGCAATCCATATATTGATTAAAATTCGTGCCGCCTCGTTGGCTATTGCTGCACATGTGGTTGAAGCCTTCTAGAGGACCGCGTTCAGGTCATCCATCAGGCTGTCAAGAATCTCTATATACTTTTGCTCGTTCATCAAGCTCCTCGGTCAGTTCCTTGCACCTGTGAAGGATCCAGACCGATTCTTGAATCACATCCTGTCGTTCATGCAAAGTCAAAAGCTCACCGGCCTCGTTCACTCGAGATTTAAAAGCTTCGTGGAACTCCGGGTCATTATTAACTGCCCAAAAGGACAAAGGAGGTGGAAAGGATTGAATTTCGTCATCCGTGGTTAGACCCCAAAATCCGGGTCCAGCTTTGAGTATCACTTGGCGAATAAATCGGCCGCCGTTAAACAAAGCCGAGTAGAGTACCCAGACGTACGCGAGCAGTTTGTGCGGGTTCTCATTTATGCGGCGTTTGATGACGTCTTTTATATGCATGTCGTGCGACTCATTGGTAGTCAGATTGGTCATGGCGGGGTAAGAGGAGTGTAGTCTCTTAAGATCTTCTATAAGCCGCTCTGTCCGATAAAGGTCGACCATGCTAAGAAGCTTTAAGAGATCTGAGATTCTCTTTTCGTAACTGGGACTAGTTGAGCTGCAGGGATACTTGACAATCCAGTCCCTAAGGTCTCTCCATGCTTCCTCGAAGGCGAGGTACATCTCCGCATAATAGGAGAAGCCAAGCGTATAGAGACCGAGGGACCTCTTCTCTCCGCTTAAGCATTGGAGTACACGGGCAGAATTCATCCTATTAACCTCCATATGTGGCACTCTATTTCACTCAGTTACCGGCTCTTTCGTTCACATATTAATCAGTACTCACCTAATGGCCGCTTTGATCATTGCAGTGATTCCAGTCATTGTGAAAGGTGATTTCCAATTGGATACACTCGTACTATCTAGTAAAGGAATATTTCTAGAAGGTGAATCGTGGCTGGTATCAGTCAAGGCCGGCACTAAGAAAAGTGCTGGGTAGGCTTAAGTCTGCGTTTCAAGTATTTATACTAAGACCGAGTCTTCTAAGACATCATATGCAGAAAGCTTGGTGAAACACTTAAGAAACCAGGGGCAAGTGAAGGTACTAGAGAAGAAAATATTGATTTGTTGAACATGTTCATTGACTTTCGGTACCAGGTCTGCAATCATGCGGTAAAATATAGTCCCTTAATCAGGTCTTACGAGTATTCATTTTGTTGAAAGGAATCGTATACTGCCCAGGAAGGCGAATGCCTTAGAAGTAAAAACCTATGTCTCTTTTTTGGAAGAATGAACACAACCGACTAAGCACATTAAGGTCGAAATGGTTATCATTCTGCATTTGGTTGAACAAGTTGAACGTTCTTAGATTTTTCGAACCTTTTTTTTTAAAGTGGCTCTCGTCCCCACTTCGCTCGAACCCCAACGGGCGGTGCTACACAAAACAAATTAAACTCAGCAAAATAGAAAACGGATATTAGCCCCAGCACTGTAAAGGTTAGTGCGAGGACGACAACCCTGTGCTAGAAGGTGCTTAACTACCTGGGTCCAATAGTCTATTACTACATTTACTGATCCCGCGATTTGAAGAATCCTACTGCGGAAATTGGGTGTCGAAGCTATCTGTGGGCTTGTGATCAACGTACTAACCGAACATATGTAAGATGATTAATTATTAGTTCTCGGATTGAACACTCTAGAGCCTGTAGAACATAATATTACCGTAGGCTGCTTTGCACTAAAATATTCGTGCCATACATTAACCGCATAAGCTATAGAAGAGACTGTGCATTATTACCAAGACCCAGTTAAGGATTACCTAAACAGGACGGCCCTTCTGCTTAACACATCTATAAGTATTATTATACAACCTGACAACAAAGAAAATCACCAAAAAAATGCCATCTTCTACTGGTCCGGAGAGCATCAGCCCAGACCTATTGGGACGCCGTCTGTTATTCTCATTCTCGGGTAAGTGGGCCATAAACCGCTTACTGAAGAGCTCTACAGCCGAATGCATGGCGTCTTTCTCTGCTTCTGATTCTGGCTCTCGTGGAATCCCTTCTGCTGAGCTCGTCAACTTATACCGGCGCTGGGGCGAGGGTGACATTGGAGTTATCATTACTGGTAATATTATGATCGATCCTCAGCATCTCGTGTCAGCCGGAGATCCTATCATACCTATAGATGCACCGTTTGAGGGTTTGCAATTTGAGAGATTCAGTAAAATCGCATTGGAAGCAAAATGTCATGGCTCCCTCATTATTGCTCAACTATGCCACCCCGGTCGTCAGACCCCGGTATACCTGCAACCATTTCCAATTAGTGCGAGCGACATAGGGGTGAGCGGAGGGAGCTTTGGGGCTGATTTTGGTAAGCCCCGGGAAGCAAAAAGGGAGGACATCAGCTATATTGTGGAGGGTTTTGCTCATGCCGCCGCATATGCTGAAAGGGCTGGGTTCGACGGTATCCAGTTGCAAGCAGCTCATGGGCACCTGCTAAGCCAATTCCTGTCGGCCCGAACAAACAAACGTCAAGATAATTACGGGGGCAACATAAAGAACAGAATGAAGTTGATATCCGAGATTCGAAAGGCAATATCCGAACGAGTGGCAGAAACCTTTACCGTTGGTATTAAGATTAACGCTGTTGAATTCCAGGAGAGCACGTTCAACTTGGAAGAGACTGTTCAACTGTGCATTGAATTTGAGAAAATGCGTTTCGATTTTGTTGAATTGTCCGGCGGCACTTATGAGGATTGGACAATCGGCCGCAAGCAGGTCGCTTCTATACCACAGGATGAGGGGGTAAGTCAACAGGATGAAACATGACAACTTCGATGGGCAACATAGTGACACTGGCTTGCAGTTCTTCTTAGAGTACGGGAGAATCTATTCGGAGAAGATGGAGCGCACAAAGGTTTACGTAACTGGAGGATATCGCTCTGTCAAAGGTATGATACGCGCCGTGCAGGAGGTAGATGGCATAGGCCTAGCACGGCCCCTATGCCAAGAACCTCATTTATGTTCGCATATTTTGTCTGGAAGTGTCGAAAAAGCCCCTCCGATCAAGATTGACACGGATGACTTCCATCTTACTTCTGTTGCAGCGCTTATGCAGATGCAGCACCTGGGGAAAGGCCTGCAACCTGTCGACTTGGGTTCTGAACGAGATACAAACAGATTATACAAGGCAATACTGGATCATGAAAGGAACAGGTACAGTGCAGCTGCTCCAATGGACTTTTTGTGATACTTCTACAGAACTTCCTCAAGAAATGTATGACTACTCTTTCAAGCTTCCTTCTATGGATGCTTAGATTAGTCCTTAGATATAATAAGCAGTCCCATTCAACGTTACATACTGGACTACTATATGTCAACAGTCATACTCCCACTGTTGCCTCTAATGTTCTATATTTTTCTTAACCTTTTCAACAGATTGAAAGCAGGAAACAGATGCTTCACTCTTATTCTCGAAACAATGCCCAGACCACTGGATCTATATAGCCCTGATCTTGGTTATTGACAGTCACGCGCTGGTCACTCAAAAGCATCTCTAGAAACTCCATGAACCGCTGCCTGCTGCAATCGCTATGGGCGAGAGATGATCGGAAGTTAGATTGGGATCTAGCCGCGTGTCGTCGAGAAGCTTCTTTACTGCCTTTTTGTGCCCCCTATTGACGGCATAGGAAAACGGTGTTTTGCCTTGGACGCCGGCCATATTAACATCAATATCGTTGTGCCGTAGTAGGACGCTAAGCGGACGACAGTCATCGTTCGATGCCGCATAAGACAACAGCGTCCGTCCCACAGTGTCAGTCGCATAAATGTCCATACGACTATCCCGCAAAAGCATCATCATAATGTAGAATCCGTCATGTTGCTGGGCTGCGAGGTGGAGTATCGTCTGTCCGGCTACGTTTCGGACATGCACGTTCACCGATGGTACACCGAGAAAACAACACATCGCGGATAAAGTCCCTTTCCCGGCTGCTAGGATAAGTCCGGCGCCGTTTTCATGGTCCACACTGTGCTGATATAGATATTTTTTCCACAGTTGGTAAAGGCCTCTGTTTACGCTCATCAGGGCATGTATATCCCGTGTGCTGTCAAGAGTAAAGGCCGTATGGAGCACAAGCTCGGGCGGAAGATCGACCTAAGTTCTCAGGAGCCGTTTCGCTCCCAAGATAAATACAGTTGAATTCAAGTTACCCTCGTACCTGAACCACTACACTAATAGATTGCAGAGCTTATGCAGATTTCAAAGTTTGTCATCATGATACGATCTGGACGTCAGAGATAAGCCTTCCAGTTCGATGCCCAGCGAATCTGCCAACTCTTTCCGCCTTTTGGATTATAAACAGACCATATTTTCTCTCTATCTCCGGCGCTCACAATCACTATTCCGCTCTTTTTATATTACCTCCGACTTGAGATAGCGCACAGCACAATAAATTTAATATGAGGGAACCCGCTCCGACAGTAAGGCAACTATACGGTGAAATGGGTTAGTTGGTGGTTGATTGACTAGCGGAAATATTGCGTGATCACAATCCAGCAAGTTCTTTATTATTCTTTCCTGAGCAAAGATGTTTTCATATCAGTGGGTTTCCTGATATGCACCCCTCCGAATGCCTTGAAATATTTTCTCAAGTCGAATCTACCTGTTATGATGAATCTACCTATTGTGATTTGAAATTTCAGCGAAAATCTGCCGAAGGCATTATCATTTTTAAGCTCATGGATAAAAATTGGGGGAATGTCTTCCCAAAGTCTTTCGGCGGCACCGACCGGACTTCGGCTGCCATACGAGCCAGAATTCAGCTCCTCACTGCCTGACGATAGCCTACCTTGAAGGATCGGATTCGACTACATAGCGGACCCTACAGCATGTCGGTCCGGTGTGCCGTCCATTTCTGACATCGAAAGAGGAAGTGCTCTACGGTCTCTCTTGCTTGTCCACATGTACATTGATCTGTCGGCGCAGCATTGATTTGGTGGAGGTACCCATTTAGTCTTGCCATACCCGTCCGGAGTTGAGCCAGCACGCTCGCCTCTTTCCAGGATAGTCGATCATACAGCTGTCGGGTATGTTTACCTGGGAGTGCGGCATCCACTCTTTCGGCGTGTTTCCCAACTTTCTCTGGCAGGCCTTTACTGGTGCCTACATGGGCTCGTGCGATATTGAGGGTAGTTAATTTCATTCTGGGGAGCTCTGTGTATGGAGTGGCGTCGTCTTGGGTCGCTGTCCTAGCCTGCTCTTTCGCCAGGCCCAACAGTTTGTTATCCTCGCTGGTAGAAACCCAACGGATATTGATCCTATTTCCGTTTCTTTGTAGTCTTCTAATCGACTTGTATATTTGGCACACGTATTCCTGGCCCAACTGTTATCGCGGGCTCCTCAGTACGTGGGCGGCTGCTTTGTTGCTTGTGAGCAGTGTGATTCTGTACTGTTTCAGCACCGGTAGCGTCCTTAATGTATGTGCCATTGCTGGACGACCGTTATGTACAACCAATTCAGCCTTCCAAAAACAATCCCTTTCTGGCCAACCATATCTCGCAGTCTCTTCCCAGAAAGCTTGACTATTTTATTAAGCGCTATATCTACCTACTGGTTGCCCGAGGCCTAAGTTTAGTTATAGAGCAACATATGTAGAGACACGATTCTGAAATCTGGGCTCTCAATCTTAGCAGTAAGTTTTTCTAAGTGAGTATATAAGTAATATTTTGTAAGGATCAACTTGCTGATTTACAGGCCTGGCGAAATGCTGGTAGCTTGGTAGTTTATACCGCAGGGAAGTTTATGGTTTAACTCTAGCTATAACCGTAAATTCAGGTTGTATATCGGGCACATAGCCGGTATAAAGATGCCTAAGTAATGAAATGGGGAACCTATGCAGCATAATCGACATATAAACTGAAAGCGTTTGAAATGGTGAAGAAATGGAGTTTAAATTTGTTGCCCTTTTCAGATTTTAATTTTTTGGCTGTCTAATGTACCCCTATAGTCTCCATCTACACAACTTATTCGTATCATTTCTCTAGGGGTCGAGAGCTATTTAAGGGGGCCTAAGCTGCCTTCATATGGTTCATGACTAGGGACCATTCCTAGACGAGAGATTTATATTGAGCGGCTCTCAAGCGCCTTCACTTGAGGTCTGTCCTACCCATCTCAATAAGAGACAGCCCTTGTTAAGTGGTTAATCGATTCTTTCATGGCATTCACTCGCAAGCTTGCATGAGGCAGAAACCGGCATTTAATTTAGTATAGGATGCTTCTATGTGACATATTTTGAATGTATAGGTCTGACCAGTACACGTGTAAAAACTTACACTTCGATCATATTTCCGGTAATTCTTGTCATATAGTCTATTTATGTACCTGCTACACTGCTAATCTTTCCTGAGTAGTAACATAATCATGAACCGCCGAAGAATCTTTTTTTCTTTTTTTTTTTTTTTTTAAAAAAAAAAAAGGCTAGGTATTCCCACCGAAACAGCATAACTTGAGGCCGCAAGCTTCAATCGCTTAAGTTTTTGATCAAGGACCAAAACAATGTGTACCCCGATTAATGATCAAGTTATATGTGAGTAAACGCCTAGATGGTACATCGATCCAGCAGCGTATGAACTTTTCGCATTACAATTATCTTTGCTGAACAATATCAGGCAGCAAAACATGGCAAACAAAGCAGTGGCATCGATCAGACAAAACTTCCCTCGTTCAGACTTGGCACTACCTCGCCTGTGTATCTCTTTGGCTTTGATACTGCTACACGCACCAAAGCCTCAAGATGACCGCGTAGTTAGCGTCACCTCCAAAGAAGATCATATCGACCATCCGGCGGCAGCCGAGTCAAGGCAAGATAATGACGATGTTTTGCTCCTTTTCCAAGGAATTCATGGATCACGGCACGAAGTAAAGTCAAATAGAACTAAAGAATTCTCCATGAGCATCCATACTTGCGCCTCTATCATATACTATAGCTTACTATTACCACTCTTTGACCAAATCTTGCTCAAGGCCCCGGGTTTAGCCAGAAGTTCACGGTTGGCCACTGAATTTCATTTGGAACAACATCAATACATGGTTCCAGAGAAACAGCGGCTGCCGCAAGAGCAAGAACTCCTGACTAAGTCTCATAAGGCGATGTTGATGAATAACATCATAAACCACATGCGGACGGTGCTCACCAAAAGGCATCGCAGGAATGGTCGTATTAGAACAACAGCGTTGCACAGCGCTATTCAACGAAGCAAATATTGTCAAGCGCTGGGATTAGCAGCTCGACTAATAAGAAGAAGAAATAAAACCAAAAGCATTTTTCATTGTGTCGTGAAGAAGAGAAAGATATTGACTCATGCTCTATGCACGGCACTTACGCTATCTACAGAGACCCTGGAACATCTCACCATTGCTGCTAACGTGCAATGTCAGCGTCAAGAGTATTCTTGAGGTGGAAAACGACGCCGATCGATCTATCTAGCTCAAGCTGTTGTTCTAGCAAGTCTCAAGGACAGTGACTGGAAGATCTTCTCTTCACTACTGTTTCCAATTTCGTACTGTACCACTTTTTTATCAAGTAGATTTTGACAATATAAGATGTAAAGGGAACTACACTGAGTTGCAAAAACGGTGCCCGGGTGCTGTACTCTCTTCTTTCAAATTGTGGGTCCTCTAGGCTATAAGTGGATAGAATTATTATTACTGAGAAACCCCGTTAATTACAAGGCAAATTGCTGGCTACTATCGTTGCAACTAACAGGGTTTCTCAGTAGTAATCAACTCTTAATAGAGCTTATTGGTGTAAATTTAAACTGCTAACCATATGTGGGCTAGAGGACCCACAAATTTAGACGAAGAGAGTACAGCACCCGGGCACCGTTTTTGCAACTCAGTGTAACCATGTGGCCCAGGATTCGTATTGTCATCAGCAGCCATGTCTAGAAAATTGGCATGGACATTAACCTACGATATTGAGCCATTCAGAGAGGGTTCTATGTATTTCATTAAGAAGAATAACGGAGGTATTCTTTAAAGACAATTCATAAGCAGCACCATTATGATTTAGATAAACTCAAGCGTACAGCAAATATATTTACTTCAGACGAGATAGGGAAAACTAGATGTAGGCTTTTCAGGCGACACTATGCCGGAACTCACCCCCCCTTGCCCCTGATAATGGTGACAGCCTGGAATGTACTGCGCGTCTTTCTTAAAATGATTATACTGCTGATTATTACAGTGTCCTCGTACTGGCTGACCAGTGCGGCTTGCTTAGCAGGCGACAAATCGCCATAGCATTTTTTGGGACGCCCTATGTTTTCAACCCACTGACGTGCCTCTCCACAAATAGCCGCGGAGCCAGGGTCATCAAAACTAGTGAACTTGGTCTTATCCATGCACATATTGTGTCTTATTCAAATAAGGATGCGGGCTGTCGGAAGACTAGCTTCATGGATGCAGTTAATCACCAAGGGTATAGTATCAGCAAGAAGAATGATTGGCAACGTGTACTGTTAGATTAGCTTGCAAGGAAGTTGCAGCTATGTATCGAATTTCACTTGTAAAACTAACATAAACGAAAGATGTGGTGAGAAGGTAATCATATGTAACCCCACCACTCGCAATCCTAGCTATAAATGGAATGTGGCTAGTCACTATTTCCGCGATACCAAAACACGAATTATTCTCCTCAGTATCCATCGTTGTCTCGCACCTTTTTGCCTAAGGAAGGATCTTGTCTCCACTATCTGGCCCATACCTGCTGATAGCGACCATGCCAAGGGGGAAGTGAGCGTATCATCAATGGAATTTACTTTGGCTCCATTTTCCACTAGAAGCATTACTGCATCTAGTGCTCCGTATTCTGCAGCCCAAGAGAGGGGTGTTCGCTTATTCTGGTCACAAACATCTACAGGTGCTCCAGTTTGAAGTAGCAAGCGGAGAAGTTCGGTACAATTCCCCATGGCCGCATAGTGAAGAAGAGATCTCTTAAAGGGGCCCCGGGGATTTGACGTCCTCCCTTGTTGGAATGACGCGTGTGCTAGCTCGATAAAATTGAGAATATCGTGGTTTAGGCTTATTTCTCTAATTTTCTTAACACGTTGGAACTCAAGATCGACTTCGGGTCTCAACGCCATGGATAATTTCATTCTGATCGAGACAGAATGTCAGTAATTTTAGAAATCGAATATAACAAGCGGGCAAGATGGTGATTGTATACAGCCAGCAGCTATGGATGCTTTAAATGACGATCTACCTTGGCTTCTATATACTCAAAGGTGTATCTTGTAAGAAGGAAAATATATGTCAGTAGTTTAATGATGCCCTAGGTTATAGGAGAGTACAATGAGAACTATAACTGGCTGGGTGACATATTTCTCAGCCCCGGACGGCCCTTAGTCTCTCTCAAGATGTTCAGGTAGACATATCTTATCTCCAACACCGTAATTATGACCATAAGTGAAGATAGGGGAAACTTAGAATGCTTCTCCTCGTGCTCCAACAGTACTATATGAGTACATTACATTTTCGAGTTAAGCCCCAGGCACAAAGGTTATACTGTATACCGCTGCCCTCCCAAAATTATATTAATAGACCGGGTTAGGCTATACATTATATGACATTTTAGAGCCTGTTTACTAGTCAAAGGCTATATGAGCCGGAAAACAGATTGCAAAAGTAATGGAGTTGGTGGCAAATCCACGATTCTTAACGATGAATCTTTAGCAATGAATCATGACGTTACAAGAGCTTAAGCGATGAGGGGAAAAATTGATGTTGACCCTAATGCCTACTTATTATGAAGAATATCTCTGAGGTTAGGACACTTCCCTTAAGTTATAGTATATCACGCTCCTTTCAAAAAATTTCCCTTGAACTTGACTTGTTAGCTAGTTGATATTCTACGGTTACGTTCTGCAACCCTAGAACAATTAATGTGATCATGCAGTACAGTATAGTCTGTAAAGAACTTTCCAATGAAATAACTAGGACAGATGGCTGTGTTGAAGGATAAAGCATTGATAGGAGCTCCGCATGACAACCTTTCGGTGAAACACCAGTTAACTAGCCATACATACAAAACCATGGGTTCTCATCATATGATTCCCATTTTCGACCAAGCCAGGCACCCTCAGAAAACGACTGCAACAAGCTTGAAGTGTTTGGCCAGGTATTATGGATAATTTGGGGAGCTAACTTTCTCACCACTTCCACTCTCTGCACTGATCGACACTTGGAATAGCATCAGATACATATGCAGCCGATATCCCCTGCCACAATAGTATGACAGCGATGATAAAATGAGCATGCAGGAGAAATTTCCCGGTACAAGCGCTTCCAAGTCTAGTAAGCCTTTCGAGGATTCGTAACTTATGAAATAATCCACCAGTTGCAGTCAGTCCCAAATAGGACATAAAATGAGCTCTCATCGGCAGTCGGCAAGCAGATGGCCAGAGACTCGCATGGACAACAGGGATCATGGCAAGCATGCCGTATGTGAGGCAAAGCACAGGAAATATTGTCGGAGAGCGGAAACAAAGAGATGCAAACTCTCTGGCGGTCAGGGTAAATATTGCCATATACACTGTGCGTGGCCATTTTTCGAAATAAAACTGGAAATAGACGAATCCAATTGTTGATGCAGCAATTAGGATAATTGTTCCTGCTTGTTCCCATTGCGGCAGTTGCTGTGTCTGTGTAGTGCGGGCTCTTATGCAGAACCAGCAGAAACAAATCGCTGCGAGAAGGAAGGCCAACACCACCATCTCGTCCAAGATTTTGTTCGGGGCATTAATTATGGCTTGGTTAATGAATTTTGAAGCGAAATACGCACAACTAAATCCATGGACGAGGATGACGGATACATTGTCACACATGTTCTCCAATAGATAGGCATCCATAACGCGAGATTTTGATTTCGTTGGTGTTTGAATACGTAGTGTGAGAAAAGACTGATAGTTTGTATCTCTCTCGGTCACAACAGTGTATGTAGATAGACGCTAAAGAGCTTAATACTTAGTTGCCTTAGATGTGTATTGACAATATGTATTTATTCGAAGAACTTTAAATAGCTCCGAGAAATAAGAGTCAGCAATGTTAGGAATCACAGAGATGTTAGACCCTCATAGTTCTTCTTTTGGCGTTTCTTGCAGGGTACATTCTCTATATGGTCCTGTCTACTGGGAACATGTAGTTGTGTAGCCAACAGATTCCTACAGGTGTTAAACTTGATCCATAATCATAGCAATAGTAGGATCGTTAACTAGTCAGTGGTATACTTGTCTTCCATGCGCCCTATGATAATAACCCCTAACTTTGATTGTTCTGGTTGACCAGTGGAAATCAGACTTTTCACCATTCTTCCCTTCATTAAACCCAAGCATTCACGGCTTCCTGTTTGAAGTCAAAAGGACACCGGAATATGAAAGCCTCGTTAATTTCTGTAAAGAATCTATAAGAGTGTTCTCTATCAAACATCGTTAAACTATATACTTTACGTAGTACCATATTTACTATTCGCGCTTGGCCGAAACTTCGTGCCAAATCATAGTCGATTAATTCCGCTCGTCGTGCTGTACCCCTGTCTGTGACGGTACCTATTTTCCGGATACCTGGACGACCCGCTTTGTTCAACACGCAGTACCTGCTATGAAAGCACGCACCGGGGAACGTGGTCGACAGCTAGCGTTGACGCATCATTATACCTATTACGTTCCCCAGGGTTGATATGCTCAAAATAAACGTATGACCATGGCTTGTCGGCGATATGAACTATACATCGAAGACCCTCAACCATGTAAACTGAACAGATTTAATGAATTTCGATAGATAGATGAAATATACTGTACCCATTTATTTGTCAATATTTATGATATAAAAATGTGAATATTATATCCTTGTTCTTCATTTCTTTTATAAGAGGCCCAAGAACGAGAGATATTCTGCGAATTAAGCGCTTGCTGCAGAGATCAATAGCTCACTTCCCCGCGATAACCCAGATGGCTCATATCACTGCCCGAATTAACGTTGCGGAATATGTCTTCCACAGACTGCGGCAATTGGGTGTGTGCAGTATATATGGTGTGCCTGGTGATTTCAACTTGGTCGCGTTGGATTATGTTAGACCTTCTGGGCTTCACTGGGTGGGGTGTTCCAATGAACTCAGTGCTGGGTATGCTGCGGACGGTTACGCGAGAGTCAAAGGGTTAGCAGCGCTGATGACAACGAGCGGAGTTGGGGAGTTATCAGCACTCAATGCCATCGCAGGAGCATATGCAGAGAAAGTTCCTCTCGTTCATATTGTCGGCACACCACCAACATATCTACAAGATCAAAATGCAATTCTGCATCACTCCTTGGGTGACGGCAACTCTCGACTTTATGCATCCATCTACAGAAGCTTTACGTGTGCTCAAGCGAATTTAACGCTTGCTTCCCATGCACCAGTCTTGATTGACGAGACGTTGCGTCAATGTTTGCTACACAGCAGGCCTGTCTACATCGAAATACCTGCTAATATGGCGAAAGTAATTATATCTGCATCGCGACTTGAGGAAGGTATCGATACCTCGTTGTCTCTGAATGAAGGCTCAGAAGTGGAGCAAACTGTGGTGAAAGAATTGCTCAAATCACTGTACTCAGCGTCGCAGCCTCTCATCATACTCGATGGCTGGGTGTCACGATACGGTTTGGAACAAGAAGCAGACGATATTGTGCGCCTGGCAGGGTTCCCAGTCGTTACTACTCCATTCGGGAAAGGGACAGCGAATGAAACTTATCCAAATTTTTGCGGCGTATATACAGGCGCCGCTGGAAACTCGGACTTCATGCGATGGGTTAAGAGTCGTGACCTAGTAATACGGTTTGCTCCGATGAATGCTGATACCAACACCTTCGGATTCACTGCGCTTACAAGCGAAGCCATCACTATTGAGCTACACAAATTCACGATCAATATTCGAGGAGAAAATTACTTGAATATGAATACCAAATCCATTCTCCGCAAGACCATTTCTGAGCTAGATCCGTCTCGATTTGCGTACGATGAATCATGCATTGAACCAAGACGTTTGAATATGACAGGAGCTTTGGATTCCCCGCGCCCTGAAGCATCTATCACGCAAGACATATTCTGGCGCTATGTTTCGCAGTTTTTCCACTCCGACGATATTATTCTAACGGAAACCGGTACGCCATATGCCGGTGGCTGTGACTTTGTCCTTCCGCCCAATGCCAAAATCATCAACTCTGCACTCTGGCTATCCATCGGGTACACATTAGGGGCATCCTGCGGCGCAGCCCTTGCACAACGGGAGATGGTTGAGCAAGGTCTTCGAAACAAAGGGAGAACAATCCTGTTCGAAGGGGATGGTAGCTTCCAGATGACAGCTCAAGTACTTAGTGACATCATACGCAATCGCCTTGACTTAATCATTTTTCTTATTAACAATGATGGGTATACAATTGAAAGGTATGTCGATGTGCCCACCCAGCGCATGGATCAATAGTCTTCTGCTCTACAGATTACTAAATTGCAAACTCTGTAGGTATATTCATGGCATGGAAGCATACTACAATGATATACAGCCTTGGCGCTATCTGGAGTCTCCGTGGTATTTCGGTGCAAGGAAAGATGACTCAGAATACCCAGTATTTACCAAGCAGGTGAGAACATGGGCTGATCTTGAAAGGGTTTTACAAAGCGAGCACATTATACGTGGCAGGGGCTTGTCCATGATTGAAGTCATCTTAGAAAAAGATGATGCACATCCACTACTAAAGAGACAGATGAAAATCGCCAAAGATCAGAATGGAAACAGTTAAAAAAACCTAGTGTCCGGGTGGACGACAGCATGGTCAACCCTCGTCTACTGTTTCAAACTCTACAATGTTTATACATATCGTTGATCTCAGCTCCGTTATATGCTGTATATATTACGTCGATCAATGTCATACAGTTGAAAAAGGTTATATATGTGATAGCAATTGTTTGCTTCGCCATTTGATCGCAGCTTGAGCCGGCGCTATTGTATATCTAGCTGCGTAGAAAATAAATGATCTAAGTTGCTAAATAGACAGGAAGATCCAACTCCCAATGTGTCATCGTAGTTTTAGCCTTTCTCTTAGAGCATATGTATCGTATTTCTGGGGATCAAAACGTTACAATCTGGTGACATCCAGAACTCTCTGAAACAACATCATTCAATTGGGGGCATGTACAACTTTTAATCAGAAAGCCTTTATTCGAGCGTCATATAGGCCCTAAATGCGACAAGCAAAATTCCCGTTCATTAACTAGTAGAACATCGTTCAAAATTCTTCGGCACCTGGAATCTGTACTAAAGGTAACAGAATCTTCAATTTACTTCTGGCATGCCATGATGATAGACATAGCAAAATATCTTGAAGAATCGTTTATATTACCACCAGTGATAGGTCCACAGTTGAAAACAAGATATTTTTCAATGCAGGATGATGAGCTTCTACTATATATAATTTTTCCTGTCCGAATTACCTTGAGCCAGTATCGAGGGCTAAACGAAAATCCCTAACCATAAGAACTATATTGCTTGACCCTTTGAATAGTCTCACCATCCCACCAGCCCCAAGACCTGTCTCCTTTATCAGTGTCTCTAAGAGTATGCCAGTACTGGTTTCTTCAACTCGGTAGTATACTATACAGTATGTACCCAGTATATGAGGTAAACACTAGGAGAGCTCAGGGGTTCTATAGTACTGCCCTAGCTATTTTAGACCCTCTGTTCAGTTTTTATCCTAGGTTTAGCAGGTCCGTAGCATGTATGCGCAAGCAACATCAGAGCTGCTATAATGACCAACGCTGTTCCAATGCACGATATAATGATAGCTCGCCGTCCAAGGGTTATCTCAACGCCAATTGTTGTTGACACAGAGTTCAAGCTGCTAGCGAGGGCTTTGCTCGCGAAAAGAACGGTAAGAGATGCTCCGAAACTAGAAAATGCTGCTGTCTACTAGTTTCAGCAAAAGCATAATAAAGGGATGGTTCCCCTCACCAGGGCGAACAGACTCGTAATTACACTTCCCAACCGAGAACAGACAGCTGTAAAACTGATCAGGACTATGAGCCCTATTGAACAGGACGCTGTTAGATAAGCAAAAATAGCCCATTGTGTGCAGTTCCTATAATATCCAATCGTATCATGTACCGCTTGAGGAGTTAATACATTAGAAGTCCCTTGCTGTACCCTAAAAACATCTTCAAAGTTGAACGTGAAAGAGAAGCTCGGCGGAGCACAGTCAGTAAGGTTCGAGAACGTGAGGTTCGAGCTTCCACAACAGTAGCTCAGTATTCCAATCAAATGCATCTCAGTAAGAGGTGCTTCAATTTTGTTTATGACATTATCTCCCCCTACTTGAGTCACCCTAAATCTCACTCCCCCTTCCGGATGCATGTACCCCAAGAAACCCGTAAATCGCTCCACAGCCCCTATAGTTTTGGTATTTCGTGCCTTTACTGCACTTCTGTTACTCGCAACATCCACCACAATTCCGACGAATTTGGTTGTTGAGCTATCAGCGTTTGATAAGTGCTTTGTATATGTCTCTAATTCCCCTATGCCCAGGACAGATGTGGCTGTATAATTTGCCTGCCTTCTACTTGGGATTGTAGATTTTGTAGAACTGCTCAAGCGAGTTACCTTCACAAAGTACATTGCGGCAGATATCGCTGACTGGGACGTGCACCCCATTATGATTAAGGCCTTCAGAATTAACGAGGATAAGCATAACACATATGGAAAGAGCATGTGCACACGATTCAGCACAACCATACTAGAAAACCGCCAGACTTTGAACTGGGTAATAAGAAAAGTTACAGAACGAGAAGCGTAATTTTTGGGAAGGGCTACGTATGTTAGAGGTTATACTCTTTTCGCGAACCCTGAGGACTGGGAAGGATGTGGCAATAAAGAAGTAATAAAATCTACAAGGTATAATCATACCAGACTTTTAACACTGCTGGTTTTCAATACTTTACAAAATTATCTAGGCGTAGACACAAGATTTTGGCGTCCCTATGAAGGTCAAGCCCTGCAAGATTTGGCGCCTCAATATCCACTCATTCGCAGGCGCAGTTTCAAGAGACGTGAAGGTCAGCAACAATAGAGTGTGCGTTGAATTCCACTTGCCTGTCTACTGTTTTTCTTTCTTTCCCTTTTTTTTTTTTTTTTTTTTTTTTTTTTTTTTTTTCTTGGGGTGTGTTTGAGGTTTCCCTAGTTACAAAATTCTTTATCGCTTTTAGAGATTTGGCAATGATGCTGTGAACCGGCCTGTCAGGCGACGTCCAGTTGTAGAACTCTGCAGCTTAGTTTAGGAGAATAAAAAAAATAGCAGTTCACCGTCCGTTTCCAAACTAAATACAGCAGCAGCATTTAGCCATGATAAGTTTTGAGGGGGAAATGTTGACTGAGCTAACGATACTCCGTTCTCATTTCAAGCCAGATATCGCCGAAGCACCCCGAATATGCCGGCAGTGACATAGGTAAGTGTGCCTGACACAAGTAGTAACCACGCAATTCGCTGGGCAATTTCAAACACTGCTTGGGGAAGGTGATCGTAGTAGATCAGGCGATCAGGCTCGGAGTTGAAGGGAGGTAGCCGAAGGGGGTCAAATTGACAGTGCAACGATAAATCATTCTGGCTAAGGTGGGAATATGGAGAAAAAGGTAAAAGTCCCAACGACATCTTGCTCTTCGAACAGAGAGGAAAAGCGAGGGAGGCAAACAGCACCCGGGTTGGTCGGATACGCCGATCGCAGGAGACCTGGCATTTCCGTGGTTCCGCTCAGCGAGACCCACCCGTACTTTTAACGCCAGTAAACACTATACCGAATCAAGTAGGACCCCCAATAGTCTCTCTTCAGAACCGAGCGAGGCAGCAGTCCTGGCAGAATTCCGTTGGACATGCCATGTCCCTACCCGACGTCGTGAGACACATGTCAGCTCCTGTCCAATTGCTCCCTCCGCTGGTATTTGGAATTGACTGTCGTTGGAATGACTGCAAATCGACAGAATCATGTGACAGATCCCCACCAAACAATCAATTTCCGAAGCAGCGACAAAGGCCGAAGTAACAGTGGAACGGAGACGTATCTAGGACGCCTATGGAAGAACGCGAGGATCATGGGTACTCTTTGGCATTGTATCAAGACAAACTTCCGGTCGGCAATCCCAGATTGAGTTCCCTCTCAATTGCTTCTACGCCTTTTTTCCCCATTCCTTTTCGTCGTCGTTGTCAATTCCGTGTTGACGTTATCTGCACATCGGTGTCACTCCCTCCATCCCTGGTGTAAGAGTATTCTCCCCGGCCATGTATAAGTGGCAGACCAGGAGGAAGAGGGTTTGAACCGGCTGGGCGTCGGTTACGCTGGGGCCATTGCTTGGCCTGGGCCTAATGACATTGACTTCTGCTCCCAAGCGCGCCCTTGGGGGACACATGGTTCGGCGAAGGCACTTGGGGAGATAGTATGGATCCGACCGGTTTTTCATTGGAGGTCGGCAGCCCCCCTTTCTTTCTCCAACACTCTTCTTCGACCTGGTGCTTTTGGAAAGCAAGAGAGGTGGGGGTCGTGTGGGGGGGCCGACAAAGCTATCTTTCCTACAGTAGGGATCGAGTTACGAGTGCTGACGGCAAACACCGAGCAAATTGATTAATATTAGTGACCAGAGGTCGGCGGTGAAGATTACCCTTCTCTATAAGCCTACTATCGTGAGCAGCCCGGGCTGTCATTCTAAGGTAGATTTTTCTTCAAGGCTGCATGAAGATCATGGCGGATCACTGCATGCACCGGCCCTCCCGCCCTCTAATGTGCGTGACTGATGTACTTAAGGTATGGAGTGCATTAGCGCCGAGTCATCCAAATTAGTCTAAGCTGAAATTTGCTTTTCCTCCGAGATTTTGATGGAACCTTCCTTGCTGCCTCCAGATGCCTTCCATTTCGCCGAAACTTTCTTTACCGTAGGAAACGCGCGCACACTAAAAGAAAGAAAAGAAAAGAAAAAGAAAAGAAAAAGAAAAGAAAAAGAAAAGAAAAAGAAAAGAAAAAGAAAAGAAAAAGAAAAGAAAAAGAAAAGAGGGGTAGCCCGCCCACCCATCTAGGTTTCGCTCTAGAGCCGCAGTACTTCCTCGCTGTCCGGTCGGAGAATGATGTGCGCTGTGATCCCGACATGGTCAACGCCACATGGGTCCAAGATGGGACTAGGTGAAGAGTTGGACTTTGCTCGCGGCAATCTTCTCGTCCCCCCAACCCGGATCAGTTCCCCTGGCGTTTGCAGAGCTTGTTGATTGTTTCTCCGGCCTTGGTTGTCCATGCTTTCATATCCTGTTCATACGCCCACATCTTCGCCATACACTGGCGGATATCACTGTTACCATGGTCAGCATTCAATAGTCGCCCCAGAGACTCCCGGACCGCACCATTCGGCCGAGGCGGGGGATAGTACCGAATCTCGGTTGTGTGCCTTTCCACGGGAGGTGTTAGCCTAGCCTAAAATGCCATGATCACCACTCGGCGAGTGAAGCGGAATGGGTGGCGGCCGAGGTTTCTGTCCACGTACCGCTCATTGGTCTCGTCCAGGGCCCGCTTCAGGGATCTCCAGGATGGTCAGCTAGCGAAGACGAAAGTGGCCCAGGAAAGGAATGGTACCGGATGTGCTCCTCGACCTCACCCCGATAGCTTCATGTCAATGTTAGGACCGGTGTCCACCAAGGGGGTTTCCGCCGCGAGCCTTACCGAGCCATGTCCGCCTGCAGTCGGCTAGGTTCATCGTGAGTCCTAGCAACATATGGAGACCAAGTGGAGCCTTCGCGTTCTTACCGGATTTCCTCCGTGGCCCTGGTAGACAGGAGATGAGCATGCGGTCGCAGTCATTGGTTAAGACAATGGGGGAGCTTACGCGTTCAGAGCATCCTCTGAGACATCGCTGGCCATCCTTGGTCGCAGGCGCAGTTAGCGAAACGGCGAAATGCACCAGAGACTACAGGGCTGGGGATACTCTTCGGGGACAGATTCAGACGAGGGGCTGGTTGCATCTGAGCAGGGGCTGCCGGCGTCTGGTTCCAGCACATCCAAGATGTAGGATAGCCACGGATTGGGCACCCCACCGGACATTAGGGCGTTATTCTAGACGCACAGAACGAGTCTGCGACGATAGCCAGTGGCCCCCGCGAGCAAAAAAGCCCCAAGAGGTTCACAATACGAGCAGCGTTTGATGTTGTTCTACCAGTGAGAATCCGGCAGGACCAGGATCTAGGAAATAGGACAGCGGGCGAGAATCACGAAGGATGGAAGAAAGATGGGCTCTGACATTAGGAAAAGCTAGTTATAATAGATGAATAAAACACCCGCCAGAGATCACTTAAATAGAGACCAAGAATCCAAAAGGTTCAGCCCATACGGGTCACTGTCCATCGCAGAGTCATTCTGCTGCTGGGCTGGCCAGGGTGTTTGCTGAGATGGTTCGACGGGAGGGTGCCCGGTGGGCGGTTGGGTTGATGCCTGCGGCTGCCCAGGGTGCACCAGCGTTCCCTGACACGGGTCTGTTGGTTGGGCGGACAGCGCGGCGTTTACCGGTTGCGTTGGAGGGGCGGTTTGCGTCGCTGCCTGCGGCAGTCCCGCCACGCCGGGCGTCCAGTGCTGAACGGGCTGGGGTGCGGTCAGCGAGCCGCCACCGTTTGGGACCGCAGCGGCAGGTTGGCCGTGGGCCATCGGAAACGAAGGTTGCGGTGGTGCCCCTAGACCAGCTTGCACAGCTTGAACAGTATGAGCAGTTTGAACGGTCTGACCAGCTTGCACAGCCTGACCAGCTTGAATAGCCTGACCAGCTTGAATGGCCTGACCAGCTTGAATAGCCTGACCGGTCTGGACAACTTGACCAGTTTGGCCAGTTTGAAGAGCCTGACCAGCCTGACCGGTTTGAAAAGCATGGCCAGCTTGTACAACCTGACCGGCTGGGCCGACGTAGAGCTGGCCGGAGGAAAGGTGACCAGTCACCTGCGGATGCAACGAGCCGTATGCGAGAGCGGTAGGGTGCATCGGCTGGTTAACCTGCGGCATGCCCGCAGCCACGCCGTGACTCACGGACTGTCCGGGATAAGGCCCCGGCGCCACTCCCGGCGCCGATGGCGGTTGAACAGAGGTAATGTGCGGGACAGCATCCGTGGTCCATAGCGGCGCTTGTGGCGGTTGGGATGCAGTGGGCATGGGCATGGGCACGGGCGGGCGGGCGGGCGGCCCTGCTGGGCCTGCTGGGCCTGGCGCAGGAGCCGTCGTCAAACCGGTTGTGGGCAGCGGATGGTATGTCACGGACCCCGAGTATGTCTGGGGCTGAGCCACAGTGTTCGGCGGCACTCCCAGTTGACCAGCCGGCGGATGGTCAGGGATGCCACTGCGGGGAGCCGGTGGTGACGGATTGGAGGCCTGGCTCTGCGGAGGTTGGGCGGTTTGCTGAAGCGGATGGTCGCCCCCTACCGCTGCGGCAGCAGTCCATTCGGACGCCGTCTGCGTGCTTTGCACGGCTGGAGGCTGGTGCTGCGCAGTCAGCGTCGACGGTGCCGCCGGGGTCACCGACGATGGACCGTCCGCCGTCTGCGGTTGAACAATCGGCGCGTCAGGGCTCGGAACCGCGAGCGAGGGCGATGAGAGGCGCGCCGGACCAGCAGGCGAGCCAGGTTGTTCATCGTCACAGCACGGCCACGGAAGCACACTTTGCGGGATGATGTCGGCATGGGGTCCTTTCCGGATGAGGGTAATCAGTGCGCGATTGGGTCCCAACGCTTCCTTCATCAGTGGAAAAAGGAATGGAGCCTTCCTCCAGGCCATCTGGAGCAATGCGCACAGGTTGGCCACGACCGTCCAGTACCCCTCCATCTTCCCGTGAACCAATTGTGTAGCCTATGGAGGGTGAGGATGCCATCGATTCCCCAGCATTCGGAACATACTCACGACTTCACGAATCTCCTTCCGCTGCATGATCTTCTCAAAACCGTTGTCCGACTCCGAATCTGGCTCGCCGGGGGCATCTGCACGGGACTCTTCACCATGTGCGTCACCGGCCTGGGCTTCTTGGCCATTGCTCTCGATCACCTGTTGGGACTTTCTAGCTCTGCGTCGTCTAGGTTTGTTTTTTGTGCGGTCCGCGAGTGACTCGGTCGATATGGCCTATCGCATGGAAGCCAACGCACTCTACATCCATGAGAAGTGGCTTCATGTGCGGGGCGCCGATGGCCCGGCAACGGAAGGCGCCATCCGCTCGGAGCGCGACGTGTTTCTCTGCCAGTATCTGGCGGAAGAGCTGTACCGGCGTGCCGTGACGCTCATCGTCCACAAGACCGATGGGCTGCGCACGAGCCAGACAATCCAGCCGCTCCTTCAAGCGGCACACTGGAAGTTGCACGAGATGCCACGCCGGATTGAGGTGTACGCCGCCGCCGCCGCTGACGACGGCCCGAGGGCGACACAGGTCTCGTTCTACACGGGCCACAGCCTCCTGTTCACTAAGCTGTGCGGGACGCGAGTGTCGTATCTGGTCGTGCTACATGGGCCCAACTGCGTCGCCCAGTCGGTGGATCACCTGCTGTACGACCCCAGCCGGGACTGCTGTCTGTGCCCGCGGCAGGTGGTGCCCCTGAGCATGCGACGAGCTGTGTTCGAGGATCCGGGCCACGGGCCCTGGGTTCCCATGGTGGTGAAGATGTCGGTTCGCGACGGCCTTGTCGGCGCCATGTCCTCCTCAGGGGGCCATGATTGGCCGCTTCTTCCGAAAGCGCAGGACGGAGCGTTGGTGGCGATTGCGCCTCCTTCCTCCTCTCCGTCGTCGGAGACGGCAGCTCCCCGCGGAACCGTCCCGGTGGATCGTCCGTCCACGGTCAGTGCTGCCTTGGATCCTGTGCCCACCACCCCGACGGCTGCCACTCAAGAGGACCAAGACACGACCGCCGCGTCGCAGCTGGCCGCTGGGCCGCTTGAACTGGGAACGGGCGCGCAGACGACGGCATCAGACACGGCATCGGACACCGCAGCACCGGTCCCTCTCGTATCAGTGGTGGAATGCCTCGCCCCCCACCCGGATGACCATCCCGAGTCCGCGTCTGGTGCGCTGCCCTCGACCATCTCCCGGAATATGACCTCTGCGGATGGTGCGTGGTGGCAGACCTGGCCAGAACCGCCCCGGGATGTCCAAACGTCACCAAGCGCTGCGGATCTCAACATTGGACGCTTTCAGGTAAGTTCTCCCTTGTCATATCATGTCGTTCACCACCGGTGCCCTTCTTCCAATATCATCCTTCTCTGTCCTTTCGATACAGTCTAGCTGGGTCTCCTCCCTCTCGCCGGATCTGCTCCGCCGTTTCCCTACGAACCCCTTGCTCTCCCGTTGCACGAGGGGACGCCGTGGATTAACAATCCTGCAGGTCCAGGAATCGCATCGGTCATGCGAGCCACCCCAGGGCCTTTCGAAAGGGCAATACGCTCGGGTCCAGCTCCGCGAGCCGGGCGGGGATGGCACCACGACCGGCCGGTACGTCCTCTACGTCCACGATGTTCTGCCGCCGACCCTGTCGCATGGTCCGGGCGCCCGTCTCGTCGTCACGAAATACTCCTTCCTGGCCGACCGGTTAGCGTGGGAAGCCGGGCATCCAGACACTCAGGCCCAGGAGCTGCTCCTGCACTTCCGGGACGCTGACCGGATTGGCTATCCGGACGACGCGGAGATTATTAATGCCGACACCGTGGTCGCGGTGGATTCGATGGACACCGAGCCGGTTGGCCCGACCGTGTCGTATGTCGCACAGGTGCCTGGTAGGATCTCCGTCCCGTCCTCATTCTTTTGTCTTTGGCTGACTTGTCCCCGCTCACCAGACCCGGCGAACGGCCTTTTCGTGCGGTATGGCATTCGCGAGGGGTCCCAGCGGGAGTGGTTGTTTCTGGCGCCGCTGGTGTCTTCACTCACGGGCCCGAGAGGCAGTGCCGCGTATCCACGCTTTTCTCCGCTGCCTGTGGCCTCCGTCTTCGATCTCTCCCCCGACGACCTGCGCCTGTCGGTTGGCTTCCAGAAGGCGGGATATTGCGTGCAGGCCGCGGTTGGTTTTGCCGAAGACCGCCACCAGGCATGGAAGGTGAGTGCGCCCTTTTCCGTCGGTGTCCAGACCGACGGGCCCCCGAGGCCACTGTAAAGGCGGCGCTGACCCTGTGTTGTCAACAGACGCAACATCCCGATGCCACCGTCTACCCGGGCTGTGTTGCGTCCGCCCTCGCGACGATGGACTACGACCTCTCCACGCAACCGGATGACAGAGGGCGTGATGTGCCCCGCATTGTGACCATTAGTGGCGAGGGGTCTTTCGCTAAATCCGCCGCCGGGTGGCTCGACCCTAGCTCCTCGGGCTTCGATGGCTTCGACGGTCTCTCCGGGGAGACGCTGAGTCCGCTTCAACAGTGTGAGCTCGCGGCGCAGTCTCCAGGGCTGAGTCCGGACTTCATCGTGCTGATGATGTCCCGGTCGATCTTGACAGACCAGTCGTGGGGCTCACTGGCTCGCACCATGGGTCTTCTCCTCGAGCAAGGGTATGCGGTGGCGCTGCGGCCGGTCTCTCTGCCGGATCCGGGGCAGCATGGGGAGCGATCGGTTCTCCTCCTCGCCGCTCCGGGCCGCACCGACCCACAGTGGATCGATGACACGCTTTCCGACCTGCGAATGGTGTCGGCCTCGGACGAGCTGCTGGAACGTGCGGAGAACGAGAGCGGCGTCTCTAGCGTCCCGGCCGCGGATGGTGTAGCGGCAGCCGGGTCGGCGGGTGGAGGCGATGCTGGTCCTCCATCGGATTCCACTCCTCGGCGTGGTGACAGCGTTCTCACGGATGGCGCACAACATATTGCCGCCACGGTCTCCCGGATTATCGGAGAATTTTCAACCAAGTGCGCGCTGACGACGAACCTCCCCCGATTGGTTGTGACTGACAATTCGGATGGCGCGCAGGACAGAGCCAAGCGACAGAGGATGTAGGCAGGAGCAGGTGAAATCAATATGGATATCCGCTCGTGAATTGCAGCGATCTGCTCTTTTCTTGTGATTTTATTCGTTCCGTCTTCCGCTTCGACCTTATCCAGCCATTTGGCTGACCATGACAGTTGGCCCTCGGTACCTTAGATAGAGTAGTAATTGCATTGCTGATGACGCCTGGACTGCATGTAATAATACAGATAGAGGATCTACCAACACATACAAGACTGCCAAGACAATCTTTATGCTTCGAGTTTTGTCCCTATGTAAGCCGCGCACCAAAAGTGACAACTTGATGACGAGGAGGAAGATGGGTGTAAGTCAAGGAAACTAAAAGGCTAAACCTGTACATGTTGTAACGGGCATCGCAAAATTAGAGGCTCATGTCACCTGAGCGTCTACATCATTCCTATTCCAATCCCCTGTACCATGCATCTTTTCAATAATACTTTGGATGCTCACTGTTCGGACTGTTTGGGAAATAACTACTTCATATGTGTTGTTAGTCTTCAGCATCAATATGTTAGCCATGAATATCGTTTGGCACCATAAAGATTCCATGACTCGACGAATATCGATGGATCCCTCCAGGACGTAGTTTTGGAAGCATTATGGGACCACGTATATGCGACTTTTTGGCCAATATTTAAGAGGTAACCCAAGCACACTTAGGCAGATATTGCTTGGATGTACTCTTGGCGTGAGATCCATACGTAAAGTCGGTACCTCATTGAGAGTATATAACTAAATTGAATATTTATGTCTCGCGTAACCAAATATCATATTCTAATTACTGGGCTGCCTCTCGTATGCTCCTGGTATACTGCCGGGGTACGTACTTGTGTAAATGTTGTGTAAAGGTTAGCTGGTATTGGCCGCTTTCCCCCTCATTGATAAATAACAATACAGAAGGACCGTTTGGGTGTTGGGCGTCTTTCCCCGATTTATCGTTATCATATAATCTCTTGCGTTAGGTATCCGCCTTCGATAAGGTGTGGTGAACGGAATGCAACATCAAGACCTCTTTAGATAATTACTACATAATAGGCCATAGCTTATTATCCATTTACAGTTCTTCGGTATAGTTCTGAGATGCGCTGTAGTTATCGTCTTATATTTTCGGTTAGATACTAGTCATTGGTAAGAAGCACCGGGTTGGATTCAGTTTTCTCCCGTTGATTGCTGCCTCTAATTGTAGAGCGTCACACGGCTTATCCGTGTCAAGTTAGTCGGTGTCTTGCAATGGGCATTGCCGCCTATAGTAAGATTGACGAGACAATGGGGTAAGTAACTACATCGTATCTTTCATATAATGGCGGCTTTTCGTAAGTAAATGTGATCGATGCTTCCCGGGCATTTCACCTAACTGATATACTTGGTAATAACAATCAAGATGCCCCAGGACCTTGAAATTTGTTGATGTTGGTTGGCCGGCCAATGTAATCATTATGAAACGTTCTGTATGATAAGTAGCTGCGTTGGAAGGAGAGCCGAGGATTTAGCTTGCTAGCCAATATTTAGCGAGGAGGTGGTGCAGCTAACGAGACCAGTAAGATGATCGTGTTTATGGACAATGATCACTAAAAGTATTGTAGAGCCCTATCAGTCTTCGTTAACCTGGTAATACCCCAAAAGGTTCAACTGTGGCCCAGTATGGTCAAAAGGAATGTTGACAGATTGCTAGAGCGGCAGGGTACCTGCTTTTGGCTTGTTTGATGAATTGCAGCGAATAATACTGATATGAAATTCAAAAAATCATTTTGGTCATTCCTAACAAGCTATCTACCTATTACTAGAAGACATAGAAAATATGGGGTGCAAAGATGAAAACGGTGGTTTTTGGAGCGTTCAAGCACGCGGTCAACTCAGTACGTTGTTTATGTACCCACCAATAATTCCAATGTCCGTGGATTGTGAAATGAGTGGGGAACATTGAGAGTTTGGTGAGGCTAATAGTCTTCGACAAAAATGGTACTACTATCTGACCAATCAATACTTCAGCAATTTTGGCGGACCGGCATTACAGAAGTACCGTAAATTTTTCACTTGTTACAACCCAGACACTGGTCACAACAAAAGTTCCGTGCACCTGATAGAGGATGGAATCCAGCGAAGGTCGAATATGGGTTAGCTCAAATCCACCGTTGGAATACGAATTGCCTAGTTTGGGAGTCGGGGAAGAACTTTCGTGTCAGTGCTCTCTTTTCAACCATCCTACAAGTTACATTGCCAACAAGTGAGTCACGGCGCTAGGTTCGTTGCTAATATCTGAATTTGTCAGAAATAATATTACCAATCAGCTCTTCGAAGGCCTCTAGGCTTTAGATCCAGGCAGGACGATGAGGGGTTGGTGAGGGGTGACGAAGGGGTGACGAAGCCATGGGTCTATCGCCAAACAAAAGCCAAAGAAACAAAAAAAAACATTCTGTGAAGAGTGACTGGCAGTCTATGACGGAATTATGGCTGTCCTGTGGCAGTCCACAACTCCTCATGCGGAGAATAGACACCCCACACTCTGCTACCTGGCCGGTATATAAGAGTAACGACCTCTTTTGCTTGGAATCGTATCATCACCATCCACCAAGTCAGGACAGTGCGATACTCATCTCAACTACTGCACAGTCACAACCACTACCGTTACCACCATTACCATGTCGCTCCATCCACTCATTGACAATGGAATCATCAAAGGACGTCCGAACTTTAGCGGCGGAAAGCTTTACTGTCGCTGCTCTTCGAACAAAGTGGAAATCTCCCTGAAGAGCAATGTCGCCCACAACCACGCCTGCGGCTGCTCCAAGTGCTGGAAACCATCCGGTGCACTCTTCTCCATCGTTGGCGTTGTGCCACGCGAAAATCTCTCGGTCACCTCCAACGAATCCAAGCTCATTATCGTCGACGAATCAGCTGCGATACAACGCCATGCCTGTAAGGATTGTGGTGTGCACCTTTACGGCCGGATTGAAAAGGAGCATCCGTTCAAGGGGCTGGATTTTGTGCATGTTGAGCTCTCAAACGAGGAAGGATGGCAAGAGCCGCAGTTTGCCGGCTTTGTGTCATCTATTATTGAGCAGGGGTTCAACCCCAAGGGTATGGATGATGTACGGGCAAGGTTCAAAGCAGTTGGTTTGGATACGTACGATGTTTTGTCACCGCCGCTTATGGACCTTATCGCAACCTTTAACGCACAGAAGGCAGGCTTCAGTTTTGCGGCATCTTGAAAAATGTATCTAGCAGTCCATAGATAATGAGACAAAAAAGTTACACTTTTTCCATGAATGTAATGGGGTTTAGGCTGTGCAGGTTGGACTGGAACGACCTCACTGCGCTATTGGCTCTTTCAACGTCTGAATTAAGCTACATATGACTAGAGTAGAACTCACCGTAGAGTAACACCATGAATGCACAACGGTATCACTTATAGTTATAGTACTAAGGCTACGTTGGTTTTGTCACCTAATACCTTACTGATAGAGCAGCAGTAAGTAACTGTCCTGCGTGCTGGTTGCTCAAATCATGCTTCTGATCATCCACAGTCCACGAAGATCCACGAAGCATGCCAAGGGAGTGTATCCAGTCGGCGTCATAGAGTACTAATCAAGTGTACGCATCATACTAGCCTAGTCAGCGTCATGATGAATCCTTTTCAGCCAGATGACGTTACACACTCAAACCGTTCTCACATTCCCTCAGATAAACTGATATGATCCGACAACATCCGAAAACCCTGGCAACCGGTGTATGAATGAGCCTTATAAGGATCTACAGGATCTTTACTTCTGACCTACATAATTTACACTACCTACCGATTGAGCCTTTGTCATCTCCAGTCCCTTAATTGTCTACGTCCAATATTTGCACGTTAAACTCCTGTTCACCCCCTTTTTTGACCTATCGTCTCCATACCACCCTCAAAAATGACACTCCCAACCAAGCAATGGGCCCAAGTAGTCGAAAAGAAAGGCGGAACCCCCATTTATAAAGAAATTCCTGTCCCCACGCCAGGACCAGATGAGATCCTTGTCAAGATCCGGTACACAGGTGTATGTCATACGGATCTGCATGCGATGAAGGGTGACTGGCCACTACCACTGAAGTTGCCGTTGGTAGGCGGACACGAGGGGGCGGGGACGGTGGTGGCGAAGGGTAATTTGGTGACAGATGAGGAGTTCGCGATTGGTGACCACGCCGGCATCAAATGGTTGAACGGCTCGTGTATGACGTGCGAATTCTGTCGGCAGGCAGAGTTTCCGTTGTGTCCGAATGCTCAGCTGAGTGGATACACGGTTGACGGCACGTTTCAACAGTATGCAATTGGGAAGGCGGCTTTGGCGTCCAAAATCCCTCCAAATGTTGCCTTGGATGCTGTGGCTCCCATTCTGTGTGCTGGCTTGACGGTGTATAAGGGGTTGAAGGAGTCCGGTGCTAGGCCAGGACAAACAGTCGCTATTGTCGGTGCCGGCGGTGGGTTGGGGTCATTGGCTCAGCAATATGCGAAGGCTATGGGAATTCGGGTAATTGCGATCGACGGTGGGGATGAGAAGAAGGCGATGTGTGAGAAGTTAGGGTCGGAGGTATTTGGTCTTGCTTTTTACTGTGGTTTACAAACGAGGTCAAAAAGGCTAATGAAATGATCAAAACAATCACAGGCCTACGTTGATTTCATCAAATCCAGCGACGTGGTCGCTGATGTCAAGGCTGCCTCTCCAGAAGGCCTCGGCGCCCATGCTGTCATCCTGCTCGCCGTTGCTGAAGGTCCCTTCCAGCAAGCGGTGGGATATGTGCGCTCGTATGGCACCATCGTGGCTATAGGACTGCCCGCCGGAGCGTTTCTCAAGGCGCCCGTCTTCGACACAGTTGTTCGCATGGTCAATATTCGTGGCAGCTATGTTGGAAATCGTCAGGATGGGGTCGAGGCAATTGATTTCTTCGCCCGCGGTCTGATCCATGCTCCATTCAAGACAGCTTCGCTGAAAGATTTGCCGAAGATCTTTGAATTGATGGGTATGTTTCTCTGCCCCTCCATCTTCTTTCTCTTCTTATGCGTCATATTACTTTTTGTTATGGGTTCGGCTTCGGGGAAAAATGGAAAGTTGATTGTGCTAACACATAGTAGAACAAGGCAAAATCGCTGGTCGCTATGTGTTGGATGTGCCTCAGTAGAGCCAGCTAGGGTGCTCACATAACTGAAAACGTGGGAATACACACAAATTCATGTTCTAACCCTGTGCCGTGTTTATTCGGATGCAGAGCCAGAATACAGAACCTTCAGTTTTTGCCTTGACGTGACTGCTGTAACCTGTATCACCTTCAACACGAGGTTTGTTTGTATGGTTCCTAGTCTCCAATTTAACACTCAAATGGAATTTCAGAAAGACTCCCCAAGCTATCAACGTAGTTATCCCGTAAACAATATTGTTTCCGTATTTATGGGTGGCTAAAGTGTGCTCGGTATCCATGCGGGGATCTCCCCCTGCCCTGAATGTTGGGCCTGTTATAAGTATATCCCGGCAGATGTGCCTAAGAATTAATATCTCTCAATCTTAGCATATCGTAGGCATATAGCATAGTGTTGTGCCTTTGAATAAACCTACATTAGAAAACTTATATATGCTAAATGATAAAATCATATATTGCCCAATTTAGTATGAGAGTCAACGAATTGTAGCATGAGAATTGTTGTATCTGTAAACTAATCGCCATTTTGCTTACTTTTAAACCATGTTCTGCTGTTGATTGATCTTTAGAACCGTAGTTGGATATATATTCGCTTTATCCCTGGCCTTGGCTACTAGGATGCTGCGTATATTACCTCCACGCTAATAATGATTCTCTGATCTGTTTTGTATAGCACTCGAAGTACACACTTTGTATTTTGTTTAGATAGGACTACTAACCAGTATTTAGGCGTCTTGGCATTGAGATGTACGTCTTGGAGGTAGTACAAAAATCATTTAGTGTATGCTACGTAGCCTTTCATCACTTATCTCGATGAGTCACTTAGTCGGTCAACTGAGTATTTTAGGAAATAATTCACTTGAATATTTCTAAGGTTGGAAATGTACTAGGACGGACTTACTGTTAGTTAAAGAATACAACCATTGTTGAAAAGCCAAATGGCTTAACGTCCAATGTAAATTTAGAGAAAATGAAACAAGAGAAAGCAAGAAAATAGATGACAGGACAAGGGAGGTCACTAGGTAAAGCAGATTAAAACCAAGGATCACACTCGGTTGCATACTAGAAAAGATATTGCGCCGCATGCGCAATATGGTCATCCGAGAATGACGCCATTGTGTAGTAGCTATGGTCGTAGTCTGGTTGATAGCGTATACGTAGACCCTTAGCTCCTGCTTCAAGGACTGCTTGCTCGAAGTTTTCAGGAAGAAGTTGGCCTTGCTTGTAGAAATTGTCTCCAGTACCCTTAACAGACATAAGCCTATGCATGAAGAACACAAGAGATAAGGAAGAGAGGGAAACCAACCACGTCGATAAGCATGTTCAAGGGACCTTTCCATCCTTTCACCAATTCAGTAGAATCATATTCTTTCCATGAGTCCTGGTAATTCTCTCCGAGATAACCTGAAAATGCCTTTTGACCCCAAGGGCAGTTGATTGGGTTACAAATCGGCGCGAAGGCGGAAACTGATCGGTATTTTCCGGGATTGCGAAGGAACTTTCTACTATTAGAGCAAATTTCCCAGAATCATATATGACAAGGAATGAAGAAGTGCGCCTGCTATATCAATATCTTGAAGTAAACAAATTCGAGACATACCAACACTAAGGCTCCGTGGCCGCCCATACTGTGACCCGTAATGCTGACCCTCTCGGGATCAAGCTGGGGAAATTGTTGGAAAACTACATTAGGTAGCTCCTCTTTCACGTAAGTGTACATATTGTACGCTTTATTGTAAGGCTTTTGGGTAGCGTCTACATAGAACCCTGCACCTGTCCCGAAGTCCCAGCTATCATTCTCTCCTGGAATGTTGAGACCCCCTATAAAGTGTCAGTTGTTTGATTACTATAAACATGAGGTTCAATTTCAAATGACGGCTCGAGTATTAAGAAGTGCGTCGAAAGATGGGAGCGCTTGAAGGATAGAGGAATCGTACGCGGACTGGTATCGGGATATAGTACAGCTATTCCATTCTTGCTGGCCCCGTGCTGGAAAAACCCTTTCTCAGAGCAGTTATCGGCGGTACACGTCAGGCCAGATAGATAGATCAGGAGGGGTATTCTCCTGTGCGAATCCTCGAAAGCCTGAGGTGGAAGATAGAGGTTGAAAGCCATCTCACATCTGGTTGAAGTGGACAAGTGACTTAGCTTCAGAAGCTTGCCGCCAAAGGATGCGATTACTGCCTTTGTAGTAACGACCATTTTCTACTGCGCGTATTCCTAATACCTTGCAGTGTAGGGACATAAGAGTGCGTATCAGTGTGTTGAACGAAGTAATTGTTTGGCTGGGGAAGGGGGAGGGTGTATACTTTTAAGACCAGATAAATTAATTGCGCTGGGAAACGGGATCTACGCTATCTGCCGGGTATGACTGTCCCACTACTACGGTCAAAATGTGACCCACAATCCCCCAACGATATGAATGAAGCTGCCATGCTAACATTACCTATGGTTGCCTCTGACTCTGGGTCGATACATATCTAACATGGTCCTATAGACAAACTAACGTTCTTTTCTGAAAGATAGAGATATCTCAGAAAGTTGCTCCATCAAGGAAGCCGACCGCTTGGCTATCATTTAGTATACTTTTGTGGTTTCATCATTCATCAACAGTCATTGTAAGCGGCCATTGGCGAATTACTCTTTCCTAAATCAGCGCGAGATATTTCCAACACAGTCGAGACCCTTGATCCACGTCAGAGACGATTGATTAGCGGCCTGATCGTCAATGATCCATATTCTGTTATTGGATAGTCTTTAGCTGGACTGGCAAAAGCGTATGATGTGATAGCCGCAGGGCTCCATTTAGATCAAGATCCGAGCGAGCTTTACATTACCGGGATTTGAACCAAGGCATCAATGTGGATCTCTGGTCTATCTCCACCGAGGGATGGCTGTCTTAAAACGGTACGTCAATGTGCAAAAATACCTCCCCTCAACAACTTGGCACTCCCACATTCCCTTATCCACCTTCTTCAACCACAAGTGTAGTATCTATCATATGCTCGACCAATGAATTATTTTCGGACATCGCCTACCTTTACCAACTCAAGATCATGCCTTGGATTATCTAAGCACCCAACAATAACTATAAACGTCACATTAGTTCTGCCAGCGGTTTCTTTACGATATACACATCATGACATTCTATTTTGTGGGCTGCGACACTCCTTGGTTGGTCCCAATGGGGGGCGGAAGTTTCTTGTTAAGGCGGTATAAGTAAGGATGAGTCTGATTCTTTCTGCTGAAGTGGCGTTTTCGATAGTTATGATCAACCAATAGATCTTTAGCAGAACCGCTGCGGGGAAACATCATTTGCCCCTACTAAATAGAAAATAATTGCTCTACTCAGCCCAGCCTGGGTTATGGTAAGTCAAACCTAGAACTTAAATGAGACCTCACGGTCCAACACTGTAATAAAACTGTGATTGGACATGTAACGTTGCCTCTTCCAGCTAGCTCCACAACAGCTAGCTTTTACGACTGTACCATAGTCTGTAGTTTTCTTCCGCCGGGCAATAGGTATTGTTTCTCATGCCATCACTCACTTGTTAAAAATTCATATTTCCGGCCGAAGCTGGCTGGTCAAAATGCTATTCTAGCTGACTAATGCTTGGGTTTCAAGGATAGCTCCAAATCTTGGTGCAACTCTTCCTCCCCGATCCGCACAGGCTCAATTGGTTGAAAAACAAAGAACACACGGAGAACACCGTTGTTGTCCTCTGAGTGAGTAATATTCCGCCATGAATGCGCAGTGCCTCGCTGGATGAAAACATCGCCTTTTCTTAAAACTCTCGTCTCACCCGAGTCAAGGACTAGTTCCGTAGTTCCATCAATGACAACACCGTAATCAAGACTCTCAGTCCGGTGCATCGGGATGTCAACTTTAGGCGGCACCTCAATTACTGTGCAGGCCGTTCCCTTATCTGGGTTTAAAGGGGAGGGATCGCGGAGTTTAGACATATATTGTTTGATGTCCAGGTTTGCATCTGCCTCAGGTGTGACTAGCGCGGGTGGGGAAAGCCCCTTCACTGGAAATCTTGTGGTTGCATAGGCAAGTGCATAGTCAGATGTAGTCGGCCTTCCCGGTGGAACCGGAAACCCTGCAAAAGGAACACTCTCATCGATACCCTTCTGAAAGACAGCCTTTCCGGTTCGGTGATCGTGGGTAGTGATTATGCGATTGAAGGCAACAGGCCGGTGTGCCATATTGATATTCTAGTCATCAGACCAAGTGGATAGGATATAAGGGGTTCATATATTAGAGAGTTGTGGCTTTTCTTATAAGTATAACTTCACAAGCTCTGAACTCAGGCTTGGATACTGGGGCATCATAAAATAGCAGACAATTACGACAGAGATATAATTATTGATTATATAGCTTTTCTTTAAAGTAATACACAGAGAAAGTGATGAATCATACAGTACCCAAATAGGTTGAAGTACTATCATGGACAAACATGTATAAATAGTTTCCAATTGGCTGATACAGTCTTACCAAAAGAAGAAAAAAGCAAGTCTGATACTTTGTCTGGCAATCATGATGTAGATATTCTGTCATATCGAGCTACATCGGACAGCAAAGTAAAATAGCGCATAACAAGAAAATCTTCGAAGATCAAATCATCACAGTGACGTCTTATGCCGCTACATAGTACTAGCTCCATGTGAGTGGCACTTATCTATATAATCTACCATCTGTCAGTTATGATGGAATGATACTTAAACCAATAATATTGTCATTACTTTCACATTTGGTAACTAAATTCACCGCAAAAATGTCTAGCGCAAAGCCCGCTCTCACGACGGACATCAGCAACTATGGTGATACTGGCTACGGAGACCTCAGTCAGACAATGAAAGCCTTGACTTGGCAAGGGAAGAATCAAGTGAAGCTCGGTAGGTGTATTATTGAACAACTCATGTATAGTCTGTACTTGAAAGTAGACTGACAATTCTCATCTGATTAAAGTGGAAACGGCTAGGCCAACCATCGTTGATGATGAAGATGTTATTCTGAGGGTAACAGGAAGTACCATCTGTGGAAGCGACCTTCATCTCCTTCATTGTACGTGATCTGCTACTCAATTTAGTTGTAGTGCTGACCTCTTCCACAGCGGCCATACCTGAAATGCACAAAGGAGACATTCTGGGGCATGAGTTTTGCGGGATTGTGGAGAAAATCGGTCCCAAAGTCAAGAAGCGCAAAATTGGCGAGCGAGCTGTAGCTTCCTTCCAGATTGCTTGTGGAACGTGCTACTACTGCGAAAAGAAACTGTCCTCGTTGTGTGAAAGAACCAACGGCAGTGATAGTGAAAATTCACTTTATGGACGCCGAACTGCAGGCACGTCACCCGGAGGAATTACTAAACTGTCGGCCTACCGCTAACCATTAAATTAGGCATGTTTGGATATTCACACTTCACTGGAGGCTTTGCAGGAGGACAGGCTGAGTTTGTGCGGGTTCCCTTTGGGGACGTGAATTTGCTACCGTTACCGGATGATGTCCCTGATGAACAAGGGCTCTATCTATCCGACGTCTTGGCCACGTCGTGGAATGCTGTGGTTGATACAGGTGTTAAAGAAGGAGACACGGTTGCCATTTGGGGGGCAGGCCCTATTGGGCAGATGGCGGCTGAGTTTGCGGTTGTGAACGGGGCGAGCCGAATCATCATGATTGACGGTGGAGAGGGAAGATGGCGGCTGGATTTTATGAAGACGAAGGTTCCGCATTTGGAGACTATTGACTTCACCAGACTTCCGCGCGGAGAAACAGTTGTATCCTTGCTGAAAAAAATGTGTGACGGGCGCGGCCCGGACATTGCAATTGAGTGTGCCGCTGGCGAGTATGCAAAAGGGTTAGGCCACGCCATCCAGAGGACATTAGGCATGGAGAACGACACGTCGGAACTCTTGAACGAGATGATTGAATCAGTTAGAGGCTTCGGGTGTTGTGGGGTCACTGGCATATATACTGGCTATGTATGTGATCAACCTCTGACATTGTCAATCACTAACACTTGGCCCAGTGCAATCACTTCAATATTGGTTCCTTGATGGAGACAGGGATTCACCTGAACGGAAATGGCCAAGCGCCCGTGCAAAAGTACTGGAATGAACTACTTGTCTTAATACAACAAGGGAAAATCTGTCCATTGGATATGGTCACTCATCGCTTTGATCTCAGCGATATGGAGAAGGTCTATGACTTATTCAACCGTCGTGCAGACGGTATGCAGAAGGTTTTCATCCAGACGAGGTTTTCAGCCCCCAGAGATCCGGCTTCACCCGCTTTGACGGTGTTTTGAGTGGCCCCCAACCCCTCTAAAAGCTATACAACCTTTAGAGGGCAAGGCTCTACGTTTTGAGACATTTAATGGTGACGGTGTTCATCAATAAAGGGAAGAGGACACCTACGAAATAAAATGATGTTTAATGCCGTCTACTTCTGTATCTTGAGATAAATATTTTTGTGCTACTAAGCAGGAATGTATATCGAGTTATACCATCACAGATACTAAAACAGCACAGACCCTCCTGCAAGCTTAATATCATGGGCTTCCAATGCCACTAGGAAGTAATATACATTTTCTTAAGGTCGAGCTAATGGGATATTGTTGTTTTATGCTATGTTCCTTGCCTTTAGACTACTTCAGCTCCTGTTTTCGACAACGTTGCTTGATTCAACCAGGCCATGTGTTTATTAATCTTGATCTAACGGGCCACAAATAGAACAGAATGGTGACAGCTATTATGACAAAACTGTACACGAGGCGTCAGGTACATGATACTTGGTTCTGTGACGGCTCCATCGGAACGTTTTTGATATTCTATCATGAAAATCAAAGAGATAATTTTATTGCGGTCCGAAATATGCATGAAAGGTTCAGCGAATCACCATAAATGGAAATAACAGCCAGAAACACCAGTGATAGATATACAAATTAGGCATTATAACTCTCCGATTTTTGACCATGAAAGCTAGTTACGAATTATCTCTCTCCCATCCAACCAGTCCATAAACCACGCATAGCACATCAGGATCCTTCTCCTCCACGACCGCGTCCAGAAGAAGTTGCCAGATCTCCAACTCAGCCATGCACCGTAACCCGTGTACTCGCGCTTCCCTTGAACCACACCGTCCCACGCACCCGTGTATGTTACCAGCGACCGCTGCTTATATTGAAATGGCCGAGTATATTTTCCACCAGAATTGAAAAGGTTGATAAGATAATCAGCTTTTTGAATTGCAACTTCGGCGGTCGTCGGTAATGTTCCGCCTTCAATGTCGGCCGCATCGCCCATTGCAAACACGTTAGGTATCACGTTGCCATCTGGGGAGAAAACATTGAGATGATCGTCGGTCAAGATCCGCACAAGGCCTTTCTCAGTCTTCCTGAGCTGCAGTTGGTCGACCAAGGGTATTGATCTGTTTCCGGTGGCCCAGATGAGCATCCCGTAGCCCGTGACCCCGGATTCCCTGGTCTCTATGGTATCCTTTGTAACGTTCAGAATGTGGCAGTTAAGCTTGACCTTGACCTTGTTGGTTTTCAGTGCACTGCAAGCATATTCTGATAACTTCTGGTCAAATGGTGCCAGAATCTGGGGTGCGACATCTATCACCGTAACTGATGTCATGTCCCTCAGGTGCGGGAATAAAACGCCCAAATCTCCTTCAAAAAGGTCTGTCAATTCCGCTGCCACCTCGATCCCAGTGGGGCCACCCCCAACAATAACGATATGGAGTAGTTGCCTCTGGCGCGCTTCAGATGTTCCCGGCAATGAAGCCATCTCAAGGACTTCATTCAGACGACTCCGTACAGTGTTTGCATTGGCCACATTCTTGACAAAAATGGCATTTTCCGCAACCCCAGGGATGCCAAAGGTATTGCTTCGACAGCCAGGCGAGAGGATCACTCGGTCATAAGATACTTCGAATCGCTCATCCTTCAGCTCTTCGAACGCGGGCTGACATATGAGTGCCTGCCTGTTGAAGTCAATGTCGACGACGAAGGCCTTGATGTATTGGGCATGAAAATCCTTCCGCCGGATGGGCTCATGTGCTAGACGGGGGTCAAACAATCCGCAAGCCGCGCTGGCGAGGAGGGGAGTCACCGCGGACGTGTTCTCTGGCGCAATAAGGGTAATATCGTATTTTCTGTGGTCGATGCCATATCCCAGTCGATAACCACCCCACCCACCGCCAATGATGACGACCTTTTCCTTAGTTGACATCGTTTTTGGTCCTTATATTGACGAGCCGTGCAGGAAAAGCTTTCAAAATGGAAGTTACACTCACCCGAAAGAGTTCAATTACTGGCGGGCATGGACTACAAATACCTTGCCGGTTTATGAATAACATTCCTGACGTCACGACTCCTCATTACCAACTAGCGGTCTACAGTGATTGTTGAGAAAATATGAAGAGTACGTGTTGATCTGACTGAGTTTGCCAAGCAAGCTTGCCACTGGTCTAAAGCTCTTTCTCGAGTTGGCTTGGGGGAAGGGACAGTGTAATCTGGCTTACAAATTTGTGTTAGCCTCTTATCTCCACTTTCATCACGACAGAAGCATAATAAGCGGGGTAGGGCTTGTTTACCCCATCCTCCTCCCTACTCATAGCAGGTCCAGTAAAGTCGGGGACCGCTTTAAGTTAGAGCTTTTTTCTTTTTTTTCTTTTTCTCCTCTTCTGATAACGGAGTTGTTCGTTGATACGAAAGTTACCATTTATGAAATAAGGTTACATGGTAAATTGCTTGGCACACACATGGCTTGTGCACTGATGGGGGCATATCATTGGCTCGATACTAGTGCCAAAAATAGCTAGCACCATTCTGAACCTAATATAGATTTACCAACATCGTCATGTAGTAGGCATAGATTCTAGGCTTGACCTCTAAGTTTCGTCTTGGTGAAAAGCTGAGTCGGTATTGACCACAGGACCCACGGGCCCCTCCTTCCGCGAAAACTAACTCCTCTAAACCATCTATCATGGATGACTCAGTTCAATGTTCCACTTCTCCAATTGTAGACGTCATTTCTGTCGTCACAACACTTTATCATGACAGCGGACACAAGGGAGCTATTCTATATAAGTTCGATCACTTCGAACCCAAATGGAAGTTTACTCTCTCCGTCAAATCTGTATCCAAATCAAAGTTTCATCACCTACCTCGCATCAATAGTCACCCCAAAAGCAAAAATCATTATGGCTAGTACTGCTGGTAAAGTGAGTTACCTGTTCCCATTTTTCTATTCCCAATACATACTTGAAGCTTGGCACATATAGTGCTGGACGATGAGCACTTCACTTTGCCTATTCTCAACCACCACAAATGGACTTTTCCTGTGCCATGTGCTCCTTTGATATTTTGCTAACGTCAAATGATAGACCATAACTTGCAAGGTAATGGCGTCTGTAGCATGTCTTCTGGATATTGTGGCTTCCTATTTTCTAACACGATGGCCGATAATATCAGGCTGCTATCGCATGGGCTGCCGGCGAACCATTTTCCATTGAGGATGTCCAGGTTGCCCCTCCCAAAGCCCATGAGGTTCGCATTCAGATTCTCCACACGGGTGTCTGTCACACCGGTGCGTTGTTCCATGTGGTTTATATTTGAGCCAGTTTTTATTCTTGTTTGTTTCAACGTGAGGTTTGAATTATATTGGTTAACACTGCTGGTTACATAATACAGATGCCTATACTCTCTCTGGAAAGGACCCAGAGGGAGCTTTCCCTGTCATCCTGGGCCACGAGGGTTCAGGTATCGTTGAGTCAGTTGGTGAGGGCGTGACTAATGTCAAGCCTGGTGATCAAGTAATCGCGCTTTAGTCAGTTATTTTTCACATCCCACCTGTCTAGAAACGCCAACTTATCATCAACAGTACCCCGGAATGTGGTGAGTGCAAGTTCTGCAAGTCGGGGAAGACCAACTTGTGCCAGAAGATCCGTGCCACTCAGGGCAAAGGTGTGATGCCCGACGGAACAACTCGCTTTAAAGCACGAGGCAAAGATATCCTGCACTACATGGGAACCTCGACATTCTCTCAATATACGGTTGTTGCTGATATCTCAGTTGTGGCTGTTACTACCAAAGCACCCACTGATCGTGCGTGTTTGTTGGGCTGTGGGATTACGACCGGATATGGTGCTGCAACGATTACTGCCAAAGTAGAGCAAGGATCTAATATTGCCGTTTTTGGTGCTGGGTGTATCGGTTTGTCTGTGATTGAAGGTGCAGTGAAAAATAAAGCTGGTAAGATTATCGTGGTTGATGTCAATGATGATAAGGAACAGTGGGCGCGCAAGTTTGGTGCTACAGATTTTGTGAATCCTACCAAGCTCGAGGGAAAGACCATTCAGGAACAACTGATCGAGATGACTGATGGGGGATGTGATTATACTTTTGACTGTACCGGAAATGTCGGTGTGATGCGTGCTGCTCTAGAGTCCTGTCATAAGGGATGGGGCGAAAGTATTATTATTGGAGTTGCTGCAGCTGGTCAGGAAATCTCGACTAGGCGTAAGTTTGCTCCCTATGTGAGCTGTATGGATAGTCGCATTGTTAACCTATTATATAGCATTTCAACTTGTGACCGGGCGAGTGTGGAGGGGTTGCGCATTCGGTGGTATCAAGGGTCGGTCTCAGCTACCCAGTCTTGTCGATGACTACGTCGCTGGCTACCTGAGGGTTGATGAATACATAACTCATCGTGAAACACTGGGGACTATCAATACAGCATTCCAGCACATGAAAAGTGGTGACTGTATCCGGTGTGTCTTGGATATGAAAGTCTAAAGTTCGTGAGGAAACAGGGTATATGTATTTGTGTTGGTCTCTAGCAAAATTGCCTTCGCGAGTAAGTGCATAATACATATTTGATTACCCTGACAATGCTTTAGCATCAAATCTCTGAGCCATCTATTGAAAAGGTAGCAAGAAGTGGGAAATCAGCTTGGCACTATAGTTATACTACATAATGCATTCCAGAACGATATTATCTCTTAGAGTGTACATCCTTTTCTTATTAGGTGGCTGAAGCACGCCATTATATAGATGCCTACCAACTCTGGGTTGATCCTCGCATCCGTACTTCTTGTCATTGCATTCGGACCTTCCCCGTCAACCTTTCGTTGTCAACCTCTAGTGGATTGTAGTCATCGAGGTGTCGTATGGAGCCGAGATAGCTAACTGGTCGTAGAGTTCTACCTGGGTGTAACAATAGGTTTCAGTCTCCGAACAGTCTTAAGTTGGACATTGGGCTTTTGTGTGGCTGTATTCGTGAAATCATTGCGTGCTGCCCAGCGACAACCCGGTTCAGCACCCACTCAACTTTGTTCTAGAGGTTATCTCCACTAAGCTGCCAGAGCGCATTGCAAATAATGAACGAGGCCCGCGACGTGGTGCAGGGTTATCTTCTTGGCCCTTGAACGCACTAATACACATCTGTTCCCAGTCCTAGCCGTGTCTTAGGTCAGCAGACCCACCCGCCATTCGGCGTGTTGGTCTGCCTCACCTCAACGCAAAATTTGAAGCTATTCAAGCTCCTATACAACATCGCCTTGAGTATCTATCCAATAAGGTAGTTTAGGACCTTCCTTAGCCATTTGACTAGCCTCTGTACTAGGCAGATCCCCTATATCTTCCAGTTGTGGTGTTTTATTGTGTCCTAAAGTTCCCGCTTTCCCAATCTGCCTAAGACCCTGCAGTCTTTCCACCTCTGTACGATCAGCAATATGGCGTTTTGCATCATATACAGTAAGTGGTCCATTATACCGGACCCTTATTGTTGATTTTCGTCTATCTTGAGGCTTCCGATATCGAAGGTGTTGTTGTAAATCATCTTTAAGCTGAGTGGCTAGTTTAGTGGCTTCTAGCGAGTTCTGGAATACTCGGTCAAAGCGTCGTACAAAACTCTGATCAAGCTCCGGGCTATTATTAATAAAGCTCCGGGCTTTACTAATACTTCGGTGAAGACCCCGTATTGTAGATGGCGGCGATGAGCTTGATGGTGGTGGTGGTGTTGTAATTATCTCAAGTCCTGGAGCAGTCTCTAAAGCCTCACGTAGCGGCTTTATGATCTTCTCTGAATCTAAAGGATATATACCTCGCTTCTCAAAGGAATCCCGGATTGTACGTTGTTTGAAAGTCGTTGTACAAATAGAATGAATCTGTTTTAAGAAATCACGCTTATCGTCCATCTCAGTGCCTCTCGAAGCAAGCTCATTATTTCGCTTGCGATAGAAGATTTTGTAGGCCTGAAAAGGTTGTCCATCGAGAGGCTGTACAAGGTGCGTTGTATGAAGAGGAAAACAGTAAGGTATAATATAATGCTGTCCACAAAACTAAAGGAATTCGTAGGTAAGATGGGACTCGTGGCTATCAAAAAATAGTAATCGGACCTCTTTTTTAGAGATACAGCACTTTGTATGACGGTGGAAGTGTTGAATCCAGTCAAGACTAATCTCATCTGAAGTATAGCCTTTAGGAGATAGAACTATTCGATATTCATCGGGAATATCTGCATCGTACCATCTCTCCGGATGATGTACGCCTTTGAATATAAAGTATGGAGGAAGAACAAAACCATCTGCTGCAATACACTCTATTGCAGAGATCAGTTCCCCCATTTCTTTACATGGATTCTCTCTTGCAGCTCGTACAGGCATAGTAGTCACAACTTTTTGAGACTTTCCCTGTCCCAGTTGGAGGCCTGTTTCATCGAAACTGTATATATTTTTTAGGAATCTGCTTGATAAAGGGCTCTAAACAGTCGAACCAGTGCTGAAAAACACCTATATACTCTGCATCAAGACGATCCCTATCTTTAGACTTCTGTTGAATAAGCTTAAACTCGTCTGGGAGACGTTTAATAAAGCGATAAGCCCAGTTCTTGTCAACTGTACGAGGTAGCCCGTCCGTTGTATTCCGCTGCAGTATTTGATTGGCACTCTGCTCAATCATTCCGGTCGTAGATGGACAATATAGATTATCAAGCTGACGAATCCAATGAATCAATGCCTTTTCCTGTGAGTCATCAAGTGTCTTGGCTGGGATAGGACGTGTATTTCGAGTAGCTCGGCCGTGAATACGTGCCCTGAGTCGATAATAAGGAACGTCAAATTGACGCGTCAACGCAGAGATTTTGGTGTTTTTTTTTAGCTTTGAGCGGCTGTACAGGCCTCTAAGAGTCGTTTCTCGATATCAGAATAAGAATCTGGCATGGTGGTGGTACGTAAAATCTCTGAATGGCTTCAAATTTCGCGTTGAGGTGGGAATTTGTGTTGAGGCGAGGCAGACCTAAGAGACGGCTACTCGTGCCTTCTTTGGATCTGATTGTGTCTGGCCATCTATCTGAACAGAATTGTCATCCTGTTGATCATGGCAAACTCTAAACAATAGCCGGATATCCATACTTTTGCTTCGGCTTCGCTGCTCGCCAACCACAACAATCGCTTGGTCAGCAGCAGCGAGCATTGGCAGGTCCAATGGACTATCCCCAAATGCCCATGTATAGGCCGCATGAATTTTCTTGGTACAAGAAACCAAGTACGCTTTCACAGAAGGGGTCACGACAAACCCGTCGGCAAGCCGTCCACCACCCATGATCTTCACCGTCTCGGGCAGACCTTCTCTTTCAATTATCTTTTCCCAAACTCGTCGCAGTCCACATGTCACGATGACCAGGCGGATATGGTTGTGACTTCCCAACCGGTGCAGAAGTGAAAACATTTGAGAATAAAGGGGCGTTTGTAGGGATACCTCTGTGCAGATAGCATCAAACTCGGCATCGTTGGTCGACTCTTCGTACAGCAACATCGCTTGCCTGAACGCGATATAGGAGTACCCTAGCTGGCTGCTGAATAGCGTGCTCAACGGACTAACTTTTGAGGGTGAGAGTTTCTCCCAGAATACCTCGCCCGTGTCCTGTGCCGTCAACGTCTTGTCACCGTCCAAGAAAAGAACAGTCTGGAGCTCATCGTAGTGAGTTGAGAGTGCATATTCCAAATGCTGCTTGGCGATTGAGTTGTTGTACTCTTCCCCATGAGCCTGGAAATCAAGTAGTAACTTGGATAGCTTATCATCGATATTTGGGTAAACGGTCGTGAACAGAATACCACGTTGACGACAAAGCTCACGGAGCTCTTCAACCTCCGTATCCTGCCAGCGACGTAGATGCTCAATTGACAAATTTGAACGACTTCTCTCGCGATCCTGCAGTCGCTGCTTCGCCGTTTCTTCCACAGGAGTATTGACATAAATTATGTGCGTGTATGTACTCAAGTCGTTGTCAGTACACACTCTCAACGCCGCTTGATTTTCGTTGGACCAAAATATGAAATGCCCGGTAACAACTCCAACTTTCCCGCTCTTTGTGCATTTCGATTTGATGCTGTCAATGGCGAGCTGGCGGAAGTGCGTCTGCTGCACGGTTCCTAGCTTCTTGAATGCATCGAGCCCGCCGGGGGTAACAGATTCAATCTCTTCCGAGCCTTCAAAGTATTCGAACTCCGATTCTTTGAGATCTTTCTTCAGTTTGTTCAGGAGGAAGGACTTTCCGCAGCCGGGGATTCCGTACAGGCCTATCACTCGGGGGCCGGATAGCGTAGGCATGTTCGGTAGTTGCGAGGCGTCACAGTGCTCTAGCAAGTTGGTTGAGTCAATCCTAGAATAATGCAAGGTGATCAGAAGGGTTGAGGAAGATCGAACTTGGAATTGAAAAATGAGGAGAGCCGTGGATGGTGTTCGCTTCTAGGCAGCTCTACACCCAGCAATAAATATAGTAGACAAGGAATAGAACATTGTTTGCTGCTGAAAATGCTGCAAAAAGCGAACTGCCAGACAAAGAAGTGCTGTTGGTGGTATCCTGTATTGGTTAACTTTCCCGCATATTCCTAATGTGGAAGAGAAGTTGCTGGTTGCTTGTGGGACAGCGGAGCGGACCCTCACGTACGTGACCGGGGAATTTACCCCATTCCAATGAAAACTGTCTTGTTACGCTATGAGCATATGGGCATCTTGGAGTATCAAGACTAGGGACCGTTATCAAGCCAAGATGCAGCTGCAAGATGACAATAAGCGTAGATAGTTATGTACATATATAGTGCTAACCAGGCTCCCTCATCAGCTCTGCTTGATCAACTCTCCACAGATATCAAAAACCCGCCACTCTGGATAATAAGCTGCTGCTTGAGCAGCTTCATTATTTTCACATTATGGCAAGGCCAGGGATATCATCCCTGTTCGTCCCCCAGCGACGCTCCACCACGTGAATACAAACGAACACCAGCTCATTCCGGAACCTTTGCATCCGCTTCCATTTTCCAGCTGGGAAATTATTAGTTTGTTTTCTATAAGCCATGGATGAGACTTTACCTGTAGTCTCATGTAGTCACAGAGAAAGTGGCCACACCCATAGTAACTATCAACTAACCCTCCTAAACCTCGCCTGATCAATTCCATGACGCAGCGCAACCTCATCAACCTTGAAGAAAATCTTCCTTGGATTTACCACCTCCCGAACAAGATCGTAATGAAGTGGAGCAGAGAGATAGATATGCAGTCACCCTATAAAAGCTCCAGCGTGACGTGTACTTCACCAGCATGTACGCATATACAGGCATATACTGTGGGGCCAGCATAGACGGTAGCAAGCGTAAGGGGAAACCATCGTGGCGCGCTTGGCTGAGAGAAAACAGCACATCGGAGGTCTCGTTAGGCTGTTGCCATCTCGTAGTTGCTGTTCTTCGCCCGGATAACTCTTCTCGAAGCCTGTCGCGGTGCCAGGAGATGGGTTGTTGTTTGGTTAGTCCTAAAATGCGGTGCCATTTCCTTAAGGAGCTTCCCATCTTGGCTAATTATATCTTCTTAGACTCTGATGCTGAAGGGATCGAATATGGAAATGAGAGAAGAGGGCTCTGCAGGTCTGCAGGCGTCCAAATGCTGTGTTACTTGACATAGAAGTCCATCAATCTCGTCAATATCTGCGCGAATCCATTGTTGTTTCCCAACACTGATGACACAGTCAACCCCGTTGTACCTTCTCCCAACGATCCAGATGCGTATTCTGACTGGACCAATTTCTACTCTGTCGCTTCCGAACAGCGATTACTTACATGGAAAAGATAGTGCTCGTTTGCAACTGAGTACGGGGATCTCCGATCATAACCTCCTGATATGGAGTCGTCTCGACGAGTACCCGTCGTTGCGCTGCGTGTTCCGCTTTTGATTGAGAAGATGACCTTGTTGGGTACAACTTGGATGATCAAGTGCGGAAAGGAGCTAAGAACGCCTGGATGTGTATAGCCCGAGCGGAAAATAATTGTATTTTGTCCTCATGGAACGTCTTGTTGGTTTCACTCAAAAGCTCGAAGCTTGTTTCTCTGATTCTGTCCTCAAAGACCTTCACTTTGGACCGTCCTTGACGGAAATCTTCTTCCGCGGATGACAGGGGTGTTTTGGACGCCCGTGGCCTAGGGCTGTGGTTGTGTTTCCAATACTATTGAATTATCACCGCCACTATACAGTTGGCTCCAGGTCATCTGCTCTTTGCTCAGTGCTGGGGGCTTGAGATTTCTGGTGCAGCTCTAAATGACAGATATGGCGTCCGCAGTTATGGCCAGCAAACGGGTATAATATAAGAACCTGACTGGCTGAGTTAGGCATTGCTCATATTCCACTAACAGACACCACTTATCATCTCCAGTCCGTGTCCTGAGTTTCCAATAGTACATACGACAGCCCATCGATGGGAACAGATTCAATCCGATTTGGTGTATATCAACTTCAGGCCGTTGAAACTCGATTCCAATATTCAAGGAGCATTCCAAGCAGACTAAATGACCGCAAATTAGGGATTTGAAAGGCAGATTTAATCTTCCTGAAAGATTTACTTCTCATGTTTTCTTCTAAGATTATCATTTCGTCTATTCTGAGCCGTTCATGCTCTGAGCTGGTAACGGCTCCTAGCGATGGTGATCATCACGATGGTTGTGGGTCCAAACAAGCTTGTATGATCCACCATTAGGCACTGGAACTACTTAAGCCGTGTAAATATCTAGGGTTAAAACGTTGCGTTGAGGCTGGTACTGGTCATCCACTAGTTACCTAGGTACTCTCACGCAAGAGTTATCATGGCGCGCTGCTCCGGAATACGTTTTCCTACCATCCATTTTCTCTTCCCACTCAAGATCCTCCAAGTCTCAAATGCATTATCGCTCCCGCCATCCATTTGCCGCCTTCGGAAGCTTGGCTTTGGCTCGCTCTCACAGCTGAGCTCCACCGCCTATTCGTCGACAGAAATGTCGCGCGATGAAAGTGCAACAGACCGTTCTTGCAAGTACAACTGGATTGATGGTGCAGAGTCACTTGAGAAATATAAACCCGGCGGCTATCATCCTATCGTGATAGGAGATATGTTACACGAGCGATACCGCATTGTAGACAAGCTAGGTTTTGGCGGCTATTCGACTGTTTGGCTCGCCCGGGACACTCACTTAGGGCGCTACGTTGCTATCAAAGTCGGCATCGCAGATGCACTTGCGCATGAAGTCAAGATTCTTCGAGTTCTATCTGCACCACTGCCGTCACCGTCATCCTTACACCCAGGGCGCAATTCGATCTCTTTTCCTCTTGATGAATTCAAGTTGCATGGTCCAAATGGAACACATCCATGCTACACTATGATTCCCGCACGATGCAATCTCAGAGAGGTCTCTTTCAGTCGCCTATTTCCTATTGAGGTTACTCGGGCGCTATCAGGTGGGCTTACGCTGGCTCTTGCGTATACTCATTCAAGAGGCTATGTTCATGGAGGTTTGTCATGGCGATGGTTGCAACTCTGGTTCTATTCAGCTAACATCCGTGGCATTTTTACCTAGATGTTCATCTCCGAAATGTCCTAGTCAAACTCCCATCAAGCTTCGATCAGCTTTCGGTTGAGCAACTGTATGAAAAATACGGTGAGCCTGAGACAATCCCCATAACACGATACGACGGAGAACCGCTTCCGCCCAACATCCCGACGACGGCAGTAATACCGCTCTACCTTGGTAAAGACGCGGAAAAATTCTCATTAGCAGACGCGCGCGTGCTTCTTAGTGATTTTGGCGAAGCATTTGCCCCGGCGTCAGAGTTTCGTCGTGGGGAAGATTGCCATACCCCGCTGGCTATGCGGCCCCCTGAAGCCCGATTCGAACCGCAGACCGCGCTCTCTTATTCAGCAGATATTTGGAGTCTGGCCACAACAATCTGGGAGATTCTTGGCATGAAGGCCATTTTCAACAGCGAGTTTGCGACTGCGGATGAGGTAGTGTCTCAGCAAATCGATGTGCTTGGACCCATGCCCTCAAGCTGGTGGAAGCGCTGGGAAGAACGGAGCCAATTTTTCGATGAGAATGGGCATCCAAAGGAGGGTCGGTATGTGTGGCCTCTGATTGACAAAGCATTTGAGGAAGGTGTGCAGATGTATCGACGGAAGCGTAAAGTAGGTGAGTTTGATGAGGAAGAATCGGCCGCTATTCTTGACTTAATGCGCCGAATGCTGGCATTTCGGCCGGAAGAGCGACCAACAGCTGAAGAGGTCCTTCAGTCCGAGTGGATGCTCAAGTGGGTGTTGCCTGATTTCGAGCGGAGTTTAAAATCCACCTCTTTGGAAAGCTCCAAGGAGACATGAATGCCCGTAACTATCCACCACTCTCAAACCGGCAAGCCATGTATAGAGCTAATGACGCGACTTCGTATTGAGCGCCCTGTCTCCACAGCCCATCCTAGTACAAGGGCCGTGACGTTCGAACGTGCACCACTTGTACTTGACCGGTTTTAATCCGTAGAGTTATATCAATGCCACTGACAACTAGTTCCGTTGATGCCTCGAGCTGAAGCACCCTGGATATCATTATCGAATGAAGGAATCAGGATGGCTTCGAGAATTCCAGTGCGAAAGCGGTGGACATCTTGTGCGGGAGTTTCATATCACAGTAATTCCACTGGCCATCGTGGTGATTTTGACCCAAGCGGCCCCATACTATAATTACATTGAGGGACAAATATCTTCCAGACAGGAGGGACTGTGACTAATACTACTAAAGGGAAAGAAGCAGTAGCACTGGAGAAGATTATTATGGCTGACGAGCGATACTCTATACAACTGATGGGACAAAATATTAACCCAGTGGCCTAGGGCTGTGGTTGTGTGTCTAATATTGAACTATCACCGCTGCCATAAATTTGGCTCCAAGTTACTTGCTCTTTATTCGTGCCTGAAGCTTTAACTTCTTGGTCAGCTCTAAATGGTATATATCCGCCTCCTAGGTTATGGAGAACCTGACCAGTCACGTTAGACATCGCTCATCTTCCACCAACGAACACCACTTATTAGGTGGATTTACCTCCTGAGTTTCCAAGGAGAAATACATACGACGGCTCGTCAATGGAACCGGGTCGATCCTATTCAATCCGATATGGTCCGATCTTGCTCTCTCTAACCTTTCTCATCAGGCGAAATGCTGTAAAAAGTCTAGCGACAAACCTGGGAAGTGTTGGGTATTCGCATATGTAAGTTGACCTCGCGCCTTAAGTAGTGGGGGAAACAGTTTTATCTAGCCAATTGTATTGAGCAATCACTCTCTATCAGCAAATTCTGGCTGCTTTTTCGCGCCCCTTACCACATTTTGTGCTCTCTATTTGAAAACTCATATTATGAACGGCATCCCGCTACTTTCCACAAACTACTTTGATATTAATGGTTCGCATTGTAGCTGATACAAGCCAGAATATTCTCTGCCAGAAGAGCAATTCCGGCGAAATAAAAGGGACAGTAATATCGGACTGGAGGCCCACGTGCAATGTTCGGTAGGGACCGGAAGTTAATGAAAGGGGCGGCGATAAGTGCAGGATAATAGGATAGGAAGAGGGAAGCAAAGGGAAAGAGGCGGGGAAAACGACATTAGATCTTTTATGTCGATGTTAAGCAGTTCAAATCTGATTCCGAATATTCAAGGAGTATTCAAAGCAGACTGTATAGCCGGAAACCAGGAATTCATAAGGCAGAGTTAATCTTCCTGAAAGATCTGCTTCTCATCTTTTGTTCGAAAATTATCCTTTTGCCTATTCTGAGGGTCCTCGTCGCTCTGCCTTCCAAAAAAGTATGCCTCTGAGCTGGTGACGGCCCCTAGCGATGGCCCCAAGTGATCATCATGATAGCCCTGATATTAGTATATATACACTCCTCATGTGCACTTGGAACTAACCCGTGTAGGGTTGAAAATTTAAGGATTGAGTTCTGCGCTGACCCGCCCCTGAAAGGGCTTCTGAACCCTAAACACCATAATCCACTGCTGAGGTAGTATCAAGGGATCGCATTTATGGATCCCCACCTTGAACCAACACTTAAAGGTCGCTGGCAATTATATACGAAGCTCCAGTCCGTCTACATGTCTGAAATAGCTCTTATTAATCCGCCTTAAATCAAACAGGGATATTAACAAGTTCTCTCCGAGAATGAAGACGCCCCCACGTAGGATCCTGATCATTGTGGGTCGAGATTTCGCTTTACGTGCTTTTGCTTAAGCATCCTGCTCTTGCTCAGCTGGTTTATCTTTCTACTATATGTTCTGAGTTGATTAGAGGCCGATCCTGGTGCAACTTGGGGGCTAGGCAGTCGAAGGATCAGGACGACGCTGTCCAATATAACTAGCTCTTCATGGGTCAGAGTGGACGTACGTGGAGACCAGACATTAAGAAATCAGTAAATCAGTAAATATCTCACTGAAAAGTGTGAGGTGAGAGTCGGATCTAGACATTACTCATGCAACATCCTGCTCAGGTATTTTACTAGCGAGACTGCCATGAAAGCATGCTTCTTGATTCCATGAACATTTTAACCCTGTGAACTTTGCTTTCAACCTACTTCATCCATATAATTCCTTGACGATGCATCTCGCAACTCTTGTCTGTTTCTGTATCTCCGCTGCCTCTGCAGTGAAGCATTATGGCTTGACGCCCACCGAGGACGTGAAGAATATGGTCGAATATCACGCCCGGGCATTGTCGGGAAATGATATGAATATGAACCTCACCTCTTTGTTCACGACAGACAGTCAGAATTTCCATGATGGAGCCGATTTTCTGGCTGCGGAGCTCGGTATCTTCAACAAGACTATCGCCGACGTTTTCCCCCCGCATTCCTTCAAGATTGGAAACAGCTCCCTTCAAGCCAGAAGTGCTATCAACGGTGAATGCCAGGGCCATGGCAACATTGAAGATAATCTGAGCAGCAATCAGATTACGGCCGTGTGTGCTGCTATGACTTCAGCTGCAGTTGGTGGTGTAACCGGACTTATTGGTGTCGTTGATAGCAAGGTTTGCGTTGAGGCTGGTACTGGCCATCCACTACCTTCATGCAAGAGTATTTTCGCGATCATCAATACTTCTGGTGTAACATTCACTAGTATCACGGTCAATACCTATTGCCCTCAGTTCCTCAGTTTCTTTGTGGCGTGCCATGGCGCTGATGCAGAGGCCACTGCAAGCAGCGACAGTGCCTTGGAGTTGACTGGATTCAACTCTCAGAAGAACTACAACTGCCAGGGGCCCCATCCGAATGAGAAATGTATCGAGACGTCCGCGTGAAAGCTTGCTGCTATATGCATGGCCCTATAGCATATATACTACTTGCGAAGCCCATCAAACTGTCAGTTGTGCGAACAAAGTTCCTAGGGACTTGGTATCTTGGATACGTACATACACTCTTTTGTATATAACAAACAGGGAGGCCTCTCAGAGATGGCATCCTAGACACTAATAGAAACTTGTTTAAAATTTTTGCAATGAACGCAGACACACTCTCTAGCCACGAGACCACGGCTATTCTTCATCGTTGCAGTCCATGATGTATTTATAAAGCAACAATCGCTAGCCTTGGGGCTATTGTTCAAGACTACATGCTGACCAACAGGGAAGATTTGATAATGCAGCACTCATAGCTCAATACGTATGCCTACTGCGATCATAATAGCTCATGCTAGGCGTCAAGTCTCATCCTTAATTCCACTTTCACTTATTCGCGAAGACGATATTGGAGCTTCCGGTACAGAAAATTAAATAACGTAAAAAACGATGCATAAATCCCACACTGAAGGTAAAAATTGTCGGACTTGAAGAAGGAGTCTCGAACATAGATGGTGACCATGAGAGTCAAATAGTTAATCACAAGTGTCACTGCAAAACCTCTCCATGAAAAACCCTGCGGCCTGGGAGGCTGAGCATGAGTTGGAGGGACAGAGCTGCCACTGTCTTCGGTCTTCATATTGCTAGACATGATATTGCAACACGATTTATGTACTAAATCAAGCACTGGGGTGTTAATTAAATGTTTTCGAGTCGTTCATTTGAACAAAATGAATATGTGTTTCCTACCTATACCCAAGTCCAAGAAGTACCTCCTATTTCACTTATATTCCGAGTTGGGGACTTGTAGACAGTGTGAAGGATATCGTTCAAAGAAGAATAGGACCTCGCAGGAGATATCATATGATACTCCCAGTGTCAAAGAACATAGACGGCCTCGGTGTGGATGCAACAATAAACTTCTAAGGCTGCTGCTGGGGGCCACGGTCGGATTATATATATAGGGTACCGTGACCATAAGTAACCCGGGGACACGTGCCTGACCGCCCTACTTAAACAAATCCAAAAATGCCGCAAAGCAGCAATTAACATTATTCGGTCCAACTGGTTCCCACTAACGCACGAAACATGCAGGGCTAAGAGCTACATGTATTTGATTAGACACGAAGCGTCGAGGATTAAGTCATTGCTGAATGATTACGGAGTACTGAGCGATCACCGAGCGGTCCACTAGCGGAAGGGGCCAGTTCCACGACCTGCTCAACCGAAGTGCAATTACTTAACCCGCGGTCTGATGAACATAGCTGGCTGTTAAGATCCCAGCACTGGCCGCATAGGTAAATATGCATTCCCTCACCCGAGAAGCCAGCAGCGAGATATTGATTGCAGAAGCCGATATATTTGATAGCCTTAGCACTAAGTGACTTTGTAATGGAACTGCCGTCATTAGAAGCAACTAATCTATCGCCGTATTTCGGAGACTCCCTACTAGCTAGGGGACCCTTAGCGGGACGAGTCAGCCAGAATATTCCTGGACCATTTGTTAGTTATAAGGTTGATTGAATAGGATTATTCCGAGAAAATCGACCATGCGGGATTTACCTATCCTGGAACTGAATCTTCGTTGTTCTCTTCCCCAGCAATTGTTACATTAAGCTAGTTCATTATTAGCACTGAGAATCAATGCTTCCATGGGGATTGGTGTGTATATGTGAGTTGCTGGATATACAGCGGTTAGGATCTGTAGCCACTAATTTTCAATAATATCGCTGTCAGCAGTGGATGTTGCCGAATCACAATTGAGATGAAAGTGTCTATGTTCGAAGATGTTAGATGATCTACTTTGGATTGACTAGATTATTAGGTTTGAACGTAGGAATATAGAATTTGTTTTTACACTTGAGAAAGTCCAAATAGATTTATTCTGATCTGTGTGAAATTAGGGACAAGTAGCTTTATAATCTTGCTGCTAATTGCATGGCTACTAGTATTAATAGTTCCAACTTATCTGCACTTTGCGATAGGTACTATCGCTAAAAAAGCACTTGATTTATTGTGCATCTAGACTCTTTCAAGTACAATGAACGTCTCCTCCCTCATGAGTGTGGCAGTTCTTTTAAAGTCAGCATGCACATAATTCTCACTAGGGCTTTTTGAGAACTTACAGGAGGTAGTTCAGACGTTGTTGATGGAGCTTCTGTGGTAGTACTTGTGGCACTCGTGGTAACTGTGGGCTGAGTCTCATGACTATGGGTGTGCTCAGGACCTGGACATCCAACCCCAGGTACAGCGATGTCGTAAGCGTAAGACTCCAGGGCAAAGTACTGCAATGTGTCCGAGTTATGCGTCGAGAGAGATCCATTGTTGGCCGCTAGTTCAAGTGCTTCGTCGTAATCACTCGAAAAATGTTCAACCAAAGCTTGACCAACTGCTGGCATATGGTACAGTCGATGTAAAAGGTCGCCCGCCCAGAAGGTGTTCGTCTTAGAATCGGCGACATTGTATCCGAGTGCACACATAGTGGACAATGAGCGACGAGTTTCATAGCTGAGATCACAGATCACGGTTTCATCAGTGGCATTTTCCCCTCTCCAATGACCCCCGTACCCTATAGTCCAAACATATTAGCATAAAGTCTTGCTTTCTCTATTCCAACCTCTATTCTTTTCCCTCGAGTTTATAAAAAGTTGATGGAAGATATAACTAACCTTCCAAATCACAATTGCCGTCTGGATTATCACAACGGAATAGGACTCCCCCTTTGTCGCCACTGATAATGACTTCATACGCTCCAATTGCTTCTAAGGAGGGTCTGTTACCGAAGTATTTCCTGTAGATCTCACTTTGGTTGCCCCAACGCAATATGTGATCTCTGGCATGGGACGCAAGATCAATTGTCTCTTCCAGCGCAATCTCTAGCTGGCGACGTTGAGTTGCGTTGCAACTCAAGTGGATTGGATATTTAGTGACAGCACCTTCATTCCACGACGATTGACTGAATGGGAGAGCTTGCTTAGTTTCCTGTGCTGTAACAGGAGCTGGTGCCCCAGCTACTGTAGCAGCACTAGCAATGAGCAGGAGAATATTGGAGAGACTGATCATTGTATCTGGGATATGAATGGAAGATGATTGACTTGGGAAGGGGGGGGGGGGGGGGGGGGTTAATCTTTTCAGGCAGGAAATGAACAAATATCCAGGTTACAACATGAGTATAGGTCTTCCTTATATAGTTTCTGTTCCCTAAGGAATAGCTAGCCATTGATAAATACTATGACAAAACATGACTTTCGGGGAGAGGGGTTCCAGTGAAATATCCCCGTTTTCATTATCTCATTTAGACTTGGCAAATCATGCCAAGGTATACTTTTTGTAGTTTCTGCGGGATATAAAGACACCTCTAATGGGGCTAGATATCCTAACGTGCGCCCCATTTGGTAGCTTATGAGTCAAAAAACCTCTATCGTGGGTATTCATTCGCTACGAGTTTAGCAACCTTCAGCCGAAAAGAAGTTAATCTTACGAGGAGGGAAAAAGATGAAAAGAGAGAGAGAAAGAAATGAGAACCTTGTTGGTCAGATATCTAATACTTCCTGCAATATAACTGTTAAATCGTTTGTAATATGAAGCAGTACTGATATCAATATCTACTGGAAGCTGCTGCAATCACTGATCGAAACCAACTTTATTGCGTAGCTTTTGTCCTTCTTGTTCATGTAACACATACGAGATCATAGTGAGTATACTGAACCAACAGGTGCAAGTCTTCTAATTGTGCATTTCGGGAATCCCGCGCGCTGCTTCTTGGCGACAACACGCCAAGCCCTCCGCCCAACGCCAAGAGTCCCTCTAAGCATGAAATACTTCCTCCACTTCGAGTAGAAGATACAGGCTAGATACAGGCCGAAGATGCCAAGGATGTCCGCAATAAGGACCTTGGGAGTAAAGTGGTACTCAAAGGCCTCTAATGGCACCAGTTTGCTCATTACTTTTTTCATGTTGCAGCCGGGCTTTGAAAGTCAATTTACGGCTCAGACACGACCTGGAAGCGTATTTAAATGGCAACTAACAAATTCTTTGTGGTAGGATATATTACCTTGTTCTCGAGAAATTATTTTTGAAATAGTTTCGGCTACGACTCGACTATATATATCCCATCTTCTGGCCGGTTTTAAGGGAAAGAAACATCGTCGTGATCTCTTATTTTAGCTATCATTACCATGGCTTTGCTTTCTTTTCTTGTTGTGTTGGTAGGGTTGAGTCTTGTAGCAACCCAAACAACATATACGGGATGCCATAATCATTCCAACGTCGAGTGGTGCTACGGTCCGGATGGGGAAGAGACGCCGTTAGCAACATACACATTACCTTCTTCTTCTTCGACAGTGAATCTCCCTGTATCAGTTCCTGCTAGCACAACTACTACCGCCCAGACAGCTTCTGTGACAGGATGCCACAATCATGGGGCAGATATATACTGCATCAATGGGGCTGGGAAAGAAGTGCTCATCTCATTGACAGCCACACCGACGGGAGAACTTCCGGCGCAGTATACTGATTGTCATTCTCATGACACCGATATGTATGTGAATGAGACCTTTTGTATATACTTTCATTAATGAGCCATAAACTTTACAGGTACTGCGTTAGCCCCGCTGGGGAGGACGTGCTGGTCGTTGACGAAGGAGCTGCATCTTCTGGTTCTAGCTCCAGCAAGGACGGTGAAGAATCATCATCAAGTGGACAGAATTGCCATTTTCATGCCGGTGTCGAGTTAGTCTTACCTCTTTTTTGACCTTCAGATTCATATACTGATTAGAGATATGTGTAGACACTGTGTTGGCGCCGGTGAGTCCGAATCCGAATCCGAATCTTCTTGTGAAGTCAGCCAACGAGACTACGATGTTCCACTGAGAATTGGCTCCATTTTTGTGGTCCTCGTTACCAGCGCTATTGGAATCTTCGCTCCTGTCCTGTTTACAAAACTGTCTCTCAAGACGTTTAACACAATGGTATCCGTTTCCATTAAGCAGTTTGGTACTGGTGTCATTATTGCCACCGCATTCGTTCATGTATGGTGTCCCCCGCAACTAAAAGAAGCATGGAACTAACCATTTTCACTTAAGCTCTATACTCACGCGTCCTTGATGTTTTCCAATGAATGCCTGGGTGAGCTGCAATACGAAGCAACCACTTCAGCCATTGTGATTGCGGGTATCTTTATCGCGTTTCTCACTGAGTACATCGGCCATCGAGTCGTATCCGCACAGTCGACCAAGGCCGAAAGCACAGGACCTTCCGGACATACTGCTGAGACTACTTTGGGAAATGAAACGCTCAAAGCTCCACCCGCCGTAGGTTCACAGTCTGGCCAGACACTCCTCCAATTAGGACATCATCATGGAACCTCCATGGACCCGACACTTCCCAACAGCAAGCTGTCAGTTCTTATCATGGAAGCTGGCATCCTGTTCCATAGTATACTGATAGGCCTCACTCTCGTCGTTGCCGGGGATTCATTTTACAAAACACTCCTGGTTGTGATTGTCTTTCACCAATTCTTTGAGGGCATGGCGCTCGGTGCCCGGATTGCGCTCTTGCCAGGCGCTATATTCCCATCGAAAGTTATTATGGGCACCGCATTTGCATTGATAACTCCCATTGGCATGGCAATAGGACTAGGAGTTTTAAATTCCTTCAATGGTAACGATGCGAGCACACTTATCGCGCTTGGAACACTGGACGCACTGTCTTCCGGGATACTGATATGGAATGGTGTTGTCGATATGTGGGCAAGAGATTGGATCATTGAGGGGGGACAGCTTCTTAGTGCAGATATACCAACGACACTCGTTGGTGGTTTATCTCTAGTAGCTGGGCTGATTCTGATGAGTGTGCTCGGAAAGTGGGCATGAACACTGTAGGTATTTACAAAGGGGACTAGCTACTTCGTCAGCATTTTCTGGAATTTTTGATATTGGAGGGACTGTTGATATATCCTTTTGACTTATTTTATCAACATGACTGCCTTCCTCAATAAGCCTAGGTCTTATTTGCTTCCTGATGGTAGAAATCCGACGAATCTCTTGATATGGAGTGTTGGGGCCTTCACATAACCCGAGCAGCGGTTTTATAGATAAACTCACGATTACACAATAACAGGAGCTTAATTAGCGGTGGATACAATAAACTGAAAAGGATAGAAGGATAGAAGTATCCTCTACTATACACACCACTAAATTTATGTATAATAAAATAATTATCGAGCTGCTTCTTCGGGCATGCGATGTCCGGTAACTCAGTCGGTTAGAGCGTGGTGCCAGTACCGCCCATTGTCGCGAGTTTGGCCCTCGTAGGGACAGCGTCTTCAATTTTTACCTCCTAACCTCTCATCCTCGGGACGAGAATAATTCGTAAGGAGATATATATTTATCTGTTTGTATGGTAACCTAGAGAGTTCCACGAAGTATACCTAATCATCGGCAGAGATAGTTCCTGAAAGGGCGAAAGCAAGAGGTTAGGTGTCCTCCGCCGAGAACATAAACAATCTAATAGTATTTTTTTTATAAATAGAAGACTTATATATCAAATACTAATTTAATACATGTAATGTCGGAGCCTGCCTACAAGCAGACCTCCTGTCGGGTTTCTCCCACGTCTTCTAGCTCTACTCACAGAGATAAATAGGCTGAGCTAGTTGCTAGAGAATTCAAGCTCAGCGAGCTTCGCTCCAAGATATAATATAGCACTAGCATTATACTTTTTGATCATTTATACTTTGTAAACAGAATCTTTGAAGGTTAGCAGAGGGTTCTCTTAACATTGTCATGTGCAAGGCACGCAACCCATTGCTCGCACTCTCGCCCTAACTCACCTCGTTTGCGCGATTGTAAAGCAGCTCTCACATGTTACCTACCCGGGCGAAACCCAGCGCGGTATTGATTGTAGAGAAGCCACACGCCGGCCAATTAGTAATTGGGTGGGTGACCAAGTGTGAATCCTTGCTGGCTGTTGTACGTTTTTGTTTTTGGATTCCATTTCTCCTCACGCCGTCTCATTGTTCCCCGTTGGACAAATGTACGAATACCAAATCGCTAAGGCCCACCTACGGTGTTCCATCGAAGAGAGGGCGATATTGTTTCTTACGGGTCATTCTTCTGACATATATCAAATGAATTCGTTATCATTAAGGCAAAAAAATCAGTTATCCCCGCTCTCCGAAACGGGAGCGTAGGATCTCCTTTCTCTTGCTGCCTAATAGACCCATGTACAGTTAGCTTCGGATATTTTATAGCTTCTGCAAGCAAGGCCGGAAATCGGACAGAACACATCGGGGACAGGACTGGGGGATATAAGAAAAATACCTCAAGCCATTTCTGTGCCCACGGCTTCACAGCCGCCCAGGCAAGTAGACCTCCCGTCGCGAAAATGAAAATAAAGACTACCGCCTCATCTTTTCTGGAATCTCGCTCTGTAAAACAACACAGCATATTAGTCGCCAATCCAGAAGTCTTATCCAGTATCAATCAAATCATCCAAGGATTTTTAGGCACCACTCACGAAAACAAGTCGTAAAAACATCCTCCTCCTTCGCGCCCTTACAGATCGGCAAATTATAATCGAGGCAGAATTTCCGATTACAATCATTACAGTTCGGCGCCCGGTACTTCTTGTCCTTTTCACGGGTTTCCAAGAACGATGACGATGACGATAGATCCGTACCAGCCGTCGAATCGGAGGGGATTGGGATCGAAACGTTCCCGTTTCGTCGTTCCAGGTCAGGGAGCACGGATGAGGTGCGCGGGTCCGCGGGGCCGAGTTGGATGATTGTGCTGTTGGAGAAACAGGTGCATTTGCAGAATGAGGCGGGGGCTAGTCGTTGCGAAGTGAACTGTTAGCTTTGGTTCAGATTCTCTTGAGGATAATAATGGCAAATGACGAATTGGATAGAAGAAGATGAATGGGACATACTTGACCCCAGTACCGGGACAGGGAGATATGATGCGACCAGCGCAAGGAGGAGGATGAGTGCGCTTGGTCTTCGATGTCGGAGGATCATCTTGAATAGCAATAGCTACCTAGCTTTCCCTGAAGTTCGTAGTTGGGATCTCCTTATTCCGCTGGCGCAATTATGATCTCCGCCGGATCAGTACAGACAGGATAACCAGTAAGCTCGAGTCGAATATGTGGGAAAATGATCAATGTATCGTGAGGGCGCAATCTCATCATCGTCATCATCAACAAAAGCAGCCGGCAGCTTTCCACTGGTTAAGTAAGTTATCTCGGCGTGGTTATCAGTCCTGCCGGATTGTTCCGCCTTCCTAAAAGAAACTCTCAAACTACTTAAGGTATGCTGAGATTTCGCTTAGTATTTAGTATAGTTTTAATATTTTCAAAATTAGTTGGTTATATAATAGCTATTATGAATAAAAGAATTATAAGCTAATAGTGAGTTCTTGGCCTAAGGCTTCATGCAGTCTTTGGATTCGGTCTTGTAGGCAAAAATTGAAAGAGGAAATAGTCCGGATGTACCTAATGTACGCCAATCATACGAGTGAACCTGGGGTTCAACTCGAGCAGCCCTGAGCGCCGAGAAAAACAGAACTCTTTCCAGGGAGCCTTGCACAGTAAGACTGATACAGAGGGAGGAGGAGCTGGAGTCTGTTTACATTGGTGCAAGGAAGAAGACGATCTCAGGTCGTCCAGCCATGCTGATGCACCGCTACCTTTGAGTAAGCGCACCCAATCGAGGTCTCCCAGAAGGTGGGCGAGATCCTAATAGGATTCATAGTCATGCCACTGGCTGCAGCCTGGTATTTTCACAGCCCTCTGTTGAACAGTTGTCCCCGGCCTACCAAGCATCCCCTATCTCCACATCCTTGTCGGAATAATAGTAGTAAGGATCATTGGAATACGAATCCTCACGGTCCCAATAGTAGCTGCCATCTGCTGGATGCTTGATGCCCTCAGACTCCTCACGGTGCCAATAGTGGCTGTCATCCGCTGGATATTCGATGCCCTCAGACTCCTCACGGTGCCAATAGTGGCTGTCATCCGCTGGATATTCGATGCCCTCAGACTCCTCACGGTGCCAATAGTGGCTGTCATCCGCTGGATATTCGATGCCCTCAGACTCCTCACGGTGCCAATAGTGGCTGTCATCCGCTGGATATTCGATGCCCTCAGACTCCTCCCGCATACCCCAGTAGAAATCTTGTGACTCTGATGTAGATCGTGGCTGTGCACCTGAGTGTCCCCCTCGAGAGGAACATTTCGCAGTCTGCTTCTTAGCTGTGGGCTTTGGCGCATCATCAGTGGTAGCAGAGGTAGCAGCAGCAGTAGTGGTAGGTCTTGACTGGATACCCGGATATGCACCTCGACCACGCCGCGCAGTCTGGCGTTTCCTGACTGGAGCATGGTCACTGGTGGTTTTTGGCTCCGTTTCCGCTTTGGATGTAGACCTAGCCGACTGCACGCCTGAATATCCTGCTCGACCGGTGCACCTCGCGGTCTGGAGCTTTCTGGCTGGAGTCTTTGGTTCATTGTCAGCAGCAGCAGCAGTGCTTTTTCGTTTAGTGGTCTTCTTGGGTTCTTTTCCATTGTTACTATCATTCTCCATTTCTTTCTTGGCCCTTTTCGCAGAAGATGTTGATGCCCCCTTGCTGCTGCTGCTGCCTCCAAGATTAAAATTGATATTCACAGTATTTGCATTGATCCCTTTCAGCCCAGCAGAAACAATGGCAGCGGCAATATCCTGACCATCATCAGCAGCCTTCCTCTTTATCCCCTTCCCCGTCTGCTTCGACATTACTGTTCCTTCCTTGGCCTTCTTCGCCTTCTCCGCAGCAGCAAGCTCCTTCCTCGCCTTCCTTTCATTTGAATCCCATTCCTTCTTCAAATCCCGCTCCAGCTGCTGTAGATTCACAGGAATCTCCAACCTGCCCTGGTTCAGCGCATCCAGCAACCTCTTCGCGGCTGTGCCCTTGTTGTCCGATGGCTGCAAACCGTAGTGCAGCAACTGCGCTTTGTACCAGTGGGCAGGAGGGTCCTTGGCCGTCGGGGGCTGGCCAGGGAGAGGGTGGAAGAGGGCCTGGAACTCTGGGATCGTCGCGCGGCGGTGCTGGTTCTGGTTGGAGGAGGTAACATAGAAATCGCCGTTGGAGTAGTGGAAGTTTTCTCTGGAGACAGGAGGCGTTAGGAACATGGCAGTGCGGGATGTGGTTCTGTGGCAGTGTCAATTTCCTTAAAGACAACTTCTTACGATCCGCTGGGAACTATTGATATGTACAAACTATCTAAGAGCGACGTTAGGGAGGCAGTTAGTTGTGAATTACGTTGTTATGATAGCTCAATCCGAGGACCTCATAGATATGCCAGTACTAGGTACTTAACGTTACCTACTGTAGTTCTGCCAGGGCTTACCGCCTATAGCTCTACTACTTATTAGGCAGCTGCTAGACAGATCCATGGATTCATCCCACTATCTTTATCCCCCACTTCAATTCAGAATACAAGAATTATCTCTATTCTTTTGCTAAGAGCAATAAATAGATCTCAACGTTACATCTAACTTATCCCCCATTACATTGCACTCCTTCCTCAGCACTTACTTGGCTGAAGAGTGTAATTCTCACTGGCCAGCGTCACTGCCCAGTTCAGTGATGAATAGATTACAAAGCTCTTTATCAATAGCCAAGAGAAAGCGCCCGGAGGCTGAAAAGAAATAAAGTATAACAAAATAGGCGAAGGATCAGATTGAAGCTGAACAAAACTTATTAAAAAGCGAAAGATACCCTACAACCTTTCTTGAATTCATCGAAACCTGCCATATACACATATTTCAACTGCTACAAGTCGAAACAAACAAAGCATGCTCTACAGGAGGCTCATTGAAGAGTGAATGTTATAGATCTCACTGGCCAGCATCACTGCCCAGTTCAGTTGTGATGGATAAATCTCCAGATTACAAAGCTCTTTATCAACAGGCCGAGAGAGCGCGCGTGGAGGCTGAGAGAGCGCGCGCAGAGGCCGAGAGAGAGCGTGCAGAGGCTGAAAAGAAACAAAGTGTGATAGAACAGGTAAAGAACCAGATTGAAGCCGAACGAAACCTATTGCAAAGCGAAAGACAGCCTACAACCTTTCTTGAATTTATCGAAACCTGCCATGTACACATATCTCAGCCGCTACGAGTCGAAACAAACAAAGCACGCTCTACAGGAGGCTCATTGACCAGTCCGAAAGGCCGCTTATGCCCTAGTTATCTACGACCATGGAAAAACTTTCATTGGGAACAGACCAAGATATATGAAACCGCTATTCAGCTGCTGCAGTCCTCTTCAAACCCTTGCCTTTTCTCTTCCAAATACTCGATTCACGATCTAGGCCGTCGCCTGTGCCGCCGTCCATTAGCGAGCGAGGAGGATCTGCAGGGCTACCAGCGGTACGGAGTGGAGGACCAAGTTCGGGAAATAATTGATGCCTTGCAGTCCGTTTCGGATATCTTTTCACCTGGGGAGGGGATTGAATTTGATAACTACGTCAACGCCTTTGATAAAGAAACCAACTCGGTGGATGATCAAGCGCGAAAGCGCTCTATCCCTGATCAATTCTGTGTATTTCGAAAGGGCGCAAACCGTACTCTACTCTTCAGCATGGAATACAAAGCTGGTCACAAATTGACGGACAGATATCTGCGCGCAGGCTTACGACAGATGGAATTTTGGAAAGAAGTCGTGCAGCGAGTGACCATACCGTCGGAGGGTGAAGAAAAACTATTGTATCATGCCGAGCTGCTGACAGGCTCTGCAATCGTCCATGCCTACGATGATATGATCAATCGAGGCACATCGTTCGGCTGTCTGATCACCGGCAACTGCCAGGTCTTCTTGCATGTACCGGAAGATCAACCTGACACGGTGGAGTATTACTTGGCTGAACCGAACCTGGACGTGCAAGCGATGCGAGACCAAGGCGACGACGAATGGATGTATACACCGGTCACCGCAGTAGGGCGACTTTTTACCATGTGTCTCATGAGCATTCAGTCGCCAATGCGAAACCAACACTGGCGGAACCAAGTCATTCCACAACTCCACGTGTGGGAGGTCGATTTTGAGTACATCCTTAGTCAACTCTCAGATGAGGAAGTACATTCCAGTCCCGCGGGATCTGAATATCTGCCCTCGTCTCCGTTAGCTACCTCGAGTAGAAAGCGTCGCAAGCGTACCAGTTGCCGACCGGTGGAGAAGGGAGACTGCCCTCCTGACGACTCTGATTCGGAAGATATTTCGCGGAATCCCGACTCCACAGCAAGAAAACGTGCCTTGACCTTCTCTTCTTCACCCCCGCAACGTCAACATCGATCGGGCTGGCAGTTTAAGAGGACGGATGATTCGATGCAAGAATCTTTGGATTTCTGTACTCAACGCTGCCTGCTGTCATTGAAAACTGGTGACTGGCTGGATGAAAATTGTCCAAATGTCGATCGTCACCGAAAGGCTAATAGCAAACGCCACCAGATTCATGTCTCTGACTTCTTGCGCCTACTCAAGTGCCAGCTAGATAATGATTTGGACCACTACTGTGCCCCTTTTGGGGAATCAGGGATCAGCGGGTTCCCTTTCAAGATCAGCTTGATGCCGTTCGGATATACAATAGTTGGAAAGGGGACCACCGACCGCCGGTGGCCTGTCGTACGACAAGAAGAAAACGTGTATCAAATCCTCCATTCAGTGCAAGGCTCGGCTGTCCCCGTTTTCCTCGGCACAATCGATATCGACTGGATCTATTTTTACGGAGGTGTTAGGATTACTCATTTCTTAATCCTTTCATGGGGTGGATATCCGTTTAATCCACGCTTCTGTGAAGAGGAACGGCGGAACGAGTATCAGCGAACAAAAAAAGATATTCGACGCTTGGGCGTGATACATGGAGATCTACACGAATCCAATATACTCTGGAATACAGAGCTGGGTCGCGTACAGCTCATTGATTTTCACAAAGCTAAGCTATCACCATCCAACAAGCGAAAACAAGATTCGTTGAATTTGTCGCGTCCAAGGAAAAGGATTTTTACGAATCACGAAAGTGACCCCCAGCCCACACCGACCTTGCGGGGACCTGCCGCCGAACATATAAGAGACATCTAAAAGCTCGTCGAAGCTCTTAGATAGCAGATCCGGGTGATAAAGTTCTTGGAGTGCCCAGTCCTCTTTGCCTCGATCAGCGGATCCGCTTCATTCCCTGCATTCGTTGCAGGCCCCTTTGGCATCAGTCACTCCGTCAACCAGTGTGAAACAGTTCTCGCGCTGGCGAATGATACTGGTCTTGCGGGTGTTTTCCCGTAAACCAAACAGCTTCTATATGGCTACAATACAATCTCTCTCCCTCCGAAACTCCACGTGGTATATCCACCTTGCTGTATTTGCGTGACCTCACGTGGCCAACCAGTGGTCAACTTCCTGTTAAATCATTAGCTGACTAGTTAGTTAACTAAGTATTTCTTATTAGTCAATCGCTTATTGATGTCACGTTGCTTCTTTATTACCTTTTTTCGTAGCATTAGGTGATTAAAACAAACACTACCTCATCCATTCTTTCCTGTTACTCGCACACTAATGCTCAGTCCAAACAGTATCATTGATCCCCCTTCTCCCCGACTTTTCGCTGGCCATCGTGCTATCGCACATATCTTGAAACTCAGCGGCGCAGGTGATTATATATAGCAGATTTTGCGAGGCATGGAGCAAATAACTGTAGAAGCAGATGGGTCAACTAATTTGGGGAATATAATGAGATTACGATTCGATGGCTAGTTAAACCAGTTAGCTGCATTTTAACCAGGTATACACTGATGTGACAGGCAAAAAGCGTATGAATATTCAAAACCAGGTTTTTCTCTCTCTGCCGCCAATAGAGCTTGACCGCACAATTCATTGCTTCCTATCCATACACGAGATCCAGAAAAGCGCGAGGCGTGCCACTGGTTGCCTTCACGAGCTGATCCCGCTTCATATTATCACGGACGCCTGTGTGGCCGTATATTTCGTCTTCAATATCCTCCCTCCATTGGGTTCTTTGATCCCCTTCCGGGTAAAAATCCGCTGGGAATTTTGGTTCAAATCTTATAAAAAGGGGCATTCATTAATTTCTATGGTATATATAGTTATCGCCGTCTATAAGAAGACATTCTGCTATAGCATCACGACCGCCCCTTGAGTCCCTTCTTCCGATTCTCTCTCTGCCTCTTCTCCTTGGCAGCGTCCCGTCTCCTTTTTTTCCACGCGCGATTGTTCTCACCCCGATGCTCCCAGAACCACTTGGCAAAGTCACTCTCGTCCTTCGGACCTGAATCATTTGTCCTATCGGCATCTTTCGTGGATGACTTTTCGTAGTATTCTTCATCATCTCCCTCTTCATCCTCCTCCTCCTCCTCCTCCTCGTCGTCGTCATGCGTTATGAATGTGGTTCGGTTAGGCAGAGCAGTATCGGGAGTAGGTGCGGCGCTTCGTAGACCACGTTCCTGGAGATCCCTCTTCGTAAATGGAGTCTGCGGTTCGACAGTCGCCATCTCAATATCACCATCTTCGTCCTCCATATCCTCTCCGCCAAAGAAGGTAAATTGTGTATTTTCTTCCGGGGCCTTGTCCTTCTCTGCCTCCTTCGGGGCAGGTCGTTTGAAGAGGGCCTCCAACGGGTGGACTTCAGTCTTTTCCTCCGCGGGGGGTTTCTCTTTCGAATCGTCACCTTTATTCTCATCGGAATCTGCAACAGAAGAGTTGTCCTTATTGCCAGAAGCGGGTTTGTCTTCAGCTTCTGACGATGCATCGGATTTTTCATTTTCGCCATCGGAAGCCTCTTCAGCGGAGGTGTCAGCAGAGACATCTTCGCTCTCTGAATCTGATGATTCTTCATCCGAGGAGCCACTGGATGACGTCCAATCCGTGTCCGACTCCTCACTTGACTCTTCCGCCTTTGTTGCTTTCTTGATCTTCTTAGATGTTTCTGTGGACACTTCTGATGACTCCTTCTTCGACTTAACGGTGGCCTTGACACCCTCCTTCTGCCCTGGCTTTTTGCTGCTCTTTGTGATCTTCTCACTGGCCGGCTCTTTCACATTTCCTTCGCTATCGACCCAGCCCTTGCCTTCTACAAACTCCGTTGACACGCTGTTTGATCCAGCCTCAGCTCGTAGGAATGACGGGTGCGTCACAGTCTTCGAGAACTCGTGAACGGTGACTTCGTTGGGAGCCTTCGTCTTCTTGGACTTTTTCTCTTTCTTCTGCTCAGGTGGCTCCACGGAGGTTCGATTGGCGGGAGTCTTGGTCCGGAAGAGACACTCTGCATTTTCCGTATACTTGGATTTGGCCTGCGTCTTGGGCTTCTTGTCATCCTTCTGTCTCTTCTTGTCGCCCTTCTGGCGCTTCTCTTTCTTGGCACTGGCAGGCTCCGTCCAGCCTCTCTTCACGTGGCGATCTGATGGTAGTTCATAGCCCTCCAGAACCCCGTTTTCTGACTTCCGCTTCTTCGATTTTTTCTTTTCGGGCGTTGGTTGTTTTCCCGCCGCCTCTTCGTCCTTTTCCTCCTCGCGGGATCGTTTCTTCGGACGAGCCTCCTCGACCTTGAATTTTTTGCCCTTGAGGATGGAGCCGTGCAGCTTCTTCTTCAGTTTGTCTGCCTCCATTGTGGGAAGGGTCACGTAGCCGTAGCTGTTCTCAGGAAAGGTCTGGATCGAGTGGAACGAGACGTCTGTTGCGGAGGGACGCACCGAGGGCGCGAGAACAGAGTCGAGCAGCTCCGGGGTGAGAGGAGTGATGTGCAGGCGCTTGGTAGTCTCTGTCATCGCAGCATGGTCCCTACAATATAGATGTGGCAGTTTGAAATGCTCAATTGTTCGAGACAACAACAACAGAAAAATTAAAAAAGGGTGTATTCGTCGACAAAATCACTGTACTAAATGAGTCGGTGCTCAGATTTTCCGCTGGTTCTACTGGAGAACTACTGTGGCGCGTGAGGCTAGTGGCTTCCTCAGCCACATGGCGAAAAGACCTTAAGTTAAGATGATGCTATTATTATTATGATCGTGAAGTTAGTTAATAAGAATTAATTATGGTAGTTTGTTCTGTCTCTTATTATTTTATTAGTAAATCGGGAGTAACTGTATCCTATAAACCTATCTCATATAGGAATATAATAATCACTAGCTCGTAACTCATTCTTGTGCTCAGCCTCCACTTCCCATATTACTACTTCTTCTTCTCCCCGGAACTGGCAAGCCAAGCGGAAGTGATACACGCCTGGGCCCATCATCTCCCTAGCCGGTTTAATCAATGCTAACTTAACTAACGAACGAACGAACCATTATTATCGCATGATTCGCATCCCATCCTCCGCCCCGGCGATCCCCCGTCTCCATCTTTCTCACTACTTCCTTTCTTTCACTGTCGACATCTCTCCTCTCCCAGACTAACCACACTCGACCTGCTCGACCTGCTTGCAACCGTTCTGTCATTGACTATCTATCGTCCATCTCTCCATCGATTCCATCCAGCCATCCTCTATCCCCGACCGGTTGGGTTCCGGACCTTCCATTCGTCTGCCTTGGCATCTGATCTCATCGCCGCTCGCGAGGAGCCGACCCCGGTCGCTCACATGGCCACATTGGGCTCCTTATCGACTTCTGCAGAGGATCTTCCTATTACCCCTCGTCGCGCCAACTGAGTCACTCGCCACCACCCTCCAGACCGCCAGTCGATAGCGGGAGGAGGACCTCATCGTCGTCTCGTCGTTCGGTTGATTTGGTGTTTCTGTATATACCGTCCTTCATCCCGTCGATCCGTCCGGGAGAAGCTTGCGCGCTCCATCACGTCCGACCCGGATAACGATGGGTAACGCCCAAACCAAGGAGGCACGATCGCCTCATTCCCAGAACCACCATCGCACCCGTCACCGCAGTCATGATTCTTCCTCGGGGCACGGCCGATCACCGTATTCGGGAGACAGTTCACGGGCTGCGCGGTCAAGCAGACCGGATCTGTCCTTCCTCGGAATTGGCGGAAGCTCGGATAGAGATGTCGCCATGCTCGAGCATCGTCGAGAAACCAAGCAGGAGAGGGAGGCTCGTCGTCTGGAGCGAGAACGTGTAGCCCGGCTCAGGGAACGAGAGCGCAGTATGCGGGAGGAGCATGTTGATGGGGGATATCTAGTGACCCAGGGAGTATACGTGGGCACGGAAGATTTCAACAAGGCTGTGGTTCGACAGCTGATGGTATGTCGTGCGCCGTTTCGCGTGATCTCGAGGATGATATGAATGCTAAATGCTTGTGTAGATTGAGCGTCGATTGGCACCCTTCTGGCGGGGTCTGAATGATTTCTCAGACTCGTGGACCGAGCATCAGCTTATGGCTGCCGCGCGAGGCATGCCTATTCCGCCACCTGACGAGATTCCTCCAGAATTACAGTACAAGCTTCCCCAGAAAGCTCCCGATGGGACGGATTCATCAGACAGGAATATCAACAGCTTGACAGTTCCTATCGCGTCGCGGACACCATCTTACAATTCCGACGGCTCACAGGGAGGCATTCCAGCACAGTCCTTGCCCTCTCCAACGTCCCCGATCGCCTCTGCTACGGGCTCGACAAGTTCGCCCTTGTTTAGAAGCAGAGCGAAGACGCTGGCCGCACTGACGAAGAATAACGCGCAAAATGACATGACTCCGCGAGAGATCATGCTTCCGCACGATCCATTCGTGAATGGGCAACCCATCGAAGCCTATCTTTATAAAGATGCTACCGAATGCCCTATCTGTTTTCTCTACTATCCACCATATCTGAACACCACCAGATGCTGCCACCAGCCCATCTGCTCAGAATGTTTCGTGCAGATCAAACGTCCCGACCCCCACCCTCCAGAGCATGGCGAGGCCGATCCTGATGCACCTCCAAGCTCAGATGACACGCCAGCGGACATCCGGCTGGTTTCGGAGCCTTCAGCGTGTCCATTTTGTGTCCAGCCAGAGTTTGGTGTTACATATACGCCACCTCCTTTCCGCAGAGGACTTGTGTATGCGGGGAATCCAAATGCCCGGCAATCCGCCTATCCAGTGTCTCCAGTCTCGTCGTCATCGTCTCTTGCACCCGAGAGTGCCAACCAGCAGACGGGACGCCGTCGTGCGACGTCTTTGTCTGCAAACGACCCCGCCGTTGTAACGACGGATAAGATTCGCCCTGATTGGGCTCAGAAGCTGGCCAATGCGAGAGCGCATGCTGCAAGACGGTCTGCGGCTGCAACAGCGTTGCATACCGCCGCATATTTGATGAACCCCCCGTCGAATGGTGCCGAGTCGAGGAATTTGCTTGGTAGAAGAGGCTTGAGGAGAACTGAAGATGGAGCCACGAGTACTCGCACGGGTTCGCCCGCCTTGAATGCTCTCGCGTTCCTGACGGAGCGACAGCGCTCAACTAGACAAGACAGCGATTCTGTCGAAGAAGCGCCCAGTATGTTGGCACCACCGCGCGAGAGTTCCAGGCGGAGCCGCATTGATGACCTCGAGGAAATGATGATGATGGAAGCGATCCGGATGAGCTTGGCCAGCGAGGAGGAGAGACGCAAGAAGGCAGAAAAGGAGGCCAAGAAGGAGGCGAAGAGGAGAGAAAAGGAAGCTAAGAAAACCGAGAAATCTCTGCGGAAGAGTGGTGGTGACAGCAACAGCGGTAGCAACGTCGCGCTGAATGCACGGCCTGGTAGTTCTATGGGGAGAGCTGACAGCAGCTCTTCTTCCGTCATAACCGGAGACGAGACGTTATCTGCAGGCAAAGGGAAAGGCGTCGACCGCGTGTCGCCCGCCGTTGCGGAGGCCGCATCTGCAGATTCTGACTCCATGCATTCAGGCTCAGTTACATCTGCCCCTCAGCTCTCGATTTCCAAACCGGATCCTGACCTGTCCTCCTCGTCCGCCGCCCAACCTTCGCCTACGGAGCCGTCGAAGCGTTCTCACCTGCGGCATGTGTCGAGTGCGTCGTCTTCATGTTCGTCCCTTGTCGAGTCCACCTCAGGAGAACATATCGGATCCAATGGTCCTGCCGGCAGCAATACGTCTCTTGAGCCTATGTTCAATTTCCGCAGCCTGGCTGCTGTTATTGGCGACGAGGATAAGCATGACGGAAGTGCAGAACACGTCGAGAATACTGTTTCGGGGCTGCAGGCAGAGAGCTCCACCTCGCATGTCCCTGAAGAGTCGGGATCGCACGAGAAGACAATGTCAGACTCCGACAAGATCCAGCCTGTACACGACAGCGTCGGGTCTACCACATCCTTGCCGCATGCAAATGGCGACAATCTCGCGTCTAAGGAACTGGAAGCGAATTCGGTGGAGATTACGGGCGCTAATGGGAATACTCAAACGGCAAGCTGAATAGGTAGCACATCCTTTTTAAGCTAGTTGTTGTTGCTACTACATCTACAGTATATGTGTCCTTCTTTTGTTGCGAGGAATCATTTTTCATTGTACCTACGGGGTAGGCTGTGGGATGAAGTTGGGCGACCAGGCGCATGCAGCATCGAGTACAATCATGTTCCTTTGTTTCCAAGGCTTTGTTTACACTCGTTTCTCAATAGCATTCTTACATTCATGGGGTGTGTTCGGACACAGGTCGTCCAGAGGATGGTGGGCGTCCACGGTTTTGTATAGACCGTCCCTGGTCAGGGATAGATGTCAGTTTTCTCTTTCTCCCCCCATCGGAATTCTTCACGAGGCATTCGCACGTTCTTTTGTGGCATACCATTCTTACATTACATAGGAGCAATGCTTTGGAATCTGTCTAATCTTGCCCTTGTCTCTTTCATCTTCGATAGCGGTAGCGGTAGCGGTAGCGGAAGCGGTAGCGATATTTATCGTGATAGGCGGCATCACGAGCACATCAGCAACAAGAAAAGTATGTATGTACATCAGCCTCGAACTTGACACGGACTTTGCAAGTAACTGTTCAGTCCAAAGATGTCCAATCTCAAAAAAACCAACATGTATCATCCGGACAGCAAGATTGATTGTATAATTATCAATATCAAATTAGAATTTCATACCTCAGTTTCTAGATACATTATTCATGATTATGAAGAGATTTCCTTCCTGCCAATCGCTCGACTACCTCCATTCCCAACACCTATCCACAGTTGTAAAAATATAACAAAGCATAACTCCGTAACACAACCCATGCGTGCGAGGTAATTTCGACACTTGATTGCTGGGAAACTGGAGTTGTTACGAAGGAATTATAAACCAACTAGGATCTGTTCAACATCACTTAAGCTGAAGGCTAATGTAAATGCAGGGCGGCTCTTGTTATTATTATTATCGTAGAGTATTTGTAGCGTTGGTGAGCACAGTATATAGTTATATAACTCCTATTCACAGCTTCTCCCTTACAATATAGTAATATCTCATTATCAGAGATAGTGATCACGAATCTGATTTCAAAGCTTGTTCACTACTCTCTTCTAGTTGAATATCGAGGAAATTTCCTCTTGTTTGCAGAAGACACGGACAAAGTTCTGTTCTTGAATAGAGCTGTGTAGATTTAATCGAAATAATCGAAGATATCGAAGGGTTGAGGAAACATTCCCACATCCTAGTCTTGGGGATAACAAGTCGTGCAATTATCATTGGAGGAAGTTTTGGCGGTTTCCTCGCCGCAGAAATATGCTATAAACTTATCCTTCTAATGTGTGTCGCATTTTATCTGCAGCATCGTCAGTGGCAGGATTATAAGTGGAAGGCGTTTTTTTTTTTTACACGCTTTTCTTACATGTAGTTAACTACATATAATCATGATAATTAACCAATTTTGTTTATGATTCATTTCGTATGAAGATAAAGCAGTGCCTAGTTAGTCGTATGTAGAAGACGAGCTTCATCGAATTCCTGCCCCCCCCCTCCTCTAGATATGATATGCTGCATGTCGTTATATATGTATGTATGACAAGAATTTATCTTCAGCCATACCTTTGCATGTGATAACCCAGGTTTCGAAAAGAGTACTCACTCACTCACTCACTCACTAACTGATCTTATCTCGATAGCCAGCTAGCTCATCGAAACAAACAAAATATGGAAGCATCGCCGTTATGACTCGCAGCATCATATCGAATCCCGTGGTATGATTAATCAACGGTTGTTTGCAGACTATAACATCGACTATTATACATATACGAAATAGGCTATTCGAGGAATAACGAGATCTGTCGCTGCTAGTTACCTACCTTCGGGATTTGACAAGCCCTTCTCATGGTTGGAAGGTAAGTAGGGGGTATAATCTGCACGTGTCCGAGCAATCATTCATTCATTCATTCCTATGATGCCTGACGATGGTGGTCTACGATTACTTGCGAGGTTGTCAATTTTCTTATCTACGCTACGCTACATACTCGGATGGGGCCGGTGATAGGACCATAGTATCTTGTCATGTGCCCTTTCAGCGTTGGGTTGGATGTGACATCTACCTACTTAGAGCTAGAGACATCACGTCGCTTCCTGCAGTTCAAACGCTTTCTGCATCTCAGTCAATAAAGCCAATGCTGCACATACAATAAGTATCCAGTCAAACAAAACCCGGTTAAGTAGAATACCCGGCAAACAAACAAACAAACCCCCCATCTGGGCTCTCCCGCCCAAAGCGCGATGGAGCATATCGAAATGCCCGAGTCCCCCTCCCCCCAAAAAAGTAGTGTGTGTCTGGGTATGGTAACTTATTCCTGGGAGATAATCTAGGTGGGAAGGGAAGGAGTCGATTTAGTTAGCGCTGGGATGGTTCAACTAGATACCTAGTTATCCTATCCCCTCGTGATGGGGGCCCGACGCCGGGGACCGGACCAATTTCCGCGCATTGCGCGCCGTTGGGAACTATGTATATCTATCCTTACTTAGCGGCAACTACTAACTAGTTACTATCTTTGCAACGCTGCTCATTTTATTGCAAAGGCCAGGAAGAAGATGCTTACGCGGTTTTTGCTGGGCTCGTTCTGTCGGTCTCTCTGCCAATTTTCAAGGTTGTAACGTCAAGTGACTGGGAAACAGCGAGCAGAATCCAAAACTTTCCTTTTTTGTCAGAAACCAACAGAAGACCCCCTGGTCAATTACTCAAGAACCAGAAGAGAAGGGTCACAGACGCTAAGCTTCATCTTGACAATGCTAACTACCTAGGTAGCCCGTGCTCTCTCTCTCCACTTCTCGGCTCTAAAATCGGTCCTCATTAAATCCCGACACTTAACTAGACTAGACGTAAATGTGACTTAATCAACATTATTGAGTGCCATGCATCCGTGGGGTTGAAATATGGTATGCGAAGCAGCGGCCGCTGACTGAGCTCTTGAAGCTTCAACTATAGCGTGTCAGCTTCGAAATATATAGACTGTAGAGACTGTAGATCGTGAAATCGAGCTATACTTACACACGGGTAGTCTCACGAACATACCATACTTGCACATTCGCTCCCTGTACAGATCATAGCCCTCTCTGTGTGGCTAAGTTTATGGTTGGTTCAAAACGAATTCAAGATTATCCGCTAAAGCGCTACGCGCGGGTCCGCAATATCCTGGGATATGGAGGGGCCCCAGCTAGTTATTATCTTCCTAACACAGATTACGGAGTACAATTACAAGTAGTATTTTGGTCCGTGCTAGCTAGTCAGAGACAGATCCCGGTGACCGGGCCCGCTAAGCTACTGTACAGTAGTAGTCTGCGAACCTGAAGTAATAATTATTGTTAGGTATGTTCTTGTACATCGTCCGGGGTAAATGGGCATAGTCGACTACTGGATGTAGTTTTATCTTACTAGGCTGGTCGGCGTTCCAATAAGCTGAGTAATTGCTAGCTAGATATTCCTATTGCGGTGGGAGACTAGACCAGCAGTCAATCAGTCGATTGCGTCCATGATGGCCACCTTTCTTTTGATTATAGCTGCACGAATTTGGCAGCTCTTCAAGCGTTACCCAATCCCAACACCTGTATAGAGATTTATTCGACTATCCAGCTCACTGAACGGTCTATTGGCGATGTAGAACCTGCCGCTTGGCGTCATAGTCCTATTACTCCGTAGCAAACTCACCGCGACTGAAACGAATGGCGAGACAATAAGACACAAACCTCATCATAACCAAATCAAATGCTGCTTTGATAGGCAGTCACACCTGGGGAGTGATTCAAACCCCGAAGTGCAGGCCATTTGTTGGTGCGAGGGGTCTAGACTCATCCCGTAGAATGGGCCCAATTTTGGGAATGCAGTAGCCCCTGCTAGTTATCCCCAGGTACGGAGTACCCCGTGCCATACAAGGCTCAGCCGTCGCGTCGGGACAATCGGTGTCTCCATGCAAATGATGTCGAAAGCTTCTGCGCGCCGTCGGTTCCTAGGCGTCATCTTGGGACGGTCCAACAGCATTTTCCGACTTGTTTGTGGATCAGAAGCAATAGCTGATGCACAATCACTATAACGGTTATCAGGGGCAGAGATGACACGCAAACCAGCAGGTTTACTCAGTGGTTATCTAGCATATTTTACTTCCTCTCATTTGCTCGTTCGGGGTTTCCATTAGCTGCCACTTTGGAGATCGTAGTTCCCGGTTACATGGTATCTATACCATGGATGCGGATCATCGCCACCAGACCAGAACAGGCCCGGCCACAGGGTTGTCCTGAGGAATAAGTGTACTCTATTTCATATCGAACTAAGCAAGCAGACAGGCGGAGACCAAAGAATTCGACAAAAATGAGGCGCAACGCTCACGGATATAGGTTGTGAAATAGATGCACCTCTGCTAAGTCAAAAAGTCAACAATGGGTCAAATCCCAGCATATAGCAACCCTTTAGCTCTCAGCCAGAGATATTCCATGGAAAATGGTACAAAGCATTACATTACCAAATCTCGTGGCCGGCTGCGAGTAGTTAAGAATCGAACCCAGCATTCTTGCACCAACTGCAGGAAACGAAAGGTGAAGGTGAGTGAATATACACTCCGCGATTGTGTCTGGCCAAACTTACGATTTGTATTCTCTCAGTGCGATAGAGTCCAGCCATGCTCTGCTTGCTGCCGCCGTGGGGACGGCTTTGAATGTACTTATGTCGCCAGTGTCGAGAGTCGCAAGTATATGAGACAAGCCGAAATCATTGCGACATTGAAACACAAGATTGAGGCTCTAGAGAAGGGAGATCCGGAAGATCAAACATCCTGTGAGACGCCAACGGCCGACGAACAAAATCCTGCTTTGAGGACACTTGATAAAATCGCCTTTGGATCTGCCGATGAAGTTGCAAAGATCGTCTCCCAGCTTCGTGGGAAGACCGATTTGTCAATATCCCCCACCGACAACCCAAATGATGTGGGACAAGATGCGGGCCGCAAGAGAAGACGCAGCGACGATGAATCCTATGATGATGACCAAGGTCCCTGCGATCATATCAAGTCGCTGGGTTCGGAAACGGGATCGCTAGGGAGCCAAATGAATAGCTCTGATGATACAGCCTTATCAGAATCAGCTGGCACGTTGGAAGTCTTCCAGGACGTCTTCCTGGACACGTTTCTTTCCCATTTTGCACCGGACGACAACTGGCGCTGCAATTCTGACCTGAGTCACCATGAGATGCGTTGGTTATATAGTGTTGCACGCAGTATGTCGTCTCTGCCACACTCGAGGCGAGCGCTACACTCCATTGCCACGGCATCCTTTGGAAAACTGCATGGTGATGCAAGAATAACAGCCACGGGACACTCCATGTACGCAGCTACTCTGGAAACCTTCCGTCGATCAATTTCTACCCGGACAGTGTCAACGGATAGCCTGTGCACAACATTAATTTTATGGCTGTTCGAGGTACTTAACTCCCGTCGGGAATCCCAGGCTTTATGTCCCTGAAAACGTACTCTGTGCGGACGCGGTATCTGCTGAACTAGATGATCAATTACAGTACACCTTGTGGCTGGCTGTATCACCTTTATGGTGCTGAGGAACTGTTCCAGCTCAAAGGTCCAGACGATTTCGCATTGGGAGTCGAGCATGAGCTTTTTCTCTGTTTTCGCGAACATGGAGTAAGCAGAACCAGGCTCTGCAAGCCTTCAAAAGCAAAATCTCTGAGCTGACACGTGAATCTTGGCTGCAGATAATCGCTTCCATGATAAAAATGCAGCCCACTTTTCTTTCTGATCATAAATGGAAGACGCTGCCATGGTCACGAGACGTACCGTCCAAGAATATATTCCACCGCCTGCTGGATCACGTTGCAGATATTGCAGGCATCTTTGCTCTGTATTCTCGAATCGAGGTGCAGGCCTTCTGGGAATACATATCATTATCTGAAATTGATGGATTACAGCAGCAGCTAGTTTCTCAGGCAACGGATGTAGTCGATCGTCTCCGAGAGTGGAAGGCAGAATGGGCTGATAATTACGCCCAAGGTCAGCCTTATGAAGTGCCCACTCTGCCGCAAGATCAACGGCAGTCCTGGGATACACAGGGTTTCCAGCTGCCGCCATGCCCTCATCCTAAAGAGCACAACCACGGACGCTCAGAAACAAGTATATATTACCCCGACTTCATCCTAGCGCATAGCATGACCCTGTACTATGGGTCTATGGTATTACTCTCGAGGATAGGTCATGAATCCTCTCTCATATCAGACGAAGAGACGGAAGATATCTGCCGTCGAATTTGTCGAAGCGTCGAATATCACATCTTCTTTGCCCCCGGTGGGCGAGGGGCCACTGCATTGATGTTTGCTCTGCGGCAAGCATACCTTTGGTTTCCTGTCGATAGACCTGAGAGAGAATGGTTGGAGGATCTCTTCGTCTGGATGCGCGAAATGGTACCGCTGGCGGTAAATCAACATGGGCGCCCGCCATTCTCAGAGAGAGATATGGCGCGATCACTTGCACTTGGGAGGCCAAGTTTATAGGTTGGCGGTATGTGGATGGTCTGTGTATTGTACAGTTAGTTGGCGCCTGTCGGCTTCATTGGTTAATCTCAAGGTTTGCGGCCGGCACTGCCATATACCCAAGCAGGTGGATATGATCTCTTACGTCCGATTCTTCTTTATGTTAAGCAAGTACAGTTCACATATCAGATATCAGGGAACATTGTAGCAATGATATAAGCAGTCGCTATCATATAATGCGGTCTGCTTGATCTCTTCAAGTCGGCTGCACGACGAATGTCATGGTACACACAAAGATAAGCTATCTCTCATGTTCTTTTCTGAGTCAGCGCACATGGAACGCGCACATGGTGAACTATGATATTGATTACTTAAATCTGAGGGGAGATATAGAAAAAACACTGTTCTTGAGCCATCATCTCAGTAATAGCTGCGTCCGCTAGCCACCTTGAGGGGCGGGTCCTTCCCGATGTGGAAGGCGCTCTGGGCGGCATTTCACAGCCAGAGAGCAAGGACTGTCATTACTGTTTAGATTTAAGTATTAATATTATGCGATAGCCGATGCAGTGGATATAGCCTCTTGAGCAGCGTGTTAGAAAGCTCGAAGTACAGCTAGCAGTTATTCTATATCATTGTATTGATGATTATCTTAGGTACCCAAGACGCATTATTCACATCCCATGCTTGTTTTCTGTGCAGGAGAATGTACTCCAAGCGGATCTCTGAGTAGACTAAGATACTTAGTGCAATTGCTTCGAGAATCTGCTTATGAAATTTCGGTGCCCCTAGGGGCTCCAGTAGTAGTCGCCCGCGCCAGCAGCCAGCTTAGTCAGCAGAGTAGTGGCCAGATAGATCAGTTCAGCTCAGCCCCTAGATAGTTGCACAATCAAGCATCTTCGTCAGCTCCAAGATGAAACAATGATTTGAGATGCCACCTTCGCGTTCCGAGATGATTCACTGCAGAGCACATGTAAGCATGGGCCTTGATATAGAAAGCATATGTCATGTCCAATACGTGATAACGTATGCAGCAGATGTACGATCTATATACATCTCATATCCGGTCTTCGAATGTACAGGTGACCTTCGTGAGAGGAAGAAAGTACTTACTCCCATTCTGCAATGATATTTGCTTAGTTACAACTGTCGATAACACATGCGATTGTGCGGAGACATACCTTGAAGCCACTCCTTCACAAACTTAAGTTCTTCCTTTTGAGTGTTGGCTATAGGCTTCGGTGGGAGTGTGGAGGTCGTCTCGTTCGGGAAAAGTCCGTTCTCATCCCCTTCGACAACGTTAGATCACATATCATATATGCCTGCTGCTTCCATCTGATACTTACAGTGATGTACGGCACCTTCGATAAGAATGAATGGCTTGTCCACCGTATTGGGTCTCTTCGGGGCCTGATCCGCATGGGGCGTGGCAGGTCTCCACGGGTCTGCTTGTCCGTCGATAATAGCCAGGCGGGGATAACTGATGTTCCAGCCCCCATATTTGTTGATGGATTCGGTATCAGGAGGACTAGTGATATTGAAAGCGTACCGGCATGGTATTGTGTAATACGGGATGTCAATCGAGCGGGAAATCAAGGGGAGTTGGTTACGGGGGACACCGCTGCCGGTGATAACAAAGCCCCATCTACAACAGTTAGCAACGGGCGTGGGGTTCGATCAGGGAACCTACTGTGTACACCATTGATAATCCCAGCTTCTCCATGTTTGATTGAGATCATCCTTGGTATAGCTATCCACTATGTGCTCAGAGAAACAGGCGTCGGCGCTGGAACCTCCGCTTAAACACGGTCCCACCTGGGTCAAATTGAGATATCCGACAAAATTGAGCAGACGGTGGGTCAGAGTCGAAGATTCGTTCTTGTATCCTCCAGCCGAGATCAATCGAAGGGCCGCAGATTCCTTCTTCTCCGTCGCAGCGTAGAGCAACGAGCTGGAGGTGATGTTTCCACAGTAGTACGAGAAAGTCGGGTCATTCAGTGCTGGGTCCCAGTTTCGGTTCTGCCACGCTCCAAGCGGAGAGGACAGGAGATTCGCAAAGTCGTTAGCATAAGTGAGGTTTCCCAGTCCGAACAAATCCTTATATTCTTCTACGTGAGTAGAGTCATTCTTGCCGAGGAAGTTGTCTAGGATATGGACGAATTTTTGCGTAGTCGCAATACAATCCTGAGGGCCAAACTGTCGAATTGGTTCGAAGTATTCCCAATAATCATAGACGGCCTTTGTCACCCCAGACGATGAGATTGCTCCAAAGAAGACGTCGGGATAAATGACTCTCGAGAGTGCGGCGAATGCACCTGCGTAGGAGCCACCGTAGATAATATGCGGGACATTTGGCGCGGTGAGGTTATGATCCTCGAGTCCCTCAAAGACGACATTCCGGGCAAAGAAGGCAGTATCCGCCAATGCCTGCTCCGTGGTCAAGAAGCGGAGACTTTCAGTCGAGAGATCAGGAGTGGGAAAGCTCTGTCCATAGTACCGGTGCTCAAGCACAACACCAATACCATTTGTCGCTTGCGCGAGTTGAGCAAGGATTCCTTTCTGGAGATACGGCAGGCGGTCTGTAGCACCACATCAGCGATGTCCTCGGGAGAAATACGACACGCGAGTATTTACCGCTCCCATCGGTTTCCCCCGCCGCAATTATGATAACTGGGCCACCTGCCTTGTAATGGCTAGCATCAAACCAGTAGCGGAGATTGAACGTTCCATCGCTATGCGGTTCGTATCTCGATTCGTTGTGGAAGTGATCGATGGGCACCGATAGGTTGTGAGCAGGGTACAATAGCGAGGGATCTACGTCTGCTTGCTGGAATACAGCCGGTTGTAGCTGTGCCTGGTGAGATGGTCAACTAATAATCTCGTCGCAGTTGAGTTTGCGGGAATTGACCTTGTTACGGATCGCCTTGGTCGACCGCAAGGTTCGAGCTGCCGCGAGCTGGAGCAGGAGAAGCAGAAACGCGACCAGCTTGAGCTCCATCCTGTCCCGTCGGAGTAATACGCGCCTGAACCGAAGGAGGTGACAAACGCCACTACGTACCTGGCAGGAAATGTTTCTCTTTAAATGTGAAATGCGGCCCCGTTAGCGTCCTGCGTGATTACTGCTTGGCCATCTCGGATCGGAGCGTGGCCATCGCGCGGCATAAATAAAAGGCGCGATGGTGCTAGTTATGATTATCAGGTAACATCTTCCCAATCCGAATAAGGAAGGTCGATCATCTGCCGGAGTTGCGATCGACCGGGACTCCGGAAAGCTCTTGTTGAAAGAGGAACTTGATGGTCGATAATTAACTTAGATAGTTAGTTAGTTAGTTAGCCAGTCTTATTATTCATCGTCGGTTCCAAACAGGTTTAGCACCTCCATGACTTCTTCCTGTCTTCACCCTCTTTGTTCACCACAATTGTTCACTGCCAGTCGATTCGACCTCATAAAGCTCAAAGCATTCGCATTTCCATCTCTATCCTCTCATAATGGCAGACTCCAGACTGAATGAGAGAATATATATCATGTCTACCGTATATGGTTTTCCCATAACGTTACAGCAGCACTAGTACATAAACTATATAATTCGCCTCAACAGTATGCAGGTTTCTTACTCCCCCTGGTCTTCTTGGAAATCTATCCATATGCTATCTCCATCTAATACCCATGGCTATTCCATAGACAGCGGGTGGTGATATTCTTGCTATATCCGGCTTTGGCGAGTACCGTGTGAGCGAGGACGAGTGTGCTCAAGGCACACACGATTACCGGTATAATATTGGACATTACCGGCATCGAGAATATGCTATATCTTCGAACTATATCCTATCTTCTACCTAACAGGAATTTTACTCCTTGCTTATCGATCCTTCTTCGCAGTTATATCCACATTCAATTAGTTACTTCACCACCCCAAGATTAGGGAATCATGACTACTCTTCTTGATTGTGTAAATGATTTACTACTTCTACTTATATATTGCAAATACCTCGCATCCTGGGCCGTGAACCACGCCTGCCATTCTGTAAGTAGCCATCGGGGCTCTTATATTTCGCACTCGCCAACTAAACGATATACAACTCTGACATGACTCCACGAGATCTCGCATATCTGTCACAGACGGAAAGGTGCAGATACAGCATGGTGGGCTGTACCGCTTGCCGACAGCCTTAGTTCTGTCGGCAGATATCCAGCTATATCTCAGCTAGCAGTAGGACTTAGAGAAATCAACCTTCCTCAACCTACAATGCCTTACAATTGTCCGAATTGGAATAGAGGCTGATGTATTGCCCTGTCTTGCCACAATTTTCAAATCGGTTACTGCAAATTATTCTATTTAATTCATTCTCCCAAGTGCAGGGAAACATGACCTTTATTGCAATACTGGTCTTTTGGGAAGCAGGACCAAGCGGGACTCTCCCAACTAAGTCACCTCTTGTATGCCGCAATTTTAGCTCCGAGTAAGTCCATTTTCTGTCTTACAACTGTTGCTGACGTGCAATCTTGAAATATTGCTGATATGGAAAATTTTTAGGAGAGCTTGCGGTGGCAAGACGCCTGCAGTAACACCAAGTCCCTTTGGGGATACAGACGACGTTGCACAGGAGATTCCTGAATCTGCTACTCGCAGAGAACAGAAACGGCTAAAAGCATTTTGTCTCAAGAGAGACAACTTCTGCTGCGCTATTACCGGTCTATATGATGCGGAGTATCGAGATAAATTCCCTGCCATTACTGATGATACCTTTCGTGATCTGTACCAATGCGTCTCACATCATTTAAGCTCCGACGTTACAAAATTGTTCACTTCGAGCACAAATAGCATTGGAAGATATTGATTATTGACATATCCTAGCTCATGTCGTCATTGATAATCCATCGATAGAGAGATAGTTAAATGAGATTGACGATCTGCTGGCTCAGCTAGCTTCTTGGCTGCCGATAAGAGAAGTTAACTTTGTGAGATAAACTTCAATGATAATCATCGAACCAGGGGCAAGGAGACATACAATATCTACGCGGAAGATGCTGGAAATATGACTCTTATTGGGGCAACTGTACCATAGATGATACTAGGGTGCGTTACAGCAGTTTATAAGATAAGTAGAGGTTAACTGAGCTTGCATCCTTGCATCCGTTCTATCCAGGACGGGTTCCATCACATGATTCATCAAGAACAATAGATCGATAAACCAATCTGTGATGTTACTGACCAGAATACGATTAACCGTACCATGGGTAATACTATAGATTCATTTCGCAATGGAGTGCGTATGCGGTGGAAAAGGATGGCCAGGGATCCAGTGAATTGCAATGGCGCCAATCAACAACACTTGGGCTGTTTTAGCGTCAACGTCAACGACGCCCTTGCAAACCCGCATCTCGGCCCAGTGACTTTATTACATTCCCCCTCCTTCGTAAAGAGTAATAATCACCCGTCAACAAAGCTGCTCTGTTGATTCAAGATGCATCTGCTTCCTCAGAGCCTTCTCTGGGTAGCTTCCTAAAGTCCAACGCGTCGCATGGTCGTCGTCCAGGAAATTGCATGACCGGCGGATACCTGAACAGCTCATAGCTCTCCACCACCATACTTGCGTACATCTGAAACCGGTGGAATCTGACCACAGGGTCAACTTCCACTCGACCTCCTGTCGTGCTTTCATTGTGCACGACGGTTATAAGATCAGCTTTCTATCCCGCTTTCCCACGGGTCGATCAGTCCCTCTGTGAGCTACCAACCAGACCCGCCGTTTGTGCAACCATGGCGCCCGATTTGAACTCTGTACCTCCATCTCCACGTCCACCAGCAGCTACTTCTGCATCATCCGCAGCAACGAACTCCTCTCCTCCAACATTCTCTCGACGAGTATCCCAAGTCATGGGTCCTCCTCCAGTGCCGTTTAGTCCACCTAGTGCAGTTGCCTCTCTGCACGGGCATGGTGATGCAACGAACGGGATTGCCATTGCATCCGGTACATACTACCTCAGTGACAGCTCTTCTCGATTGCTTCTTGGGACATCCGAGCTAATACCGATAATAACAGGCCCCCTTCGTCACCCCCGTCCTCTGACGGCGGCAGAGTTACACTTGGAGCTCGAGAAGGAACAGGAGGGGATGGTGAGTTTCGCGTTCAAGATTACCGTACAGTAGATGTGAACGTGCACTGATGGTGCTGAATTCCCACAGGTCAACCGTTTAACAAGGGAGCTTTCTCAACTGCGCCAGCAGACCGCTTCTGTCGCTTCCACGGCGTCGTCAACATCGACGAACCTCAATGACTCTATGGACGCTGTGCATGGCTCGCATTACATCTCCGGTGCTATTCATCCCACGGCTTCCCGTCGACATCGGTCCTCTTCCAACCTCAGTGCACACCTACCTCTAGCTCAGAGTGCCCGGACTGGGAGTGTGACGGGTATTGCACCTTCTCGAGACGCCGCATTGCCCTCGACACGCCCGTCGGGAGATTTCACTCGAGTAGCTCGCAGCCGGGAGCCATCGATTACTTCCCAGCGACAGTCCGGCAGGTCTTCTCCGTCGTTATCGTCCTCGTTGCAACAGCAGCACGGAGAGCACTTCCCACATTTCCCCGGACACTCACATCGTTCATCGCTCTCGCAGTCTTTGCCTGGAGCTGGAGAGCATCCGCGCACGACGTCCGTTTCGTCCACGACAGGCACGTCTCGGTATGAGGAAGCCGCATACCATCGTGCGGAACTGGAATCGATCAAAAGAGAAAACGAAATGTTACGCCGTCGGGTGCGCGAACTCGAGAGCAACCTGAAGTCATATCGCGAACGAGAGTCTCACCCAGTGAGCGGACAAAACGAGAGCGCTGTTGCCGCTTCTGGTTTGGTTGACCGGATGCGCGATGCAGCTCTCGATGACGGCCGCTAAAGGGGTTCCTACGGAGTTTATGATGGTTTTGCTTTTTGCAGTTCTATGCCTATTGCGGATTGGAAACGAATTATTATTGATCGGCGCGGGATACCAAGAATATGTTTCGCGGGCGAAATGGTTCTACGATCCAGCACTTTTCCCCGGCCTTCTGCCACTTTCTTTGGTGCTAGTGATTTCAGGCGCGCTTCGATATTGTCATGGCCTTGCACGTTGAATTGTTGGGAGCAGTCTTATCACGCAGGTAGCAACGATAGAATCAATAGCGACTTATCTCTTGTATCGAGTATTATTGTTGCTGTGCCACAAATGCAATCCGAGAATTGTCCGGCGTTCACATGCAAAGCCCGAATGCGGTTGCCTGAATGGGCGCTATTACTATGCGGACGGACTGTGGCTAGTGCAGCTGTCTATACGTCACGCGTGGCGCAGCGTCCCTCCTAAAACCGGCCAGCAGATCACAGCCCCTCGCCGGGGTTGGACTCTACAAGTATAAATTGACGATCTTTGCTGTGCATCGATCAACAAGAAAGCATCCTACATCTATCAATTCATCCTATACCTACCTCTTACGAGCATTATTATCTGTTCTATAATCTCTGTCACAATGTCGGAGGCCACCACCGTTCACGTCTCGGGCATCGCTCCCACTACCAGCGACAAGGAAGTTCGCGACTTCTTCAGCTTCTGGTGAGTACTTGAGCCAACGCACACACAATTGCATTATCCTGACAAGTATATCCTATATAGTGGAAAGATCACTATGCTATCTGTCACGCCTGAGTCTGGCGAGCCAAATGCCCCCAAGTCCGCGACCGTTCACTTCGAGAAGGAGACGTAAGTTACCCCGCAATCACGCCAGAGACGAGGCCGCTGCGGTCCTCAACTCAATTACACGGATACTTATTTTTCGTGAAACAGTGCTGCCAAGACTGCTCTTCTCCTCGACAACACTCAGCTTGGTCCGTCTACTGTACACGTCACTGCAGCCCACAGCCTCGACGACATTGCTGGTCCCCAGACCGCCAGCGCCAGTGACGCCAAGGACGAGAACCACCACGAGCTCGACCAAGAGGACAAGCCACGCTCTCGAATCATTGCCGAATACCTTGCACATGGCTATGTAGTCAGCGACCAGGCGATCCAGAAGGCCATCGCCCTGGACCAGAAGCACGGCATCTCCAACCGCTTCACCACTGCCCTGTCCAACTTCGACAAGAAGTACCAGGCTACAGAGCGTGCCAAGGGACTCGATGAGAGCTACAAGATCACCGACAAGGCCACCAGCGGCTGGAAGGGTCTCAACTCCTACTTTGAGAAGGCGCTCGGCACCCCGACTGGCCGTAAGGTTCGCGACTTCTACGTCAAGACCGACAAGCAGGTGCGCGACATCCACGCCGAGGCCCGACGTCTGGCCGATCTGAAGAGTGGAAAGATCTCCGACACGGACGAGAAGCCCGTCGAGACTTCTTCTAGTGCCCCTGCTGGTGCTACGGACACCGCTCCTGCCGAAGCTCCCAAGGCTTAAGTGAGCTTTGTCAAATGAATGAGAAGCATGCATTTCTTTTCCCTTCTTTCATTGCGCTGTTTTGGGCACGAAGCTGTTTGCTATGCATGAAATTGCTGTGATGACCTTCTTGCAAGCGTGATTACCCGATATTCTTTTCTCTGGTGAATTAATGAACGGTCGACATTTCGATCACATCCTCTTTTCTGTAGCTTAGATTCGTAACATCTCTGAATAGCTGTCGCAATTCACCAAACATCGTGTTGCAATCTTCTCCATGGGCAAGATTTCAATTACAGCTAGAGAATCAAGGTCTCCATAGCAAAAGAGATACGATAAGAAGACTCAAATAATAAAGATTGATTATCCTTAATACACGTATATTCGTAGGTTGTAGTAGTACTACCCATTCATAATCAAACCATCAAACCCGGAATCATTTTCTTAAAACACTCCCATAAATATATATAGAGAGACACCTCCACGTAGTTCAAAAAGACCCCCTCTCCATTCCCCATTCTCAATCGCAATCAATCAATCAATCAAATCAACTAATCAATGCTTCTTTGAAAACTTGTCCGCCTCAATCTTCTCGAGCGGATGCACAGGGTTACTCTCCAATCCATGCTCCTTAGTCTCATTAGATGACTTCTGGGCGTGTTCGGGCGAGGGAGCTTGTTCGGGACGAGTGTGGCCTGATCCAGGCACTTCTTGCAGCTGTGCGCCGGACTGGCGCTCCGGGTCGGGAGACTGACGACCACCGCGGGGGGCAGACATGATGTGGAAGAGGAAGTTGAGCGTTGTGGGTGGTTTGGTTTTTTGGGTGGTTTTGAAAAGGGTGGTTTTGGTCTGGGTTTGGAGGGTGTTAGTTTTGGGGATGAGATGAGGGTTGAGGATGGGTGTGACGTAGATAGATAGTAGTGATGGGTTGTATGGATGGGATGTGGATGGATGAAAGAAAGAAAAGAAAGAAGGGAAGAGAGGGAGTGTAATCAATTACATACCTTTGACTTCTCCTCGAAGAGAATCCTCGAGTTCTTCAGCAGCAGTAGGAGTAGTAGTAGTGGTGATGGTGATGGTGATGGTAGATAGTAGACAGGTAGTATCTCGATATTTCAACCAGACGAAATCCAAGTTCTTTAATACTTCAACTAAGACGCAATTCCCACCGACGACACCAAGACTCCAATTATTTTCTCCACTTGACTTTGTCAATTCACTGCTCTGCTCTTTTTAGTTTTCACCGGTGAAAAAGAAAAGTAGCATAGCTAGTCAGAGTATTAATTGGCAGTTCCTTGAGTTGAGTTGAGCATAACGTCATTCATCATTATGACGTTTTAGTCTGGTCTGGAGTACCTATGTTATGAGAACATACCTACCATAGACTATCTAGATAGAGTAACTGGGCATACCTACCTAACTAGTACAGAGAGTGTTCGGTGGACTGTGCTCCGGGATCTTAGAGTGCTCTGATTTACTGTAGTTTGATTGTTATTTCAGTTGTGCAGTTTATTTTGAGTAATTCATATGGTACTCATTTACTCTCTTCTAATGTTGACCAGTGGCAGCGACATAGCTCCTCGGGCGTTGATGAGCGGGATCAATGACGCCATAGGAGGGAGTGTTTGTGTTGTTTGCACCGCATCCTACTTTGTTGAAGTTTGACTAAGTGATTAGTTAACCGACATGCAGGAAAAGGCATGTAAAAATAATGGTAATAATCATTGCAGATGTCGGTTATTACTTTTGGAATTGACGGGGAAGGCTGCGAGAACCTGTTGGAAGGGATGATTGAATGCTGTAGTTTGAACACTGTGAAATTCTAGATATATATCAAACCTCCAGAACACATAATTATATCAATCGTCTCCTCCAAGGCATAACTCGTTTCGATTCCCAACATATCTCCTACTGTCCTGTTGTCTCGACGGAAGAACGACTCACTTTACGAAAGAGCATGGCTTCAAAGATGCTTTCCTGGAATATGCGAATCTCATATCTCCACGACGAATACCGAAGTAGGACAAGGAATACGGAAGGGGAATCGGTGCAGTCCAAAGGGCTTGGGTGCAAATGGCTTTTTAGGAAAGTGCAAGCATGAACAGTATTCTCGGGGCTCGCCGTCCAATCTAGATGAAAAATGACCGAGCGTGCGAGCCTCTGCAACTGCATAGCGGTGGGTATTGATCCCGGACAGAAACAGGATACAGAGAGAGAGAGAGATAGAGAGAGAAAAGAAAATACTACCAAAAAATATGATAAACCCGACATCCCGTCATTTTAGCCGTTAGGCAGCGTGTCTTGCTGCCATATAAGTTTCATGCGACAACCTCCCTCCTGTGATTTATATTTCTGACAAGAAAGAAAAGCTTTTGCCTTATTGGCTGACGCCGTTGGCCTGCATACCAGCAGCAGCTTCCGCGTTTGCAGCGGCCAGAGCCTTTGCGTCCGCTTCGTGGATGACTCCTTGGATGATCTGTTGCTCCTCCGGGTTCAGGATCTTCGTAAGCGTCTCATATAGTTCGGGTTGCTCCTGTTGAAGGTCTGCCGGCGTAGTCAGTATCAGTGTCGCACTTCCTGGGACGAATGGGAAAACTTACTCATCAGGACATGTTTGAACATGCCATACGGCTCCACCTTGTCCAGTGGTGTCTCCAAAAGGCTCTCCTCATCGAGCTCGTCGTCGTCGTCATCATCGGCGAAAGAGCCAAACTTCTGAGCCTGGTCGAGAAATTAGCTAAGAACGTAGATCAGGACAGAAAGAAGAAAAAACAAACCTCCTGGTTGAGGAACTCGAGGTATGCAGCGCTCTCGTCAGCGACATCTCCATCCAGGCCTCCCTCAGCTTCGTCTCCTTCCGTCCACTCAACCTCACCCCAGTCATTCTCCTCGTCAAACTCTTCTCCTTCATCATCAAGGGTGAAATCGGACTCCTGGGTGGCCTCCTCGCGGTCTGGAAAATCAAAAGATTAGCACGACGTATCATGTGATCTGACAAAAGCAGACTTACGCTTGATAGCGGCGGGGAGAGTCTGGAAGAGCCTTGTTAAACCCTGCAACAATCTGGGCCATCCCTGCTGGACACTGGGAGGGACATCGCTTGCTTTGATGGTCAAAAGCGCGCTGATAGCCGCAATTGACAGCTTCTTATCGTGAACCCTTCTGAAGTTGTCGATGTTGGAGAACCAGGCGCTGAAGAACTTGTTCGTCCAGCCCTTGGCCTCAAGTACTTGGATGGCAAGCAGTGGGTTGTAATAAATAGCGTTGATGACCATCTCCATCAGGTGGATCCTATAAGATTTAGTCCTCGCCTCGCCGTTGTTGATAACGTTCATTGCAAGCTCGATGAAGACAGGAATATACTGGTCAACATAGCCGCGAAGGTTGAGCATGACGGTCTCCGCAAGCTTGCAGCCGCATATTCTGTCGACACCGCCCACTTTGTCGTCGTGGAAAATATCTTCCACCATGCTGACGATGGCAGCGAGATAAGCTGGGTTCTGGACCAGGTTCTCTGCGCCATAGGTGACGAAGTTGTCAAGGGCCGGTAGCATATCTTCCAAATATAACTCAGCACCCGCCTTGAATGTCTTGTGAATGAGCTCAAACGCCTGCCACATTGTCGGAGAAATGGACTTGGCGGCAAATGTACAACTGTCGATGATCTCAAAGATCTCATTGTACAAATCTAGAAACATCGTCAGATACTGGTCAATGGGAGTCTTCGCAGTACATTAAACTTACCGTAAAGCTTATTCTCAAGAGTGATAGTGATGACTGGCATGAGGATGGTCTCCAGATGCAAGAGCACGTCAGGTGTGCTCTCCAGAGTCAGGATGAGAGTACCGATGGTCTGGAGGACACCGAGAGCGGTAATGCTCTTGTCATCCAGGAATTCACCGTAGCCTTCCTCATCGCCCTTGGTGGCGTTACGCTCCAACAGCTCTCCAACAATGCGCATATAAGTGTCGCGCAACTGCTCGCTGAGTGCGACGGCAAACGGTGTGAGCTCAGTCGAGAAGACCTCTACAAAGTCCTCCATGACGTTGGCCAAAGCATCAACATCGACTTCGTTGGCAAGCTTGAGCAATTGCTGCATGATTTGGGGGATGTTCTGCTGCATAGAAGTTCGAATGACGTCGTGTCGGATCAGAGGCTGGAGAGCAAGGGCGGCCTCGACTCTGACAGGGAGCTCGGGGTCGGTCATACACTCCAAGATATTTCTGTAAATGACCATGAGGTTGTTCGGGTCCTTGAAATCCAGCTGCTCAAATTTCTCAAGGGTGTCGCACGCACGGGCACGGAGGAACCCATGGGGACTGCGGAACTCGGGGAAAACATGTCGCACAAAGAAATATTCGACTTGCTCCGCGATAGGACTCTTCTTACCAAGGATGACGGAGGCGAGCGAACCGATCATCCTCAGAGCGCCCTCCTTCTCTCGCGGTTGCTTCTGGTCATCCGGGGCGGATTCATATCTGCTAACGATGCCATTGATGAATGTAAGAATCGCGAAGGTCTGCTTCTTTCGGCTCTTGGTGAGCGCCACCAAGAAGTTCGTCGCTGCAACGTCTGGAGAGGAAACCTCTTCGTAGTAGTTCAGCTTTCGGTGGAGGTACTCTGGGGGGTCGGTCTGGAAGAGCTCGATATCTTCATCGGACTGGCACATAATGGGGAAGATAAGGTGAGCAATCAAGTTCTCCATGTGCGGCTTCAGGTGATCCCACATCGCCTTCGGCTTGACACATTCCTCGAGGAAGATGAGGGTGTAGGAAAGAGCAGGCTTGCTCAGCCACTGGCCCTTCGACACCCACTTGTCAATTTCTTGCAGGTATCCCTTGAGGATCTCTGGGGCGAACGTAGTGATGAACGACTTGGCGAATTGGGTATAATCAGGGGCACTTGTCTTGGTAATAGTAGTGGGGTTTCCATATCTAAAAACACGTCAGTCATCCTGCCTGCAATATCTTGTGTGCACCTGAATAGGGTCTACGGACCTGATGAAGAGACGGTTGAGGTTTGCGTAGGACCACTTCTTGCACTTCCACCAGTGGTTGAGCTCTCTTGCCTCCACGTCCTCGCCCATTGCATTCGCCGGGGGTGTCTTGGCAATAATTCTCAGGAACAGGGTGCACCAATCGACCGTGCCCTGATGAGATTTCAGATGCGGTGGGAGCTCAAACTAAAGTAGATATCGTCAGCACACCAGCGCTCTCACGATCTTCCACTTGGTCCAAACTCACATAGATAGCATGCTTGTACGCCTTCACCACTATCCGGAGCATTTCCGCGGCCTCCAAGTTTTCCTCGTCAACCAGCCTCGTACCGATGTTGAGGAGCTGCGGGAACGAGTGCTCAACGATCTTATCAAAGTCCGCCCTGTTATCTCCCGCCTTGAACCTGTATACACGGCAGATGGCAAGGAGACACTGCAACCCCGCGAATACCGAGTTGGCATCATTCGTGCCTAGCAGTTGGAGTGTAATCTCCAAAAACCCGGGCCACTTCTCCGGGAAATCATATTGGAGAACCTTCTGGAGGATAGGAACGAGCTGAGCGCGAACGTTGGGGGGCGACGATGCGAGGACCGCGATGAGACGTTCGCGAAAAGCTGGTCGCTCATCTTCAGGGATGGGTTTTCGGAGGGGATTTTCCTCCACGGGCGCCCAACCCCGAGTAACGCGGTTCTTTAGATAAACACCGGCTATACGTTGTCACAATCGTTAGGCGCAGTTGTTCGATTTCTGAGGCTGCACAGACGCAAGAAGAAGGGCGAAAAAAAAAGGTATTATGGCCATGGTGGGGTCATACCTGATAGTTGAACAGCATTAACCTGTTCGGCCTGCAGAATATCCAGGAGCGCATTTGCGAAACCGGGTTGGTTCTCTGCCTAAAAAGTTCCAAGCATAGAGATGAGTATACATCATATCGGACGGTGGGCTGGTTGCGAAACGCACATATTTCAAGTCTATCTCTGCTTGTCGTCGAGTATCCGCATTGCTATCGAGCGTAGCCTGTATGCGGTCTCGGAGAGCTGCAACATCCATCTCGCACCTGCTTACGGCCCCCAGCGCCGGAATTCGAACTTCAGATCAAACGTCCCAGTTTTATACCCGACGAACCCAAGCCGTAAGGTGGAGGCAACCTGTTCACACAGAAGGCTGTTTGGTGATGGATGTGCGGCGGGCAGTTCGTGATTATTGTGACTGTGCACAGACGATTTTGTTTTCTCGTGGATTTTTATGCTTTTCGCCCCACGCCTTCTCCGTAAGGCATCCCCTATACGCTAACTAACTCCGAGAGCCGCCAACGGCCATCCCACGGCTCACGGGCCATATCTGGGTTTTTGCTGCAGGAAAAATGAGCCATAACAACAAGATAATTCGTGTTGCTTCTGTGTTTCTATCGCCAAGAGGATGTGAGTTGGACATTCTGCTGTTTCCTGCATCAGCCAGGCTGTTGCAAAAGGGCAGGAACCAAAAGGGTTGCCCCGTTCATTCGGTCTTCGTCATCAGGGGTTATCAACCCAACCCAGCCGTCAATGGGTTCTGGTGCCTGCCCACGATCCTGGATCCCGGGTCTTCAGAGCAGGCTGCTATAGTCAGACGAAATAATAGACTATTTGCTTGGGTAATGTCTTCATTACGAGCGACGAGATACCCCTCGTTATCAGTAACCCAGAATGGCCCGTGCTATTTATAATCAATCATAACAGTTCGAGGATAACTACCACTAACTAGACTACTTGATGGGCCTGCTTTCTAGAGAAAGTCGAAGTATCATCATCCGAAGTTAATGCGTCTGATGCGGTCGCTACATATACAGAGACGCGGCGAAAATCACATCTCTCTTGATCATTTCCTGCGCCTGCTGCATCTTGGCGTAGAGGGATGGATCGCCCACTAGCTTGGCAGCACTCTTCACTTCTCGACAGGTTTCATCCAGACGAGTGATCACCCGAACAATGGTGCCTTCCATCACATCCGTCAAGTCCGTAATGCGGTTGAATGACATACCCTTGGCCCATTCATACACTACCTCCACAAGGCTAAAGCGCGGCTTGCTGGCGAAATCGTTGCTATCCTCGCTCGAGAGGATGACCTGATGCTGGATTTGATAGTCGTTGACCTTGTCGGATATCCTGATGATAGCCTCTTTGCCGCGTTCGAGCCGGGGAGTTAATGTGGGCACGTGCTCCGTCTTCTCCTGGAACACGAAAGCTGACAGTAAGGCCACGATCTCTTCAGGCTCATATTCCGCAAGCACGTTTTCGAGAATAAGCTCCGTCAGCACGAGCTCATCGGCCGAATGAATCTGGTGAGAAGTTAGAAGCCGTAAAAAGGAGGATCCGTGATGATAAAAAGCTTACCTCACAGGCAACTTTGCCCTTCAACTGGACCCTACACTCCTCATCTATGAATCCCAGGTCTTTCAAAACCTGGATGCGCTGCTGGTAATCAGGCAGGAGCTGAAGGTTCTGGTCCGACATTAGTTGCTTAAGCTGCGAGATATTTTCCTTGACCTGCCATTCGTCGTGTTGCATTTCGAACTATAGAGCATTAGCAAGCCATATACCTGGCCAATGAAATGTAGCACTTACATGTTTCAAGAAATTGGGACAGCCCAGGCACTGACACGACTGGGCGATGGCTGCCTGAGCTTGACGTTTCTCGAGTATATCCCTGACTTGTAATTCCTTGACACGGCCCCAATCTAGTTCATCCCAGGTCTCGCTAGTCCACGTGGAACATAACCCAGACAAGACCTTATCACCAAACTTGACGGCTTCTATGGAACCAGTTAATATAAATAGGGTAACTGCAATGATGCTTCCAATTACCTTTCTTAATGTTCAGATACCACATTGGACCACCGATCTTAACCATGGTGTTGGTGACACACTCCAAATCAGTAAGAGGTATCCTGACTACCTTCAGTGTCATATCTGCAGAACGCGTGGGCAAAGATCTGAATAGATGCCGGAAAGTAGGTAGGAAGGGAAGGATATCGCTGGGATCTCGTTTCGCGCTTAGCGTGCCAATCTCCAGAACTTGTATATTGGGAACCGGTCCTGCTGTCGACACTCCTTCCCGGACAATGATTCCCGCGGTGCGGATCCCATCCTGCAGATGATTAGCAATGAAAAGGGCTATAGTGCAATGGGTCATACCTTTCGATACACCACAAGCCGTTTTGGCATGAATAGGCGCCTTCCCACTGGCGATGCGATCAATCCAACATGGAGCTCAGAAGTCAGTTTCTCGTACTCCATAGCTGCTTGGTGACATTCTGCCAGGTCCACATCACATATGCTGCAAGGCTCTCGCTTTATCTTAGCCAGACTTGCTTCGGACAGCTGAACTTGCTTCTCGTGTTCTGGTAAAAGGGCCTGTGTGGCATTCTCACTGAAACTCCGCTTGATCATCTCCTCGATCTTGAGAGCTTCCACGCGAAGAAGGTTCAGAATCATGTTGTAAGTCAATCTGAACTGTGATCGCAGCTTGGTCGGGTCTCCTAGAATCATTTTCCTAAGGGTACCAGCCGGGGGAGCCTCATCTCTACCTGCAGCGACGATGATAACATAGCCAACGGTATCGAGACCTCTTCTTCCAGCCCTACCGGCCATCTGTGTATACTCTCCAGGAAGCAGGTCTCTGAAAGCTTTACCATCATGCTTGCGGAAGCCAGAGAAGACAACGGTCCTGGTTGGAAGATTCAGACCCATTGCGAAGGTTTCTGTTGCAAACAAGACCTTGACCAGTGTCCTTGCGAAAAGTATCTCAACAATCTCCTTCATAATTGGCAGAAGACCTCCGTGATGGACAGCAACGCCCCTGCTAAGGAGTTCCCGAAGGCGGAGAATTTGAGGAAGCTGCCTGTCTTCCGCCTTCAGACGGGTAAGTGACTTTTCGATGACCATGTGTATAGCGCTCTTTTCCGAGGCGGTACAGAAGTCCTGATTGGACAATGAGTCCGCGTTCTCCTCACACCTCTTCTTGGAGAAAACGAATATACATGCTGGCAGTAGGTTCTCCTTTCGCAAGTGTTGCACTAAGTGAACCCACAGGTTTCGGTCCTGGGCAGCAGTAGTTCTCCCACTTCCACGTCCTGTCCGTGCAATATTTCCGCTTCCTCGACTCGAAGGCTGTCCTCTACCTCTTTGCTGGGGACCACCACGCTGAGCTGCGCCGCGCTGTCCGTTGCCTCGAGGGGCTTGTCCTCGTCCTCTCCCCTGCTGACCACCTCTTTGGCTCGCCTGGGATTGGGCCTGTGCTTCAGCTGCTTTCTGTGCCTTGATTTTATCTCTTCCAGACAAAATATTATCTGCTTCTTTCCAACCTTGTTCAAGGAACCGCTTGTTGGAGTCGACAATTTTATGCATGCCCTTGCCGGCCCACAGATAGTGCTCGAGGGGCACTGGACGTTTCGGCGTTGAGATAACGTATATGTCTTTCTTCTTCGTCCGACCGACCCAAGATGCAAACTCATAAGTGTTTGGAACTGTAGCGGAAAGCAGAATCAAGGTGACGTGCTCTGGAAGCATGATAATCACCTCTTCCCAGACGACACCTCTCTCCAGGTCATTGACGTAGTGAACTTCGTCAAAGATGACGAATTCGACGTCTCTGATGAGATCAGCTCCCCTGTACAACATACTTCTGAGAATCTCCGTTGTCATAATGAGACAGCTTGCTTCAGGAGATATCTGAACATCTCCCGTAAGGATACCCACGTCGTCGAACGTATTCCTGAAGTCTCTGAACTTCTGGTTGCTCAACGCCTTGATGGGAGAAGTGTAGATGGCTTTCGTCATATGCTTAGCTGCTAATGCTATAGCATACTCTGCCACGACCGTCTTTCCTGCCGAAGTATGTGCTGCAACGAACACAGAGTCGCCGCTTTCAAGGTGGTAGACAGCTTCCTTCTGGAACGTATCCAGTTCGAACGGCCATTCTCTCGCCATATCTGGCACAAGCTCATGGAAATTCGGAATATCCTTGTTGACATCAACAACGTGAGCCCATTCCCTACCTCCTTTCTTAATTGTCCCAGGGAGAAGCTGCCCACGAGGTTCCAGGGCGGGAAATTCCACAGGTAGAAGGGAATCAATATCTTCTTCTTCCTCGCTGTATTCCGCTTCTTCCTCTTCCGCTTCTGGCTTTCTGTCGACCTCCGCTGGACTTTCCTCCTTGTCACGAGCGAGATCGCTCTCTTCTTGTTCAAGGGTAACTTCGACATCTCGGTCATCCTCTTCAGCCTCCTTTGACTTAGCCTTTTCGAATTTGAGCCCGCGCGAGAACCCAGGCGGAATTTCAAGAAGTCCGCCTTCGGTACCAAAGTTGATAATGCGATCCAGGCCAGACTTCTTGCCAGATGATCGCTGACGATCTCCTGACAGTTGAGAGTCAGCTTCCATTTCCGCAATAGCCTCCACGCCATCCAGACCGCCAGGCGCAAATGGAAAGAATCCTGCAGCACCCCTGACAAAGTCAGAGCGGTTAGCAGGCCGGCGAAGCAGTGACGTCGAGTTCTTGGCCGTTGCACTGGCAGCAGGCACTGTTACTTCGCGGTAGCCCGTCACACGTCCTTCCAGCCCCTCACGAGTGAAGCGAATGATCGTACGAGTCTGCGTGGGAGCAATCTCGAAAAGGTCTGTATAGTCTGTCGAGACATCCCATCTCCTGCAAAGGACAGTTAGCGAATGTTGACCTCTACAACAGTCAAAAGGCGCTGCATAGCTGCATAAAGTGACCTGGATAGTTCTATCAAATCTTCCAGGAACATCATAGTCCCGTATAGATACGTTGGACAGAAAACTGCATAGAATAGCGATTGGATGGGAAAGGAAATATTGACTTACTTTTGTAGTCGATTCAGCCATTCTGGACTGAATCTTGGCGAGGGTGTCAAGAATTCGTTCTCCAACTCAGCCTTCAAGTCATCTGCACTCTGACGAGCCCGCTTACGAGAGCGCACGCCATCTACTGCTTCGTTTTCCTGTTCAATCAGATCATCAATGACCGTAGAATCGAGGTTCTCAGCCTGGAGCCGAAGCCGTTCCAAACTGGAAGTTAGCGCGCCCAGTGTCATGTTTGCAATTGTTCAACTCCCGAAGCCATTCAGAAACTGTTATCCTTGGCACGTAAATACACAACTGTATCCAGGCTCATCCAAGGAAGGTATGATCTTCCTGCGACGCTCTGTGCTCAAGGTGGTAGTTGCGTCGTGATGATCCTGCAGAGCGCCACGGTAGGGAAACGAAGAGCCAGGCACTACCTACTGGAGCAGCCTGCGTAGAATGAGCAAGGCCCAGTCAGTTCGCTCTAGGAAGAAGACTAACTATGTAGTTATCCAGATGGAGAAAATGGACAAATATGATGAATGGCAATTACCTAGTGACTAAGTCGCACGTGAATTGAAAGATATAGGCGGCGTGAGGTGGCAGTATGTTCTACGGACACCGCGCAAACCCCACTGACGTTGTGTGGAACCAGAGCTGCCAAGGCATGAGGCATATTATTCGACTAGCGTACAACATATGTAGTTGGTTACGGAGATCTTGGCTTATCTAAATGAAGTCGGAGACAAGCCATGTCCTCCACATATATTTTCGATGGATGGGATTTTATGATTCCTTCTCATGCCGCAGCCCCTAATCATCACCATCTAGTTACACCAATCATCGAACTACTAGCTCGGTGCCATTCAGACTTCCAACCGAGCTTCGTAACTACCGCGATGGTAGACAACGCGCATTAAAATTACTTCACGACGGTATACATGTTTTGGTCAAGTAAATGCGGCTGCAATTGCGTAGCGCAAAGTAAGAACAAGTGGAATGTCACCAGTATAGCGATTGAAATAGCCGTGACGCCATGCAAAGTACATATGATGTTCGTCAGGGGGACAATGTAAAGTCAAGACGAGGTATAGGGGCATTCTAAAGATGGAACGCATTGAACAAGAAGAGATCAAATCAACTAGGTAATTGGAAGGCCCGTACGCCGGGGAAATAGAAAGGCCCGAAATGTCCCAAGTGCAGTATGCATGACCCGACAATGTGAAAGCTAATATGCAGAACCATCCCATGATCATCAGACGCTTAACACCGTGCCACAAAGATGATTAAGAATACGAACACCGTAGAGAAAATGGAGCCGGACTCAACGATAGGAAAAGACCGGGAAAGTTTTCCGGTCATGGACGTTGAGTTGATACTCAAAAATCCCTTCCACGGTTGCAACATATCTGTAGAAATGGTCAGCCAATGCATTCTATTTCATGCCATAGGATCACCTACAGTGTTCTCCCATCGGCTCCCCATCCGACACCAGCTGTACCACCCGGCTCTTGGTTGCTCGGGTTACGATCGGGAAGATCATTAAGAATATGCCTTATCCACCTTGGAGACCTGGAGTTATCTAACCCCATAAACTGCTGGCGATATCTCTGATCCCAATGGCCAGCTCTCGAACTTGACTCCCCAGGAACCTGACGCTGCCTTCGAAGACGTTCAGCAGCTACATTTGCCCGTAACTCTGCTGTTAGCAATCTGGACGGCTCGAACCTGTTCTCCACAGATGTATCCAATCGTTCCGATCGCCGCGGTATTGAGCTGGATCTCTGTGATCTCTCGCGCGGATCAGTTAATAACCCAGACCTGGAAGTAGTGTGCGCCTGGCTGTCTCCCCTGGTATTATTGGTGGTTCCAGCAGCACTGTCTGCTGTAAGCGACGTTGGCTGGGGACCGCGAGCCGCATCCGCCGGGGAGGCTTGGATCTCAGAAGGTGAAGCTGTCCAGCTCAAAGTGATTGTGGGCTGTACCTCTGCGCTTGAAGTAGTAGCATCAGAGCTATGGGCAACCTGTGCCGCATTGCCTTGGGACAGAACAACAGAACCCTGACGCCTGGGTTGCAGACTATTGTCTGAGCGTCCTAGATAACTTTCGCGGAAAAATTCTTGAAGCGTATCGCTATACCGCAACGGTGATGTGGAACGGTTAGCGACATCTGTGGAACCGTGGCCTCCCGGTCTCGATCTTGACCGAGGATGGAGGGTCATCCTCAGTGGTCGCTCACCCAGATTTTCTTCTAGTCTGGATGACCAGCGTGCTGTATTGAGGAACTCTATGATCTGTCGTTCCCTCTCTGTTAGGTCTTCAATGAGATTTTCACGCAACGCCTGGCGATCTGAACCTGCCGTGTGACGTTCGCCGCTTGATCCTTCTATAAGGTCCAACATCGCACGTTGCATGTTATCCATTTCATCGCCTGGCCTTGGGGTATCACTACTGTCAGGGTCGGAACTTAGCTCCCCCGAAGCTGTAGCAGGCGAGATATTTTCAGTTTGAACCTGCTGCAATCCAGGCTCGTTCGCGTCCAATGTTAGTATCTGCCTGCGGGAAAATGCCTGCCGAACGTCCGCGACACCCGCCCTGCCTTGGTCCTCCACCCAGACAAGGAGATCCCATGGCGCTGGCGAGAAAGTCATACATCGGACCGCACCACCATCAAAATACGATCTAGACGACCGAAAGAGACAGAGTGTTGGGTCCACATCCTGTTTCTCATCTTTGGACTCACGGATTGCCCTGACATCAAATATGCTAATGATCCCAGACTGAGAGCCGACCGCACAAAGATGGCTCGACGGGGAGAATGCGATAGTAAAACAACATCCATCGTCGAAGCGTGTGCTTATTTGAAGTTCTAGGCAACGGAGCAATGTCCAACTCCATTCCGTGAGTACATTATCAGAGAAAATGACAGGGTTCTCCATATCGCGGCTGATTTCGTAGAAGTACGCATGGTTCTCGTCGCCTACTGCCGCGAGGACTTTGCAATCTGGGGAGATAGTTGCAAAATTCATGCAGGCCGGATGGTGGATGACCTCGAGGGTCTTCGAACGGGTCAACGAATATATGGTGACGGTCCTGTCATTGTTGCTTTATACCAAGTTAGTGGCGCAGTTGCTAAGCACCGGAGACCCAGATACCATACCTAACAACGACGACATCCTCATCTGCTAGACCCTCACCACCAGGCAACCGATGAATAGTTACAGAGTTGACTATACTGCCGCCAAATTTGTGAAGCTGCACCTCCGGCAATTGAAGACGGGATGATGTCCTTCCGGTCTCGCCTTCGTCGTTGCCAGACCAAGGAGACGGGACTCGTGAACCCAGCCTTGAGGCCCGTTGTTCTAGGTCGATTGGCAACGCACTATCCACGTCAGATCTTTGAGAGCTGGATCTAGCACCGGCCGCACGTCCATGGTTGCTGTCAAGCTTGATGAATGCGCATTCTCCATTATCAGAACCGCCGACTGCAATCCAACCGCATCCCGCCGCAAGACACTTGGGTTCGAAAGGGATGACCGCTAAGCCTTCACGTTTCTGGGAGGATATATGAATGGCATATACGACCCGGTCGACGACAACGTAGATCCTGTCTGGATCGCTGGTACTGATATAGTGGCGAAGTTGCTGGTGACTACACATTCAACCATACTGCGTCAACACTATGGGCGGTCATGGGAGAGAGATTTGGCACACTGACAAGTTCGGGATTTTGAACGGGAAGAAGCGTCGCTTAGATGGGAGGATCAGGGATTCAGTTGAGCGATAGCTAAAGGTAGTGGCGGAAAAGTGTCAGCTGTCTTGCAAATATCCAGAGCTTGACAGATCTCCGGGAGAACGACATACAGCAGGGCAGAATCAAATGTCATCGTTGAGAGCGCGATTTAACGCAAATGCAACATTCTTAGAAATGCTATACTTCATTTACAGGTCGCGGCAGGTGATAATGTACAATTAGTAGGTAATAATATAGGGGAGTTGAATGCAAGAGATATGCTGGCTGCTACACTTAGCTAACCAGCTACGGCAGACTCAAAGGCGACCTTGGAGTCCGAGTGAGCAGCCCATGACGGAAGCGCTGGGGGCGACGTATCATGTATTAACAGGATCGATACGCCGATACGCCGGGCTAGCGAGCCGACTTGCCGGAGGCGAATACCGGGGAATACCGTTTTGTACCAAAAAGGCGCGCGCGAAGCATTCTACGGTGTTCCATAGAGACTCCAAGCTCACCTTCCACCGATTTCGACCGTCGGCCCGAAGAAGCGCTAAGGGACGAAATTTTGATTTGAAGTCATCGTCTTCCTTTCTCCCTTTCCTACTTCTTTTACAACCATCAACCACCCATCCACTCCCATCATCCATCTCCTTTCCTCCCTATTCACCTCCCTCTCCTTTCTACTGCGTACGGTTGGAGCTTCGTTTGTTTCTTTAATAGTCTTTTAATTCCAACACAATGCTCTCTTCCCACATCTCCCGCGCGGTAAGCTCCCCCAGAAAAAGCTTTTCAGTATGAAGCTTTGAGCTGACAATGATGTTTATAGCTCCCGCGCACTGCTTCTTTCGCTCGTCCTTCTACCCTCAGAGTTCCCGGTGCTGCTTTCCGGAGATGGAACTCGACGGAGGGAGAGAAGGTGAAGGGCCACGTCATTGGTATTGATCTGGGTATGTAAAATCTAGTCGCGTTGTTGATGATCGGTCCGTGTTCTAACGGTCTATTATTCAGGAACCACCAACTCTGCCGTCGCTGTTATGGAGGGAAAGAGCCCGAAGATCATTGAGAACGCTGAAGGTACGTGTAAATCTCTTCACCGCCAGAGCCCGAGCACATGGGCATTCTGCGTCAGGCCCTGGCAGACGTTCATCTTGCTAAGACTCTAAAAACAGGTGCACGAACAACTCCCTCTGTTGTCGCCTTCGCTCAGGATGGTGAGAGACTGGTTGGTATTGCCGCCAAGCGCCAGGCCGTCGTCAACCCTGAAAACACTCTCTTCGCTACGAAGCGTCTGATCGGACGCAAGTTCACCGACCCTGAGGTTCAGCGTGATCTGAAGGAGGTCCCTTACAAGATTGTTCAGCACACCAACGGTGACGCCTGGGTTGAGGCTCGCGGCCAGAAGTACTCTCCCTCCCAGATTGGAGGTTTCATTCTGCAGAAGATGAAGGAGACTGCTGAGAACTACCTGAGCAAGCCTGTCAAGAACGGTGTTGTCACTGTTCCTGCTTACTTCAACGACTCCCAGCGTCAGGCCACCAAGGATGCCGGTCAGATTGCCGGTCTGAACGTCCTGCGTGTCGTTAACGAGCCCACTGCTGCTGCTCTGGCCTATGGTCTGGAGAAGGAGAATGACCGTGTGATTGCTGTCTACGATCTTGGTGGTGGTACCTTCGATATCTCCGTCCTTGAGATCCAGAAGGGTGTCTTCGAGGTCAAGTCCACCAACGGTGACACTCACCTGGGTGGTGAGGACTTCGATATCACTCTTGTCCGTCACCTCGTTCAGCAGTTCAAGAAGGAGTCTGGCATCGATCTGTCTGGCGACCGCATGGCCATCCAGCGTATCCGTGAGGCCGCTGAGAAGGCCAAGATTGAGCTTTCTTCCTCTCTCCAGACTGAGATCAACCTTCCTTTCATCACTGCCGATGCTTCCGGCGCTAAGCACATCAACTCTAAGATGACCCGTGCTCAGCTCGAGGCTCTGGTTGAGCCTCTGATCAGCCGTACCGTCGAGCCCGTCCGCAAGGCTCTGAAGGACGCTAACCTTCAGGCCAAGGACATCCAGGATGTTATCTTGGTTGGTGGTATGACCCGTATGCCCAAGGTCAGCGAGTCTGTTAAGAGCATCTTTGGCCGTGACCCTGCCAAGTCTGTTAACCCCGACGAGGCTGTTGCTATTGGTGCCGCCATCCAGGGTGCTGTCCTTGCTGGTGAGGTCACTGATGTTCTGCTGCTGGATGTCACCCCCCTGTCTCTCGGTATCGAGACCCTGGGTGGTGTCTTCACTCGCCTGATCAACCGCAACACCACCATCCCCACTAAGAAGTCCCAGACCTTCTCTACTGCGGCCGACTTCCAGACTGCTGTCGAGATCAAGGTCTACCAGGGTGAGCGTGAGCTTGTCCGCGACAACAAGCTGCTTGGAAACTTCCAGCTTGTTGGTATCCCTCCGGCCCACCGTGGTGTTCCCCAGATTGAGGTCACCTTCGACATTGACGCCGACTCTATCGTCCACGTCCACGCTAAGGACAAGTCCACCAACAAGGACCAGTCCATCACCATCGCCTCCGGCTCCGGTCTCTCAGATGCCGAGATCCAGTCTATGGTTGAGGATGCTGAGAAGTACGGTGCTGAGGACAAGGAGCGCAAGGCTGCCATTGAGGCTGCCAACCGCGCAGACAGCGTCCTGAACGACACCGAGAAGGCCCTCAAGGAGTTCGAGGACCGTCTGGACAAGGCCGAGGCCGACCAGATCCGCGAGCGCATTGCCTCTCTCCGTGAATTCGTTGCCAAGAGCCAGTCTGGCGAGGGCACCGCTACCGCTGAGGAGCTCAAGCAGAAGACTGATGAGCTCCAGAACGCCAGTCTGAGCCTCTTTGACAAGATGCACAAGGCTCGTGCTGAGGAAGGCCAGCAGCAGTCTCAGCCCGGCGAGTCCGCTGAGGGTGAGAAGAAGGCCTAAGCGGGTCACTTCTCGAGTTGATCTGGATCATATTTAAAAAGAAAAAAGCCGTGCATTCGGATTTCTTTTTTTGTATTTTTCGTTTTATGTCTTCTTAAAGATTTTCCTTTTCTTTTTTTTTTCCCCTTGTCTTATGGCATGCACGATCTGTACACATACTGATTCCTCCTCTGGACGCTCTTGTCTTTGGTGTGTCGGTGTTTCAGCCTTCTGAACTTTGTCTTCTCTATCTGGGTGGTAGGGTAGCCCGCGGGGTCGCAGGGTGAGCGCTTCTTCATTTTATGAGGGCAGTCCGGGACACCAGAAACGGTGCAGGGAACTGTCTACAATTGTAACTAATGACAACAGCCAGGAACCACGTCAAGTGGGTTGGCTACGGTGTATGTGATAATAGAAATACTGAAATTCTCCTCTCGACTGGTCTGATTGGATCGCATGTGTCTCTCCTTGCGAGCCAGGGTGGCAGTAGTAACGCCTTGCATCTGGGGAGTAATCAAGTAGTAATCGGGGGATTGTCGTTCGTATGATCAACTAGTTTGATATGATGCTTGCAGTATGATTCAAAAGGACCAGGCAGCTATTGGTTTTGTTGGCGCTGGTCAAGTACTAGTTGGCCAACTTGGCCGTACGAGGTGATTAACTTTGGTTGTAAAAATGTGATTGACAACGAGCGCGAGCGAATCAGCAAGCGGACGCTGATACGCCATCCAGAGCTAAAAGCCCGCCATCCACACAGAGGCTGTCGATATGCCTTTCTGCATAGGCGAATTGGCCAGCTCGACCGCTCGTTGGCAGCAGGTGCCATCGCTTCAGAGAGCTCTGTTGTTTGTGCCATGGTCTTTTGACACTACCAGATGCGCATCCACTCCGATGCTCCGCGCCCACGGGGGTGTGATAAGTAAAATATACTCTATAGTACGAGGTGAAACCGGATTCCCCATGTCTGCGTCTGGGATCCCGTCCTGGCCGGGCGCAATAATATGCTTTGCACTTGATGATAGAGTCTAGACGGGGAACTCTGAACCGAAGCCCCCTTTCAGAACCTGTTTAGTTAGGGTGTTATTGAAAAGTAGTAGTAATAATAATAATACTTAACTATGAGAGGCGCTCTTCAATAATAACTAACATGTATCTATCTAATTTCTTGTTTCTTTATCTGGGGGTTGTTGATCCCGTGTCAGCTCCACTGGGGCGTTTACCATAGAACGTTCTGTTTCTGGGCTGAGCTGGGCTGGCAGCGCAGAAGTAGTAGTGGGAAAAAATAGAATCACAATAAATAATAATAGTAATAATAATAATAGACAACAAAAAAAGGAACACGGAGAAGGGAGATTTGGATCTTTCTGCTGAGCCGGGCATTAATTAGTGCCTCCTAGGGGGAGGGTCCGCTTGCCCAAGTTGGCGTCTCGCTCGCAGGACGAGTAATCCCCTTGGTCGAACCATGAACCAGCGAACGACCCAGCAAAGACGCCGGTGCTCCCTCACATCCAGAAATCAATAAAATTAGACTCGAGTCAGCTAAACAGAGTCGAGGGGTTGCATGACTTTGCCGAACCCCCTTCCATTCGTCGATCGTCTGCTCGTGTTCTCCCAGAAATTCCATTTGAAGAGCTTCTCCACTTCAATTTACTCTTTTTTCTCATTATCTTGCTTTCATTTGTACTGATTATTGATGCAACCCGCTTCTGCACTACTACATTGTTGATGCCCGGTCTATTATTTAGGGCCCTATAAGACTCCAATCTGTGCCACAGCCCTCCTTTCTCGGTTGTTCCCTTTTTTTCTCTTCTTCTTCTTCTTTCCCTCTTTCTCTCTTGTTGCTAGTTCTCGCCAATCATCGTCAGCCAGACGGAGCAATCATATTACTGAGCTGATCTGGTTCTATTACTACTAGTTCCTATCGGTGGGGGTGTGACAGAGCAGATCGGTCCCAGGCTAAAATAAGAGAGTAAAAAAAAAAAGTTCGTTTCATTCCAGACAGCGCCTCAGACCCTTCATTTTCCACTGTTCCTGGTTTTTTTGTTTTTTTCTTTACCAAGAAAAAATAAAAAAACCACACTTGGCCCTATAAACTAGTGCCGTAACAGTGCGGATTTTCTTCCGTGAACTGTTGGGTCAGATTACGCCGTCCAACAGAGGTCGCCCACACGCGTCTCCCTTGAGTGCTCAGTTTCATTTCTCTTACATATTATTCATTTCCTTTTCTTCCTCACTACGCATAACGTTGTCCTCGTCGCATCTTTTCGTCACTTTGCATCCTGGTCACGGATACTATCATTATTATTATACCCTTCCCATCTGCTAGGATCATCGAAGGTGGAGTACTACACATTATTATTGCAGTACGGAGGACCATTTACCCAAAAAGGCCCTAGGCACCTCCAGAGCAGGGCCGGGTCTAAGTTGATACTTTTCCGATTATCTGCAACTTGCCAACTTCGTCCAAAAGTAAGTCAATCACCTGAGTGTCGTTGCCCCTATCAAGAGATCTCCGATTTGTTATCATGTCTAGTTCTTTTTTGCTTTTTACCCCAAGATATCCCAAGTCTTACTATGCTCCTGTCTCACTTGTTGGTTGTTCATCGTAATCCATCTATTTGGACGGGCATTTTTCTTTGTTTTGGTGTCACCAAAAATGTACTAGAAGTTGTGTTATTTTATACTAAATCATCTCCAAATATAGTCACCTCGTCATGACCGCAGCTACCACGTCTGTGGGCCCAGGTGTTGCTGAAAATGGCCTCAACAGTCTCGTTCATGGCCACATCACAATGAACATGCCTCGTTTTCACCCAATTGCTATCAACCCGCATCACTCGGGCGCTCACGATCCCTCTCAGGGTCACTATCGTCACACTCCCTATCCTCCCCCTCCTGTAGAGCAACAACCTCTAGCACACCCGGGACCCCAAGGAACGCCTGCACCGTCCGGACCGCTATTGGGACCGCAGTCGATTCCCAACCAGCTTGACCAGATCGAGGCCCGTCTGCGCCAACTGGAGCACGAAGATGCCGCCCGCATGGCCGCCCGCAGTCATCTGCTTGCCATCCGAAAGCGTGAAGATGAGGAATTCCGTATGATTACAGAAAGTGCAGAAGCAGAGGAAGAGGTAAGAATCATCTTAAATATACCACTGCAAAGCTCGTCGCTTATGTCATGATCGTAGGAACTGCGTCGACGGAGAAAGCGTCTGAAGCGGGAATCCATGGGACTCTCGTATAACTCCGGAGTCGATTCTCCCCCCCGTGCCACCCCACCACGTCGACTCTCTGAGACCAATGCTGCCACGACGCTGGCATTTTTCAAACAGCAAAGTCCCCAGGAACCCGTTCCTGCTACTCTTCCGCCTCCCGTTGCCCATATCCCTACTCAACCGCCTCCTAGTACGGACCCTAACGGTGGTCATGTCAGGAAGAAGCAAAAGTACACGATTAAGAATGTAGAGGCTTGGGGCGAGCGACATGGACGACCTATCAGTCATGATCCTGCCGGCCGCGCTCTGTGGAAGCGTCCCTCCGACGGCCGCCTGGTCTACTTGAACTGCCCCGCGCCGGGTTGTGGAAAGTCTGACTTTGTCACACTACATGGTTTCATGTGCCATCTCACGAAAAAGCATAAGGACAGGAGTCTGGGGAGCCAGTCCCGTGCGCTGGAACTGTGCGGTACGGTTTTTGATCCCAGTGCGCCTCTCCAGGCTACAGTGATCAACCGGGCCTCTACAGAAGAAAGCCATTCGGAGTCGCCAGCGGTATATTCTGATTCTGACGATGACGATGACGACCTCAAGCATCCATACGGCATCAAAAGGGAGGACTCGTCCAGCAAGCTCCGCAGCACCCCACAGGTGCCGTCTACTTGCAGCACAAACGCAGAGCCCAACCCGATGACGAATGGTTCTGTGAAGCAGACCATTTCCTCGATTCTTGATAATGATACCGAGAAGCCTCGAGAGACGGCTACGCCTGCTATTTCCGAAACAGCAGAAAAGGCCCCGTCTCATACTCCCCCTAAGGATCATACTACAGAGCCATCTGCTCAACCACAAGCACCGGCCAACAGTACCGGCGATGAGGCCAAAGAGCCTGTTCCTAATAATTAATCTTACTCCATGGCAATCGGAAAAAAAAGAAAGAAAAAGAAAAAAGACAGAGTCACCACGAGGATAATCAGATTATCCCACGCTAATATGGATTAATATTATTATTCTACCATTAACCCCTCAAGGTCACGTCCTCTAGCTCTGATCAGTATTCGTGTTTGCGTCAGACTTCGCAGATATAAGAGATCCTGCCTTATAATCTGCGGACGACAACCGCATCATTGTCATTTAGCATGTCTCAGCAACACAACATTTCTTTTCCAAATCGGCATCATATCTTCTCGTTTCTTCACTGGTTCTGCATTCTGTCTTCTACTCAGAAGCATCGTCCATTGCATAGCGTGTTTGAGTCGTCTTGGCGGTTCCTCCCTATATGCATTTCCATTTTCGTTCTTGCGTTATCATCTTAGCATCTGATCAGTCAGTTATTTGGGTCGGCTCTGTGGATATTTCCTACCATTATCATTACGATCAGACTTTTTATTTTTCTGTGAATGATTTTCCTTTTTCGTATTTCCGATATCAACAATATCCATCTCACCGGTATTATGCTTTTCTTCGTTTCTTTTTTTTATTGAATTCAATTCAAACTTGATACTCCTGATGTTTTTCTTTTTTTTTTCCCTTCCTGATGATTATTATCTATAGCGTCCATGACATACAGCTGGATGGAGGGTGGTTGTGTTCTATTTTGATCTCACCTGATGTGTGGTCTTGATGAGAAGAAGTAGTCCGGACGGTTCCGTTATTACTCTACTTGGCGTATCTCTCTCGGAGATATAAATTGAATTCAACTGAATACGAGGTTAAAACTCTATCATCTTTCTTTTTCTCGCATTAAGAGCATCATACCGTATGTGTATCTGTATCTATGACATAACTAACTATCATGTCATGAATCACATTGAGTCTATACTACTCCTCCCCTCTAACAAGCAGCACATGAACCAAATACCCCGTCCCAGCCTGCAACTTCCTCCCCAACACCTCATCACTCACTCTCCACACGCGAAAATACCTCATCGTCTCCCGCAACCACGTCTCAAACACATCCGGCGACCGCTGCTGCTGCGCGATCACACACACAGTCGGTCGTGAACCCGCATCCTCAGAATCAGACACATACGCAGGCCGTAACCGGCAGATATCAGCGCATGTACGAACGAATGGCGCCACGAGGGATTCGTTATAGATACAGTCGCAGGAGATGAGGAGGTCGAAGCCGAGATCGGGTGTTTCTGATGATGATGATGAAGATGATGATGAGGGGAGTTGTTCGGTTTGAATTGTCTCTTTGAGAGTGGATGGTGCGTCGAGTTCCCAATCTAGAGGGGTGAAGGTTATGTTATTGGTTCCTTTCGTACCAGCAGCAGTAGCAGTAGGTTTGTTTCCGCGCTTTTGTTTATTATTCTGGGTATGCGTCCGTGGTCCCCCTCGGGAAGAAGAAGAAGAAGAAGAAGAGCCTAATCTGCTACTGCTAGCGGTCTGAATATTCTCATCCAAATTCGCACGGAATAATCTCCGCACGTACTCCTGGTCCGTGGCGATGTAGTGACCGATCGATGGGGCGAGGGCCAGTGCGACGAGGCCCGAGATGCCGCACCCTAGCTCAACGGCCGTGGAGGAAGGGTGGAGGATGGAAGACGACCAGAAGGGATTGGAATTGGTGGGGTTGGAGATCCATTCTGCGAAGAGGGGGGTGATTTTCCAGAGGACTGGTTTGGAAACAACGTTAGTATTAGTTATAGTTATACATGAGTAACTAGAGCATCAGTATGTATGTATGTATGTATAATACTTGAGGTATTGGAACAAAGAAAGAACAAAAACCAACGAGCCATGACATACCTGCGCCAGTTGTGCCCCCCGCACGAGTCGAGGAGAGTAAAGTAGGAGACTGGTGGATGGTAAAGTCGTTTCCGTGAATAGTCACGTCGATGGTGGTAGCGCGTGAGTCGACGAAGCCTAAGTTCGCAGAGGGGATGTCACGGGAGAAGAGTTCGAAACATTCTATATATTTTTCACGGAGAAGAGAGAGTTCAGTTTCAGTTTTGCGGATCGGTTTGTCTTTGTCTTTTTGGTTGTTGGTTTACAGGTTTTGATTTTCAATGGGGTAGGGATGGGATGGGATGGGTAATAGCTACATCTTTCTAGGTATATAATACATGATACGTATACGAGAGAGAGAGAGAGAGAGAGAGGTAGGTTGAAGATGAGAAAGAAAGGCAAGCAAGTGATCGAGTTTCGACGTACCCTCCTCTACATCTTCAACTTCCTGACCAATGGCGTCGAGGAAAGGTTGGAGTGTCATTTTGTGCGGGATAAAAGATAATTAATCTGCCGGTTCGTTCAGTAGATAGGCTGTGGGGGAGGTTTGATGGCTGCTACGTAGTTTGGTGGGAGTTGTAGCTAGTTGTGGTCTTTTTTCTTCTAAGAAAAGTTTTCTTGGAAGGATGGATAATGTTGGCAAAGTGAGATTCTGCGAAAGAAAGAAGGATAAAAATAGAAGATAACAAACAAAATTAAGGTGTATTATTATCTAAGTGATGAAAATAGATTCATATTAATATTCTAGAGAGATGTGAATGTGGATAAAAACCGTCTATGAGCACGTGAGCAGCATTATTCATTATTGATTTCTCGAGATTGAATTGTGGATTGACTGGGTTGCTGACTCAGATCAGTGGACTGGATTCAAGTTAACATTAATAATATGATTCGCCATTAGTTAGATATCATCATACCATGAGTGCTTGTTCTAGAGTTCTTATAGAAACATTTCTTATTATTGTCTGGTTATATATTTATATCTAGTACGTAGTTATCTGATTAAATTCGTACTGCCAAGTAAATAATTCGACCAAAGAGTTCGCGTTGGGGCCAAAGCCCAACAAAAAAACGGAGCTAGAGTGGATCGAATCCTCTTCTTCCAGGGACTCTAGATCTAGTGCGTTGCGATGCTGCAGGCCTTGTTACAATCAGGCACGCCCTAAGTGGTGTGTGTATCCCGCGATCGGAGATCTGGAAGGGCCAGATGGTCCGATCTTGGAGCACTGCAGAGATCGGGGCGATCCAATCGTCAAGTGTGCCAGCCAGAGAAGTTGGAACAAAGAAGGCGTTCTCTTTAATTAAGTAGTAGTACTTCATCGTCATCATCATTTAAATTTGGTTCTTCAGGCGATAAAAGTTCCGCAGGCGGTGACGGCATCGGTAGCCACCCGGGACGAGTCGTCCAATCGTTGTTCTGGGACTGCGAGAGCTTGGAGATGTAGAGAGAGAGAGAGAGACACTTCTGTCGGTTTCTGCGCTGGCTAGCAGCAGTAATAATAATAATTAATACTACTATTATTTATGTAGTCACTCTCTCCAGACTCCTAATAATATTATTATTAACTTATTGTAGGCAAGTAATAAAAATAAAAATAATAATAACGTGTTGTCCCGTGCTGATGCCTGACCGCAGCGTCCCTGGCGACAACAAACTCTCGCTGACTTCATACCCGCCAGCTCCCAAGGCGAACTAAATCTCCAAGCCGGCTGTGGACCTCGCCCTTTCCCCCCTCCGTCATCAACTTCCTCCCCAGCTATCATCAACGAGGAGTTTGGATACCCCAAGATAAACATCTCCATTCCCTTTGATCATCTCCCTTTCCCTCCTCTCCGTGACGCGTTTCCGCTGGTAGCTCCGGTATGTTGTCAACCCTTGTGTAATTGGTGTAAAACCGTCCGAGCGCACCGGACTGATCCATTCAAGAGAAAACAGTTCGAGGGAGCGAACACCTACCTACTACCTCTCCCGTCGCCCTCGAAGACCTCGTGAGTGTTCAAGATGTCGAACGACAAGGCATACCTGAAGGATCTGTATATCCAACCTCGCATGGTGAAGAAACCGCCCTTCACCGTCGAGGCCTCCGGTTATGAAAAGAAGGAAGGAGAGACGATCCCCCGTCGCAACCCGCTGGCCAAGGACAAGCTGATCCTGCGCCCGGCCGAAGACGTCGCAACCACATATGATGTGATCAAGAGAGCGGCCGAGAAGTTTGGAAACGCAAAGGCCGTGGGCACGCGCCGCATCATCAAGACCCATGTCGAGAACAAGAAGGTCAAGAAGATCGTCGACGGCGTCGAGAAGGAGGTCGACAAGCAGTGGACGTACTTTGAGCTCAGCGGCTACGAGTACAAGAGCTTCATCGAGTACGAGAAGCTGGCCCTCCAGCTCGGTGCGGGATTGAGGAAGCTAGGCCTTGGGAAGGGATCCAAGATCCACCTCTATGGTGCAACCAGGTATGAGGATAGCCTTTCCCGTCATTGAAACGATCGAGAAGTTGCCATATGCTGATAGATCCCTTGTAGCGCCCATTGGCTGGCCATGTCTCACGCATCGGCCTCTCAATCGCTGACCTTTGTGACCGCCTATGACTCTCTCGGTGAAGAGGGTCTCAAGCACTCCCTGCTGCAGACCGAGAGTGAAGCCATTTTCCTCGACCCTCAGCTGATCCCGTCGCTCAAGAACGTTCTGCCGGATGTCAAGTCCATCAAGCACGTCATCTACAACACCGATACGGAGGCCAAGAAGGAGCACCTGGACCAGCTCAAGGCTGAGTTTGACTACTTGACCATCATCAGCATCGAGGAACTCAGGAAAATGGGCGAGGAGAACCCCGTTGATGCCGTGCCCCCGGACCCGGAGGAACTCTGCTGTATCATGTACACGTCTGGATCGACCGGACCCCCCAAGGGAGTCTCCCTGAGTCACAAGAACGTTATTGCAGCTGGTAAGCCAAATATCAGTACCCATCTACCTTTTTGTCTATAGAACTGACGTCTTTTCTCAGTTGCCGGTGTCAACGCCATCGTGGGTGACTACATCGGTCCGAAGGACGGACTGCTCACCTATCTGCCGCAAGCTCACATCTTGGAATTCATGTTCGAGAACCTGTGTCTCTTCTGGGGTGGTACTATGGGTTACGGAAACCCCAAGACCCTTTCTGATTCCTCGGTGCGCAACTGCAAGGGTGATATTCGCGAGTTCAAGCCCACCATTCTGGTCGGAGTGCCCGCCGTTTGGGAGTCGGTTAAGAAGGGTGTGTTGAGCAACCTGAACAAGAACAACTTCATTGTGAAGAACATGTTCTGGGGCGCACTGGCCGCGAAGAATTTCTTGCTATCCACCGGTATCCCTGGATCTGGAATTGGCGCCAACCTTCTCGATGCGATCGTGTTCAAGAAGCTCAAGGAGGCTACCGGAGGTCGTCTCCGTATCACGATGAACGGAGGTGGTCCCATTTCCAAAGAGACCCAGAAATTCCTGTCGCTGGCCATCGCACCCATGATCAGTGGTTACGGGTTGACTGAGACCGCCGCCATGGGTGCGCTTAACGACCCGTTGGCCTGGAACCCTGATGCGCTGGGTGATATCCCCGCGTCGGTCGAAGTCAAGCTCGTCGACTTCCCGGAAGCTGGCTATTTCACGAAGAATGATCCTCCACAGGGTGAGATCTTCATCCGGGGCGGCAGTGTTACCGGTGGTTACTGGAAGAACGAGGAAGAAACGAAGTCCTCGTTTACGGAGGATGGCTGGTTCATGACCGGTGACATCGGCGAGTTCGACAAGTATGGCCATCTGAGAATCATCGACCGCAAGAAGAACCTGGTGAAGACGCTGAACGGTGAATACATTGCTCTGGAGAAACTGGAATCGGTCTACCGATCCGCTCCTGTCGTAGCAAACATTTGCGTGTTCGCTGCAGAGGACCAGACCAAGCCGATCGCTATTATCGTCCCCGTGGAGGCTACTCTGCAGAAGCTCGCCAAGGAGAACGGCATCCAGGAGGGTACCCTCGAGGCCCTTGTTCACAACGAGCAGCTGAAGTCTATTGTTCTGAAGACTCTTCAGCAGGCAGGCCGGGCAGGTGGTCTCAAGGGCATTGAGATTATCGACGGTGTCGTCATGTCTGATGAGGAGTGGAACCCGCAGAACGTGAGTACAGCTGACATTGTTGATTTTGGCATGGATACTAATATGCGTCGAATAGGGATTCACGACCGCCGCGCAGAAGCTCCAGCGCAAGAAGATCATTTCTCACTTCCAGAAGGACATTGACCGCGCATACGGAAAGAACTAGATTGAACGACCTGATATATCCTACCCGGCGGATAAGTTGCTTTCTGCCGTTATAATACCAATTACGCAGCATGTGTTCCTCGCCGCAACAGACATCCCTTGTATTTGAATCTGATGCGTTAGAAAATGAGAGTGGCGACGGGTTATGTGTTGAAGTCCTGTTTTGTACACGTACAGTTTGAGATTCCCTAATTCAGATAGTTAGCGAGTTATCCATAGTCTATTGATAATATTCCAAAATGTTGGCAGCGACGTTAGTAGAGGTAGTACGTATATTCTGGTGGCATGTTCATAGCGACAACCAGGACGATATCGAGAGACTAATCGACTGATAACACCCGCTATCGCTTCTATACAAAGCCAAAGAAGAATATTATGATACTGGAGCAATCACTTAGATTCGAGTAAATAGAGCATTGCCCTTGTTCTCTTCATTCGAGTCTGGAAAAAGCTTAGATATCTAACTAACTAGTTAATCTTCCCTAGTTATATAATCCAAGCAAAACCACCAAGGTAGAACCAATTACGTCCAAGTAGCTATATATTGATAAATATGAGGATTACCAGTATCGTTATATAGTATAATGACCGATTTCTATGTTGTCTATATTATAATCCATATCGCATTCAATTAAAAGGGTTCTACTATACCTACGATACAAAATGTTGTCTGGTTTAGTTAGTAGAGTACCTAAGCTTTCCGCTCGGAGAACGGATCGGAGTTTAGAATTAGGCCAAGACTTTTGTCGCCGTCTCTGCGATTCTTGTTTCCCCGCGACTTCAGCTTCAGCATCCACGAGCTTTTTGTATCTGCTCTCAATTACATTGCGGTTTCATTTTGGTATTGCGTTAAGTCAGCGAGGTCCAACAACATGTCTTTCTGGAGGTGAGAGTCCCTTCCTCCTTTCAGACCTCAAACTTCCAAACCAAACCAAACCAAACCCAAGTCCTTTTTGACTAACATTTCTCTCTCTTGATACTACACTACAGCTCCTACCGCGCCCTGACTCCCAAAACGCGTCTCGTTTTCGGCCTAGGACTAATGGCCTGGGCTTCGATTGGGATGTGGGCGTCGCCAGAAGTCGAGAATGCACTGGGTCTAGCACCGACGGAGAAAGATCAAGAAGAACTAGAGAGGAAATTGACTGTTCGGGTGGCGAGTGTGGAGAAGGGGAGTAGGTAGATGAGATGGGGTGTTTTTTTTCTGGCTGTTTTTTGTTGATGATGGTTGGTTTTGGTTGGTTTTCTTTGAGCGTTGAGGGCTCTAAGGACCTGTGGATCTGCTTTGGCAGAAGTAATAGATGGGGCTTTGCAGCGGGAGAGTGAAGATTTGGATGGAGTTTACTGCCGCAGAGGATAGAAAGCAGATTGTCGGTGAAGGACAGCAGGAAAAGAGCGGTATGCACAAAGGGAGTCGTCATGAGAGAGAGAGAGAGATGAAGATGGCACAAACAAACAGACAAACAAAGAAGTTGGGCGTGAAAAAGAAACCTCGGGATGGCCGAAGGAGGCTCTTTTTACGCAAGCTTGCTTGCTATAATGCTGAATACAGGGATCCAATGGGTATAGGAATCGTCACCGCGGTCGAATATATCTCCGGCTACAGATACAGACACAGGCGGCTACGAGGCTCATGACGGGGCGGGCTTTGTGGAACGGAATCGCCGTTCGAATGCATATTGCACAGCAGTGAAGCAAGCGCTGTGCTTGCGCTTGGCAGGGTTGGAGATATTCGATGGGGAAGGTCTACAGCATAGCTTCTGGTTCGATCTGCAATCCAATCCGTGCGGATAGAATGAATGAATGAATGAATGAATGAACGGTTTCAAAAGGGACATCAAGCACGAGATCCAGCATTGGTTTGCCGCAGTTGCTGCTGCTTCTGCTGCGGTGGTTCGAATCATAATGGAGGATAATTGTGGCGAGCATCTTTTGGTTGTTGGTTCTGCAATCCATACACATACATATACATATACATATACATATACATACGTATGTATGTATGTACATATGCTATGCTATGCTCTGCTCTGCTATGTATGACCAGTACGTCCTGGATAGACCCCAGTGCAGAGCTATCCAGATTCTCGTCTGCAGTGGGCTTATTGTCTCACCGCATCTGTCATCCCAGTTGGAAAACGAAAACCATTGCGATCTCGGGTCTTGCTGTCATGGTTCATGGGCCGGCTTTGGCATCGTTGCCACCTCCGCTTCCTTCTTTGTTACTTGGATCTGCCGCCGTGGAACACACGAATCATGAAACCAGATCGGATGCTACGTTAACGGGACGACATGGCACCGCCTGCTGATCTGACCGGTATCCCCATTCCCCGGTCCGGTCGATCGAATCTGACTTCCCCCCTCCTCATCCGTCAGCATCGCCCGGGGGGCGCGCGCGTGGAGATGTTGATTGTGCCATCCCGCTGTCGCGATCATCGGAGATCACCGTCTGAGTGCATGGCTTTGTTCATTCATCACCACATGTTTTTGTCTACAAGAAGAAGTTCCATAGCTTCCGTCTGTACGACGCGATCACAGGGGGTGTTGAAATTTCCTCATTATTATTTTTCTTCATAACCTCGGCTCGCTTCCCGTACACTAAGTATCTATTGTTTGTTTTACGGAGTACTCCGTAAATAAGTACTGTACCATAGTATGCTCTTGCATCATAGAGATCCAGTCCTCAAATCTTAGAATAGTACCTACCTACCTAGCTATTCCTCCCCCCCCCCCCCCCCCCCCCCCCCCCTGCCCCGTTCCAGAAAAGGAGAACTTTTCCTAGCGCCGAAACGAACATTAGAAAAGAAAAGAAAAGAAAAATAAAAAAAAGACCACCTGCTCGCATTCGTTTACAGCACGGACCTCCTCCCCTTCCCTTCTCTTCTTAATTACGCATGGATAGGACGGGATATCCGATTGATTAATTAATTCATGGATGGAGTTTTTGGAAAGAAAGTTCTAATCTCAGCCCGCCCCTAACTAGACTCTAGAGTGATTTTGGGCTTGGGCTATTCGAGCTTATTATCTATTTATTCTGGGCGCTAACTAGTTTGTCCGTGTCCGTAAGAGGGAATCTGGTCAGGAATGTTTACTAGATGGAGTAAGTAAGTTAGTTAGTTTATCTCGCAAGCAAGAAAAGAAACCGAGACCGCTGACTCATTGCGGGGTCGGGGTCGGGGTCGGTTTTCAGGAGATGAGATTATAGATAGATACGAGGAGTAGACTACTCCGTACTCTAAGTTATTCACTAGATACCTAGGTACTTAATTAGCTGGTTATATGGTTCACTAGTTAATTAAGTTAAACCGTCGGAACTTACCGAGAAATAAATAAGTATGGTTACTATGGTAAGTACTTACTTGATTAGTTAGTCTCATTCGTGCGTTCTGGAACTCGAGTAGAGTAAGTATTAAGTTAGGTAGCTTAACTCCACAGTTGTTTGTGGTCATGGTTCGAGAACCAATGCGCTGTCTTGCTTTGTGGCAGGCTGAAGTATACTAAGTATCTATACTTAGTATCTACGTAGTGATGATATCGTATTTCAGTACAGGGAGTGTTCTGATAGAAAAGAAGAAAGCAAGGCATCCACCGATAACTACTAGAACCTACACCTACGCTCTCACCTAGCGGTGTAAGTAGAAGGGAGTGTAAGTTTATCCTTTTCTACTTCTGGTCCTTCAAGTACTTTTGCCCATCGCAATCAGGCAGCCAGTAACTACTGTAAAAGACATCTGACATTTTCTGCAGATACCCGAAGCCCAACAAAGCCCACGGCAGTCATGGAAACTGCAGACAATTATTCTCGTTCTTCCTCAGCCTTGCCCCTCCAAGAGCAGACATTGGCTTAGATTCCGCGCGGATCAGACCAGGGGGAGGGTTTGTTGTCTCCGTCTCTCCGGCCCTCCGCTCTCCCCGATAGGTCGAAGAGAGAAGGGCAAAAATGGAAGAAGGTCGGGCAGGCAGGCAATTGAGGCATTTTATGTAGTTTGTAGAGAAGCGTCCTTATGATTTGATTCTATTTCACATCGGGCAGGAGAATTGGTTGCCGGAGTGGTAGAGAGTATCTACCTAGCTTGTCATTCGTACTTTATCTATAGGGCGGCCGGGTTTAGGCGCTGCTGATCAGCCAGAAATGACGGCAAAGTCAAACAGAGACCGGCGCAAGGACCACATCAGGCAAACATCCATTGTCGCAGATCGTCGGTCGATTTATACTGATATACGTATAAAAGGAGCTGGTCACGTGTTCTTATATCAAAGGCCTTATCAACTTCCTAAACGGATTGAGTTCGCCAACCAGTCAATTATTCGCTCGTATTTATGTCTGTAAATCCCGAAACAGCGGTGACCAGTCGTTAAGTCATGCCGGAATTGGTAGGAGGCTTCAAAATTCAGGCAGGGAATGAGTAGCGCATGAATATGGATTTCTCATAGTGCGAACGCCTGCCAGTCCCGGGCAACTTTCGTCTACCCCGTCAATCGACTCTGTTGCCCCCCGACTCTTTGTCTGCCCAATAGTAACAGATGTTCTCAAGGCCCATAGATAACCAACTAGATAGAACCATGTATGACTTTTTGCGGAGGTAGAGGCGTAACTGTAGACGCAATTCAACCCCTGATTAAGAAAAAAGAAAAAGGAAAGACAGACACCATTGGGCACTCGGCATTAACCGCACCACGTAGCATTCTTCCCCCTTGGACTCCATATTGTCCCGTACATAATAACAAGGATGATAAGATAGCAGAAACATGAATAATAACATCCGGGAAGAGAAATGACGAAGCCCTGACCAGTCGTACGGATGGCTTGAAGCCTGGTTGGAACAACCTGTATCCCACCAAGATGTTGTTTGTCGGCCGTAATAGTGAATCAGGGGAGAACTGAAAATTGGAATTCATCAGATATGGAACAGAAACAAAAAAAAAAAAGAATTATTCGCCGAGCCTGTAAGTAACGTGGTCAAATAAAGTAGTCGTTCAAGCGCATAACCGCCGGGAGCTCGCTCTAGCATCAAGTCGATTGTAAGGGCCATCGAATATCGTATGGATGTCTCGATGAGAGCGCTTCAAGCGTCGTGGATCTACACGATCGTCTTGCAAAGCAGCAGCGACGCTGTCGAACGAATCCCGAAAACTTGCCTCAGTATGGTCACGATTGTGAGATAAAGCGTCATAATTGAACATCGCGCTTGGGCCAGCAAAGGCAAACTGACACTCCGACCTGCGATCTTCGGATGATGACGAGAAGGCTTGCTCCGGATATGAGCCGCTTGGCACACCCTCCATGGGTTCCATGGGGTCATTCAAGAAGGGAAATTCAACTGCCGAAGAGGACGATGAAGAAATCAGTGGGCTGTCGTTCAAGGATGGATGATCAATGGGCGCCATCTGACGGTAGTCACTCCTTCCGTAGTGGGAGCCACCGCGCCGGGAATGGTCGTACGACATCAAAGGCAGATTCGAACGTGCTCCATGCCCTATACCAGATGGCAGTACAGCGCCCCCCTTGCCATCTTCCGAGCCGCCAGTCCTGCCATCAGGGCCCATGCTTGTGGAACTATCACGCCTGCCATCCTTGTAGTGCCCAGGGGAACGCCCACGTACTACCATCGGCTCAGAGATTCTCCTGGCGATCTTCACCCACTGCGTGTCAGCAGTACTGCCTAACGGACTAGGTACTTCTGCATAAAGCTCCACCACCAGATTGTAATACTGTTGCTGCGCTCGCCGCTTGCCGTTGTTTGCGGTGGCCCTCTGAAACTGGATACGCTCGAAAGTGTGCTGGGTGGGCGGTTGAGAAGACTGTCCCACGGTCGCGTATGGAGACCCGAAATCCATGGACATGTTGACTGAACGTGAAGAAGTCCCGAGACAAAGGCCAGTGGCCGAACCGTGGCCGAGGAGAGACGGAACGGGTTGCGGCTGTAATGTGACTTTGCCCGGTCTTGTCTCCGACTGTTTATCACGCTTAGGCGTATGCTGCACGAGCTCCCTGACTTCGCCATCCTGAGCATTCACAATCGCTGAGATTGACATGGAGAAGGAATGAATGGGCTCAGTTGTGTGATTAGGCAACTGTATATATAGCGGCGTATTCGGTGCCCATCCGGGGAGAGAAAAGGAGCAAGACAATGAGAAGTAATTTCGGCGATAGCAAGTCCATTTCTGATCGACTTGAAAGAACCCCTTGTGGATTCTCGCTTGGATTTCTGGTTTGATCGAATGACTGGGAGTCACGATTGAATGAATGACATTTGTGGAGTGAAACGGAGGTGCATCTGTTACCGCATGAGCAGAGCGTTGCGAACGTTCCAGCAAGGAATTTCCCGACTGACTATAAATTGTATTCGCTGCACGGTCGATTGAGTTATCCAGAGCCCGCGGTGTCGTCGTGTAATGCGGGTATCGAGACATGTCGTTGAAGCTCGAATGAGGCGACGCAAAAGAACCCCTCCCCACCGTGTATGCCGGAAAACCAGCCTCTCCTCTTCCGATCAGGGTCGGATTCACAGGGGCTGCCGCGGCCTGTGACTCTAAAGATGTAGACATGCCAGCAGGTGGGTGTCTGTTTGCAGCAGTCGTACTGATGAGCTAATTGTTTCGCATGGGCGTGCTAAACGGTAATGGTGAGCCTACTTACAGTGCAGGTACACGATGCCTGAAATCTGGCGTTCTTTCATTCCACGAAAATCCTGTCGAGTGCGAGTAGGCCGAAGCTGGCACTGGAGGAAAGCTCTCTGTGGAAGTCACATTGTGCGAGAACACGTTGCTGAGAGAAGCAAACGCGAGGGAGGAGGCTGAGATGGGGCTGGTCGAGGACGAGCCACTATTACATGAATCGAGAGGGCTTCCTAGGAGCCCAGGCGATGTTGGAAAACTAGACGGGCGTCAGCTAATCAATGCAACAAACCCCGTCTGAAAGATCAGCCGTGGGCCAAAATATCAGAGATCTGTGGAGCGCGGCAAGATCAACATAGATTGAGAATGGAACAAAGAGCTAGCGCAGCAGGTAGGCTTGAGAGGCAGCCTTCAGCGCAGTCTTGTGATCACCGTAATGGTCCATACCAGGCAGCATATGTACGATACTTCCTGAAATCAACCACAAGAAATAGAGCGACATATCGGTATAATCGGTGATGCTAGAATTTCACTAGCATCCAGACCATCCGGTGAGGGCCAGGCAGAGGGTGTTGAATGAGTGGCTAAAAGGCAGACCGGGGAGGCTTAAGGCAGTCAGGATTGAAAGGACCACTTACGGCACGTCCTGCACAGTAGTATGTTGCGTACTGTACTTAAAGCCGTTGCTTACAGGTAGTGACACTGGTTGCGCTAATGAGTGGCTGAGAGAGCCGACCCTCCGATGCTGCTCTTCTTCCTCGGTCGGATATGTTGCTGGACCTGAGAAAACACGCTGAGAAGCGATAAAATCGTTGTCTGGAGGCGGATCAAGGCGAAAGGAATTTTGTAGGAGGGCTGCTGAAAATGGCTCTCATTAGAAAATTAGGACGGCAAACGGAGGGATACTTGTCATTTCGTCCATGAGAACAGAAGCCGAAGGTAGCAGATGAATGTCCAATTGCAAGTCAGGGGACAATGGAACAATCAATCGCCTCAGAGTGGTAAGCTCAATATGTACCCTTGTCACAAGTGCACACACCTCTTGCCAAACCCCCGACCCCACAAAGCAGGGGTTAAATCACTGACAGGAAAAAGTAGCAACGAATAGAAAGAAGTTGAGGAAATATAGTCCAGACTGTTGTATAGTCTGAGTATTTGCTCAAGCCTCAAAACACCACTAAAGTTGCCGAATTAGAGAAATAAGCTTACTGTGATTCATTGGAAAAGGTTGCTCAAGAGTAGGAGCAGGTAGAAGTTGTAGCAATTTTTAGAGCTTCACCACACCCACGACCCACACGTAGTCGGTGAGTAGCAATCTGGAAAGTATTCTCCAGCACAGGCTCTAGAACCGGGAACTGGAAGTGGCCGGGAGGCTCAAGGTTCTTGTTGGCGTGTCCTGTACCTTTCACCAGTGTGATACTTCCAGTTGTCGTCAAGTTCACGGCTATCACGAACCAAGCAAATATCCTAGCATCAGGCAGGTGTCAGCTGGTGGCCACATCTCAGAATACTTGGTCGACGTGGAATATGGAGTTATCAGGGCAGATGACCAAAATTATAGACGATACAAGACGGGTTTCAGAGGAAACATGGAAAGGTATGGGGGAGGATAGATTATAGAGAGTAAGGTTGTCATCGGAACATCCAGGGCCATATTCGCCTGGAGCAGGAAGCGAATACATCAAGGACAGCTGAACGGCTATGTTGTCAAAACAACATTGATATCCTCCTGTTCATCGGAGCTGCAGTTGACTTGATGGCCATTAGGCAAGGTTTAGAAGCACGTAGGAGAAGAAATGCCGAGGGAGGTAGTCATTACTCAAAAGAGCTTTAAGCGACCACAAACAATTAGAAACCATAGAATTCAAGACTTACTTATGGGCGTTCTGACGTCGTCAAGAAATAGTATATACGAGTAAGCCTTTGAGGATTAGACGGGCCTCTGCAGTTCAAGCTGCGGTCTGATGAACCTGATCACTCGGATCAACAGCACAACTTTGCCTCGTTCAACTTGTAGCCTGATGGTCCGAGTATTTCTTTTTTTGAAGCTGTCAGTGTATTTCTGACTGGCAGATCGATTCCTTCAAGAATATGTCTTGCGGTGATTGAACGGGAGTGAGGGATGGTTCGAACGGAAGCCTTGGGGAAAGATAGAGGAATAAGCTCGATTGATATTCTTCCGCCTCGTGGTATTGGTATGGTCCATGTTCTCCACGTTGCCTGCCAACGTACGGACGCAACTTTGCCTTCCATGTCTAGACGGGCCTCTTGCCCAATAATCCCGGGGCGCGCGTGCTGTGATCGCTCTGCAGGCCGGATAGATTCTACAGTGCACGAGCTCGCTCGGTATCGGGATTGACCCCAGCAATCCATCGAAAGCGATCCATCTCAGGTAGGCAGCCTTGCCATATGAAGTAATTACGATGGTTGGCAGCATCGACATCCAAGTATCAATATCCAACCAGCGACCGCGCAGGACCAACTGGTCCCAATTTTAGCCTTTTAGAAGAGTGGGAATTCATCCCTGCGTGGAATCTCCCACCCTGACCCAGACAGGCAAAAGTTGCAGCTTCTTTATCGGAATCGGGAAATTAGCTGCAGTAACGGTCTAATTAAAGCGCCCAAGAGGCGGCTAGAATTTGTCGAATGCAAGTCGAAAGTTGCCAGAGCTGCCTCGACCAGCTAAGACTATCGCATCAACTAGCTGTTTAGAATACGTCGGAACAGACTGGGAATCCCAGAATATCTTCATATCGCAGTCCAAATTTTGAGTATTCCTATGAGTGACTCCCAAAAATGGCAGGCAAACAGGCTTCTGACGGGCCTCGCATTCGCCAGCGGCTATACAGTGCCTGAGGTGACATAGACGGGAGCTAATGTAGCCGTGAAGATCGATTCCAGGGAGTCCGCGCGGTCTCAGGTGCCATAAGTAAAGAGACGCCGCAATTCATTGGTACGGACTCCTTCTCACTGCTCGCGCTCTGACGCTTTACCATGTTGCCTCGTACGATACCGAACCTATGAATTCATAACAAGACCCTGATGCAAGTTACTGCAACCAGGCAGGGGTGCTATGGGCGGATCTTCCAGGTGTGCCAACCATAAGCCGGTCAAGCCTGGTCTTGCATGCGTCCCATGTGCAGGGGTAGATGGCACGATCGACGACTCCGGTGGTCAGTGGCTTAGCGGCTAGAATTAGAAGATCGAAGTCATATCCACACCGGGAACCATCCTGACTAACAATTCAGTTTGTGACCTGAATCATCGCGTGTCCTGGCGTCGCACAAGGAGCTGGCACAATTGCAGGAACAATCTCCCCAGCACTCGAATTGCACGTGCGGGTAACAGGGTATAGACGGATAATGCATGACCAGGATAGAAGAAAATAACTATACTGCAAAGTGCGCGCTGGTCGGTCACGCCAGATCTCGCCAGATCTTTTGAAGGACTTCCCAAGTCACCCGGGATTAAATGAGCAGGTCTGACTGCATCCGGAGCCAGCTACTTGAGAAGGTTAGCATTCCTCTGGCGTATTTAGAAGCACCCTAAAGTATGGTCATACAGGGAGCTAATAGAGTCCCCTAATTATGGGGCAGCCACGGTACCGCCGTGGAGGGATGTCGTGCATGATGCCAGGGGGATGCAGGGCGTAGCGACTGGCCCATGGGGACAGAAGGACGTCCATGGTCGACTTCTTGGCCCTTCAACGTTAAAGCAGATAACTTAGCAATCCAAGGAAAGGATAGGCTGATGTAGAGACAGGGAAAAGTTGTCGGGTGTTGCGGATCATACACCAACTCAGAGCGGGGAGGTCAGACAAGCTCAGGGCATGGAAAGACACGTGCGCTGACCCGAGACGGCTTAACTTCTTAGAGAACGGGCTTTGTTCTGAACTACACGCAACAGGCTGGCTATGTTACTCTCAACGAGCCAGTCTATATCAGTTACTGCACGGATCAAACATGGCCCGGATGAGCATTTCGAATTATCTATTAGCTATTCGTTCATTCAGCAGCCCTAGCACAGACTGTTTACCTATTCTCTATTCTTAGCCCATCTGGGAGTGGAACTTCCAGAACTTCTTCAAAAGTCCCCTTGGGAAAACAATGAAATGCTTCTACATATTTACTGCTTAGGACAGAAGGTTATCCTTGCATAGAGCTCGTTTATGCTCCATCGACCTTTTGAAGCCTCGGGAACGGCGGTATTTCCTTCTTGAGCCATGCTTAGCATCATAACCGCATCTAGACTTTTCAGCCATCCGAAGTCACGGGGATATACCACCGTAGCTTTCATATTGATTACTTTATGGCCGAACGAATGCACTGACATGACCTCTAGGGGCAGGGTGCCGTATTCCATGTCCGATGACCGTCGTACAGCAGAGCGACAGGTCACTGATCAGGACGATCAACGGTATCATCGATTGTGGATCTATTAGAGACTTCCAAGGCCTATCGCGATGGCAGAAATAGTGCCGTCTTATTTCAGTCTTCCATTTATAGACAAACCCCATAACGTGAGTGTATCCAGAATATCAAAAAGCAACACTTGCAGACTATGGCTAACCAAGGGCCACGAACCCACAGCGTCTTTTCGCTGTAGCAAGATTTTCCAATCCTTCAATTAAAGAAGAACAGCTAAGGACGCGAGTTATTGTTCCTTGGTTCCGGTCGAGCTACCAAAAGAAGACCCCCATATAACTTTCGCACTTGTGCATTTTCCAATTAGGGCTTTTGAATGCCGGTCTCTACATCCGGAGGGAGTTCCGTACACCGGTGGCGGCACGTTTATTATCACTATTGGAAAACCCTTAGTGGGTTCACGCTATCGGTACTGACGGATCGAAACTCTGATCTGTTCCCATAATACTATGGGGGCATCATCGTTCCCGCCGACAAGCACCAGACTTATGCGTGCCAACGTTCTTACTGCATCGAATGACCCCTATACGTGACACAGCGGAAGCAGGATAATCACTCTGACGGATAATGTAACGTAATATTCGACCGGAATTGGTAGAATCGGGCCGGATTTTCGGTCCTCGAGTCCTTGCTCATGGTTCGAACCGTTCATCTTCGAGCTCTCTATCAAATAAAGTGCGCCGTTCTAAAACTATAGTTCTCACTTGGGTGCTACTGCCTAAGTGCCTAGTCAATTGATTGGCTTCCTGTTAGTACAAACTACGACTAACAATCTCTCAGTCTTTCGATACGAGAGCAAGCTCCGGGGGTTCTGGGCACTGCTGTTTATCTTCTAACTCATGATTACTCGAGTCACTCACTGCAATATGGTAATTAAAGCGTTGGGAAACATGCTCAACGTCCTATTTTGATTTGAAACTATCCAAGAGGTTCACCACTTTCAATTCCACATACAATTTACTGCTATATCTGAGATGTCAAGTCTAGAACTTACTCTGGCTGTAGGGATTGAAAGCATGATTCTTCCAAGGTATCTCACGGGTAACTTGGCCTTCTTGCCTCTCATTTTGGGAAGATGACAAGGTGCTAGTTCAGTCTTTCTCGAAAAGTGATCCATAGACTAATCCCGTAAGCAGGTCCCTTGACAGCTTATCATTCCATTCGGGACTTGTCTTCTTCCCCGGTATGCAGACAGACGTATTCTGCAGTCGACGTTGCAGGCTATCTCGAGAATCCCCACGACCAATCGCTTCAAAACGCCCCTGAACGGTTTCCCGATTGTTTGGATGACTTCATGCTGCCAAATTCATTGACCACGCATTGACGGTTTGTTTGTCACTCCACGTGTTTCTATGAAGACCCCTGCTAACCATCATGCGAGTCTGAAGCTTCGTGCAACTGTTTCTGTGGGAGGCTGTCGATCAAGAGGCAGAACGTGCCAACTACCGAGGTCTATAGCTTTCTCTGGACCAAAGTCAACAAGGGCTTGAAGAGTTGATACACACTGGATATGATTCGTTGAGTTATGGCAAATCGGAAAGGCTGTCTTCAAATTACTGACTCGTGTGACATACGATGACCACCTGATGCCTTTGGAATTGGTTTCCTTTCCCATAATTAGGACAAAAAAGAGTCCCGTATCAAAGCTCCTTCGTTCTTCGGTTACGTGGACGTTGAGATCCACCAGCCACTGCAGCCTTATCCGAGGGTGGAACTCTTATCTATGAACTACGGAAGGAAGTCCGTGTCATCTGGTGCCTATTTTGCCTCTGAATCTATTCAGTCTTCTCATCTAAATGGACAGGCGGGTTCTCGAGGCGTTTTGCACAGACCATACTGTCACACCCACGAGAATAGCTATCTAAGGACCTGAGGCATAGCAAGCTGTTCCATTTTGCCGCCAGCAGCTCAACGTCGATCATCAGGTATAGCATCTTACCAGTCCTTCTCCCAATTCAAAGCTCATAGTATATGACGTCGATCAGACCAGTCACTACTTTCCTCACACTCTGCGACTACTACGCGGCTCTACCATGACCTCAAAGAAACCTAGCAAGTACACGACAAATCCTAGCATGTGAAGAGAGTTATTACCAGTCTTGCATATCCGAAGGGACCCGTTAGGCCCGGCCTTATTTCCATATCTAGGTCGTCGTACGGATTACTACGTGTATGTATGCACCTACTGACTTGCCCATACATAGAGGCCTAGGCCTGCGAGCATCCATAGTTCATGAGAAATATGACATGTCTTTTTCGATCTTGAGGATGGAAAACGTCGGTAGATTATTAGAATGAACTAGTCATATCTTACTGTCGACTATGATGGTCCATTAGTAGCAACACAAAGTGGTATTTCCGGTTTGTAGCAGATGATTATCTCATTGCTGTGAGCATGTCGCTATCCATAGGACCTTCCAAACTATCCAGGTATCTATGTCGTAAAACGAGGACATGTGCTCCGTTGTCTTTGTAGTATGGACCTGCAATTACCACTTAGGACCAAAGCCCAGGACCATGAATGAAAGATCCCCGGGGAAGACCGGCAACTCTCAAAATAGTAGTGTCGATATCGACTAAATTCAAGACTCGGATCATAGATATTTCCTATCTAGACAGAGTATCTGTAGACGCAAGAGTTCAGTGGAATACCACATAACCGGTTTGCTATATTCGGTGAAGAAGCGTGTCACACTATATAGTTCGACTACATAGATACTGTAGTAGGTATAAGCTCTGAGATGATTTCATGACAACTTTTCATACCATTTAAAGTGTCTACATATCCAGATGCCACTCATATACTCCCCAGGGAAAACCTCCACAGCAATCACTTTTAAGACCGGAGCGAAAAAGGAAAGGTTCATTTTCATACTGCGACCCGAGTTGATCGTGACTGAAACGGAAGCAGAATGCGACTCCCCGAGTAGCATCCGAGGGTAGAAATCATTATCGATCAGATCATACAGTACAAAGAAAAAGAAAAGCCTCTAGCCATGAAGACAAGTCCAACCGATAGGCTTTTTGTGAAGAAGACGTCATAAAAGGTAGGAAATCTAAGTAGCTCGCTTGGCAAACTCGACGCGCAGGATAAGATGACGGTAACCGACTGCAGAAAAATCGAAGTTAGTATATTTATCGTACGAGGAATTCGTGGGAGATACTCACAGCCATCCATCTTTTCGCAAGCGCGCGCAGCATCGGTCCGGTCTGCAAAACTGATGAAGGCAAAGCCCTTGGCTCTCTGGGTTTCTCTGTCTCTTGCAAGGAAGACTCTGGTGACGCGACCGAAGCGCTCGAACAAATCCCGCAGCTCTTGCTCCTCTGCAAGTTCGCTCACCTGTTGACCGGTTGTCAGCAAATATTGCTATCGGATACAGCTTGCTCGAAATGGGATGAAAACTCACGTTTGTGACTCTCAGAGTCGCCAGATCGTCCCTGTCGAACTTGCCAGCCATTCTCTCGCCAGCACCAGAACCGCCCTTCCGCAGATGAGGTGGAACGTAGCTGCTGTTACCAGCGCCCAGGCCGCCAGCAGCTGGTCTCTCGTCGTCGTCCAGATCCAGTCCAGATCCAGCAGTCGGTTCGTCGACAGGTGCCATGGTGTCCTTGTAGGGACAGCGAGCAGTGAAATGCTCTCCGCTACAGATACGACACTTGACCTTCTTGTCCTTGAGCTGGTCCTTGATGCCACCCTTCTCGCCCTCCTTCTCAGCCTCCTTTGCCTGTGCCTTCCAGTTCACGCTAGGTCGGAAAATGATGTTCTCTCCAACGGAGGTCGTGTCGAAAGAGGGTCCTGGCGCATGGCCCTTTTCCAAGCCGAACTTGGCCCACTGTCTGCGCTCCGCAACCTTGGGGTTCACATGTTCCTTCACAATGGTCGTCTTGATCTTGCGGGTGACCTTCACCTTCTTTCCCTCGTCGTTGAAGCGGTAGGAGATAACAGTCTTCGTTCCATCCTTGTTCGTAATGACTTGCTGTGCGGGGAGGGCCGAGGGGTCATCGAACTCCTCGTCGTCGGCCCAGTCGGCTGCGCGGCTAAAATGAAGAAATTCCGTCAGCAGAGATTCGCGATACAAACGGTTATTATCTCACTTACTTTGCGAGTTTGGACATTGTGAATGATATGGAGCTGTGTTGAAGTTGCTGAATTTCTCGATTTCCGAACGGAGGCAAATCCGTTGTGGATTTATTCGATGCGGCCAAGTTCGGTGGCGCGTGGAGCGATCTGTGGCGGGAGATACTTAGCCACACCACGTGACTGAAGCGACACTACTGTCTACATCACTGATTAATGGATGAAGAATAACTAACTTAACTAGGTACCTAGTTAACTAACTTAGGTACGACAAGACGTGTGGTCTTCTTTTCAGCAAGGTTACTTTTCATAATGAGTAGTCGTTGCAATATTAGATACAACATGCCTTCTGGTTCTAGATGAAACATCAAGGTCAATATGCTGGTATCACTACTCCTTAGCTGCTAAGGTAGTTAGGTAGGTATGCCATGCATTCATATGTCATCGATGTCCCGACACATGTATCATCTGGGGGTCTTCCAGTTTCACTGAACGTCATTCAAGTCTGTAATATTTTTTTTTTTTTTTTTTTTTTTTTTTTTTGCTTCTTCTTGCTTCTTCTTTTCGCCCTTGATGGTTTGTCCCCCTATCCTTCCTATTCCCAATGCCAAACGAACCATAAGCCGGATTATGTATCCGCAGAGCAGGACCAGGAAGATTCGAGGTCGCAAAAATCAAAAGGCCAGATTTTGTGACTGTTGTGGTTGTTTCTGCAAGACGCATACGTCACATCGCAGCGTCCTAGGGAAAAGGATTCGGGAGACTCTCAGATCTTGCTGGATCAAGCACGAGATTCAGTCGTAGGTCGCTTTCACAGTCCCGTAGTTCTGCCCTTCGTGCCAAAGAGTGTACTCGCAGTGTGCCGAAAAGTAAGCAGCATGGATCTTGAAATTCAGGATGTAGTAGGATCTCCGGTCTTTCCCAGTGCGAATGGGGATTCGTGATCGAGGAATTTCACCAAGGCTGGGGCACAAATGTACATGCTTTTTCATCTCTGGTGGATAGATATGTGAGATTATTTCTTCATATCATGTAGAAAGGATTCTCACTTACTGCGGTTGAAATACATTGGAGCGTCCTCACCATTGGGAGTATCCAGCTCATAGAGAGTAACGGAGATGGAGTTGAATATGCCATATTTCGTCAGCTGATATTGATACCACTCTGATTCGAGTGGTTTGCCCTCTTCGATCCGATCGCCCTGTCCCGTTAATTTAAGCAAATTTGCAAGAGGTATAAATTGAATAAGTCAACAGTACCTTACGAATGAGCCATTTCATCACTTGGATTACGTACTTCCCCTCATAATCACAGAAATACCTTGGTGAATCAGCATCGCCCTGCATGCGGGATAAATATTCAGTACTTACTTTTTGTGGGGATCATGACGGGCAGGGTCAAAGGGCTTTATACATATGAACCCATAATGCTTCCTCGCAATTCTCGAGTCCACTGAGATTGCTTCCAGAGAAGGGGCAACCTCAGAAGCGACTTTGGCCAATGCGCCCCTAACAACCGCAGTCCAACCATTTGTCACTTGTATGACTTCGATTCTAGGGTCGATTCTTTCTTGGATGAAGTTTTGTAAGGAAGGGTTCTGGCCTAGACCTCCAACCAGAAAGACAGCACTGACACTTCCCCTCGATGCCTCGATTTGACCTTTAACTAGTTCCAATACTTGCTTCAGAATGGGCTCGAAGATGCTTCTCATATCCTCTCCTGACAATCTGATTTTACCTCGGCGCACGCCGAGATCGTCATTGTTGTCTATACCGGGGACCGGTATCATGAACTCATTGTGTATGTTACCATCGAACACCCTTTTGGCAACCGTTTCAAAGCGTTGGAGCGCCTCCTCAAGAGTGTCTCTGCCCCAACCAGGATCAGATGACAACTTCTTCTCTAGGAACTCCTCGAAGCGACGATTGAGAAAAGCACCACCGCAGAGTTCACCGGAGCCTGGAGCCTCCTCCTTGAGGCGGAGTCTGGGTTTCAATTCCACAATCGAGAACGTTATCAAATCGACTGTTCCACCTCCGGCGTCACAGAGTACGATTGTGTCGCCAACGTTCAGGGTCCGAGGATTAGAGGATCGTAGAGCGTGTATCGCCGCGGCCTCAGGCTCAGAAATCATACGAGTACTCGATATCTTTCCGAGTCCGGCCTTTTCTGCACATGCATTTGTTCTAGCCTTTGCGGCATCACTCCACACGGCAGGGACAGTAACGACGTATTCCCACGTCATGGTGCTGAAAGCTGCTCCAACCTTTGACTCGAGAACTCGCATAATGTGCTTGTGCATGCAGCTGAGGTAGCTGGTGACAAGCTCTTCAGGCGATGCGTGATAGGGAGGTGGGACTTCTCTGCGATCACCACAGATGGAAGACAAAAGGGACACTGACCCTTTCTGACCAGGATCAAGCGCCAGCTTTATCCACTGGTGGCGTGGCATACTTTCCGGGATTTGAAAGCCCCAAAGACAGGTTGGTCCAGATTCACTGTATTCGAATGCGATTTCAGTGGGCACCTTTTCGCTCGTGGGACCGCTGAGAGACCCTGAAGCCGTGCTTGGCCACTGGTTGATGAGGTAATGTTCATGAGGCTATATATCATTAGCTATTGATAGGACTTTCGTCATGTTTCATGTTCAAATGCATACACTGTCTGTAAGAGCCCAGGCAGCACCTGAGAACGTCGTGCCAAAATCCAAGGCAATGACAACGTGCCTGTTTCGAGAGGCACACATTTTTGATCCTGTTGGATATCAAGGATGGTGTCACGGATTTTTCAGCTATCGGAACAGAAGAATCAGAGACACAGGTGAGGTGACAGCAAGATTAAAGAACTCTTCGAGTTATGGAGTTGTGGCATGGATCAACATGTGTTGATCTCTCGGGGTGGACTAACAGTGAAGTGAAGTGAAAAGTGAATGTCACGTCCAGAACTTGTAAACAAAGAAAGATCCGTCACCCTCCGACAATTTCCTCGCCTTGCGGCTTGTTATCACTTCACCTCATTGAAAACGAAGTCTAGAGCTGTTTCATTGGAGCCATTTACGATCCGTACCTGCCAAGCAGTGGCTTAATATTCCTCTTCAGTACTTTCCTTAGATGATCTCTTTACCTGACATCCCACACAGCTTATTCGGATGGTAATTCAATTGACAGAAACTCTGTGCTTTATATGATCACTACAACTGACACAGACTGACCAGAATCAGATATAGCAGCATTTGCTTTTCGAAAACATGCCGTACACCAGCGCTGAGGGTGATAGTGACGGACATAGGAACACTGAGAGACCAGAGGAATGCCTTGTCAGTAGAGCCCATGTATTGGCTAATCTCATGGGGAACGCAAGTGAAGATCTGTGTTCGCTTGTCACAGCCATGGCCGCGGAGATTCGGCAAAAGGATCTAGAGTTGAAGGCTGCAGAAGTGCAGATCTGCAAGCTCGAAAATGCAGTCAGCGACTCCACGAAGAGGCTTCTTAAGACTTTGCCCACTTCATCACTCGATGACTCAAGGCTCCGTGGAGAGTATAGCACGCTTCGTGGGTCTGTTGAAGACTGGGTGTGGCTTTTGCCTGCTGCTACACTCACCCAAGAATACCAAAGCAACATGGCACAACTTCCGGCAGAACATGCTCTGAGGTTTTCTGTGCGGTTATTTGTCAACGTGTTTGGAGAATGTTCTTCGAACCATGGGCTCTTGTTGCTGAGAAGAGTCAGAAGAACTTCATGATCTCCCTTGAGACGAGCATGGGGGAACTAAACGGTACGTTACAATGAGGCCCATACTTTAAACCGTCAGAAGATGTTTATATACTGTTGTCATGTTCTTCATTATGGTTGCTAATTTAGAGCATGTAGGAGATAAAGAAGCAATAAATGCCTGGAGGTCCAATACCATGCGCGCTCATGTTATCAGAGAGGCCTATAATAGGGAGCTGCATGCGCAGATAGGAACGCTAAACAGTGAAATACTGAGCACGCTTTCCTTTATTGACATAGACCTATCCGATCCCCTAGGGGTAATGGATGATCTCCGACGTCGAGTATTACTGCCCGCTGCAAAACTCGCAGAAGAAATGAGCTACACACCCGAATCATATCATTGGAAATGGTACGACAATAGTGATGAGGAGCTGCGAGAACTCAAGAGACTCTCAAAATCTAGTGTTACGAAATTTGTCATCGTTGATAGCCAGACGCACAACGAAGTCAAAAAAGAAAAACTGGCTGTTTTGCCGTCTAACCAAAGAATAGGTCAATGCCTCCTGGTAATCTTTCCAGCCCTCTTTCGACAAGGAAATGGCAATGGGACATGGATACAGATTGAGAAGGCAACCATCCTTGTGAAGCTCAGTGAAACTGTCTCTGCCCATCTAAATCGTCAGAGCCAGCTCCAACGGGTTAAGAAAGAATCCGAGGATGACCACATGGACGGCTTAGAGTCTCCTTCCAAGAAAGAAAGTCTTCTGGTGAAAACGGAGTACGATGATCTCCAGCCGTATTCTCAAGCGCAGTGATAGTGATCATGGAACGCGGCAGCTCCATAACTGACCGGATATGACGTTGCTATTCTGGTCCGCTTGACACATTCTTCATGTTTTCAACGGTGGAATCGAATATTGATTTCTTTTTGTGACTCCGGATTATCTTTCCGAATTGTTTCCTCTTCATTTCTACCACCAGCACTCGAGCCATAAATGCCCCTCTGAAGTCTGAACACTGAATTGCCTACATAAAAGTTCATCTTCATACCATTCTTCCACATTTCATCCCCTCGCCTTCGTTCAATTCCCGTACCAAAAAAAAAAAAAAAAAATAACGATAAAAAATCACATCAATGCTTGTCTCACAAATTTGTTTCCAATTTCTCCCCGACGAAGCAGCCCTTGAAGTGTTAAATTGCTCATTTTCTTTCTCGAAAACACTACACGCACGAGGTGGTCATGTACTTAGTACGAAATGCAAAATACAATAAGTATCTCATTATTTCTCTTATTTGTGCTTCTCTTCTGGAATAAAGCCAATCATATAGTGTATCATTCTGGCTCTGCAATCCTGAACTGTGAACCACTCTTACGTTGTATCATCCTCGACGTCAATAATAATGCCCCTGAATAAGTGAATATCTCTCGATTGATGATATATCTATTGCTTCCATTCTATCAGCACCCAACTGCTTTATTAGAGACGAGCTGCAAAACGCCACTATTACCCTATCTATATAAAGGGTATAGAATAAACAATATGACGCCACTTATTTCCACCTATATAGAATCAAAGCAGACACGCCGGAAGTAAGAAATACACAGAAACAGTGGCTGAGGTAGTAGTGCTCCAGACAGTGTTTAATTAGGACGAAGTCCAAGGATATACATAAATAGTTGATCGATTTCGGTATCCTCTAGTTAGCTCTTCAAGCAATCGAGATCCTGTTACTTATCGTATTGAGTGCTTTTCTTCCATTCTTTTCTTGCTTTTGTGGTCTTAGATCCCTATTATCCGTCATGGCGCTACGAATGGATTTTCTTTCTCAGAAAAGTGTCCTTGATGAATAATAGCATGATGCCAATTGAATTATTAATCTTTTCGGGTGTCACAATTATTATTCATGGACATATGCTTTTCCTTTTTCGTTAAGCCATTTACATATAGAGAGATTATTAAATATAGGAAGACACTCAGAAATATATATATATACTACAATACTATGCACCGAAAATAATGCAATATCCACTTAAAACCGCGCGATCCAAAAATATGGAATTATGCAAGAGTCAACTCCCCAATGAACCAGAACCTCCCTATCGCTTAAATATCCTCAGCTCAATATGCCTCAAAAAGAAGTAACCAACTGCAGCAAAAGCGAAGCCCAATTCGAAACCGACGTCACCACCATACGGTGGGGCGCCTGCGTGTTGGGCAATAGGGCCTACGAACCACTGCTGGCTCATACCCATGACCATACCCACGACGCCGCAGCCGAAGGCAAGGACGGCGGCGATTCCAGGAGGGAGCTTGTCGGGTTGGTCGTAGATCTCAGGGCGGTAGCCGGAGAAGCCACGCTTGAAGACGAAATGATCCGTCAAGGCAATGCCTTCGTAGATGGCAAGCCAGTATCCGATGAAGTTCATGAAGTTCTCCAGGACGGCCTCGAATTGGGAGTAGCCGGGGATGGCGATGGCGATGTAAACACATGTTCCCAGGAGCGTCCAAATGAACCGTGGAACGCGTTGAGTCCAGCGACCCATCACCTGAAGAGTCAAGGCAACAGAGTAGATATTCGGACAGTTGTTTGCAATGATCGACAAGGCTAGAATGATCACACAGAACTTTCCAAATCTGCCGAGAGGCGGGAACAACACTGCGCCTAGCAGACCACCTGTTCCTGAAGCTGTATAGCCTTCCTGGTAGATGTTATTCCCATCGTTGAGGCTAGTTGCCGTCATGAGTGCTGCACCGAGCATCTCAGTAAATAGCAGCGGGATAATAAGTCCAATCCATGTCGCAAAGAAGACCTTGGTACGGCTGCGGTTGGATGGCTGGTAGACAGTGTAGTCCGCTGCATAGCTGGTCCAGCCCGTCGCGAAACCATAAACGGTGGAGCCAAAGGAAAGGACTCCACCCAACTCGGACGTACCAACCTCCCATGGAATATTCACAAAGGCGCCGGAGTGCGCAAACACACCGAGGACGATCAAGAAAATGATAAAGGTGGGAATCCAGCTCCAGTACTCATAGGCGTGCACGACTTTATATCCGAACAGGGTAATGACGAATGTGCAGACAGCGATGATGATGATACCAGCGAAGCCGGGAACATCATTGTTGACCGTGTGGATGAGTTGGGCGCCAACAATAGTGTTGACTGAAGACCAGCCGATACAGGCGAGGATATTAAAGATGGCGACTGAAAACCAATATAAGCAATTTGTCTTGCACTTAAATGTTTCATTGTAACACTCACTCAATTTAACTCCCCACCAGCCGTACCAGAAGCGTGACAGCACCATCTGTCGCAATCCGAAGGCGGGCCCGAAGGACGAAAAGAAGCAGACCGTCATGATGCCCAGCAAGTTGAAGAACAGAATCACCAGACACGCATCGACGAAACCGAGGTAGAAAAGCGATTTGCCTAGCACTCCAATGGCGAATGAACTGACCACCATATTTGCTGCCAGCCACTATTCAGGTGGTCGTCAGCGCCGCGCGCTTCATGAGGAATGCTAGTTGCATAGATAGAACGCAAATGAAATTTAGAGACACACCATGCTGCCAATATTCACATAGGAGGTATCCGTCCTCTCGTTCTCTGGAACGCGCTCAATGCCTCTCTGCTCGATATTGAGCTTTCCCGCCCAGCGCTGGACCTTTGCATAGAGCGAATTGCCGTATACAAAAGTCTCCCCCGGCACAGCTCCATTGCTGTGATTGTCGTCGACGGGGGAATTTCCCACCCCAGGACTTTTTTCGAGGTCCTGCTCGAAGCCGGAGCTCGTCGCGGCGACCTCTGGGGATTTCCAAAACATCGTTGGCCCGTTGGACGACCGCTATGGGGAGGGATTGTGACAGAGCTTAAAAAGACAGAGGGCAGGCTGTCAACGCAGCGATGCTGACCAGCGGCGCGGGGCAAACCAGGACGAAGAGCTCGTCATGATCGCGTGGGCAGGGACGAGAGCCTTTTTAATACGTGCCTCGTGTCGCGATAAAAAATTCCTCTCCCACCGTGCATCGCGGGGGCCCACCTAGATAGAATCGGTGGTAGCCCTATGTTCAAACAGGGGATCGTGTACTTAGTCCTACTGTCGCGTGGCATGTCAAGCTCCGGATTTCCTCCCAGAAAGGTTTGATCCAGGGCCCGAGCAAGATCCAGACGCCGCCAAGATTGTCCGGCTTATCTGTGACCACTGGATATCTTGTCGCATGTTATTCTGATAGGCTAGACACCCCAAGCTTTGACTAGCAGACTGTGCCGACGCTGGCCGAAACGGTCCTTGTAAGCGAATCATAACCGCAATAAAAGGTCGGGTGGCGGAGGACGATAAGCACGGTTGAACCAGCCAGAGATAATAATAACTATGACCCGCGATATGACTGTTCTTCAATAGATAATTATCAATCCCCAGAAACGTTGATCAACCATATCATCCTTGATAACGCCCGCCATGTCGCATTCTTGCCGTGGTGCACATCGCTAACAGGCCTAACAGGCACGGCGAGCTCCGAAGTAACATCACTCTTGAACAGCTTAGGAATCGATCGCTTTGGGGGCCAATGCTCTCAATGCTCTCAACTCTGTATGCGACGCTGCGTCATATTGCTGCTGAATTGATTGCTCCTAGAGTTCCCATATTCATTTTACCATATCATAACATGAAACCAGATTCCATGCTTCCTTAACAGCCTTGTAAGTACTGTGCAACGCATTATTGACCGCGTTGCACAAATCTTTTGCGCCCGGGCCGTCCCATCATTACTGAAACAAGCAGGTAGTGAGTGCATCATCCGGGTTGTCCACTGGTGAGCCTGCAATTATGGTATAATTGACAAAGAACGAGGATAAAGCTAGGATCTGTAAGTACTCTAAAGTCAAGATTAGCATTTTGTGGATACAATCCGGGGCTCCCCGGGTCCCGCAAGGGTTGAGAAATCCGCAGCAGGGGGATGGCCGCGGAAACTCACGTCTGCATAGTCTAAATCGACTTCGAGAAGATAAGGACCGAGTTTATTCAGTTTCAGCTTGGATATTGGAGATGTGAACATCCCAAAGGAGCTGCAAGGATAACCTCGTGGGGGATGACTCGTGGGGATGATCGCCTGCAGCACCAGATCTCGAGATCGTCCGCGTTTCGACGTGGAGGATTGTTCATCTAGAGGTTCCTCTCGTGCTAGAAACCTCGTAGTCCAGGATACACTCTGAGAGACAAAGAATATTGATCGTCAATGTGGACGGGGGGCTGATATTGGGGTGTACGGAGCATGGCGGATGGCAGGCCCTGAAGCCGGACACCTCCGCTGCACGTGGCCTAGATATCTATCTATTCCTTGTTTGTTTGAGTACGGGGGAAATTTCACTCCATATTTATCTCCTAAAAATAGGAGGAATCGAGATTTTCATCACGCGTAGAACTCCAAGTCTGTATTTCAACAAGCACTTAGGCCGCGCTACGCGCGTCCCGTCCTTACATCTGGTTTTCTGATTCTTTTGTAAGAAGCGCGGTCTCGAGGGGTTCAGTTAAAGCTTATAAGGGGTGCCAGCCCGTAATAGCCCAGCGGCTATTACTTTGTGTAGTCTTTTTGGCTGAAGGGTTTCTAGGAACTGGCTGGCGCCTAGGAGTTCCTTACAATTTTAGAGTAATAATATTAGTATTAAGAATATAATACCATTCTTTCCTAAACCGCCCCAAAGCAGGTATAGTTACTTTTTAAGAGTATATAATTACCCAAAATATTTTAGTCTGAGGCCTATTAATCCAAGCAGCTCTATTCTTTCCAAAAGTAAATTACTTAAAGTATTTATTTATAGTTATGTAAAGAGTAGAAACTCTAATAGCCCAATATTTTTAGCTTATTTAAATAGTAAGATATTGTTGGGTTTATAAGCGCTTAAGAAAGTACGGAGGATATTAAGTAATGTGGAGATAGCTGGATTAATCTCTATATATATGGATGAGATCCGATAGTTACCTCCACGGCCTATCTTAATGGTAATATTGGGTTTAATCTATACCAATAATATTTGGTATTCCGCCTAGGTATGGCCACTATCCCAGATATTAAACGCGCAGAAATAAGGTAGCCAACCCAACTTCGCCAAAAAGTACAGTGAAATTATTACACCTCTTCCTCGCTTCTGGAGCCAGGGCAGTCTGGGCTAAGGTAGCCTGGTAAGTAACCATTGTCAGGAGTCCGGAGACTCTCTAACGGGTTCAGAGGACTATTACAATTTAATTAATAAGTGCAAATAGCTAAATGGCCAGTGCTGGTGGTATAAGGTATACCCTATTATATATACTTGGACGGCCTCTATGGATGCACCAAAGAGGGTAGATATAATAGAAATTAAGTATATAGGGGAATCGGATTCAATAAAGAGTTAAGTATAACATATAAGTTTAATGCGGACGGGCGGATATAGACATAATAATAATCCTAACAACTATAGTGACCAATAATAGAGATTGGCTGAGAATGAGGAATAACGGCTCATTAGTGTTAAGGACACCAACAGTATTTATTGGACTATTATGGGGAGTCTGCGCGGTGATCTAGCGTTTGTATAAGTACACGGTGGAGGATATTACGCATTGGCCGTTGTGGTGGAATCTTAATCCCCGAGGCCTTTTTTCTTTTAAACTTTTGATTGCCATTGTACTATTTCTGATCCCATGCCGGTTAACTGCTCCCGTTCTATTTGGTTTCTTTTGTTTGGATAGTTATCAGGCCCTAGAGGCGCTGGCTGGATATGTTTGGAAAGAAGAGATACCTCGGTACTGATATCCTTGCAAATTACATTGCGATATTCATTTGTTTTAGAGGAAGCAAAAAGATAGAAAGAGCATAACCTAATTATATCTCGGATAATAATAAGGACAAGCATTGAGAACATAATTGGGACAATCCCCTCCAGCAGGAATGACGAAGAGGCGCCTATTCCTGTTGTGTATCAGTCGTGTCTAGCAGGTCTTAGTCTATAACACAAAGGACTCCTAAATATAAACAACTACTGTTTCCCTAAACACGTATCAGTCCAGCTCCCACCCTCTTTCCACAAGCTCATTCTCGCCCTCCTCACTATCCACCATGGCCTCAAGCACCAACTCCTCTCTTCGTCTGCCGGCGACTGTGGCGGCCTGGGAAGCTGAAGCCCGCCAGTACAATGTGGCCGGCATGTCTCTAATCCAATGTACGAATATGCGGTCAGGCTCCGATATTACAGAGGAGCAATTTCTCCTATTTCGTACAATTTTTCCGAGGACAAGAAAAATATTCACTCCGGCCATTTTTGGGCTTGCCCCTTCTTACCAGCAAGCTGGTCTCTTGGTTACCAACCAAAATTTTCAAGAATATGCCCAGAGAGTTGGAGCAGGTATCTTGGGCCCCGGGCATTTTGCCCAATGGACCTTGAATACTTTGTTTAAGGTGCTATTGGCACAACAGCAGCAAGCAATTGCTGCAGTTTATAGAGGGAGGTCAAAGTTGACCAGAAGGTCGGAGGCGGCCGTAAACACCTCCTTGGTTTCGTTCCTGCAAGCCTTGGCAATGTTGGCTGCGCCGCTCAGCGGCCAATGGAACGCCCAGGGAATCTCTCTGGAGGCCAACTTTGGGGTCCACGGGGGACAGAGACGAGCCTTTACGGCCGTCACTGATGGCCAGTATCAACTGGTCATAGGCAACCAGATCGTCGCATTTATGGAATGCAAGGTAGGCCCGAGGGACAGGCATACTCCCCAAGTGGAGAAGCAGGAAACCGCTCAGGTCATCGCCTCCATTAAGGAGTATCCTGACGCGGTGCCCAGGCGCTGGTAAGTACCACTCCATGCTACCTTGTGAGGAAATCTATCTAATGGAATAAGGCGAGCTCTCGTCTCGCAAGACGGAGACGAGATCTACGTCTCAATTTTCGAGTACAATAGGACTTGGAAAAGATATCTTGATAGAGGTATAGTAACGAATGCCAGCCACGCAAAGATGAACAGATTCGGCCCATACCAACTTGGCAATCGCGCTGAGATGACCGAGGTTGCGAAGATTATTATTGCCATAATACTTTACAGACTAGAAAGTCACAAGTGCTTGAGTGCACTTGAGACCTCTAGACATAAAGCATTATGGCAATAATAATCTTCGCAACCTCAGTTATCTCGGAGCGATTGCAAAGTCGGTAAAGGCCAAATCTGTTTGTTTTTGCATAGCTAGCGTTCATTACCATATTTCCATTGAGATGTCTTTTCTAAGTTCTGTTGTATTCGAAAATTGATATGTAGATCTCGTCGGTACGTCTTGCTTACGTGAGCTCGCTAGTTGCCTGGACCCTGCACGTGATTCGACAATCAACAGGCACCCGCCGCGACCCTATGGTACTGTACATAGCGACAATCCGGAACTATCTCGTCTTCTCGTATCATAGTGACCTGGGACAACTTACCGCCCTGCTGCCTTGGGTGAATACCACAATGACTCAGTGTTACATCTCACTTCTCTTTTTTCAACTCACTTCTCTTTTTCGACTCACTCGATCTTTCGCACCACCATCTAAGAACTTCTCTTTATGCTATCATTCTTATTGCTTCCTCGGTCCCCTGTAGGCTATAGCTGTCCTCTAGGGTCTGTTGGCTATCGCCGTCGTCTTTCATGATAGGCCTTGGTCGGTGCACGTAGCCAGATAAACAGAGCTTGAGGCTTTTCATTATCTTCAGCTCTGCACTTCCAAGTTTGCCTATTCAAATTCACCCCCGCTTCTCATCTTCAGAATGCCGAACACAGCGCCGAGGAAAGAGGCGCGCGACGTTCTAAATGTCCTATATAAAACTCTGGCTCATCCAGAGAAACTCGGTATCTCGAAGGAAGAGGAATTGTTGGCGATGACATTCTCACGCGGCTCAATATCAGGGTCCATCCTCTCGAGATAGACCCTCACACTGGTGTTTCCATGACTGTCGACGATCCACCTTTCTTATTCTCAATGCCCCGACATAACATGTTCAGGACAGACCCCCTACGAGAAAAAATAGAACCATTTCCGAAGTACCTGGAGCCTTCTGAAAGGCCTGAAGCTGAGAGACCTAAAGGACATCACAACTTTGCCTGGTCTTCGGAAGCTCGTGGTGCAGAAGTCTTACAATACATAACCTCTTTTGCTCTCAATCCGGTCAGGAGCAAGTACAGCTATTTCAGCATGAATCTGAGTGACATAAAGTAAGCTGGTACAGTCTACAAAAATGAAAAAGCTATATGACCACTGACTGAACTTACAGAGATCCGGACCCGTTTCTGTGGGGGGGAGGCCTAGACAGTGGAAATGTTTGGTTTTGGAGAACCCACACAATCCTGGAGGCTCCGAAAGAGAATGGATACCCTACTCGGCCGCATATTACTATGACAACAACTGTAGACCGCGTTGGTCAAGATAATTCTATCTTCTACGAGGAACTGATACCTCTGGTTTGCGCTATGCGAAACAGAGCAGACCAGCCAAAAATTCCTCCTCAGGAATGGGAGTCCGCATTCGAGCTATGGGATGAAACATACGACGGCAAATTAGTCTTTGAACGTGAGAAGACATTCCCTATATTAATGTTGTCGTTTCTCGGCCCTCAACACGCGCGAGTATTTTACGCTCGCATAAAGGACGATGAAGTCATTATCGGACAGTCAAAGCTCTATAGCTTCGAACGGAAGGATAACGCAAACATTGAGCTTTTTGCTCGACTTCTTCTGAGCGCCCCGGCCAGAAGGTGGGAGTTATAGCGCGCTTCTGAGGTTCGACAGACACGCGACCGCCTCTCTGAGCAGCTCAATTTGTCCTTATCTACCTTGTAGCTAATCCAAATGAATTCTAATTCTCACCTTCGCACTCATTAATCACCCTGGATGTAAGGGTACTAGGTTCAGAGCCGTTGTATATTTGCATCATTCTAAATATCACTACATTCCCCAAAGTATGGAAATCAAGTACGCCGCTTTTCCCACGTGGTTCACAGTAACTTCTTCCTTCTCTCCACGCACTCGACTCACCCCGGATGCTGCACGTGATTCCCTGACCGGTGCCTGGATCGACCGTTCGTGGCGCCAGGGCGGCGGCAGCATCCTCAGCACCACTACAGGTCCAATTTCATTTCGACCTTTCAGTCACCGTCAACCTGCTCACCCTGCCTACTGCTGCTTCCTGCACCAGGTGGTAATTCTGTGCAATTATACTGCGGCACTACCTGAATATAAGTGAATAAGAAGGCCAGAGACGCGGCGTCTGCATCTGAGGGGATCTGATTGGTCTGATCACAAAACATTGGTTCTTTTCCTCAGATAGTTACCAAGTTCTCTATTACATATATATATATTCGGGAAAGGTCAATATCAGTTTGATCTACGTAACAAATGGCCCAGAGGACGAGCTACTTCTCCAACTTTTTTTTTTATTTACATGTATCTCATGCACATCATACATATTCATACAAAAGCCAACCTCTATATATGTAGCACAGTGCAGAATATAAAGACTATTCATCTAAACTCTGTAAATGGCATCAGCCATTTTCACCACCTGGCACATCTCTGGGACATCATGTACTCGCGCAATATCTGCGCCGCTTGCGACGCTGGCAGTGACTGCGGCAGCTGTGCCCCATCCTCGGTCGCTGGCCTTTTCCACACCGGTGATCCGCCCAATGAATCCCTTCCGACTCGTACCTACGAGCCAAGGAAAGCATTCCAGTCCTTCGACGTTGGTTCTCAGTTGTTGCATGTCTCGGAGCAACGTGAGGTTCTGGGATTGGTTCTTCGCAAATCCGACCCCTGGGTCGAGAATAATGCGCCAACGACGCACGCCTGCGTTTTCAGCGGCACGGACACGCTCCAGAAGTTCCGATCCTACGCCTTGGATGATGCCCCCAGGATAGTCTATCAGTTTGGTCATGGTCGAGGGATCGCCACGCATGTGCATCAGGATAACTGACTTGCCAGTCTTGGCCATTGTAGGTAGCATCTCAGGATCTAGAGTTCCCGCGGAGATATCGTTGATGATATCTGCACCGGCGGCGCAAGCCTCGGCAGCCACACGAGCACGGTATGTGTCGATACTAATAGCAACGTTGCGGGCTTCAGGGATAGAGGTACGGATGTGACGAATAGCGGGAATGACGCGGGCTAGTTCTTCTTCCTCACCCACAGGAGCAGAGCCAGGGCGAGTGCTCTCACCCCCAATGTCAATCATGGTAGCTCCAGCTGCGATGAATCTGCGCACTGTTGCAGTTAAAGCAGAGAAGTCATCGGGCGAATGCAATCCACCGTCGGAGAAGGAATCGGGAGTCATGTTCAGAATAGCCATAACATGAGTGCGGCGCTTCGGATCCGAAGGATGTAAAGATGGGAACGAGGAGGAGATTGGCGACGTGAGAGCGGGAGGCGTCTCTGACGGAGGTAGAGAGTTCAGGTAGGAGAGATAAGTTAAATTCTCCCCTGGGAGAGGAGGTCGCTCATGAGGAATCAACCTGGGATATATGTCAATCTTCGTGCCCAAAGGGTTCCAGAAGAGTGCAGCCGTACTGGCAGAGTGGTCTAAGGACGAACTCCCGCTCCAGCATCAAGGCGTGGGGGATCTTGAGACGCGGATGGGATACGATGTCATTGCCATACAGCAGAATATCGAGATCGATAGACCGTGGCCCCTTGTCAATCGTCTTGTAGCGCCCCAGGCCCGTCTCAATGGCTTGGAGCGTATCCAAAAGTTCGATTGGCTCCATGGTTGTTTCAACCTGAGAATGCTAAATGAGCAATGAATGCGAGAAAGTAGAGTTCCTCGACGCACCTCGCAAACACCATTAATAAATGGCTCCTGGTCAAGGACATACATAGGTGCGGTCTCGAACAGAGAACTGGTTCTTTTTACTCTGATACCGGCCCGGTCCAGTTCGAGAAGTGCCTTTTCAATCGTTTCAATACGATCACCAACGTTGCTCCCTAGAGCAATGAAAGCCCGGTGGGATTGACTCCCGTTCGTGAGAGGCATTGTTGACTTGGACCGATTCTCTCTCATAGGAACCTTTGAACAAGAGAAATACCTGACTGAGGGACACTGAGCGTGATATTTGCCATTCCTGACAGACACTCTATTCAATGGTTGACAGAACCCATCAGCCTGGGAGATCCGACCTGCAGGGCAATCAGCACGGATCTCACTGATGTTTGTCGCCTCCGGTCAAGACGGGCAGCTACAGAAGCTATTACGCTAACAATTATATCAAAGACTTACCCAAACTGATTGGCGCCGAGAGATTACTACTAGCAACGTCAGAAGAGGACCAAAAAGATAACAGATCTTCAAGTAGCTTCTCACAAGGTCTGCTTCTTACTGGGAGTACTAGAAAAGCCCCTGCTCAAGAGAATCGAAAAAGGTCTGATGGGCGTGTCTCGTCGCACTGGGCCTGCGAAGATCGAGACGTTGGACGTTGAATTCAGGTAGGACGACCACTCTGCGCCGGAAGTCCAGCGGCTCGTTATTCTACCTTTCATGGCTGGCGCCGAAAAGACATCTCGATCTTACTCGAGCAGATCGACTGTGGCGGCGAATGCGTCACGAGTCGCACGAGCCGCCACTTTTCTTTTTGCGTCTGTCGCGAAGTCACATGACCTGACCTTGTTGACTACCATACGAATTCTCGAATTGATGAGATGAACATTCGGATCTAACAAGGCGGCATATATGTGGGTAGGGTTCACATGGTGTAGCTGGAGCAAGCGTTTGTTCTATTATGTAGTACTTAGTAACGTATCAATACTATACCGCAGAACAGCCCGTCTGATCGCTTCGGGACTTGGATAGCTCGCAGTGGTATGATGCGCAGAGTAAGTACGCCAGCAGTACTGCAAAACACAGCGGAAACACGCAGCGCGATCAAGTACCCACCAGGTACCAGACTATCTACCCGTAGTCTAACCCCACACTCACAGGCCGGCTAAAGCAGTTCCCGCGTGCCAGAGCTACTCCGCAAATATACCGAGGCTCACGGTCAATTGCTACGGTGTCTTACTGTTCAATAATCAATCCCTCTCCCTCCCGTGCTCTTGCTGCGCTGCTTTATTTTATTTGGTACAAACGGTTCATCTCGTCTCGTATCTCTTTCTGAGAAACAGTTGGTTAGAAATTAAAAGAAAACAACCATGGCTTCTCCTCGTGAGTATTCCCTGTGACGCAACTGGATCACCTTTGCGGTTTTCGCTAGTTCGCAACGAACCTGAGACGATGACAACTGTGCTGACAGCTTTATCTGACAGAGAAAATCCGCACTCCAGTGACTGATCTCCTGAAGATCAACCACCCCGTCTTGCTGGCGGGTATGAACGTTGCTGCTGGTCCTAAGCTCGCCGCAGCGGTCACCAATGCGGGTGGTCTTGGTGTCATTGGTGGTGTTGGCTACACCCCCGAGATGCTAAAGGAACAGATCGCTGAACTCAAGAGCTTCCTTAACGACAAGAATGCTCCGTTCGGAGTCGATCTCCTTCTCCCCCAGGTCGGAGGAAGTGCCCGAAAGACCAAGTAAGAGATAGCTCTATCCATACGATGAAGCGTGGGTAGTATACAGTGCTAATGTGACTTTCTTCCCGATAGTTATGATTACACCAAGGGAAAGCTGAATGAGCTTGTTGATATCATCATCGAGAGTGGTGCTAAGCTCTTTGTTTCCGCCGTCGGAGTCGCTCCCAAGCCCGTCGTTGAGAAGCTACACAAGGCTGGCATTCTCTACATGAACATGATCGGCCACCCCAAGCACGTTCAGAAGGCCCTCGATGCCGGAGCCGACATTATCTGCGCCCAGGGTGGAGAAGGTGGTGGTCACACTGGTGATGTTCCCACCACTGTCCTCATCCCTGCTGTCGCCAAGCTGGTCCAGGGCAAGAAGAGCCCTCTGACCGGTCAGCCCGTGCAGGTCATTGCTGCCGGTGGTCTGTTCAGCGGCCAGTCCGTTGCTGCTGCTCTGATGTTAGGCGCTTCTGCCGTCTGGATCGGTACTCGTTTCATCCTCTCTGATGAGGCTGGTGCGCCCGAGGCTCACCAGGAGGCTGTCCGCACCGCTGGATTTGATGACAATGTTCGCACTATCATCTTCACGGTACGCTCTACATCTCTCCCTTAAATCCTCACCACTTTACTACTATGAACAGTACTAATTCCCCGCCTCAGGGTCGTCCCCTCCGTGTCCGCAACAACGCATACATCCAGAACTGGGAAGAGAACCGCCAAAACGAAATCAAGGAGCTCACCGCCAAGGGCATCATCCCCGTCGAGTACGACATGGAGAACCTCCCCGATGACGTTGACGACGATACTCTCGACAACGCCCGTCCCTACCTAATGGGCAAGGCTGCCGCCGTCGTCAACGAGAAGAAGCCCGCTAAGGCCATCGTTGACGAACTGGTCAACGACGCCGTTGCTTGGCTACAGAAAGGCAACAAGATGATTGCTAAGCTTTAGATGTTATGTTCTTTTATATGTTTTGATACGGCCGCTCCCCTTCGCTCCTCTGCATTTGCTTTTGGTTTGGTTTTTTTTTTTTAAATTCCAGTTATTCTTCAATTAGGAGGTTCTTGTCATGGCATGCATAGTAGTAGTTTTAGCTTCAGGTTCTATTTTTGAAGAACTGGAATAAGGGTGATACCAGCAACCAACCAACCGCCTTTAGGCGTCGTATGATTTCTTTCTAGTGGGGAATTCGCTGGCAGAACGTATTCTTGATCTTCCAAATTGCCTACCTTGGCGCGCGGCTGTATTTGTATAACTATACAGGGCAGTTGGCTTTTGCGTACGCACCTGCTTTGCCGTAAGGACACTAGAGTGAGGACTGAACGCAATACGCTTTTATCAAGATATTATTCATTTTTCTAACACAAACTCCTCGAAGATAATGGTAAATAAGTAGTAGTAGTAGTATCGAGAAACAGAATCGAAGTATCCAGCATTCGTGAAGCACAAATAGAGATCCATCTTCCTTGGTACAAACGCAGCACAAACGCATTTCGGCCATTTCAGTCCAGACCTATGAGGATCGCCGGCTCTGCCAAACGTGTGCTTGAATGCTAAAGTCTAGGATAAATATCGAATGTGGGGTGAAAGAAGACAGCTGACTGAAGGGGAGTATGCATAAGACGAGAAGAATGATATGTAGAATTGGCTGGCGCCATGGAGCGCATATGCTCGTACGTAGAAAAGAGATCTTGTCGTTGTCGTCGAAACCGGTAGCGAAGTCGTTTAGCTGTTGAGGTAGTTGCGGATGGCCCCTAGAAGATTGATAACCGTCAGCGACTTATCCTGGAAATGGGAGCCTCGATCCAATTATATGTTTGAGAAAGAGGCAACTCGCCTTGTAACCTACTTGCACCTTCACCGAGAACCTGCGTCAGATTCTCAAGATCGTCGCCGGCGGTCATACCGAATCGTCGAACGAAGTCTTTCGCCGCAGTCTCCAGATCGCCATAGTCATCCACAGCGGGGAGATCGTCTTCGGGTCGGCCGAAGTACGCATTGCTGGAGATAGCCGTGGCGCCCTCGAAGTTCTGGAGACGGGACTTGGCTTCAGCCTGGGCAGCCGGGTCGAACTTCTCCCGTCCAAAGAACTCGTCAGAGGAGATACCCTTCTGGTTGCCGAACTTGGCACGGGTAGCTTCCAGTTCCTCCTCTGCAAGGAATGTTATTAGTACAGTCGATTGCAAGATATAGCATCTGACATACCATCAACCGGAGACTTAGCCGGGGCAACGGCACCAAAGCCTGGCTTCTTTGGAGCGGCTTTCGCGCTCACTTGTCCAAAACCCAAACGTGACATGCCCATACCGAGGCGCTCCACCTCGCTTGCGCTGCGCTCATGACTCCTGCTAGCCGAACTGACGCTTCTACTAGGGCTGACCGGGGCAGGAGAAGCCAGCTTCGCAGCTGGGGCTGCTGCCTTTGTCTTTGCCTCAGCTTCCGCCTGTTCAGCTTCTGGATCGTAGCCAAGCTTCTCGATCCGCTCAGCTTCCTCCTTTGCCTTTCTTTCAGCCTCCTCGAAATCAATCGCATCAGCGCCCACAATCTTCTTTGCTCCCAGTTTCTGGGTCTTCTTGGCACCGAGAACACTTCCTTTCTTCGCGCCAGCAGAGGAAGGTGCTTTCCGAATGGCAGATCCCGTCTTAACTGCGGTCGGGGGAGGCAAAGCACTGTCTGAGCCTGTCAGGGGAGATTTCGGCCGCGAACCATTACCGTTGGCACCGGTGGTGAGGAAAGGAGACGAGGTCCGACTGACGACTGGCGGAGTGCCTGTTCGGGAGGGAGGATTGCTGGGTCTCTTGATGGCAGGCTTATCCCACGAGGAGAAGAAATCGTCGTCATCAGCACCGTCTTTCGATGACACCTCGCTAGCGGCCGCGACGTCCGTGATCACAACTTCATTTGGGTACCTTTGTTCCCGTTAGCAGACTGCTTTCCGTACATCCATATCATAACACCCACTCTTGCGCATCCAGAACGGCCCTTCTCTTCAACTCTTCCTTGTACTTGGTCGCCGCGCTGGAGGTGTACTTCACTTTGGAGTCCTTGCTTGCGAGCGCAGCGGAACCACCATGCGACTGGAAGTATTTGGTGGCGGATTCATTTCCACCAACTTTCATGAGGCGTAGCTGTTCCCATTGCCATTCTAAAGCACACGTATCAGCATTCGTTGCTATTCATGAACGGACAGTTGTATCCATACGGTCAAGGTTGGTGGATCGGACAAACGAGATGTGGACACCCAAGTTACGATGGTTTGCCGAACAGTCCAGGCAGAGATATATTCCAAAGGGGACAGACGACCACGTCGGGTTCTTCGCGCCACAGTCAAAGCATATCTGCCAGCTGTTAGCAAGTGCCGCTAATGTGTAATAACAGACCGGGCAAGGGGCAGCGGACTTTGTTGGCGGGCTTTGTCTTCAGTTTCTCGAAGATCTTCTGCGACTGCGCCTTGGTGGCACTCATGATGGGTGAGTGGATGATGAGACGTGTGCGCCAAGAGAATCTAAGAATCGAGGAGAGAAAGAAGCTGTCGAGGGAGTCTCCGAGGGGGAAACTTGGAGTGTATGGCTCTCTCGGGGACACGCTTCCAGGAAGTCGGGAGGGAACGTGGTCGGAGATGGAGGATGCTCCCGCCTGTCCCAAGTGGGATTTGCAGATTCCCGGATCGGCAATTTGTGGCTTTTTGCGGTTTGGTGATTGCCAATATGGGGTTAGCGCCTCAACTTCCGAGGCAAATAATAAATATCGCAATTATCGCCGCCGGCCGGAGTTGTGGAGCGCTTTGAGAAAAGGGAGATTGAAGTAATAATAATACATCGTTTAGTTCCTCTAATGAGAGTAATTACTCTATTACGGAGTAATAGTTTGGGCAGAAATTAAAGTAAAAATTGGCTACTGTACAACAAGATTTATGCCCCTGAATCTCCTGTAGCGACTGTCACGCGATAATCCGCGGTTCATCTTCTGGCGACGGGGATAGCAGTATGAGAGGACATGGGAAAGATCCCTTCAGCACATAGAAGACGCGATTAGATCTTCTCCATCTATGCATCTGACTCTGACCGCTCTACTTCAGCAAAGCAATGACTATCTAGGCGAGTATATCCAGGCGGGAATATAGTATCACGTGATCATGTCCATTCTCGGCCATCCCCACGCGGAGCTTGAATGATGCGGAACAGCTCAACGATTTTTTTATTCTGGAAAGCCGTTGCGCCAATTCTCCCCGATCATAGGCACAGCCCCAATGACGGGAAATGACTGCCGGTCTCCATGAATCGCTATCTCAAGCTTAGCTCCTCCCTTCCGCGGGCGTCGAGACTGAATTCAGTCTCCGCCCTGCTCCGCTCCGCCAGTCCCCGCACGCTCGACATCTCCCGCTCGTATGCGACGCACAGTAACCTAGGCCGCGATGGCTCAGCTCCCGGCGGTACAAGAAGGAGGCAGATTACTGTTATGTCAGATGATGGCCGACTGCCCTGGTCGGAACTCAGTGGAACGGAGAAGGCTGCTCGCGCGACGCAGCAGTCCTTCAACTTTGTGGTTGTGCTGATCGGTGCTGTTATGACGGTTAGTTGGTTCCTTGCAATTGGATTTGAGCCAAAGGGAACCGTATATCTGACTCTTCGATCATGGTGATAGGGCGGTGTTTTCTATTTCCTCTTCACCGACGTCCTCTCCCCGAACAGCCCAACTAGACAGTTCGACAAAGCCGTGGATCGCATTAAGGATGACCCGCGGTGTACGGAGCTGCTGGGAGACCCCAAAGAGATCGTCGCTCATGGCAGCAGTACAGGGAGCAGATGGGCTAGGAACAGACCCATTGCGTATGTTATTGCGGGCTATAGTAATAGTAACTTTCAGCTTATGCTGACTCCATGCAGGACCAATGTTGAGACAGACCAGTCGGGTCGAGAGCACTTGAAAATGCAATTTTGGGTGGGTAGCAATACTGCGTTGAATATATGTACAAAACTAATGTGGTTTAGGTTGAGGGACCTCGCAATGAGGGTCACGTCAACCTGCATATGGTCAGGCAACCGGATCAGTGGGAGTACGAATACCTGCTTCTTGCAGTGGATATCAAAGGTAAGTCACTTTTCAACATTTCTGGCGCGGTCTATTATATCTGACATTTCTGCAGGCCACCAGCGGATTTATCTCGAGAATGCTGCGGATAAGATCAAAGGTGGGAAGGGTCCATTGAAGATATTCGGTATCCAGTGGCGTTAGGTGATGGTATCTTGTCCGTCGTCGATTCCAACCTTGATACATCGTACGGGATACACAGATACGAAGGGTTTCTTTCTCAGATGGAGAGGCTATCTTCACCAGCAGCCCCTGTGAGGCCTTCTTAGGAGATTTCCACTGGCCTGAATTATTTCAGAGTGCCCGGTGCATGGATACGGTGCATATATCTGAAATGTCGAGGTTTATCTATGCCACATCCACTGGCATTGCATTTCCGCTACACTAGTTAATCTCTCTTGACTATTGATCGAGTAGTGATCACACCTCATGTATTTATAGATGCATTCTATGTCTATGACGACAGCAATTGCTTTTCTTCAGGATAAACAATTCATGAACAGTAAACGCAGAATTTCCCCGTCTTAATCATCGATAACATCTGGCACATCCTTGACCCTCGGCCACCCCGTAACATCCTTCCCAGACCACTTCGCCACGATCTCAATCGCCTGCTGCACCATCTCCACATCCGCCTCACTTACTCCCATCCTCCTCAGACCGCGCAGATGCCAAATCGTAGGCGCCCTCCAGCCCCCGCACATGATCGCCGAGACGCAGACCAATTCCGTCTCGACAGGCGAGAGTACCTCATGATCAGAGAGGAATAAACCGTAGATAACCGCTTTTTCCATCCACTCGAAATCCGGTCCGTAGGAACCCCACGAGGCGAAGATCGGAGCCAAATTCTCCTTATACACCGCTTGGAGGAATTTAGTTCCTCGCTCGGGAATCGCACTGTTAATATCGATGGACTTTCTGCACTGGTATTAGTTTTTTTTTTTTTTTTTTTTTTTTCTATTCAACTCATTGACCAGCCAATTTTCATAGGGAAAGGAAAACGAAACACACCTCTTCTCAGGAACTTTGACATCCTCCTCCTTCACTCCCTTCTCGACTTTAGCTAGCGCAGTAATCGCTATCACGACGACTGGGATTCCGACAAGCGTCCATTCCTTCATGAGCAAATCGCTCAATCGAGCTTTGACTCGCTTTTGAGCTTCGTAGTTGAGCGCCGTGCCGGAACTCGTTTCTGTAATGTATGTATACAGAGGTCCGAGTTCTTCGGGCTTGTTGCATGCTACGAGCGTTGAGGCCTGGGAGGATTTGTTAGTTATGAATTCCGTTACAATGCGCAGAAGAAAGAAAGGGTTAGTCCCGTGCATCATGAGCAATTGAATTAAAATTAAAGAAAAAAAAATCAGGATATAAAACATACAACAATCAAATACCACGCATCATCCCGAAACCTCTCCGGTAAGACTTTCCTAACTTCCTCGGCGAGCGTAGCGATATCCTTGTTCGCAGACATAGTTGCGACTTTAGACTCAGAACTGAATTGTCGTCTTGTCGAAAATACTCTCGGAACGTTTTGATTTAGGAAATAAGAGGAACCGTGAGTTCGCGCGTTTCTTTGTATTAGTATTGATCCTACTTTACTATTATTATCTCCGTTCTTCGCGTCCGCGGTGAGATGTCCGAGACCGGTACGAATAACCGGCGGCGGGAGCGGGCTGCGAACAACAAATCGAGCCAGAAAGGGGGAAATGGTCGAGGATGTCTTGAATGATTGTTTGCTGATATTGCGCGTTTGGAGGAAATGAGAAATGGGGTTCTTGGAGAGAAATGGCATGCTCAATGCCTCATTGGTTGGAGCTTTGGAAATGCGCATGTTGAGATGTGTTGGGGTAGTCAGAGCGCGTACTCTAGTTACTTAGTTAATTGCAAAGTTGTGGATTCTTACGTGAGATGGATTATGTTTATCTTTTAGTTTACGGTCCACACAGCGCAATTTGAAGCTGGAATGCAGTTTAGATATTTACGAGCAGACTGCACTTACTTTATTTTGCTCTAATGTGACAGTTTATGCTGATTACAGGAGCGGGGTTAAAAATCTTTATTTTCCCAACCCAGTAAAAAATGAATAAATGTACCATGAGCTAGACACGCAACATGGGCAGATTAGCATAGAAAGTCACAGGTTTTCCCAAGGCTTATCTATGCCACAGAAAGAAGTCTACTCCGTTCGTAAGCTGCTTCCTCTCTAATTATCCTGCTTTCTTGCATGTCATTCCAAAAAAGGTAAATCACCAAGTGCGAGAGCAAAGGCCACCATGTTTTCGATGTGATCGGACTACAACTCCTAGTAGTCAAAGCGGCAATGAAGATGATGATGTAGTGCATGAAAAGAAGACCGAGTTTCCAGCTGCGTGATCCAGTACTTGATCGAAATAGATTGCCTGGCCTGAGACTAATCATTATCTCGTTTCCTGTCCGTGAGTCCTGAAGTGCATAGTCCTAAGGAGACACAACGTTACATGTATATATAGTTCATTTAACACCCATCCAATCAATGAATTTTTCTACCGGTAGTAGTAAAATGACGCAAGAGCTGTAGTTCAGAACAAGAGTTGGAATACTTATAGATCCAACGCGCCAAGCGGGTTAGTGTCGATGGTATCATTACCGACCGAAATGATACGCTCGTTGCACCATACATTTATTCAGATAGGCATCGTATAGCACAGCCAAACATGATCCCTGTATGCTGGCTGTAGGATTACGAATCGAGGACCGAGGGTGAATCTATAAGTTAGCCTGGTCTCCAACTGTGGGCAGTCTCCATCTCCACATCTCTTTTCTCTGGTCATTCATACTCGCCTATCCATCCATCATGTCGACGACTGTAACTGTCACTGCTGCAAAGCAGCCAGATATTCAGTATGCGCCAGACTTTGATAAATGGCGCGCGAGAACGGAGCATCGACTACGAACCGAAACCCTGTCTAAGGAGCTCCCGGCAGGTTTCCCCAAGAAGCTCGTCTCGGATCTCGTTTGGGAGGGTTCAGATATTCAAGACCGTTATGATTGGACATATGTTCTCACTGAGGCTGATTTGGAGGAGATCCAGACCGCGTTGATGCACTTTAGATGTAAGTGAGACGCTTTCTGGGTTTCAGCTATCTATATCCTAACTTGCAAAGCTCTTGATAAACCAATCGGGTTCGTTGACCAGGAGACCTTCCCACTCCCGAACCTCCATCCTATACTAAGAGAAGTGTCGAATGAACTGCACAATGGTCACGGGTTCAAAGTGATCCGAGGATTACCAGTCGACAAGTACTCTCGCGAGGAAAATGTGATTATCTACGCTGGTATCTCCGCACACATTGCTTCGATCCGAGGTCGGCAGGACTCGTCCTTCGATGGAAAGCCGGCGGACGTAATGCTCAACCACATCAAAGACCTCAGTACTGTGGAAAAGAATAAAGATAGGATCGGGGCCCCGGCATACACAACTGATAAGCAAGTTTTTCACACCGATCAAGGGGATATCATATCCCTCTTTGCGCTCAGCACAGCTGCGTCTGGTGGACAGAGCAAGTTGGCCAGTAGCTGGAGGGTCTATAATGAACTGGCGGAGACGCGTCCGGACCTCATCAGGACACTTGCGGAGGGTTGGCCTTTCGATGGGTACGATTGAGCTTCAGCTTGCTGTTTCCTGTTCTCGATGAACATGTACTAACTAGAGTGATAGATTCGGGAACCCCTCGTCACCTTACCACCTACGCCCATTACTCTTCTACCAGCCTGCCACGGAGAAACAGCCGGAGAGAGTTCTAATCCAGTATGCGCGTCGAAGCTTCACCGGATTCCAAGCGCTGCCTCGATCAAAAGACATTCCCCCAATCACGGAAGCACAAGCAGAGGCATTGGACGCACTGCATTTCCTGGCTGAGAAACATGCAGTCGGTCTCGACTTTCGCAAAGGTGACATTCAATATATCAACAATCTAAGTATCTTCCACGCCCGGGATGAATTCCAAGATACCCCTGAGCAGCAGTGAGTCCCTAGCCTTCTTCACTTTGCCCATTTTTCATCATATTAATGAAAGCTTTTGCAGACGGCACTTGATTCGCCTTTGGCAACGGGATCCCGAGAATGCTTGGGTCACACCGGAGCAGTTGTCCAGAACATGGAAATCACTCTATGATGGAATAACTCCTGAGTCGCAGGTCTTTCCCCTAGAACCATATGTGCGGGGCCCAGCGAGAGGTGCGTTCAGGGATAAAGCTGCCGTAAGTTCGAACGGGAGGCATTTAGAGTAAATCATTATCTCTGTTCGGTCTGGACGTGAATGTTAAACTCTCGGGGGCTACGGAAGATGCTTGATTATGGAGGAATCGAGCTCGAGAGCTCAAGGCTATCTAAGCTATCTACTGTGTGCTACACGGACTCAAAGCGGAAGGCAAGGGAGATTGCCTACTGGGTGCTAGTGCAAAATGAACCGAAATTGATTGCATTAAGATGTAGTCTCAATCTTTAGCTAATTATTTCTACCCGCTGATTACTCCTAACTGGTCCGATGATACAGTTGCAGAAGATCTTGGCGTCACCTTCACCAGCATCGACGGATGGGGTCAACGTTGAACTCTACCGACGGAATGAGCCTCAATCATGACTTCTTCGTTGGGACAAATGACTGTTCCCCGATCTTCCTAAAAGCCCTCACGATTTCGACAAAGCTCTGTCTCATATAATCTATAGAATATCAGCAACGACCTCACGTCATGCCATACAGAAAAGAGATATACTCACAGAAAGGAACAACCACCCAGATGAAATTGAAGAAAACATAGTAAAACCAGAAATAGTATTTCTCTGGCCGGCAGTACGAGATATCGAACAGACTCGTTCCATAGTAAAGAATATCCCCATAGATCTGGCCTAGAGAGACAATAAGCTGGAGAGGATGACGTGCGGGATGCTGCGTGGCGATGCAATAAGCGATGATAAAGGAAAGAGGGCCCCAGCAGAACTATAAATGAAGTGAGTATGTTTCAGTTCGATAAGGTTGTAGATAGTTTCAAAAAACATTGACATACTGCGGTTATGGCTTCCATGCAGACTACGAAAGCATCGGATGTCAAGTATCGGGAGTCAGAGAGAGAATACTCTTTCCATAGCTGCCCGAATAGTTCTCGAGAACCAGCAAGTGTTTTGTGGTTAACGACAAAGTATGCCTCGAAGAAGAAATGGATAAATCCCGCTGTGGTGTTATACGTCAATCCATGGGTATTCCGTAATATTCTACTCAACAAGGAGAGGAGGCACCCACTGAAGCACATCCAGATAAACGCGATCTGATCTGACCGGCTAGCTCTAGGTCGCACATAATAGATCGTAGCAAAGGCCCCTCCAACAAGAGTTGCCCAGAGAGCCCCGAATCGAGCGATTAATGAGGGCACTGTACCGTCGTTTGCTACATAATGGGGTAGTTGTATAGTTGGTGGATAGTAGTTGTGAGTAATCGTCGCTGTCGCATTGAGAACATGTATTGCGTCTGCCATCTCGCACGGTTGGGTCTTGACAGGAAACTATCTTCGAAAGATGGATTGAGAGTATGGCTTTCTTCACGGGAATGTGGCTTTAACTGTCTTAAATAGGGGCACTAATCCTTATTTCCGAAGTTTGAACGTGTAGCTTACTCGTTCCAGGAGTATTTCCCTAGTATCGTGGGGAAGCCCACTATGGTGCAAAATATTGAAGATATTCAGATCTATCCTAAATACCCCGTGGGTCAACATGGGAGATCTCCGCGGTATGATACCAGAAAGCGAAAGTCTTGGATGCCACGGAGGCCGAGGCCTGCGCGGATAGATACAACAGCCGGATCAGACCATCCCATGACCCATAAGAACGACCCGCAGTATCAACATGAAGCTACTATACTGCCTGAACACTAGGAAAAGACGCTGGAGTACGTTCGATTCACCATTGCGTGGCTAGAAAAGCGACATTTTCTTGTCACCGACACGAATCTCAGCGACGCGTTCCTGGAGGCAGATCTGAGTATTATGAGACTTTTCGCAAGGTCCTAAGTACATGTGGGCTTTCTGGGAATTGACAAGGCTAAGTCGTGATTTTACTTCAAAGGAGGAATCTCATGACTGTTGTTCTTCACATGACTACGTATCGTCTGCGACTATTTGGAAAAAAGCCAGATAGAATTGCAAAGCTATTCTCGTCCCATTGCGTCGGAAACTTCTCGCTCAAATTTCTGGCAATATCTTCATCAATCCTTTGACAAGCTCGCCATTTTCCTGGTCGGTACCAACGGTGATCCGCAGACAACCTTCACAATGCGGCATCATTCCAACGTACCGAACCGAAATGCCATAGTCTTCCTGCAGCTTCTGAGCGGTCAACTCAGCGCGCATTGAGTCAGGAGCATTGGAAGTCCGACTCAGAATAGGTAGAAGGATAAAGTTGGCTTCTCCTGCCCCAAGTGGCTTTCCGATGCCGAGCTCAGCCATGCTGGGTTCTGTCAGCGCTCGAGTAAGAGACTCTTGGTTCGCAACTACTTTCTGCACAAGCAGTTTCTGTGACCGCCGGCCATTTGGAGACATGCCTGCTTGGGCTAGAATGGAGGTGGTGGTTGGAATGCAGTACGGCACTTGAACTTTATCCAACATCTTAATGGTTTCTGGATGGGCGAATGCTATCCCGAGACTATGCTAGTCAGTTTGGAAGGACGTAATAAGAAAGGTAAAATAGAAAAATAAAATAAAATAACGATAGAAAGGATCTTACCGAAGACCAGCCAGTCCTGGGCCCTTGCTGAAGGTTTGGATTACGATGAGATTTGCATACTCTGAGAAGAGATTCAACGATGTTGCCGTGTCTGGGTGGTTGGCGTAGTCGATATAGGCTTCGTCAACCACCACGTATCCGTTGAAACCTTTCAAGCTGTCAATGGATATCATATCCTCTGTCAAATTACATCGACTTACCTGGATAGTCCAGCACTGCTTGGATATCTTCCAGTGGAATCAGTGTTCCCGTTGGGTTACCCGGAGACGCCAGGAAAACCAGCTTTACGTTAGGATTGTTATCTAGTTCCTTATAGACCTGTTAAACCAATCAGATCTTAATGCAGCAGACACAACCAAGTATGAATTCATACCTCCTTCAGTTTCAAGTTGAAAGAAGCATCCAAGGGACATGGCACTGTATCTGCCTGGTTCAGCGCAGCCCGAAACATGTACAGTCCGAACGTTGGGGGTGTAACTAGAATAGCATCCAACCCTGGTCGACAGGTGACTCGTATGACCAGATCAATGATATCAGCGGCCCCTGTTCCCAGACAGATCATCTCCTTTGTAATTCCTGCAATTTAAATTCCCCATTAGCAAAGAGGTTCAATGAAGAAATTATTCTTAAAAGCTAGTACATACCCCATTGCTTCTTGGAGTCTGCAATAAGGCTCTTCAACTTAGCCTGTGACGCCGACGGGTACCGATTGAGAGGAGTTGCTCCCGCAAAGATAGAGCCCAGCAAGTGATCGGTGTCTCCATCGTTATTCACCTTTGTCAGCGATTCGAGACAAGTCCCGGACGAATTCTCATTGGCATCGAGAAGAATCTTGCTGCGGGCCTGGAGCTCATCCGAGGTGCTCGTGATGAACTTGGGCGAAACGAGGATGTTAGGACGAATGGCCTTTTCCAAAGAAAAGTGTGCGGGTTTCATTCTGTCACGAAATGTCCTGAAGACAGGAGAAGTATGGTTTAGAATTGTTCGTTCACTGAAACTTCTGTAGGTAAAAAATTCATGAGGTAGCAGGAGCTAGCAAAGAGATAAAATAGGGAAGTCTTGCAAAGCAGACGAAGCCACTGTACCTGCAGCCGCAAATTAGACAAAGCAGATAGAGGAGACAAAGCGGAAACAGGTAGCAAAACAGATGAAATGACACTGGAACAGACAAAGTGAATGGAGCTGCGATCGATATCTGTCTAGATCCCGTGACTCTGGTGTGGCTGTCTCCTTCCTTTCTGTTCGTATAGCTCTTTGTTTATTCTGTTGTATTACTTTAGTCGAGAATTCACCGAAAGGAACAGCAATATCTAATAATTAAACTGCCTCCATAAAGGGTTTATTGATAATGAGAGCAATAGGATCTCTGATAATCGAGGATAAGTAAAATAGAAAACTCCAAGATGGCAATTTACCAAGATTCAAGATATCCCATACTGATCTCACATAGGCATTGAAAACAATGACTGGATAGATCTAGTAGATATGAGCCAAGTGAGCTGTGAGTCGTATCATCTAGGTAATTTGAATATTCCATCTGTATTTCCGTTACTATCACAATCGGGTTCCGATTTGTTATGTAGGAAAGCTAGTGGTCAAAGTTAAGCTTCTATAGCCCAGATAGATCACCAGCGACCACTTATCCTTAAAACACAACACGAAGGAAGATCTGTCAAATTTTGACTTTGAATACTGTTCATTGGCCGATCGCTGTTGGCATATTTCTACGTGTTCAGGGTCTAGGACGGACCTGATTTCATTTCGGCACATGATTGTCATTTTTAATACATTCATATGTACCCCAATTCGTAAGAAATAGCAATAGAAGCAGCGGATTACATATTAAAAGGACCAACTTCATCATGGCTAAATTCTTCTAAAGAAAACTAAGTGTCCTGAATCATCATCATGGAACCCAGTGCGTGGGAAAGCCTTCTTAGTGTCCTTGGTAGGGAGTCCCCGAGAGCAATTATAGCACGAATAGCTCTTCTCCATTTTACCTCCACGAGGGATTTTCTAGACAGCAATTGGTGTAGCAAGAGTGTCAATTGTATCATTCCTCTCTGCGCTGTAGCTGTCCATTGTCCTGTCTGACAGTATCGTTACTTGGAGAAGTTTGATGAGCGGGCGAGATTTCGTGGCCAGCAGCTTGCTCCTTCTTGTGGTGTTCCATGACGACCTCGCGCACAGTACTCTGGAAGTAAAGAGGTCCCATTTCCTTCTCCGGGTGAAGCTCGCCGTTGACAAAGACACCGGCGTTGAGGTTCTTCTGGGTGTTAACGCATAGGTATTTGTCCTCAGACATGATACGTTTATACATGTCGCTGATAAGGTTGAAGTCCTCATCGCTGGAACTCTTATTGCGGTAGACTTCATATCGCATTACTGATTTAGTGGGGCTGACGGGAGTAAATCGCTGTATGAAGAAAAAGTGAGGGCTGAAGAGGTCAGCAATGTTCCAACCAACTGCAGTGGGAGTGATATACTTACGAAATATTAAAAGAGGCATTGGGCCAGAAGTAAGTAACGGCGATCCGAAAGCCCTTCTCGATCTGCTCGGGTCGCGCGGCGCCGTAGTGTTGGATGTGACCGGCCTTGGTTTTCACATAGTAGGAGTTAAGATCAGCAATTGTGGGAATATCGGGGTGGGCGACGAGGCAGTGGTAGCACTCGTTGTAGTTGTCGGCCAGAATCTTCCAGTTGAACTCTCCATCTTGATCCCACGTGTGGTCAAAGACGTAATCTTCGAAGTTATAATAGTCGAATCGGGGCTGCTCATCGACACCATCAAAGTCGTCCTTCCAGGCAACCTCGGGGGTCTCGCTAGCATCCAAGTTGACCCAGATAAAACCGTTCCTGTCAACGTGGACATGGATAGGGAATGTGTCACTCTTATGAAAAGCATCGATGCTTCCTTGGTGGTCCTTGGAGATGATGAAATCGTAGCCGGCGATATCATATTCAACAAAGTCACCGGGATTGGCGACTCTATGCTTATGCGTGGTGAGGAGCCATTTCCGGGAAAAGATAGATCGTCGTTCAAGCTCAAACATCTCCTGGGAGGTATACCAGGAAGCGGGCAAAGCACGGACAGGCTTTTTCCTGTCATTCTTCGCAAGATCCTTCTCCGCTGTTGCGGAGGTACCAAAGAAGTTCCTCAAGAAAGACATTATGAATAGACCAGTGGCCGAAGGTACGTCCTCCTAGTAAGAGAAGAAAAGAAGATAGAGTCTGTTAAGCCCTAATCCTGACGATTGAAGTGTGTTTTGGAGGTTCTGTTGACAACCCTCGAACTTCCAGGCATCTGCTCTTCTAAATAGCCATCGCGACCAGCTTGACATGTAGTTCACCACGCCATATCATATCGATTACACCGGCAAACAACCGTTTGAATCCGATGCCGATGATGTTTGGATACTCATAGAAATCCCAGTGGCCAATTTTAACGTGCATTAAGCCCAGGAACCGATCACTTGACCGGCTGCGATCCCGGCGGGACCGAATACCTTAAAAAGGTTATCAAAACACTGACTGCCGTAGAACATCAAGAGTCCAGACCCAGGAATGTTTGTGCTAAAAAGGGGAGCGGATGCAATCCTTGATTCACTGACTGCCTCCCAGAATGCCCTCTACATAATTCCATATCGAGCTATAGAGAACATCGAAATAGATCCAACCCCCCTTTTGCCTAAAACGGTCCTACGTCGAGTTTTCAATCTTCTTCTTATTTGCATACGGGATAATGTGCCCCGTGGCCTGTGATCATCCTACCAACGATTACGGTTCTTGCTTGCCGATTCTATCTTTGTCCGTCTGCCCCCAGTCATCAACCTTAGTTGATTATGGGACTTTTAAGTTATTATTATATTATGCTTAATGCTGCGCGTTGGAAAGATGTGCTCAAAGTAGATATAAGAAATTCCTGGGAACAAATCAAACCTTGATGATGAACATATATGTTCGTTATTATGACGATATCGCAGTGCAAGGATCTTCTCTAATAGTCATGTCTATTCGCACGGGTATAAAAAATAATTACAATCAAGTCCTGTCCCATCAAATACGAGGACCTTCCAAAATCGGCTTCGCAGCTTCTGTCTTCCACCAACTCTTCCCCTCTTCTCCGGGGAAGGAGAACTCATCCATGCTCTGCGCTTTCATCTCCACGCTGTATCCGGGCTCCATGGGTGTCACATAGTATCCATCCTTCACGCTGGCAGGGTGCTTGAAATGCTCATGCAGATGATCGACATATTCGAGCACGCTCTTCTTGCCACTTACGACAACGTAATCGATCGTGCTCAAATGCTGAGTGTACTCGGGTAAGCCAACACCGCCGGAGTGAGGGACAATCGGAACGCCAAATTTACGCGCGAGAAGGAGGATCGCAAGAACTTCGTTCACACCACCGACACGGCAAGCGTCTGCTTGGAGAACTGTTAGAGCACCAGCTTGTAGGAGCTGTTTGAATATAACGCGGTTCTGGCACATCTCTCCCGTCGCAACGCCAATGGGGCCGTAAGGTGTGTTAGCAAGGGCTTTCTTGATCGCGGCGTGACCGAGGATATCATCGGGGGAGGTCGGCTCTTCGATGAACCAGGGCTTGAATTCCGCAAGTTGTTGCATGTACTCGATGGCCTCTGGGACGGACCAAACCTGGATAGATGTGAGTATTTCGAAAACCGCAAATGAGAAATGCTCAACGTAGGCCTACCTGGTTTGCGTCCACCATGAGGATGTTCCCCTTATCGTATCCAATGGCTTCTCTGGCAATCTTCAACCTCCTCCTGTCTGATTCGACGCCTCCACCGACCTTCAGCTTGAAATGCTTGTATCCGAGCTTGACACTCTCTTCCAGAAGCGCCTTCAACTTTTCTTCTGAGTAGCCCAACCATCCGGCACTTGTGGTGTAGGCGGGGACGGCCTTGCTCTGTTCAGCCTCCTTGATGCGCTCCTGCTTACCGGGTTCGACCTCTTTCAGCAGCGCGATAGCTTCTTCCGGCGTCAAAGCGTCGGTGATGTAGCGGAAGTCAATGCAGCGAACAAACTCTTCTGGAGTCATTTCTGCAACTATCCGCCAGACGGGCTTGCCCAACGTCTTCGCCCACAAGTCCCAGAGAGCGTTGACAACAGCTCCGAGAGCAAGATGGATAACACCCTTTTCCGGACCAATCCATCTTAGCTGACTGTCAGAAACGAGATATCTCCATGTCTTGCCCCAATCAGCTGCTAAGTCGTCCAATTCCTTGTCGATCACTAAGGGAGCAAGCTGAGCAATCGCAGCGCAGACGATCTCGTTGCCGCGGCCAATGGTGAATGTCTGTCAGGAGCAACAGTGTCAGCAGACTCCTTATACGATCCTAGTTATTGTGTCTGCAAAAGCGCGTACCATTCCGTGTCCAGCGTGTTCCGAGTCGGTATGCAGGATACAGTATGCCGCAGAATAATCACCAGCCGCGTTCATCGCATCCGATCCTGTCTTGTCGAGGGAGGTCTCCGGGGTGGTCAGCCATCGCAACCAAAGAGCTCAGGGAGCAGACAGAAACCGTATGGGGACATGTTCTGAAGATTGTGGACATACCGGAAACCTCACATCCCGCGTGGTAAAACTTGTGATTTTCACCATCGTGTCTTGTTTTGGCCGAATTTTGCAATTGTGACCTCTCTAATTCAACCTCTCCCGTGAGGACAGCTGCACTCAGACTCAAATCGCCCAATTGATCCTGTTTCTCGTCACAGAAGCCGTCTGACAATGGAGCAGCAGATCGGACGCGATTAATAAATAACGGAGACAAGCTCGCGACTAAATACGTCACCGGAACACCAAATCATGCAATAATAATGGGAAAGTAGAAACAGCATTCTCCCCGGGTAAACAGCAGCCTATATATGAGCTTTGGAAAAGTTCTCCTCCTCGTTAGACCCGTTATATAACCCCCTTCTTCCATCACCCGACGGCATAGTGATATGGTGTTCTTCGTCGCGGGGCATTTCAACAACCCCGCGCTCAACGCCGACTGGTGGATAAATTACCTTCGGTCGGACTACTTGCCGTTCCACCAACCAGCTGGCTCCGTTTAAAGCCGGAGTTGGTCCGATTTGGACTATTTGATATGGAAATTAACCGGTACTCAATCTTTTAGTTCGTGTACTACACCAGACTATATTTGATTGTTCGACCACCATATTTACTATTTATTTCAGTGACATGATTGGTAAACATATCCGCCGTCGGGATTATTCCGGCCTATACAACAATACAGGGCGCTGTGAGAATGACCATCAGAAGTAAATCGCAATTCCATACATGGAGTGAATATCCGGTGTCGCTAGACCTACCAGACTCATTTAGAGAATCACCAAGAACAAATTCAGCAAAGTACTGGAGCAATGCTGAAACATGACCTTCCTGTCATCATTTGTACCATGTGAAGCAGTCCTTTCCATCCATCTGGACCAGTTTCGTGGAAGGCACGCCTCATGGTCCCAACGGTCCGGATACCATTCTACCCCCTTCCCAGTCAAGGATACGAGTGACTTTAGTGAGCGAACATAAAGTCCAGCCGTTTATTTCCCTTGTCCTTTGTATTTGAGACATATTCGATCTTCTCACCCTCCGTGAGCGCATTCCATCGTTTTGCTCGGTAATAGTTCCGCACGACATAATATACTTTGGTCAAGATATAGATGACGATGTTCATACAGACCAAAGCTAGCAGCGTTCGGTTGCCAACCCTATACCGTGGGGCGTCCCCTGAAGTATGTATTGTCAGAACTCGGGTCGAACAGGTTGTCGAGATAGCAGAAGTGCCATTATGTTGGTATACTCACATTTTTGATAGATATTGGAAGCAATGATTCCTGAAGTCTGCACAGCCATGTTGTAAAGAGCAGCGGACGTCGTTCTCGAACGGACGGTATTCGAATTTCGTGAGTTCCAGCCAACTTGGATAGGGTGCGCTGCAGATAGGTTGTCAGTTCGATGTCTCTCGGATGGATCATGGTCTTGGTTTGGTAGAGCTCACAGCTAGGGTATCCAAGGATTATGGTCAGCACCGCCCATGCTGTCCACTTGTTGATCTGCGTGAGATCAACTACATTGATATAGATGAAGAGTGGCAAAACCCAGATTTGCGGGAAAAGCGAAACCCAGGTAAGCGACTTGACAACTTCAGCGAAGTATGTTAAGCTTAACATAGTGATGATTGAGATTACCTGGGTAGGAGTTAATGAGTCAAGTCGCTCAGCTGAAGTCCGCTAAACTTACGTTATATGGAATGGTAAGCAGGTTGGTTTTGAAGGTGCCAAATCCGAAACTTTTTAAAATGAGAGTGAAGTATTGGTTTACAGTTGCTGCAGACATACCGCATTAGCATAGTACTAAAGGAGGAAACCAGATGATATTCATACTCATTGGCGTCTGGAAAGTTAGCCCAATGATATACAGCGGCCATAGATCAAAGTCCGTAATACTTTGCCACAGAAGTTTCGGGGTGATTGGCTGGCGGTTATGCATGCCACCTTTGCTGGGGTCTTCTCGAATGACGCGGTTCACCATGATAATCTCTTCCCTGGAGACATATTTCAATACACTGTTCCTGTCTTCTCATATTGAAATGGAGTACATACCTCTCAGTAAACCAACCTTTCTTCCCTCGCAACCAGCCCGCAGTTTGCGTAGGCGAGGGCGGCATGAAGATAAACGCTGCGAATCCAATCACAATTGTGAAAAGACCCTTTAGATAGTCTTCAGTGAGTCTCCACCTCAAAAAGACTAGTGTAGATGAGCGAAGCATACCTCAAGCAAGAAAAGCCAGCGCCATCCGGCAACACCATCGTGGCCGCGTAAGTGTAGTATCCCAAATGCCAAGAAACCAGCTATGATGTCCGCGACAGACATGGCTGTCCACCAAAAGCCAAGCCGTATAGAAAGTTCATGGTGCTTATAGAAATAGGAAAGGTATAGGATCATCTAAATCATGTCAGTGGGACGGTGTAGGAAGATAGGCTCAAGGGTATCACCTACATCCGGGATGAAACCACCTTGAAGTATACCCAGCAATGCCCTACACACGAGAAAGGAAGTCTTTCCGGAGAGTTTGTATTGACTTGAAGCGACAACAGACCATAAGATCATCTGCGATGGAATCCATCTATCTGGACCGACCCATTTACTGACGAGTTGAGAAGGTAGCTCAGCGCACAGAAAGGCTAATTTGAAAACTGTATTTCCTAGGTTATAATCTTGAATTTAACGTTAGATATGCAGCGATGTTATGTGGTGGAAAATGGTCTAGTATCACTTACCATTCGTTGTTAAACCGAGGTCTTCGAGGAAATTGTCCGTATTGGCTTGCTCTGATAAGATGGATCATTAGTATATTCCGTTCGATAATTGGGACGAAAAACACCCACGTATATTCGAGCGATCAAGCTCCAGGGCCATAAACATTATGCAAGCCCATATCATGATCCGTACATCAATTTTGCGTACAATTTTCTGCAATCTGTCAGCATTGTTCAATTTACTAACTAGTTCCTCACAGGCCAAACATGCATTCTCTTCACCCCATGTCCATCTCGCTGAGGGATCGAAACGATGTAGGTTTTCCCAGTCGGCTCGCGGCTTATACTGCTTGGCCAATTCGGGGTCATCGAAAACAGATGGCTGTGTCGCAATCGCATTGGGATCGTATTTAGCACCCTTCTGGAACCAGAACCGGCGCTCCTCTACAGGATTGCCCAACTCAGCGATATCAGAACCGGATTGGATTGCGGAGCTGGAAACAACGGGCCCTTTTCCATCGTCATCCACCCCAGAATGAGAGACAAACTGTGAGATGCTGCCACCCCCCTTGGCTGAGGTGCGAGCAATGACGGTAGCCATTGTTCTACTTAGTACTTCAGCATAGACAATTGTCGAAGAAGCATGTCCTGTCAAGCGCAGGGATACAATGAGATATTTATAAACGACACCATCTCATTTAAATAGATCCTTCGGGTATCTCTTCTTAAAGGGGAATATTGTATTTGGATGTTGCCTCACCGCCAAGCTATCTACATAATGTCACCGTCGGGGAAATGACGCGAGACCAGAAGAACCTGTCAACATTAAACGAGGAAAAGCCAGGCATAAATCGAAATCGATAAGAACACGTCCTTTCATTGGTGATCGAATGGCTAGAATTGACCTGGCTCTCGCTATCCGGAGCGCAGACCATCTATGGCGATGCGCAGCATCGATTTCGATGGTGTGAACACGCCAAGGATTGCAAATTAGCACCGTGCAGTTGGAATACAACAAGGTCCGTTGATGGCGGTACTTTCCGCCAGAATATAATATGGATAGTTACTATACAGCTCAGTAGTATGCGGTTGAATCGAGAGGGCATATGTATCACGCAATTCGCTGGTGGAAGCTCGCAAAGTGCAACTGTCAACCCCGCAACTAACACGCCAGTAGAGTGGCATTTATGGAATGTTGTTCAATGGTATAATCTCGCAGTGATCATTTCAAGAGACGAGGTTAGACCTATGCCATTCTGGCGACGCCGAAATATGGGCTGTTCGCTTATATTGTCCGCACCCATAGGGGCTGAGATGTAAAGACAACAAAAGTAATTATACAACAATATTTTGAGTTTCTTTTCACAGATGTCCATTCATTGGTTACAAATGGGTTACTGGATGCACCATGGCGCTAACTACACGGCTATCTCCAACGCTTGACTCTCTAGGAAGGATAGAGTATTTTTATTATACCCTTCTATTCCAACCACAAGACCCCATTGTCTGATTTTGAGTGATTAGGTCTCAACATTCTTCACTTTTTGGTTTTCTCATTCCGCGATAACGTTCTCCAGAACAGATGAGTCCCTCTTCCCTTTTACCTTAACATATTCGCCGACGCTATTAGCGCTGGGAAATTTCTAACGAGTTAACTGGTAACTAAGGAATAAAAAGTTGGAGATCAGTAATGTATCAAACTCCGAGTGACTCGGGATACTTTCGTTTCTGCTCCTACATTCGCCGTAGCTGATTTAAAGAAACATACGTCAACCTGAACGATTGCGGCGTTGAACTTAGAGAATACAATAATGTACGACATACATTATCGATGAGCTATTATCTTTCGAATACGTTGTCAGCGGTAATCACTTCTTCTTAGTTGCTACTATTATCGCTGAGCCCTGGAAATCCAGCGCTCATAAGTAGTAGATAATGGTTTGCGAATTCGGGGCCCATATCTTAAAGGGAAACTATGGTACAAACCCCATCATTTTTCACAATTCGATAGCGAGGCAAGATACAACATTATAAATCAGGAATTTAATAAGAATTGGCTATTTTAAGTATACTATTTTGGTGCTCTCTAAGTATTTTGCGTGCAGCGGCCAGTGTAGTTCCATTTGAAGAAAACGTGCCTGGTCTAATCCACTACTCTTGCATACAGACGCATGTGATTTATATATCAATCTATTTCCTAGATTACCATTAGCCTTTCCAGGGTTATGTACCCGTTTCTTTGATTGGTAGAGCATTGGGACCGGCATTGGTCTCCAAAGCGCATCGGATGGGGCCAGTCGCTACTTACTATATGCGGAATCTTTCTGGAAGCTCCCCCTGTGGTCGTACTTCCTCTGCGGCCCTTAAACAGAGAAGTCCCAGGGTATTAGTCGCTATTTGGAAGTAGATAAAGTTTCTAGATCCGCAGTGGTTGCGTGCATTGTCAAGTGCAGATCTACTTAGTGCGGATCGGTTGTATGATCGACACTGCCAGAATTACACCAACTTTGACTGCGATTTTACCTATTTCTTTACCTATGAGGCCATTCGAGATAATAATTTATTCTTTGGGTTCTCTGACGGCAAGCAATCGCACTAGAGTGCCAGCAGCATCAACGTCAGCATTACTATAATGTCCTCCCTTTGCAACTACCGAGCCATTGAGCCTGGTTACAAGCGAGAACAAGATTTCTATAGTAAAGAGAAATACGATATTGGCAGTAAAGCTCTGGATGGCCTACAGCAGGAACGAAATAAGCTATTTTGGATTCAGTGTCTGTAGGTATTCCAGACATACCCAGCCGGAATGATGATCTGCACTCTGGCTGCGCATTTCTCAGAGTAGGGCAAGATCCGAGAATCTATTAAATAAGTGGAGGCGATCGTGCACAGATCATTGCCCATGGTACGGAGCATATATACGGGGATGACGCCAGGAACAGGATCTTAACTTGGACCGGGTCACTGGCCGTTAAAGCCAAATCAATAAGAGCTGACAGAAAAGAGGAGGCAGATAGGCCTCAACCATATGTTGCCGCTGGTTGCAGACCAGGCGACGTGTATCAAACCTTGCAAGTGTGCTAGACTAGTGTCGATTTCCTATACAGAGAATAAGATGAAGCATCAACCTTTTATTGGCAGGACAAAAACAAGAGGCTGGTGTGGCACAGCCCTTACTGACCGCCTTTGGTCCCGCCTCTTCTTTTCCCGCCTTTTTCTGCCGCAACGCAGCAAATGAAACTGGCAGCTGAAGAGACGATAGATAGACGGTCGATCACCCAGCCATCTTCTTTTTCGACTTTCTCGTTGACTTGCTGATGATGTGTCTCGTCCTGGAAGCCATACTCTCACCTTGATTGTTCATATGATGACTGTTTGGAAGTAGTGATGGCTTGGCCAGACGCCATGCCACACACTGTAACCTCACGGTGCACACGTCTGCATGCTGCGGTAACAGTCTGACCCGATCGAGGATGGCTCTCGAATCCTCGATCTCTGCGATAGACTCCAGGTGGATGAGCGTCCGGGCGCAGGCTTTGTTTAGCAACCTTTAGCTCATCTGGTGCCGTAGTTAGCGGAGAAGCTAAGATGAATAGCCGCTCCACTGGTGTCCCCGCCAACAGCTTCTACCTAGATGATGTCGATACAACAGATCTGAACAGGCAAAATTGGGAAAGAGAGGAGGCTGGGCTGCGTTTCGACTGTCCGCTCTCAGGAGCTTCTCGAATTCGCTGTTTCCCCTTAAAGGTCTCAGGTGCTGCTGCTATGGTGGTGCTTTCCATCTGCCAGCGCCAGCTCTGGCCTTTATATTTTTATCCCCCCCGCCATCTCTCATCTTCACTCTTTTCCATCCTCTCTTACAATACCATAGCCGTTAATCTGCATTGCTGACCCATCGAGTGCACCGGTCTAAGAGATTGTCACTCGAAGGAGCTGACTCCTTTTCCTCTGTATCTTCTATCCTTGCAGTGATTGGTCTACAGTGTGCTGTATAGTCGTCATGAGGTTCTCCACAGCGAGTATCGCAGCTTTCGTGCTGTCCTCCACGTCGTTCGTGGCTGCTCAGACATACACGGATTGCGACCCTCTACAGAAGAGTATGTATTGTCTCATTGACTTCTTACTTTCAAGCACCACTGCTGACTTCAAGCAGCATGTCCAGCGGACCCCGCACTTGGGACGTCGAAGACATTTGACTTCACTCAAGGCCCTTCGTCAGATTTTACCGCTACTGGAACTCCCACGTACGACAGCAATGGAGTAGGATTCACTGTTGCCAAGCAAGGTGATGCTCCTCTGATCCAGTCCAAGTGGTACATCATGTTTGGTCGTGTCGAATTCCAAATCAAGGCTGCTCCCGGAACGGGTATCGTCAGCAGCGCCGTCCTCCAGTCTGACGACTTGGACGAGATTGACTGGGAATGGCTTGGCGGCGATGACACTCAGGTGCAGACGAACTATTTCGGGAAGGGAGATACTAGCACCTACAATCGTGGTGCCTTCCATTCGGACCCAGGAAACCACGACGGCTTCCACACCTATACTGTCGACTGGACGAGTGAGCAGATCGTTTGGCAAATTGATGGTAACACCGTCCGTGTGCTTACACCTTCAACTGCGGCTGCCAACCAATATCCCGAAAGTCCAATGATGGTCAAGGTGGGAGTGTGGGCTGGTGGTGATCCCTCCAACGCTGCGGGCACGATTGGTAAGTAAATTTACAGTCCCCTGTTGAGAGATACTTTGGACCTGACAACTCCCAGCATGGGCTGGAGGCACGACCGATTACGGCGCTGGCCCCTACACCATGTATATGAAATCGCTCTCCGTGACCGATTACTCGACGGGTACATCATATACATATGGAGATAAGAGTGGCTCATGGGAGTCAATCATATCCGATGGCGGCAAGATCAATGGTAACATTGGCGCTGCTCCCAAAGAGGCATCTTCTGCTCCGCCGGTGACCTCGACGGCTGAATCTGGTCCCCTCCCATGGAGTGGCACACACAAGGAGACGTCCAGTTTTAGCACTCCAAGTATTTATCCCTGGGTGCCTGGACCGACTACAATGTCTACGGAAACTGCGTCCTCTTATCCCGGACTCCCCAGCGGCTGGACAATCAACAGCTCTGGGCACGCCATACCGCCGAGTGCGGCCCCTGTGAGTGAGCACACCCCGTATTTCCTATTTCTGATTTATTCATCAATGCTGATTTTTCTTTCTGTATTAGTCCACATCCCCGCCTTCTTCGTTGCCGTCTCCTTCTTCATCGGCCTCGCCTTCCCCTTCTGGCCGCACTACTAGACCAGCCACGTTGGCGACAACCAGCACCAGGCGCCACAGCACTTTAGTGACATCTACCAGTCTTGCGGCTCATCTTTCTGCATCGTCGACCTCGTCTGCCCCTGTTGCCCCTTCCACGGGTGGAGCTAACAGCAACCTTCGGATGACGGCTGGTCTTGGTGCCTTCTGCGCATTCCTTGGAGGCGCTTTGGCTCTCTTTTGAGCGATCTTACCAACTTGATGACTGAACGTTTGAATGGGTTACGCAGAATGACTGGTTCCTACACGTACGATACAGGATGTCTCGGATGCTGGATTTTCTTTTTTTCTATTCTTTGTTTATGATTCTCACATGATACGGTGCATGATCCTCGGCGTTCTGACGGGTACGAATTGAAAATGTCTCAGCGGAAACAGCTGGACGGTCTTTTGAGAGCGCAATTGGACAACTGGTCCTTTTGGCATTTCTCTGCATATCTTCTTGAGCCCCAGCGGGCGTTGTGTTCATACTATGTATAGATTATTGGAGCAGTAATATCCGTCGTCGCGAGATCAACGGCAATAAGAAAACTATTGATCACGGAAAATGAAAATGCACTGTATGGCTACTCTAGGGTATGCGCCTAATCTGTCGTCAATTGAAGCATGTCCCGCCGTCGACTTCGGAAAATACGGGCCGTTCGGGATTGACGTGGATTCGACGTGAAGTTCAGGATGCGTTTCTGCGATATGCCTGCAATACATCAGATTAGTGTCATATTTCCCTCTATCACTCCTACAGTTGCCGGTAGCCAGTCTCATAGTTGGTTCATACGAAGGCTGCTTGGAGGTACCAACCGGAAAAGCGGGCAATGAGTAATGTCCGACACCAATCGACGCGTTTTGGTGTAAGCTGTAATAACCCAATCGCCGCGTGAGGTTGTAGTGTATAGGACCGTTTTTCTCTAGATATTCCCCCTCCTGTGTCAGAAAACATACCACTTCTTATATTCGTCTCTTCAATAGAAAGCGGCGACAGAGCGATCATGACGGCCCGTGTTTTCCTCATCCGCCATGGTGAGACGGAGTGGTCGAAGGGGGGCAAACATACAGGCAGCTCTGATATCCCCTTGTCCCACGAGGGCGAGAAGCAGGTCGAAGAAGCGCGCGCAGCCTTTGTAGGCGAAGGGAAGTTGATCAATCCACAAGATATTGGCAGAATGTATTATTCCATATCCAATGGCACATTTGTCTCTCATTCGATCCTTTCACTGACAAGTGTATCCGCAATCCAGCTACTGCTCTCCCAAGGGCCGCGCGCGGCGAACCGCTGAGCTCCTCCATCTTGGTCTCCATAGTCACCACCACTTTAAGGAACGGGATGGTTTCAGCGTGTCGACGTCCTCTGCTCCATCGAGCAATTCCACCATCGTTGAAATCACTCCCTGGTTGCAGGAGTGGGATTACGGTGATTACGAAGGTCTGACCATTGACGAAGTGCATGAATTACGCAAGGAGAGGCACCTGGATAATGGTAAGAGATGGAATATCTGGCGTGATGGATGTGAAGGTGGAGAGTGAGTAACCTTTTTTTTTTTTTTTTTTTTTTTTTTTTTTTTTTTTGTGGCAAGGGAGAGAGATATAACAAGAGATAATCCCTCTATTGTGTACGGATAAGATAAACCAACTAAAGAACCCAACAGATCCCCCGAACAAGTCTCTGACCGACTCGACCACCTCGTTCACGAGATGAGAATCGAGATTGAGCGCAACACCAGACCCACGGCAGCAAATACGCCACCGAGCCAGAAGCCCAAAAATATCGTCTGCGTGGCTCATGGTCATATCCTTGCGGCGTTAGCGCTGCGTTGGGCTGAACAGCCGCTCAAGAATGGTATGCGTATGTTGATCGAGACTGCGGGTGTGGCTGTTCTAGGGTAAGTTGATACTCTACATTCGCTGTTTCGGGAATACTGGAATAGTTGTTGCGTGCTTATGTGGTTGGTGCTGATCCTGATTTCTTGCTTGGTAGATATGAGCATGACAATTTGAATGAGCCGGCTATTACGCTGGGAAGAGGTCCGAGGAGATAAATCAATTGGCCGAGCTGAGATTCCTGGAACGCAGTACAAGTTTAAATCTACAGACTGCAGGGATCGAGGCAGGTTCGATGCAATTGAAAGAGCTCTATTATCTCTCAGAAATAGTTTAGATGGTGTGAGTGGAGTTATAGTTATTATCAAGAATTAAACATGTTTTGCGTGGTACTCCTTTGCATAATAGTTTCAGCTGTAGACGTCATGGAATAGGGATACCACTACTTTAAGAACATGGTACTTTTCAGTCTGCCAGCCTACCTAGTTTTCCGTCCGCATTGAAGATATAACACGATGCCCTCGATAGGTGCTACACAAAGAAACCATTATATTTGGAAATTGTATCTCCATAGCATGCATGTAGCTTGAGCTTATCCTATAGGGAGAACATTATACGCCATCTACTCTATGTTTGTACCGGCATCGGTGCCGGCGCGGGAATTTCAACAATACTCGTAGTACCTCTTCCGTCGGGTACACGCGTAAGGCTGGCTGGAAAGAAATAAGACTTATCAATCGCCGTCTTATCAGGGTCCGCTCCCTTTTCGTTATATGTCTCGCCGAGAATCTCGCTACCGCGTATACCAAGGTCGCTTCTAGAAAGAAGTTAGTTTTGTGCTTGCCCTAGCAAAAGTCAACGCGAGGCACGCTTCACGTACAGAGACGATGATGTATGTTCCGGCCTCTCTTCATTCATCATGGCCTTCCAGCTTTTGTGGCAGTCTTTGATGAGCTCCATGGCGAAACTGGTATTGTTGACATTAAGTTCTTTCGAGTGATAAAGTATGAAACCAGAGACGATCAGTGTGAAACATACTCTCTGCCAAATATGTTGCCCTCCGATGCAAGTTCATTTTCCTTCTTCCCATCCGGCACCTTATACATCCTAAACCACCACTTCATCATCTCCAGAAAACCAGGCATGTACGCCTCGACGTCTCCGATATCATTCACTTTCGCAGCTAATGCATCACGCACATCTACCACGAGGACCTTCCAGTCTGTCTCTCCTTCGTCGAGGATAGCAAATGCACCGAGGACCTTGACTGGTTTCACTTCACCGGTTTCGCCAACATAGCCGCCCAGTTCGCATACGTCGAGTGGGTCGTTATCGCCGTTAGCGTGGGTGTGGGGATCTTCGATGGAGGGATCTTCCCATGTCTGTGAGTATAGAGTTATCAGATATCATAATATTATTGGAGCTGTAGTGATCTGTGTATGAAACTACCTGCGGAAAAGCCCCATAGTTCCAGGGATATCCCTTATGCGGGAAGATATTTGGCACATAGCGTGGTCGGCCTTTCTTGATATCCTGCTTAATGGGCGAAAGGAATTCGTCTTTGGATATCTGCGCAGAACTAAAATAAATTCTCTGTAGCTGAAGAGCTTATATATATGATTTTGATGGCTTATTCTCACCTCCATCTTGGCATTACTCCAGCGTGGGATCTCAACGATCATGTTCAATATTCCCTTCTGTTCATCATTGTACAGTGGGATGTCGTGCCATGGGGAAATTATTTCATTGTCTTTTTCGATGTAGACTCGATATCCGGATGTGAAGGGCTGCCCGGTCTTGCGGATAATGTAACGGTCTGTGGTGGACATTTTGCTTGGGATGGATAATCTTCAGTAAGGGGGTGTTTAGAGATCGATTTCACGGCGTTTCAATGGTGGGTATACAGCGCTGCACATACAATGCATCTACATATTGAATGCTTGGGGAAAATATTGTATGCTCAAGATGACGTAGCGAGTAAGTACTTCGGATCTTGAATCCCGGTGGCCAGTTAGGATTTCTTTCCTGAGAAGTCGATTATCATCTTTTACTTTACTCTTAGAAATTGTATTTCTACCCCCATAACATTCTAGCAAATAGTGTCAAGGACTATTCCCACATATTCCCAGCATACTTAAAGTTCGCATGTGTACATTTTAATTGGTCTTCAATGTCCATCAACCGATTGTACTTGGCCACTCTTTCACCTCTGCAAGGACTCCCTGCCTTCAAATGTCCGCAGCCAATAGCTACAGCCAGATCGGAAATGAAGTCATCGTTGGTCTCGCCTGATCTATGGGAGACGAATACTTTCCACCCGAAGCTATAAGCGCTTTGTGCACTGCAACACATTGTTAATGGAGGCGGAGACTGGGTATTTGGAATTGTAACCCTTACACAGAAAGAGCCTCGCTGACAGTGCCAATTTGGTTAACCTTTAGCAAAATGGAATTGCAAGCGGCATGTTCTCGTGCCATTGCAAGCCTAGAGATGTTAGTGGCGAGAAGATCGTCGCCGACAAGTTCGATTTTGCAATCTCTGTTGAAGTTCCTCCAAGAAGCCCAGTCGTCTTCTGCAAAGGGGTCTTCTAGGAGGATTATCGGGTATTTCTGTAAGAGTTTATTATATAGATCGGTAAGCTGCGTTGAAGATAGTTTCTCCTCGTTTCCTCGTTTGTAACCGATATCGTAGCAGCCGCATTCAAAGAACTGGGATGATGCAGGGTCGATGCCGAATTTGATTTTCCCTTGATGACCACTGGATTTCACTGCTTCTGTTAAGAGATCTAGTGCCTCTTCTGGATCGGATATTGGGGGCGAAAAGCCTCCCTCTTCGCCAACAGCAGTTGCTACGTGAAAATGTTAGCTCTTGTTGGTGAAAACGTGAATCAACTAGGTACTCACCGGCTGCTCCATACTTCTTTTTGATCATACTCTTTAACTCCTGGTACACCTCACTCCCGATCTGAATGGCTTGTGCCATTGACTCCGCGCCCACCGGTGCTATCATGAATTCCTGGAATGCCATTTGGTTTCCCGAGTGTACGCCTCCATTCAAAAGATTGAAGAACGGGACAGGCAGGACATAGCCCTCTGGTGCATGTGCTTCCTGCCTTAAGAATTCGTAAAGTGGCACATCCTGTAACCGCGAACGTCAGCACTGATAGATTATTCAGTTTGTGACAGACTTACTCTCGCTGCAGCTGCGGCTCGTGCACATGCCATGCTAAGAGGCAAGATGGCATTGGTGCCTAGATTTCCCTTGTCTTTTGTCCCATCAAGCTTGATCATGAAGTCGTCTATCTTGGCTAGGTCCCTGCTCACATCGAAGCATTTATCCACAAGCCCAGGTCCGATGACATGCTGAGCGTGGTACACCGCTTTCTCAACACCATTGCCTCCGTACATGTTTGGATCTGCATCGAGAATCTCATGCGCTTCATATGGTCCTCTCGACGCACCTGAAGGTGCTGACGCGGTGAAAGTACCTATGTAGTACCATCAGCACAGTAACACATGTATATTCTTCCTGCATTGGAATACTACCCTTGTTTGTTGTTACCCATACTTGTACCGTTGGTTTCCCTCTAGAGTCAAGTCTCTGTGCTGCGCGAACATTGGTGATCGTGCTAGGGAATTTGCTTGACATGTCAGGTCGACTGTTATTGGGCTTCCCATTTTCTCTGTTTTTTGAGAGTGAACTACCGATAAGACGCCTCATTTGGAATATCTATGGTTAAGTTTCTGCATCCATGAAGAAATTTGACTTGCATGGCTGGGAGACTTTATCAGACGGAATAAAAAGCCGCGAGGTATGCACAGAACTACCATATACGTCACTGCACGAAGTTTATGAAGACACTTCCGCGGAATTTACCTTTACCTGAATTCTAGAGTCATCTCTTCTCGCTTATGCTGCTACCAAGTCTCACACCGTAGAACATTTGATAAGGTGTAGATAAAGAAATAGAGAGGTCCACCAATTTCTGATATAATTGATATCCTAGATATAAGCATGCACCACTTAGTGCGTTATTTCCGGAATACCCTCTGTCGGATTCACCCTCATCAACAACTTTTGTGGCGTTCTACGCGCAGGGCTGAGTATACCACCGCTCGCACGATCTTGTATCTTCTTTTTGCACCAAGTCTTGAGACCACTGAAAACAGCCTGGATGGGTCGGCTATCTTCAAGACCTCCTGTGAGCTTGTTCTGCTTTTCACCAGGCCAGTCCGTAGACTGCGAAGGAGCCGGCTGTGGTCGTGTGATGGTGACAATTCGTGGTCGTCTAAAGTAGTAGAACGATTCCCGGCACAGTGGACAATTCGCATGATGTCGACCTATCCAGTTATCGATGCATGGCAGATGGAAGCAGTGCTCGCAGGGAAGTTGACGATATGGAGAATCTGCCTCCAGCCTCTCGAAACAGAAGACGCATGTATCTGGTGTGCGTCCTGTGAAGAACGTATTAGCTTCACTCATTGCAATATCAGCATCTTAGACAGTCATATTGTATACGAACCGAAAGTCCAGTGTGAGCGGTGAGCGAGACGCTCTGCGCGTAGCAAATCAAGCTCCAATTGACTCATGTCGGTCGTGTATGCAGCTCTCCTGTTGTGAAGAAATCAGGGTGCATCGTCGCAAGCTATTATTTGAAAAGGACCTTCGAGGCCATGCGGTCTGTGCTGCACTTGTAAGTTCGAGAGGAATAAATACCACGGAAATGCTGTCTTTCCAAGCTTATTATGACGTTAGAAAGTATTATTCTTGCCGACGCGTCCGAAAAGTGAACGCAGCTCGTTATAGCCAAGGTGTGAGTTAGATCCTCAACCCAGATTTCGGCCTTAGCGCAAATCACGGAATGAATTTCCTGGAGTATAGCTATACTATCATTGCATATCGAGTAGCTCATAGATTATCCGGCGATATGTCTCTATACCAGAGTCTGTGAGTAGGGTGATGGTGAGGTTTGCTTCTTTTATGATGTTATTGTACCTGCCATTTGAGTTCAGGAGGAGCCCTCGAAGGAAAAGCTGCAAGAGCCACCAGCATAGTAAGTTTGGATAGCATAGGATTGTGAGAGACAGAACATGGAATTACTATATATGGAGAGCCACCGAGCCTGAGAATGCCGAGGAATACGGTAGGACTTGCTCTCGTTTCTGACTTCCCTCCAGTGAAGTGAAGAAACCTATTGATATGACCTATTTATTTGGTGGGTGCATACCCCCTCTAGGCTCCAATGCCAAAGTCAACATCTATTATATGTTTTCGAATAGAACGTCGTTCGTAGTCACGATCGAAGCTAGAACACTACCATATCTTGAACTGTAATGTGTATAGGGCACAAAAAGAAGAGTTTATTATATTATTTTCGAGATTAAACCGGCTCAACAAGACCCAGACTGAACCTACGCTGTACAAGGTAGAGAGCCTGAGTGTATAGCATAGCACAACCAACCGGGCCTATCATGAGTACACATGTGATACGACGAAATCAATTCTTTGAACCCGCATTGACGTAGACATGTGACTCAGCTGTAGGCGGCGGCCTCTATAACATGGACCATATATACTCCGCAAAGGTTGGGATAATAACGCGGGGGGTCAGGTAGTGCAGTGGTTAGAGTCAGGACCTCGTTGAGGTCCTGCTCTAGGCACCAGCACTGCCTGCTCTCCCGGTTCGAACCCTGGAGGGCGCCTCCAGGGGTGAAAAAATCCTGCCCGCCGCAAGCAAGGTGGGATTTTCGTAGCATCCTCCTCCTCCCGAGTGCACTCGGGAGGCCGGGGATGTGAGCTTTTTGTGTCCTTGTGGAGGTGTGAGCTTTTTGTTTCCTTGTGGAAGTGTAATGTTGTGATTTCCTTTTTGGGAAACCGCGATGTTATTTTGGATATGCGATTACCATGCCTTACTGCAGCTTCAACAGAATGCATCAAGTCGCAAAAAAGAGGATAATAGAATTTCCTTCCAAATGTAAACTTCATGTTGTATATAGACCGGTCATATAACATTTGAAAGGCATGTTTAAGCTAACTCTGTCCTGTACGGATATTTTGTTATCATATGTCGATATAATTCACAAACCTCGATACTTGTCGCGTACTTGGTTGAGATGGGTCGTAACTATGATCATCACTAATTCTGTTTCCGTGCATTCAGAGAAACTAGAGACAGTACAGACTGTTGCAGGTCTCGATATCGCACTAACGACCAATCCCTTGGCCACAAGCTAGTCAATCTTTCCATCGCCTCCTGATACAAAACTTACAGAACCTCAACTAAGAGCCAGTAGAAAGCGCACATTGTGACTTTTAACATTGATGCTGAACATTTCCGTGCTATATTCTCATTATAAGGGGATCATAGTGGTAGCTGAGTGCCAAATGAGCTTTTTGAATTAAGCTAGAAAGACCCCGCTCGCAACAACACGGACTTCGCTATGCTCACAAGCTGCCAACTACACCTAGCTACTGTACTGTACTGGTATTCCTCCTTGAGCCAATCTCGCGCTCCCCATATCCGAAGATGCTGCACTGGCTACTATATGATCATGAATCTGACTTTCATACCTCTCTGCTCTCGCCGAGGTGGTATGTGTACTCTGGATGTATTCGTTTCGATTTAGTTAAATTGTGTGTTATATTGCTTGCTGGTATAATTGCGGGTAGAATATAGATAGATTCTCATATGACTCCTCTTTTGGATTTGGCATTTTATGTGACTTTTGTGGCTTATAAACGAACGGGACAAGCTTCTTAGGCTCTTCAAATTGAGGCCCGACATGTCCAATCCTATGAACTGGGAGAGGGCAAGACGCCTCCAATAATTGTTATTTCTTCACCTGTTACATATATGACTTGTATAGTGATAATATTGAAGGCATAGAAAACAAAGGATGGAAGTCTCAAAGAATTAGGTGCGAGGAGATATATCTCGATCGTGTAATTATCCACACCCGTTGTTGGACGGTGCTACACATAATTCTCTTCATATATAACGCCTAAACCTAAGTAACCTTTACGAGGAAATTTTCATCGGAAATTTGTAATAAACAATGGTTTGCTGGTTAACGAGCAGTACTGCCTGCTTTCTCTGCTGACTGTCATTGTGCTTAGTAAACTAAATAAGCCTCAACGGCGTATGTGTGGTCTTTTCTTATGTCATCTAGCTTAGTCATTCTCTACTATAACGTAATTCCCTGCCGACCGGATTACCCGCCTAAGCGGATTAGTGCCGTATTATATACAAAATAGCCCTTTTTTAAACTAAAATATCTTAATAACTAAGTATCTAAAGGTTATTAGAACGGATATATGTAAAATATATATTGTTAAGATTATATATGTCTAATTTTATCTGCTTAAGTCTTGCTATTCTTTAGATATCTTAGGTAAAATATAATTATAAAAATTATAATAATAATTTATATTACCTAAATAATAAGTAATTTTTAGAGCTTAAAATTTTAGTATATAAAAGTTTACTATTATAGAAAGCTATATATTAAGTATTATATATGCTAGATATATAGTTGTTGAGAAATCTCAGTTTAAAAAGAGGTTATTCTATATATTATATAGTATTAATCCGCTTAGGCGGGTAATCTAGTTAGTAGAGAATTATGTTATAGCCTTAGGTATAGATATCTCTTAGTAATTAACTTTCTTCTTCTAAACAATATCTAGTAGCATATCTAAATATTTAGATTAGGCAATAATAAGGGGATTACATAGGCCTAGAGGGCTATAGCCTATATAGGCTAATGCTATTATATTATAATATTAATAATTATAATAATTATTATATTACTATATATAAAGAAGCCTAAAATATAATATTAAGTATAAAAGATATTACCTATTTAATAATATAGCAGTTAGCTATAATAATAATAATATAATAATATATATAATATTAAGGAAACCTAAATCTAAATAATAATAAACTTAAACTTTATCTTATAACTTCTTATTTATACTAAATTAAATAAATATAGAATATTTTTAAACTTAACCTTACTGCTATATTTAAAAAAAGGGGTAAAGATAAAGAATTATATTAAAGTCTAATTTATAATAATATATTAGCTATAAAGGGTAAATAATAAGATATAAATATACTCTTATTATAAGAAGAATTAATATAGATATTTAGTAATTATTTTAATAATTAAGACCTTAAAATAATTATAATAACTATAGCAGAAGACTTAGCTAATTATATTAGCTATATAGATTTAAATAAAAATAACTAATTAATATTAGGTATTAAAACACCTAATTTAAGATAATCTCCTCTAGCTCTAGAATAAGCTGCAAATATTATAATACTAAACTTATTATAACTAGACTTTAGCTTATTAAGTCTCTTAGCCTAAGTTGCTAATAATATTATTAATATTGCTTAAGCATAGGTAATATAAGCAATAGGCCTTAATAACAGACCTAGACTTAAACCTAAAACCTCTTTCTTATATAAGGGTAAATATAATATAGAACTTCTAGAAGTCTAGAAGTTTAAAATTTATAATTATATTTAATAATATAATACTAAAGACTAGTTTAAGAATTAATAAGAGATTATATAATATTATACTAGATTTCTTAAAGGTAATATAAGATTAATATAAAAAACTTAATCTAATAATATTAAGATAGGAAGGGCTATAAAGTTTAATATCTTAAATAATTAGTTATAGTAAATCTTAGTATTATATAAAAATATTAATTAAAAAGTATATAACTGTAATAAATATTATTAATTAATATAAATATATTTTATTATAGAATATATTATTAAATTGCTTATATTATAATAATAATTTAACTCTTTTTTATTAGATTATAAACTTAAGAAATACTTTATTTAAGGATTAAAAATCTATATTTATAATTATATAGAAGAAAATCTAAATTATAATAATCTTAATTATATAAACTATATTATAATAGCTAACTAATTTAATTAGCAATATATAGCTATATATATATATAATACCTACTAATACTTAGAATAATAATCTTAATAATTATATATAATAAGCAATAAATAAGAGTTATTAATAGTTAAGCTAATACTAGATTACTTATAATAATAAATATAGTTATAGCACTTATCTTACTCCTTTAAAATAATATTACTAGGGAATACTTTATAAAAAAATACCCTAGAATAAACTAACTATTATTAGAAGAATTACCTTTATTTCTAATATAATTATATAGAATACTAAACTTATAATTATAATAAAAGAGAATATTCCTCTAGTTAAAATTATTAATTAAGATAATAATTATCTTATATAGTAAAGTTAATATCTTATTTTTTAAACTTATATTATTATAATTATAATAGCTTAAGGAATAGTTAATATTAATCCTATAGTTACTCTAATAGCAGGACTAGATTTTTTAATTTAATACTGCCTTATTATTGCATTTCCTTTAATATATTAGATAAAAACTGCTAATATATTATAGCTATCTTATAACTATTTAAATAAGATTAATTCTATATAGAAGATCTTAGATAATATATTATAGCAATTAAAGCCTATAAAATTAATAAATAATAAAGCTGTTTAGATAAATATCTCTACTTATTCTTAAGAAAGATTATAAAGATTATAAGGGGTAAGTTTTTATTTAAAACCTAATATCCTATATATTATTTAATTAACTTAGGCGCTAATATAATATATACCTCAGTTAAATTTTATAAGATAGCTAATATTTCTATTAATATAATTAAGTAATTAAAAATATAATTTATAAATAATTTAGCTATAACTATTTATAGTACTGCAATAATACTCTTATAGTTAGATATATATTATATAGAACTATTTATATAAGTAGTTAACCTTAATAATTTTAATATTATTTTAGGTATAATATAGCTTTAGTCTATAAACTTAAAGATTAATTAAAAAATAATATAAATTATAATTAATAATTATAATAGTTTAATATATTACTTAAGCTCTATCTTATAATATATAATAATTTGCGATTTAGTTAAAGATATTAATAATACCCTTATCTCTTATAATAAAGCTAAATACTTTTTTAAAAAAGATATTAAATTGCAACTTTATACTATATAATAACTTAATAATATAATAAATACTTTATCTATAATAAAATAGAAGAATATATTATTAGAAATTATAATTATATTATAATAATTTAAATATTATTTCTAAGAAAAGCTACTTAATATAATTTTACTATTATAGCTAAGTAATAATTATAAAATTAATATATAAGATGCCCGACTAATTAATATTAATATATACTTATTATTACCTTTATATAAGGATAAGAAAGTGTAATAAATTAATAACCTTTATATTAAAGGAATTGTCTATAAATTAGTAAGCCCTTAGAATTTCCTAGCCCTATTTATAAAGAAACCAGGTAGAAGATAGAGAATATATATTAATTATTAAGCCTTTAATACAGTTATTAAATATAATAAATATTTACTGCTAAAAATCTAAAAATATTTTAATTAACTCTATAATACAGAAATTCTTAATAAACTAGACCTTATATAAAGCTACTATTAAATCTAGATTAAAGAAGAAGATATTCTGAAGATAGTATTTAATATATATTAAGAAAAATTTAAATTTATTATAATACTATTTAGATTAGCTAATGCTTTAGCTATTTTTTAAGCCTTAATAAATAAGATTTTATATCTATATCTTAATAAATTTATAATTATTTATCTTAATAATATTATAGTTTTCTCTCTAATATTAGAGGAGTATATTTATTACTTATCTATAGTTTTATAAGTTTTATCTAATAATTAATTATTTATAAAGCTATTTAAATATATTTTTATAAAGCTATAATTAGAATTTTATAGATATAATATAGGCGGAGGGATAATTTAGCTAATATAGTTAAAGATAAAGATTATTAAGAAATAGCTAATATTTATTAATATCTATAAGATTTATTAGTTTTTAAGATTAGTATAGTATTATTAATATTATATTAAGAACTTTACTAATATTACTATACCCTTATTAGACCTTTTAAAAGAAGGTAATATATAATTATATAAATAAAAGTATTATAAAATTAAATAGACAGCTAAATATTAATATATATTTAAATAATTAAAAAAGAGTATTATTAATAAATCTATTCTTTAATTGCTAAATATCTCTAAATTATTTACTCTTAAAATAAATACTAGCAATTAAGCAATTAGTTATAGCTTATTATAAAAAGATATAATTATAAAAGGCCTATATCTAATTATTTTTAAAGATCGCAAATTAATAA